GCATGACTACAAAGAGATATCGAGTTTACTCAAAACCTTGCTAATGGCTACTACTACCAGCACAACTTGTATATGTATCATATTACACTATACTAAGGCTATTTTTTAAGCTACATAAATTGCCCAGTCATTCAGGCACCGGGAGACTGTTGTTGCTTTTCTCGGAATCTGCTTCAATTTTGATCTATCTGTTTCTCCACAAATACCAGTGAGAAAAATGTAATTTTATTTGTAAACAATCTATAGATGGGTGGTATACTCCTGTTATTTTTGTAGCTGAAATGCTGTGCATCCCAAGAAGTTCTAGGCTATGTTACATTATTGGCCCACATCCTTACTGTATAGTCATTGGGTATATCAAGAACAGCTAAACAAACAGACTGTTACCACACATCCCTATATTGTACTAGTATTGCCTAAGTAATATGCAGCAGTACAAGCTTGTACAAGCTTTCAGCATTATACTCCCAATTTCTGAATTATGCAGCACAGAGTAGCCAATATAGCTGGGCTTGTAATGCACTGATTAGGAGAGAGGGTATACTGTAAAATTTATACATTAGTCTATACATGGGGCTACTATATATCACCAATAATAAAGATCAGTTATACCACTCCTTGCAGAGTTATGAATATTTCAAAAATGTGGCATATTTTGAGTAAAACAATAATAGTGTTACAGTATCCGCACAGTCTGACAGTTAATATAGCTCAGATTTTAGCCTTAATAGAGTACTACACAACCTGTATATAACTCGTACCAGTAGTACTAGTTGTTAGAAAGCTATCGAGCAAACTCGACACCCCTTTGTAGCTACGCGCACTGTCATGCACCATAACTATAACTATAGGAAAACTAAAGGAATAAGCTAGGTATTCAAATCAAAAAGAAACTGCTTACTCAGAGCTGCAAAGTAAGCATAAACACTCAAGCTTACTAAAAGTGAATCAATGACTAATAATATAACTCAGCTTCTTAGTAATCTAAAACTATGCTTAGTAAGGGTCTATGCTCAACAGCTATGAATTACCAAAATATAGTAATACTCTAACAAACATTAGTAATAGTTTACCAATACATTAGTAAAACAGACAGAAGGCTGACTAATACAGACAAATGCTTATTAATAAAAGTAGAAGTAGCTTAGTAATTACAGTAGAATAGAAGAGCCAGTTTTGCTATTGGCTAAGGAACAACAGGCTGAAAGGTATAAATAGTAGAGGTTCTCTGAGAGCAAAAGACACCAACCCACCAACCCACCAAGCACCACACACACTCTCAAAGATTCAACTAGCAGCAAACCTGCAGTTAATCCCCTGAGCTCTTTAGCTCTCAGAGAATAGACTCCTTTCTTTAAAGCCTAGGAAATTTCTTAAGCACAGTAGAGCCTCTGACTTTCAAATAACCTAAAGGGAAATGCCCTTGGTATAGTGCACGAGTTCACTATTTGACTAACCCTAGACTGCGAGAGCTAGTGGCGTCATTATTTGAAACTGTGGTACGTCTCCTGTAGAGCTTACAGTAATTAGACTAGCAGTAAAGGGATTAATTCTATTCTTGATCTTCAACTCTAAATTGGAAGCTTCAGACTGCTTCAAGTTATACAAATCCTCTAAGGACATTAAATTGTCCTTACTAGCCAAAGCTTACTAAGTTAACCAAGACATTAACTTGTCTTTGTTACCCTCTTATTTTACTTATCTAAAACCCCTATTCTACTAACCCAAGTAGCTAAGTTCTTAAGCTACAAACCAAACCTTCTCACAGCCCATCTTCTAAGATTCCTTAAAAGTCCCTTGTAAACAGGCAAGTAAGGCTTTAAAGTATTCAAGCAGATTAGTAGGTGGTCTTTGAATTAGTCCCCCACAAACACCAGGATAGCTTGGTTGAAAGGCTAACCTAGTGAACCCTGAAAAGAAAAGATTGGGAAAACCAAATCTAAGTATTCCATACTATACCCTTCTTGCTTTTAGTCTAGAATAGACCAAACTCCATTCTCTTTTATCAAGAAGTAGCCTTCTAGGATTCTCCTAGAATCTTCTTTATACCAAACCTCATTTTATTTTTACTTACTTTTCTTATCCTAACCTTTTCTTTATGACAGCACTACTTTTGTTGGTTACTGTATGTACTCAATAGAAGAGCTAGTGCTGAAAGGCTCTCAGCACAAGAAATCAAAAGCAACCAAACTGTAGTACTGAGAAAAAAGCTAGTAACAAGAAGCTGAGGTGCTACTGTACATGTGGAGGATTTACATAGGCTATTCCAGAGTTGTCAGATGGTTTATGTTCTAGAGTTTCTTAAGCCAGGCTTTTAAGGCCTGTGAACTTTGATTTATGTTTCGTATATTACTATACTAGATATAAAGTTAGCATCTGTTGTCGTCAGATACTGATATTATATTGACACTAACTATGCCATTATAAACAAAAGAATTATACTAAAGTTATGCAAAGGACAGAAAGTAGTTTTGTAATATGGCCAGGAATGAAGAAATTGTACCCACCGAGTACCTGCACTGCAGCCCACATAGCCCTAGTAGATTGGCACTCAATGCACAAGGTATAATACTTATCTTTATGAGCCAGCCACCATTACCATCACAGCAGACAAACTGCATGCATCTAACTGAGCACTCAGAGGATGTGTCAGTAGAGGATCCAGAGCATTCTTTGCCCTCAGACAATGAAGGGAGTTGAGTGTCCATGGCCTGAGAGTGCAACCAACTGAAGTGGCCATGTAGTTGGGCCATGACACTTTATATTCACCTGGCAAACATAAAGTGTCATGGCCCATCATGTGTGAAAGCCCAAAAGCTGTCTCCAATTTTCTGTCACTTTCTGGAGCTGCATCTAAGCTTACAGTGTACAATTTAACCTAGGAGTGCCCAGCAGACTATGGCGGCCTGTCGTGACATCAGTATTGAACAATTCTGGGCCTGTTTGCCCATTTCTGCCCAGCTGCGTCTACATTTGGGTGGTTTGGCTGATGTAATTCACAGACTACAAGTGCCGGCAGGCTGTTTCCACTGCAATCTGGTGGTATCTGCCCTTTGAAACTACTGGCACCATATGACTGCCCAAAACACTGGATTTTGTCCGACAAGAATCTTCATAGATCTCGGCGATGATGGTCTTTGCAAGGCAAATTGAAGCAATGCAGGTTGCAGTGAAGATGAAGAACAGAGAATGGATGAATATTAATCAATGAATTGGAGTCGATTATGCTAAGTACATAGCTCAGATAAAATATACCTTGCCGAAACCGCAGCAGGATTTTTCAGCGTCTATGGACTCTATCTAGGCGCCAAAACACGTGACCAGCGTGTTCGGATCGCAAGAACTCGGACGCGTCTTGGAACGCGCCTCATCCATGCTCCCGTCCCGCGCACCGCAACTGAGCTCTTTCTGAGTTTTATACTGGCTCATAGCATTGGATGTCTAACGACTCTCTCCATCAACATCGCGTAGGAAGGGCAGAGGAGAACATTGGGGGCATGAAGGATCAAGGGGACTCGAGGTATGTGTTACACATATTCGAAAATTAGTGTTGAACGTATAGCTCTATTTTGAATCAGGGACTCAAAATATCTATCTCAGTTTCTTGCAATGTATGACCCTGATGGATCGGAACGTCGCAAGCGGTCGATATATGAGGAGCTTGTGGACAACAACGTGCGGGCAGTGCGATCTCGTGTTTCTGCTTCCCTCGGGACCGACTCGAATCCATGGCCATGGAGAAACCACAGAACGGCGGAACAATGGCTCAAATTCTATCGGGACAACGAGAATCTTATTGACAAGAAAGCGGAGAAGGCGCAGAAGAGGTGGGCAGCAGAAGCCGCTGGGGAAGAAGCTGGTCCATCTCAGCCGAGGCTTGCATCAAAGCCTCCGTCGTCTCCAAGAAAAGGAAAGGCTACCTCCCGGACAGCTTTTGACCAAGACGACGATTACAATCTCGTGCAGTTCCTTGCGATTGAATGCCCGCAGCCCAAGGGTCGCAAAAGCGTCAACACGTACAGCAGACTAGTCCTCGACGTGCGTGTCATTGCCACACTGCCGTCTATATCTGACTTCTTAGACTCTATCTCAAGGTTGACAACAGATGGCCGTGGGCAAGCCGTCACCCAGCCGAGGCTTGGCGAGAACGTTACAAGAAGAGGGCCGACAGTCTGTTTGACAAATGGATCATACAATACCAAAAGAAGCTTGGGATAGATCCCGAAGGCGGACCTCGGCCAGACCTCTGGGATCGCGTTGAGCAGCAGGACTATACCAAAGGCAAGCGCAAGAAGGCTTCAACGACGGCGCCTAAATCCAGCTCATCCCCGGCGAAACCAGCGAAGCAGCCCCTCAAGCCGACATCGTCGCAGAACCGTCCACCACCGGTTCCTCGGAAGAAGAGACCCATCGTGTATGAGAATGACACCGAGGCTGAGGCTGAGGAGCCCGTCCAGCCGCGCATCCGTCGAGGGAAGGGAAAGCGGCGTGCTATCTCGCCAGAAGAGGAAGAAGAGTCGGAGCATGAAGGGAAGGATACTGGACTGCCTGTGGTACGTGAAGAAGAGGAGCCATTGAAGGAGCCGCAGGTGGCGGAGAAGGAGCCCGTATCCGTTCCCGCGCAAAGCAGCCAACCCATGATGCCAGAAGACGAGGATGAAGAAATGGCTGACACAGACGAGGAAGTAGATCAGCTCGAACCATCACCCCTTCCCGAGCCTCAGAATGAGGTCAAGCAGGAGAGACAAGAGCTGCAAATACCTTCAGCAGAGCTCATCCGCGAGTTCAACGAGCTCCAGGAGAGTAGAGCGAAGTTAGAGAATAAATACATCTCGCGCCAAGGGTCGGAAACTCAGGATGCTCAAGAAGCTGAGGATCTGCTTGCGCCACCTGAGACACAAGTCGCGGACGAGATGGAAGACAGCGAGCTTGTCGAGCAGGAAATTGACCAACTGGCATCGGGTGACGAGCAGTATGCCACATCATTACAACCTTGGCATTCTGCTCATGACTTTGCCTTTAGACTTGACGATCCGCAATCATTCGCTTCGCCAAGAGACGCGAAGAAGGCAGCTCAAACTAGCCCAGGCATCGCTGTGCAAGAACCGACTCCGCCTACAAGCGACGACATTGCATCACCATCCCAAGCAGAAGCCCTGCTGTCGGCACAAATATCCGCTGCAGCCTTGCCGTTGGAGTCCACTACAACATACACGCACCGTATGACCACCGTTCTGCGTAAACGCACGCGCGACGACTTCTTCGAAGACCTCGAGTCCGAAGCGCAGACAAGCACGCCGCCACGCCCTGTAAAGCGGCGGGCGTTGCACGTTATCGAGGAGGGCAAGTTCGGCACGACGACCCTTCGCGAAATAAACAAGCCCGGCACGGTATTCAGGAATGGCAGGCGTCGTAGTGGCGTGGATGAGCTGCCGTCCGCTGCTGCTGTCCAAGCGGCGAGCAAGGTAAAGGAGCCGGAGAAGGGCTCGGAGCAGTGGCCGCCCAAGTGGGAGAAGCGCAAGGGCAAGGAACCTGTGTCTGGCCCGCGAACCTCGGCTAGTCCGGTGAAGACGGGTGAGAGCTCCAAGGCGCTTACGCTGGCTGCTCAGGAAGTCACAAAGGAAGGGGAAGGGGAAGAGGAAGAAGAGTTCTATCCCTTCTTCGAACCTAGTCCAGAGCGCGAGGCCGCCGGTCAAGATGTGGCACGAGAAGCTCCCGCGGCATCTACTGACGATGGGTTTGACAAGGAAGAGCTATTTGCTCCATCTCCAGTGAAACGAGCAAGCTATCGCAACATGCCACCGCCTTCACCGCCTCAAGCGGGGCCATCCATGACCACAAGCAAGTCCCCGGCCAAAACTCTATTCCGCCCGCAGTTCTCCACGAAGGGAAAGGAACCCGCACACGAGTCGACCCTACCTGTACCTAACCCATCCCCAGTCAGGCGACACACCTTCCATAACAACACTCTTGCCTCAACCTCACACGGTTCGCACTCAAGTCGCCATAACGTACGCCCGCGGTACTCTCTCCCGACCACACACACAGCCTCGCCGCTTCCCGAGGTTGCGATCGACGGTGTTGTCATCACACCCGAAGACCACCGGCTGGTGCTCGAGGCGGGCGTGGAGACCATCATGCGACAGCTTGCAGCAAACACGGGCTTCGGGCCCGACGTCGTGCGCACGGCATGGCGCCTCACGCGCCGCTTCTCGCTCGCGGAGGAGTGGCTCCGCCGCATGTGCGTTGTCCTCGCTGAGAATGCGGACGATGTCACCCGCGAAGTTGTTGGCGAGTCCGGGGGTGAAGACCATGTTGATCAGCCTCGTGAGCAGGACGATGCGCCGATGGAGAGTGAAGTGTACTACCCGCCCGAGCATTCGCGTGCGTGGCTTTTGGAACAGTCGAGAGTGGAGGAGGGGATGCAGAATCACGACGAAGAACAGGAACAAATCCCTCCTGCGCCTGCTGGCCCGGAGCCGCGAGCAAGCCGCGCCTTGAACTCTCGTGCAAATCGAGCGCAGATGATCCGGGACAAGACGCGGCGGCGTGGGTCGTGATGTGCAGCTGTTGACGCATATATCGTAACGGTCCTTCACAGTATATCAATATACCTCTCGTACAGCAAGTCGTAATGCGGCTTCCGAGCGAATGCCAGTCATAAAAATGACCATAAATTTAACAAGTTTCCACTGTAAACTGCTAACCCTCCGGCGCGAGATGATTAATGATATAATACAACAGTTAGCAGCCACCTCAAGCGCACTCAACGCACTCAACAGACCATCCTTCCCATCCGTCTCGACCTCCAGTTCCAATCCCCTTCCCCTCCACAATTTCAATCCCGTCCGCGATTCTGTCTGCGATGGTGGCGACGATAATACCGGCTGCATGCGGCGCCCAGCGACTGGCGACGCATTTGAGCGTGCCCGCGCCAAAGCCGAGTAGGGCCTGCGCCTGCTCGGGAGTACGATGTTGATGGCGCGTCGCATTGTAAACGTCCGCATCTGCGCCCCAGATACCCTTGTCTCGGTGCAGCGCCCCGATGTCCGCGACGGCGACTTGTGTAGAGCCTGCCGTGACGTGGCGCGAGATGCGGCGCGTGGGTGGGTGTAGGCGTATAGTTTCCGTAATAAGTGCCTCGACACTTGGCGTGTCTGAATCGGAACGCGTGAATGCCGCGGCGGTTGGGTCGGTGAGGAAGATATGCAGGACCGTACGCGCGAGCGGGTCGGCATGTGTGTAGGCTACTGTGATTGCGACAACGCGCCACATTGTCTCGAAAGCGGGGATGATGAAATCGACGGGGTTCGGCTGCGCAGGGATCCATGCACGGAGGCGAGTGTTGATATCAGAGAGCATGTGTGGCGGGAGCGTGTCGGTGGTCTTGGAGAGCTTCCAGAGGTCGTTGATGCCCCGAGCGACGATCGAGAGGTCGGCGATTGTGACGTCCTCGAACGAGACCTCGAAGAGGCCCGCAAGGATGGAGAGTAGGGATACGTTCTGCATGAATGTATCATAGCGCATAATAGCGCTATGCTCAGTGCGCTCGCCAAGACCATGGTCCAACGCAAGGCGGGCGCACTGAGCAAATCGGTCCCAATCATTGCCCGCGATCAGCGCACGCGCCGCCCGGGTGAACGCGGCGTGTACGTCTACATCCGCTGAGACGAAGGTGTTAGATATTCCAAATGCACGTATTAGCCGTGCGTTTGGGGCCGCCCGCTGCGCCAGAAGAATGGGCAGCGGCGTGGAAGGAGGTGCGAGGAGCGCGCGAATGTCGCGAAAACCCGTCAAGTGAGTTATATCAAGTGACGAATTTCTGCGACGTTGGCGAGCCCTGGCAGCGGATATGCCTAAGAGTAGCAAGGCCGTGAACAAAAGTACGGAATATAAAGCGGTGTTGATCATCTTGAACGACAGGCGTCAATGAATAAATCGATATCCCTTCAACAAGAGGACTGGTCGAGGCTTACAATGTTTCGAGGCTTGTAAAGCAGCAACTTGAAGGCAGGGGGGGAGAGGGGGCAGTATTTGGGGAGGGAAACGCGGCCTGCGCTCAGCATTTATGACTCTCGCAATAAGCTCAAGGTTTGCCTGATTCCCACTTTGACTCCGAGAGTCAGACAGATGGTGGCTTCCAGAACGCGGATATTGACGTGCGCAGCCACATATCAGGTTCTAGATGAGATCCCGCAGGCAAAGAACAGAATACGACATGCCAAACGTTGACGGCGCAGCAGGAGTCATCGCTTTCGATATGTGTGATCCAAGGACCTAGAGTACTTGCGCAGCTGTGGCGCGGGGGGCTGTAGCGGGACGGCGTACCAAACATGACAGCCTTCTGCGTGGTGAATACGGCGAAAATCCATTAAAAGTTTCAACAATTCTCATAGTTCAGAAAGTATCTCGTAGAAGCGTTATTAGAATATCAGACTATATATGAAACCCTGCGCAGAGAAAGTAAAATGAGCCCATATTGAAGGACAAACAATTACGAGATCAAGGATGACTGGATGACCCATACTAGTGCAGCTTTGGTGTCCCTGATCACCGCCTCCGCGAACTCATCATTAAGGGCACCCTGACCCCAAGTAAAAGCGACGTTGACTGTGCCTGTCGGTGAGCCAGCGACGTTCATCTTCATGGCTGCGCCCACCACAGCATCGCACTGCGCAAAATAGATTCTGCTCAGCGACCACACGCCTTGAACAGACGAGCCATTCTCGCCAGCTGGCTGCTCGGGGAACCGGCCCAAGTTCGACACCTCGAGCGCCATGGAACGCTTGCTACCCAGCGCACCGAGGAAAAAGGCCTCCGAGATGCCGAGCACGTACAGGTAGTGCAGCGTGCCGATGACCTCTCGGGTGCCCTTCGCAGACCGCTGGACCCGCTTGCCAAACTGCGCGGCGGCCGTCCAGGAGAACCATGGGTCGGACGTGCTCGTGTTCGCGAGCGAGGCGATCGGGACGTACGTCTGGACCGACGAGATGTGGTCGCACATGACATAGGGAGACGCGCCCGTGAACCGGCGCAGCGATACGGGCACCGAGGTGGAGAGCGTCTTGAACGGCTTGCGACCCTTGTTCATCGATGTCGACACAAGCCGTGCGAGCACGCCTGCCACGAGTGTGTGCAGGCACGCCGTAAGCGTTGTGCTGTTCTTCCGGCAGAGCGTGACGAGCTCCGCTGCCTGTGCTGCCTCAATTTCCCAACACCGGACTTGTGCTTGGACAGTTGGAGTGCTGACTATAGTGTTTCCAGTCCACGCAGACGCGCCTTTCGTCAGAGATTTTGGTGCAAATGTGCCGAAAATAGTGCTGCAGAACTTGGCGAAGGACACGGAGACACTCGTCAGCGCCTCGATTGGGGGCACGAGGTGTACCACTGTTGGGATCGAAATCTTATCCCCATACACATGTAGCGTGTCGGACGGGCTGTTGAGCGCAGACAGGAGTGCGAAGTGAAATGCCTGCCCGCTCTGGCCGTCGCCGATGCCATGGTGAAATGCAAAGACCAGTGTGCGTCCAGATACGATCGTCAGGCGCCACAACGGCGTAGAGCTGCCGAGTTCGAGCGGACGCGCGAGCTCGTCCGCAATAAGCTTTTCGATGTCGCTGCCCTCGATGAACGAGACGACGTCGTCAAGGAGCACGACCGGCAAGCGCACGAAGCACGGTGCAGCTGGCTTCGACTTCGGCTTCGAGTCTGGCTTCCGTGTGACGTCGACTTGCACAGAGAGCGCGGCGTTGGCCAGAACGATTTGGTGCAATGCGGGATAGAGCGTCTGGCGGTTGAGCAAGACACCACTAGCATCGTAGCGTGCGGTCACGACGACGCACGAGTCAAAACCGAGTTTAGTACGTGTGATGTGGTAACGTTCCAGGAGACCTCCATAGAGACATATAAGAACTCTTTTCCATCGGTCCAGAGCCAGCAAAACGCACCCGTTTCGCGGACAAAATCGTAAGGCTCCTGCGAGTCGTTAGCCATGAGTTGTGCTCGTGGTGATGTCCAGGTGTGCTTGGTTTATACCGCGCGTTCCAGGGCTAGCTGCGTGCTGTTTGTGTACGCGCTGGGCTTATGAGGCATGTCAACCAGGCACCGCAGCATGAGAATTTACGAAGAAAGCGACATCAATGTTGTCGTCGTCGGGGTTAACATGTTAACAACCGAGGATCCTGCGGGCCTCACACAGACTAGCGCGCAACGGAGGCGCATCAGAGGCGCGCACTTTACGGGACAGGCAGCGTTTCGTACTTGACTTCCACCTTACTTACCGCAAACCGTTTCATCCCAAATGATACAGGGTATTATAAGCATATAACCTCATGGAAGCCGCAGCAAGCCCTTTGAAAGCATTATCTCCTGTACAAGAGAGAAAACTAAGAGACTTCCTTGAGGATCGCTTCCTTGAGCTCACACGCAACTTCAAAAAGCGGTGCGTACCAGCAGTGCTCTGCATATTCCGATTCCGCTCAACTCGTCCCAGTTCGGAACCAACAAGTACAACAGTTGCAACACTCGCAGACTATCTGCGCGAATCTCACACCCTGTTTTCGCTCACCCTCCAGATCCCGCCCACGCCGCCATCTGCTTCCCTGCGGACGACCTTCCTCCTGCGCCTCACAGGCGACATCATGGGTGCCATCCCGGGGTATCGCCCCACGCCGGACGTGCTCCCGCAGCTGCTCGACTGGCTGAACGACCTCGACCGTGGCTGGCTCGCGGTGCTGCGTGGGCAGGCCTGGGACGCAGACGCGCGTGTGGGCACCGACGTACCACACGCGCTCCAGCCGCCAGACGGCGATGCGCCTGCGTCGACCACCGTGCTCGGCTCGCCCCTCAGCCAGACGGAGCGCACGCGCCTCCGGAGCCTGCTCATCGGGGGCACGGCGCAGCTCGAGGAGTGGCTTGTCAACCTCGACGCGGCGCGATCAGATGCGGACTACACCATGGTGCTCGAGACGATGGGCCTCCAGCAGGGCTTCGACGATCTATTCTCCGGCACGCTGACAGAGATGGGGTCGTTTGACGGCGCGGTGAACGTCCCGGAGGGAATGGAAGGGACGTGCTAAAGAATGTAGAGTATACAGAAACGGTACTTTTCGCCATTCGTGAAAGCTCCTTGTCGCGCACAAACTTCAAGCATATCACTAGTATACTTGGTGGGTCGCACTGTGGGCCTGCCAGAGGTCGTTGCACTGCATCAATCAGTAGAAAGGTCAGTATATGCGCTATTGTTATCATCGAGTAGTCGTCGGTCTCATCCTAAGCTTAGCAAGGCGGAACGTGACGCGCAGGGTACAAGTCGCCACGTCGCAACTGAACATGGAAGGTCCGAATGGCCCAGAAACCCAAGCCTCTGGCCTCCTGAGGTCACATGCCAACTTTCAGAGGAATGGTGTGTGTGATATTAGAGGCACAGTGCGGGGGAATGATTATACAGGTCTATGGTACTTAATCTCTAGGATTGCACCGAGAGTCTACGAGCCCCACATGCTACGCGGACTTGTGCTTCTTCGTGTCCTTGCTTTTGTACGTCTTCGACGTGACACCCTTCGTTTTCGCCGTGCCCTTTCTCTCGCTCCCGTCGATGCCTTTCTTGTCATCCGGGCTGTGGGACGCCCCGCCGTCCGGTGCCGCGTTCGCCGTAGAGTTGCTCGCCGGCGGCGGCGGCGTGTCGTAGGGCTTGTACCCGGGATAGGCAGCCGGCGCCGGCCCGACGTTCGACAGGTAGTTCGTGTCGGACGCGTCGCGTTCGTAGACGTAGCGCGGCATCGGGACGTCGCTGCGCTTCATGGGGGCCGCCGAGGGCACGGGTGGGGCCTCGCCCTTGGCTTTGGCGAGCTGCGACGCGACCGAGGAGGGCAGGCTGAGTGGAGACGGGTCGCGCTTCACGACTTGGTAGTGTCTTCCGAGCAGCATCGCGGGTTCGCTCACTGGGACGATCACAGGGGAGAACGGCACGGCGCGGGGCTCCAGACGGTGCTCTTCATGTGTGACCGCAGTCGGCCGCGATTCCGCAGAGAGAAGGATGGCGAAAGTCGAAAGGGCGAGGAGAACGCGGCGGAACATGGCGGTGAAGGGATGTTGGGTAGGTTGTCGGGGGGCCTGGAAGTGGGCAGGAAGCTCGGCCAGCCAAGGATAAATAAAAGTACTAGTCCAGTAGCACGACGAACAAGGCAAAGTGGTCGACGTCGAGTCCTGAGGTGGTTGTGGTTAAAGATGAACATCGGAGGAAAGTGACTACAGCGGGAGACGGGTGTGACCAAACATGCACAAACAAACGTCCACCTCGATTTCGTCTATTTCTCGAGTATGCTGTTCAATATGGCGAGGGCCGCACCGTGTTCAAGTTGATGACCAGGCTTCAAAATCGTTCTCTTCGGGCGATCCGTATTGAGCGTTCTGCTCGCCGATTCGAGACACCACTCCATGAGCTTCTCCATCTTGTGCTTGACCTCTGCCATCTGCGTGCGCTGGGAAAATGCGACCGGGTTGCGGTAACTGAGCCAGAGGTAGACGATGACCACCTTGTGCGCCAACTCAAGGGCCGAAAGGCCCCACGCGGGCGGCCGATTGCCCATGCACTCCGCGTCCTCGATCTCTTTGAGGATCTTCTGCACGCCCGTCGCCTTGAGGAGCTGGCGGTAGTCCACGGCCAAGGACTGCGTGTAGATCCGTATTAGGTGCGACGTCATCTCGAGCATTTCCGGGTCCCGCCACTGGATGGGTGCGAGCCGCAGCAGGTGGCGGTCGCCGAGCGTGAGCCCCCCGGCCGTCTTATCGACGATGTCGAACGCTTGCGCGATGTCGCGCACGTTCTGCATCTCAAACGAGGGGTGTATCCGCGAGACGTACCCAAAGACCAGCTCGGCCGCGGACAGCGGCGTGCCCGCCGGGAGTACCTGCACAACCTGCTCGAACCGCTCTTGTGTGGGGTGGATGCGCGCGTACTTGATGGGCTGTGCAGTAGCCCGGAGGGCGTCCGCGACCACAGGCAAGTCATTCTCCCAGAGAGTGGTGGCCACGCCGCTTGCGTCGTTGTCGTCGTGCATCCCGAAGCGCCCCGCACGACCAGCAATCTGCTTGATCGACGACAGGCTCAGCGGCGCCATCTCATGCCCATTCCATTTAGTTGTTGTGTCGAAGACAATACGCTTGATTTTTCTACAGAAGCGTAAGCGGCGAGTAAAATTCATGGAAGCGAGCTTACAAGTTGAGACCCATGCCGATGGCGTCCGTCCCGACCATGATATCGTAGCCAGTATCCGGCTTGTTGAATAGAGAAGCCTGTTCTGTTCGCAATTCGGGAGGCAGTCTGCCATATGCCACGGCGCACTTCATCTTAGTCGCCCGTTCAATTTCTTTCTTGACCTCGAAGATGCGAGAACGTGAAAACGCGATAAAGCAGTCGCCCTTGCGTGCCTTGGAAAAGTCGCCGTTCAGAGATTCTTGCGCGACAGTGAGCGGTGAGAGACGCTGGTACCGATTGACCTCGAGCTCGTCGCCAGTGTCACGCACGATACTTTCGACGACTGGCACTGCTGTCTCTTCTCCACACAGATGGATTTCCTTGGCGTTTAGTGAGAGCAATGCCGACGACCATGCCGGACCTCGCTCGGGGTCTGCGATCATCTGAATTTCGTCAACGACCGCGACGTCGTACTGCATCGCACCGCCCGGCGTCATCTCCACCGTGCAACTCAGCAAGCCCGCTCCCTCTTCCACAGTTCGCTGCTCTTCGCCCGTGAGGAGATTGCATGCGCGTACGTACCGCTTGTTTCCCTTCTTCTGAACGGCAGGCTTCTCGCCGTTCGGGGCTACATCGAGGTTGATGTCCTCGTCGGGCTCCGCGTCCGCGTCGGGGTCCTGACCCAGAGGAACGATCTGGCCGTTGTTGAGCCGCTCGAAGATCTCGTGTGCGAGGAGACGGAGAGGGCCAGCGTAGATGCCGTACTCTGCGGCGGCGAGGGCGCGCAGGGCGTTGTAGGTCTTGCCGCTGTTGGTGGGCCCGACGTGCATGATGATCTTCCTGCGCGGAGCCTGACGGGTGAGCGGAAATGACGCACCAGGGTCGGAAAGGTCTGCAGCATGGAAAAGGGACGAGATGGATGAGAGCACCGAAGATGAAACCAGCCCGCTCAGGGCTTCACGTCCTTTTGGATGTGAGGCCCATTCGTAAAAGAGGCTCGTAAAGGTCGCATCTACCTTGTCTCCGGACTTTGTCTCCGACAGGTCGTCGGCGATTCGTTGTACGCGTGCCGGTGTGATATCGAAGAGGTTGAAGAATGGCGTCGTCCGTAGAGCTTCGTTGAAAGCGGAGAGAACGATGGGAACATCAGGAGATGGAATGCCGTATGTCTTGAGCCTTTCGTGAACATCCGGTCTCGCTACCCAGCCGAAAGCTTGAATAGACAGAGTCGACAAGAGGCTCTGCGCGTCGACGCTCGGGAATTGAGGCCGGGTAACTTTAAGGCTCGGGGAAGAAAGGCGACTTGGCGGGGCGCGTGAAACGGCAGATTTTTGGGAGCGTCCAGCCTTGTTGTCAAAGGCTTGTTTTTGTCTATGTTTTGCTTCGAGGCGTTTACGACCAAGTGCCGCAGACCGAGCTCGGCTGAGGACGAGAATCGGGGTCGGGAGAGAAGTCGGTCGAGCGCGACATTGTGAGGCAAGGAGCCTGTGCATAGGCTTTTGAGGTAAATTAATACTCGCAGCTTTTGTCCTGTCGCTGCTTCGCAGACAAGAACGTGAGCGCGAGGATAGGGAACGCGCAGAAAAAGATGAACCCAGAGGGGCAGAAGCGCCGGGCGCGCAAAGCAACGGTTATTATATTGCCTCCATGTGGCTTTGATTGCACCTGTTAGGATCCCAAGCTGCCACTTGCCATTTCGGTACGCCGCTTTCAACCACCATGGCCTCCGTTTTGCCATCCCGCCTCGCGGCGGTCACAAGGCTGCGATGCAGCATCTTCCAGACGGCGTACAACCCACTGTCCGTCCGTACAGGCGCCAAATATCTCCGCGCCCGTCTGCGCGGTCCCTCCATGATGAACTACTATCCGGAAGTAATAGCCGTTCCGAACATCAAAAAGGAGTATCCAGACTGGGAGATCTTGGACCTGGCGGAGCAGCAGAGGTTGGAAGATGTAGAGGACAGAAAGAGCAGAGGGAAGGGTACGCCGAGGAAAGCAAAGAACAAGGGTGCGTCTACCAGTGTCTCGCCGCGTAGGCGCAAGCTCAGCCACTCGTTTTTCAGACGAGTCTCGCAGGACGAAGCGGAGACGCTAGGTGCTTACAGCTGGGCAGCAGTTGGGCTTCTTGCTTTACGTCTACTCTTCATGTGTCGTTGCCTCAGCTTGCATGCGGTGCTCCTCTACATTGTCCTGTCTTCACGTCACCAATACCAATCCTTTCGAGGTGGCCACTCTCTGCACATCCATCTTGTGTCGACTCTCTTGCACAACTGTGGGCCGACTTTGATGGCTGTGTTGCCCCCGCATTCTCAAAATACACCCTGGCTCACAATGGCACGTCGAAATATCAGGGTGGTCCATCCCTGACCCATGCGTCCTGTCCTGAAAGGGCGATTCAGTTTGTATTGCACACTCACGAATTGGCTCAAAGTGATGACCTGACTCAGTTCCCGCCCGATAAAGAACAGTGAGCTACGTGCTGTCCGCTCTACCTTCGAAATTCTCTTGTTGAGAGAAACGCAGGTGACGACTGCCTTCAGCCAGCGGGGGCCCAGGCAAAAACGTGTCCTCGTTCGTCGTTTTACCACTGAACGTGACTTGGGTAGTCATTATCGTCGGCGTTTGTGCAACTACCATGTGAGAGATTCAGCTGTTCATTAGTAGGGTCATGCGGCGAGTTACGGCCAATTATGTGAATTTCAAGGCAGATAGCGTGTAGATGACGGTATTGGATGGGTAGGCTTGCTAATTTACACGATCGCTGCTAGATACATGTGCAATTCTGGTATATGAAACCACGAACAGCCCCTTCAGGCTGCAGACGCAGCGGCTATCGTGTCTCTCAAAGTCTTCTCCATGTAGATCCATGTTACGACGATGAGGTCCAGGATATCCAGTGCGGATGCGTCGACCTCCAGCCTCGCCTTCTTGCGGGTGAAGATGTTATCATAATGGTACTTAACGACAGTCGTGGGTTGTTCCCCGTCCACGTCGAGCTGTGTGGCGTTCATGGTCAGCGATGCGCGCAGTACGCGAGTAATGCAGCAGATGCTCACATGCCATGCCCGGCTTAACTCCCATTTGTATGTTCGGCCGTCTGGGCCCACAAAAGTGCGGGAGCTACATATCTTGTGAGCATTGTCATGAATGAATTTATCACCGTGTGTACGTACTCGGTAAACCTCCCTGCTCTCGGTAGAAACTTGTCGACTTCCATGATCTGTCCGTTGTATATAATTCTAGTAGGATGAATAGAGTGCCAGTTGATCCTTGCGACCTCCTGCATGCTCCCCGAAGGCTCAGGCACGCCATCGTTGGGCGTATATTTCAAGATTTTCGTCGTGCAGTTTGACAGCTTGAACGGTGTAGAGACTGAGTAGAGGACGCGGCCATCTGGAGTAGAGAGCTCAGTTTTCAGGGGGTCACTATGCGACATGATGAGGTCCATTTTGTCAGCTGCCACTACTGCTGGAGGGCACGGGCACGGCTTTTAAATGAATCTACTGCGCCTAAGGGCCAGCCCTACCAGTAAGCGACCGCACTGCATCATCAGCATCAGGCCACAATGTATACGGACAAGCTGCGCAATCACGACCAGTGGCTCGCCCCACGACATCTGCTGCACAATCATTTGCCGATGGGGTACTGCGATAATTTGCGGTTCCGGCAATGCCTAGCACCATTATGAACACGCTTGTTTAGTAGTAATGATATATGGTATTTCCGAGAGGTACCTCCGAGACTTTGCGGGCCATGACCAGCATTTCAGCACAAACCGGATCAAGCAACGGAGATGGGTCGGAATATGCCATCTACACAAAGCACTCGGTGTGATATGTTTACGTAGATGGCATGTCCGCGTGGGGTCCCAGCTCGTCTTCCATTTGACGAGTGAGCGGGAGCTGCGCCTTTCGTGGGCACCAAGGCTTATGCATTGCCCGTGCTAGAGCTAGATAACGGAGCGTATCAGGGCTCGGATTGTATATACCATATACATTCGGCATTGGGTAAAAGAGGGCTTGTCAGTCATGGCTGCTTAACTTTACCCACAGCTGTTCATTAGCAGGGATCATGCGACCGTGACGAGCTCTATGTGAATTTCAAGAGCAGACGGATGGCGTATAAATGTCGGCATGGTCGATGAGCAGGTTTGCCAGCTTCCATAATCGCTGTTAGGTACATATGTAACATGCTGATATACAGAATCACAAGCGGCCTCTTCAGGCTCCAGCCTAGTATCGCATGCCATGCTTCTGCGTTACGCGGCCGCTGACGCAACACTGACCCCACCCTGGTCTCTATAAGTCTTCTCCATGTAGATCCACGTTATGACGATGAGATCCAGAATATCCAGCGCGGACGCGTCAACCTCCAGCCTTGCCTTCTTGCCACTCAAGATGTTTGCCCAATAATATTTAGCGACAGTCATGGGTTGCGCCCCGTCCACGTCAAGCTGTGTAGTATCCATGGTTAGCGACGCGTATTACTCGAGCTGAGATACTTGCATGCCACGACAGGCTCATCTTCCATCTGTATGACCGGCCATCTGGGCCCACAAAGGCACGGGAGCCACATGTTTGTGAGCATTATCCTGAGCGGATTTATTGCCATGTATACCTACTTGGTAAGCATCCATGCCCTTGGCAGAAACTTGTCAACTTCCATGACCTGTCCGTTATGTATAACCCTGGTAGATCCGATGTAGTGCCAATTAATCCTCGCTATCTCCTGCAGACTCCCCGAGGACTCAGGCCCGCCGTCGCTGGGCATGTCTTTCGAGAGTTTGGTCGTCTGGCCCGACAGCTTGAACGGTGTAGAGGTTGAATAGAGGACACGGCCATCTGGAGTAGAGAATTCGGTGTTCTTGGGGTTATCATGCGACAAGGTGAGATCCATTTTGCCAGTTAACACTCCTGCTGGGGGACGCACACTCGCCTTTAAATGAATCGACGCGCCTGAGCTCCAGCTTCAGGCGCCGCGGCCTGCTGACCAGCCCTAAGCAACCGCCACCATCAGGCCTAATACACAGAGCTGCGCGATCATGATCAGCGGTTCGCCCCACGACCTCTGCTGCGCAATCATATAACAACGAGGTGCTACGGATGTTTGCGGTCCCGGGAACGTCTGACACCGTGGTGAAGAAGCTAAAATCTGCTATTTTCGAGGAGCGATGGTAACAGCATATCATCTTTACGGGTCAGCATTTCAACACAAATTGGATCAAGCAACGGAGACCGGACGTGGACGGTCGCGACGCCATCGCTTGCCATCCCGTTCACCACCCCGCCGTTTGTGCTCGACGAAGACCCAGGTTATCACTAACAGGTCCAGGAAGTGCGTCGCAGCAGCATCGACTATGAGTGCTGGCTTCCTGCCCTTGATGAGGCTCGGCTGCTGCATTCTTGCGACGACGACAGGCTTCCCTGGACCTTCGACGAGCTCGAGCTGGTGTAGGGTAGTCTCGGATCAGTCGTAAGCGCGCGACTTTTAGCGGGCTGCGTGCATACATAGCTTGTCAACCAGCCCATCCTCCACTTGTAGGCCTTGCCGTCGGGCCCCGCGAGGCAACGAACCCTGTTATTCTTGTGGACTTTCCGAACTTTGAGCTGGCTTGCCACAACATACCTATTGAGCATTCCCTCGCCAGGCATCAACCTGGAAAAGTCTACTATCTTGCCATCGTAGACTAGGCGAGAACTGCCGAAGGGATTCCAGTTTATTCTCGCCAGCTCGATCGACTCCTGCGAGGTATGACCGTCCTCGTCTAGGACGTGCTTCGTGATCGTCGTTGTCTTGATTGTCAACTTGTTAGGGGTGAATATGGTGTAGAGACATTGGCCGTCGGGGGTCAAGAGGTCTGTCTGGATGGCACAGTCGCGCGACAAGGTCAGCTCCATGTCGTGGGTCAGGGTGAAGGCATGCTCAGCTGCAGCGCAGAGGAGAGTTGAGCTGGATGGAAGGCTGTACGTACGATACTCGTTTTTTGGGTTCTGCGGCGCACACGCGGATGTGTATCACGAGACTAGGCACGGTACTGCTCGCTTGCTACTAACTAGTTGGCAACGGGACGAATTTCAAATATCTGTTGACTATCGCTGCGCAGCGTCGGTTCGCAGCTACTATAGACTACGGATGACCCTGGCTACTCTGCGGCGGAGACTACATGCAACGAGACTCGTCCATTCGGCATTAGCGGCGCATGGTACTATTCAACAGCGTCGCTAGAGATGTTTATGCTCCATATCTCGCCTTCTCTGCTCAACAAAGACCCAAGTTATCACGAGCAGATCCAGGAGAGGTACCGCCGCAGCGTCGACCTCAAGTGCGGGCTTTGTGCCATGAATGACATTTCGTTGTCGCATTTTCGCAACGACAGATCTTTCTGGACTTTCGTCTAGCTCAAGCTGCAAAGGACATCAGCACGCCGAATAGACAAATTGTGTAGGTTATAATGCTCGCGCACATGGCTTGAAAACCAGCCCATTTTCCACTTGTAGGACTTGCCGTCTGGCCCTATGAAATAGCGAGTTCTAATCATTTCGTGAGCCCCTTGAAGAATTGGCGGGATGCCTCGAGGACGTGCCTACGAAGCAGCCCTTTGTAAGGCATAAACTTGTCAAATTCCATAATTTTGCCGTCGTAGATCAACCGTGAGCTGCCCAAGCAGTGCCAATGTATTCTTGCCAGCTCTGCAGACTGTCCTGTGGAACGACCATCCTTGCCCCGTGTATATTTCACTATTGTCGTTGTCCTGCGACGCAGATGGCTCGGAGTGGATATCGTATAGAGACACTGGCCGTCAGGGGTCAAGAGGTTTGTGCTGATGACACAATTACTCGACAATGTCAGCTCCATGTTGCGCATGAACGGTAGGTGTAAAGTTCGACCGCAGGACGAGGGAAGCAGAGTCGGCTTAAGAATGCACGCAACTTTGAGTTCTATCCACGCGGATACAAATCAAATATCCACGTCGAAAGCGCCGAATCCAATGCTCAGGACTACTCGCGCTGCAACGATATCTTTATGTTAAGAAATTTTTGGCATGTGCCAATTCATCGAGCTTCATCATCCATTCCTCAGACTGCCGGCGAAAATCGCCAGCTGGGCAGGTTCCTACTAGTAGCACAATGGTTACTAGTCAAGCACAGCGAAAAACCGAAAAACTGACTTTTGAGGGTTCCGTAGGGGGAGTTCCTTCCTAGTTTTGCTGATTATATGGCCGACATCTCCAATTTGTGGGCGATTCTACCGCTTACGTGCACCGTGCTCATCCGAGTCAGACGAAGATCGACAGGTTCTCTGGCCGCTCTGAGCGCGTCGGATTGATGCGCGGATTGACGCGCATTTCCTTCCCCAGGTTCCAACAGGTCGAGTGCCGCTGCGCGTTCTTGCCTGCATGCCACCCTCTCCTTTTCTTCCTTTCTCCATCCTGCCAATTTTTTTGGATTAATACTCTGGAGCATGCTTTTTAACATACTTCCAGCAACTCTTCAGTATCTCTTGACATCCTACTTCTGGAAGATGCCGAATGTGTCGCCGCCAGCTAGCTCGATGAAGTTCGAGCTCCGACACGTCCATGGCCTTGTCACCAATACTACTCGAGTCGTCTTCAACAATGTTGCTCAGTCGTTGTTTACTGCAGATACCTATGAAGTTCAAACACGGCCGACGAGAGTGTCCAAGGCGCGATCTCAGTCCGACTTCTTTAGCGCACGCTTCGGACGTGTCGAGCCTATGTGGGACAGTTTGGAGGTCGAGGGTCCTAATGTGCGCGACCGCAGAACGCTGCAGCTGCTAGCAAACATGTCCAATAATGCGTATTTCGAGGACCACGCGAAGACTGGATGGTATGACCTGGGATCCGAATGGAATACGGTGCGTCCTTACCTGCGCTATCCTACTATCTTTGAGCTGACATCATGCACCAGAGCTATCCCTTTGGGTGGGAGCCTGATGCAGATGGATTCCGCGGACATATCTTTGCGAACGAGGATAACTCTACTGTCGTCGTCTCTGTCAAGGGAACCTCAGCCGGCTGGATTGTGGGCGGCAGCGGACCTACGACGCGTAAGGACAAGCTTAACGACAATCTACTCTTCTCTTGCTGCTGCGGTCGCGTTGGGCCGACGTGGACCCCTGTATGCCCGTGCTATTCAGGCAGCTACAAATGTGACCAGCAGTGTCTAGAAGACAGCCTCGCGGAAAAGAGCCTCTTTTATTCTGTCGGCATCGTAAGTAAACCGATACTTTATCTCAATACCAGAGGAATTGACAAGGAGTGCAGAATTTGTATAATAACGTAACATACATGTATCCTAATGCTAATATTTGGTTGATCGGTAGGCACAAGCTCCAGCTCCTCACAGGCATAACTGAAGTATCATACTCCAGGGCACTCACTTGGTGGGTCGCTGGCGTCTCTGATTGGAGTAACGTTTGGAGCCCCAGTCGTCGCCTTCGAGTCTCCCGCTGAGAAGCTTGCCGCGTCTCGATTGCACCTACCTATACCCGTGTGTTAACGACTTAGGAATCCACTTGCCATGGCTGATACCGCTGCTACAGCTGTCCACAGAGCATATAACGAACGTCTACCATACTGCTGATCCCATACCCATGGGAGTATGTTCTGGCTACACTTCACTTTGCACGGCTGGCGGATATGCCATGGAGACGCAGTACGTTCCAACTTTCTGCATTTAGAATTTTCCGCCTAATTCGAGTCTAACAGGTGCCACATGGGTAAAGTCATCAGGTACGACACAGTGTCCAAGCTTGGCTGGTCCGTCGACATTCGTACGCACGGCATAGCCGTCATTGTCGAGAAGCTTCTTGCTGCCGACTGGGAAGACGCAGAGCAGGGTGGTGTGCCTGACTATTACGAAGAGGAAGACTGCGTGGTGAGGTTCCGTTGTTCACATAGTATCCGCCTCGCTTTTGACAAGTGTATTGCAGGATTGTTTCAATTGGGAGTATGGCAACTTCAAGAACACTTCTGTGAAAGGCTGTCCCGGATCGACACTCTTGTAGACCTTCCAGCTGTAGCGGCCCAATATCGTAATTACACTCTAGACTGGCCACTAGGCCTGCATTGTCATTTCATATACATCGATGCCGTGCCCTCGCACGACTCTCGCGCAGGTTATTATTGTACAATACCGTCAAAATCCCGCACCCTCGCATGTAAACAGCCGAGGTATGGCTTTTCCTTTACGCCAAGCCCCGAATAGATAATCCGACGTTATGCTAGTTCACTTGATGCCAGCTAGCACCCTCCCGTTGTGCCTGTGCAGTGCTAAACGCCGCAGGCACAGCGTGCGAAATACTTGCCGAAAAGTGAAGACCGTCTATAATCGCCGTTCGGGACATTTTCAGAACCTTACACTACGACCTTCACAGTGAGGCATTAAGTTGCTTCTGTCCCCTCTTTCTTCCCCCTTCTGCCCTCCTGCAACCCTCGCAATGGCCTCTCAGCCGTCTCAGCAGTATGCCTGTAAGTCGTGGTTGTTGTTGTTTCAAGCATCGCCGGAGTCTGACGCTTTGCGCAGTCCGTGCCCAAAAACGCCTTGGCCTCGTCGGCGGTTCCCCCGACTATGACCCTGTGGAGAACTTTCCAGGTCCCGACGTGCCAGCCAGAACCTACCAATACAGCCCAGACGGCAGGCTATTCGCCTACGCCATCTCCACAGGCGTACGGATATACCAGGCCGAGAGCGCACAGCTCCTCCAGGATCTCTCTATCCCCAACGTTGTCGAGATCAACTTTTCACCCCGCGGTACCTACATCTCCATCTGGGAGAGGCCTGTCAAGTTCGAGGACGGCACACAGCACAAGAACCTGAGGGTGTTCTCTGTCTCCACCGGCGAGGAGCTCATCGCGTTCTCGCAGAAGTCCCAAGAGGGGTGGGACCTGCAGTACACCATTTCCGAGTCGCATGCCGTGCGCCTCGTGTCGCAGGAGATTCAAGTTTTCCGCCCCGCGGAATGGTCGAAGGGGATTGTTGACAAGTTGAAGGTCGAGGGTGCTGCCAGCATTACCCTAAGCCCTGGGTTGAATCCCTCTGTTGCCATATTCGTTCCCGAGAAGAAGGTGCGTCTGCCATACGGTTTACGTCTGATCGATGCTTATTGGTGTACAGGGTGCGCCTGCTAGCGTCAAAATATACAACCTCCTCAGCTTGGCCGGGTCACCTTTGAGTCAGAAGAACTTCTTCAAATCTGATCGCTCCATGATCAAGTGGAACACCCTCGGCACCCACGTCCTCGTGCTCACCTCAACGGATGTCGACCAGGCTAACAAAAGCTACTACGGCGAGACCGGCGGCCTTTATCTTCACAGTGCGTCAGGCACCTTCGACTGTCGTGTGACGCTCGACAAGGAAGGCCCTGTCCATGACTTTGCTTGGAGTCCTAACAGTAAGGAATTTGCCGTCACGTATGGATGTGAGCTCCCCTTCTTTTCCTTTAATTCTCGCCCTGATTGCTTTTAGATATGCCTGCAAAGACCGTGCTCCTCGACCAACGCGCCAAGGTTTTGCATGACTTTGGTACTGCTTTCTGCAACTTCGTCTCGTTCAATCCTCAGGGTCGTCTGATTGCCTTGGCCGGCTTTGGTAACCTTGCTGGCAAGGTCGACATCTACGACCGACGGACGTTGACCAAGGTCACCACCATCGATGCGTCCAATACGTCACACTGCGAGTGGTCGCCCGATGGTCGATTCCTCCTCACCGCTACCCTTTCCCCGCGGTTGCGCGTTGACAATGGTATTAAGATTTGGCATTGCACGGGACCGCTCGTGCACGTTCAGCTCGTCGATGAACTCTACCAGACGTCGTGGAGATCCACCCTTGTCGACTCTGCGCCCTCATTCCCCGCACAGATTCCTCCCGCGCCTGCACCCTCCGCCAGCGTCGCTGCGCACCAGGCTGCTGCTAAGCCTACCCCCTCCAGGGCAGCCGGTGCGTACCGTCCACCGGGTGCTCGCGGCCTGGAGGCGTCCTCCGTTTACAAACGTGAGGACGGGACCCCGAGTCCGGCTGGCACTCCCAACGGCCGCTACAGCCGCAGCCCTGCGCCTGGCCGAGTACACAGGAAACATATCCCCGGCGCGCCGACATCGCCGTCCCCCGTGCGGAACGGCGACCAGGAGAAGCGGGGCAGGAAGCGCAAGGGTGGAAAGGATAGCAAGAAAGCGAGTGCTGCTAGTGAGGAGAGTGTTCGGCCGTCCATCGAGATTCAGGTTAATGGGAATGTGGATGGGAACGAGAATGGGAACGGGAACGGGGTCCAGTCGCCTGCCAATGGCTCTGTCCCCTCTACCCCAGCCATTGACGCTAATGGCTTGGATCCCATTGCGAAGAAGGTTCGCAATCTCACCAAGAAGGTATGTCTTCACTGCTTCAGTTTATCATAAATGGCTTGTTGAATGCCGGAGCAGCTCAAGGCCATTGAAGAGCTCAAGGAGAAGCAGAAGAAAGGCGAGCGGTTAGAGGCTACTCAGCTCAAAAAGATCGAAACTGAGGCGGAGATTCGGAAAGAGCTCTCAGGCCTTGAGATCTCGTCCTAGCGCATATATTCGCTCGTTACGCTAGGTGTCTTGACTTGGCCATTCCGTTCACGAGTTCGTTCGCTTGGCTTCCTTTTCGAAATCCTTCCTCTCTGTCTCATCGCCGGGTTTGTTGTACTCGATTTAATCATGGAATAAATGGTATGTGGGATTATTCTGTTCGGGTACTCGGCCTCGATACTGCAGCTTGTGAGACGGGAGATTGGCTCAGCGCCACAAGCCCCCGGCTTCCCTTAAATGGGGTACCGACGCGCCATGTCCCGCCATCTCGGCGCATACAATGTCTAACGCCCGTTATGATGGCGGATCAGCGCCTCCATTCGAGCGGCGAGAAGAGACTGTTCAGCAAACTTTAACGAACCGTCGCCGTCCGTCAGCTGTCTTGTTGCCCTTCTCCTGCTTTCTGTCAGTAGTTTCGAGCTTGAGACAGAACGTAGCTGAGCAGCTTCCGCCCAGTAGGTGCATGGTGCCCATAGATGGGTCTGGTCAGAGGAGCTGTGCGATCGAGGGCATCTCGACCACCACTCAGCTCTCGGTCATGAACTGAAACATTGGCCGCCCGCAGCATACACTCCTACGTCCGCCGATGCTGTACCATATCGTAACCCGCCCCCGAGCGGTCAGAAAGCGGAAGCTACGACATGCGGAGCCCGCTCCTCCAGCAGTGCACGGCATGCGCTTGCCTGCTGCGCTAGAGTATTACGAAGGCGATACAGAGAAACCGGGCAAACACAATAAGAGTGCTGCAAAGAACGTCCAGGGTCCAGACGTCATTCGTGCGTGGGAGCCGTGAGCGTCAAGGGTAGAGCCGCCATTCGCGGACGTCTTCATCCTTGTTCTTCCGGCGACGGTGGGAGCATGGCGGGCAGAGACGTCTCACCATCAATCAGAGCCCCGCCTCAGGTACACAGGCACAGAGGCGGGTCTGATGGGCTCGAGTGAGCAGAAGCTCGCCGTGAACGTCTTGGACAACGCTTGAAGACAATTTAAGTATGCGTTCTGCATGATCCAATTTCTCGTAACTGTGACCGCTGCCTGCAACCAGGAAGCTGGCGGCCGCGTCGGTGGGCGGGCGGCGGGGCGGGAGAGCGCCCATGGTGGGAAAGGCGCGCTGTGCTGTGCGGCGGTTTCACCGCCTCCCTGTTTCGTGGTGGGCTTCGCGCTCCCTCTATGTATAGATCAACGTCGAACGCACTGATGGCGCTCCTCCGCCGCACACGAGGTTGCGCGAGGCTGGGCATAGATGACGTTACATCCTTCCGCATTTCACCTTTCATGGCAATTTCGGGGCGTTTGCTGTGCTCCCGACCATAGAGTTCGTGTAGTCGGGGCCCCCGCTTCGCGCAACCGCAGGGATTCTTCTGCCCGACGTTCCAACCGACCGTTCCAGGAATGCAGGGGCCTGTGTAGTGCGCTCGCTCGTGGGCGCACCGGGTCCTCTACCATGGACGTGTACGGTAGCACTCACTGCCTGCACACACTCGAGGCAAGATATATACCTATGACATCGAACGTGTATACGTCTAGCTCCCGTCACTCACACAGCGCTCTTGGGCATGTACAACTCCTTCCACTCAGCTGACCATAGCTTGAGCTTCCCTGGTCAACTCCCCAATGAGGCTTCCACTAGCTACGCTTTACCTTCAACCGATCCTGCCTTCAGTTTTGAGTTCGACTTCGACTTCGACTTCTCTTCACAGCTTGCAGTGGGTACCATCTTGGATATGATAATGACAGCGACACTGATACATCACAGACGCAGACCGAATCAATCGCTGCGTCAGACTATGTATGATTGACTCTTCGCCACTTGATGTGTACAGTATATGCTGACATAACTCATTAGTACCCTCTGCAGATGAGCCTTATGGCCCAGAACATGCCCATCGTAGTGCACTCAGATGCACTAAGTCAGCACAGCCACGGAGCACATACCAGTACCCAGCTTCCTACGGAGTGGGCCTCGATGCCCATGCAGATCCCTTCACACGGTACCTCGAGGACCTCACCCATACCGATGCCCCAGAGGTCGTCCAATCGGCACCATCCGTATATGCCCCCGGGAGCGGCATATAGGGGGCGGCTGTCGCGCTCACTGTCCTCAGAGCTCTCACCGCCCGCCCGCGCGACCTATCCAGCCGCGATATCGACGTCACAGAGCATGTCAACCATCGAGCAGTATCCCACGCACCTTACCGTGCCGACATACAGTTACCCAACGACACCTGTGACACCCGCCACGCCCGTAACGCCCAGCACGCCTCGCACGCCAAAACGCGTTCGCATCCCGCAATCCTTCGCGTCAGGCAGATCCCAAAGGCATCCCACGTACACTGTGCGCTTCAAGATCAACGGGGCCTCGGGCTTCCGTGTCGGTGACGCACTCGCGAACAAGGAGTTCACCGTCGATAGCCCCGAGGACATCGTCCTCGAGAGCTGTGTCGACCGCAAAGGCCATCTGCAGGTGGACGTGAGTCGCCGCTCCTTCCTCTCCTTTGAGCCAGAGCTCACCGGCCTCTGTGCAGCTCCCTGCCTCTCCTGATTCGGAGCAGACCATCGAACAGCGCGGCTCCTACCTCAACCTGCAGCGCGAGGTCATAATAGACAGGAGGCACAAGACAAAAGAGTACTACCGGTACACGCGCAAGGAGTTCGCGGTGGAGGTCGCGCGTGCGCTGCAGCGCGCTGCCGAAGTACGCTTTCGTGCCAGTCTCTGTACCGAGAAGGCATGCTAAAGGGTTCGGCTTTTGCAGCAAAACAAGAAGCTCAGGCTACGCCAGATCCCCTACGAGGACCTCTGGGTAACGTACGCCACCCGAGGATCCATGAATAAATGGGTCGTCGGACTGGAGAAGATTGAATGACCTCGACCAGGAGCCTAGGTACCCTCCGCGCCCGATCTTGCGTTCGCCCTCGGAGGGTATCCAGTGCCCATTCGAGGCAGCATGTGGCTTGATGCCATTTCTTTTCGTTTCGCTTGCGTTCGTGCTCACCCGCCGTCTGGCTTATGCTATATTAATATATGCCCCCCTTTTGAACCTCTTACCGGACATCCTTTACTCTAGCACCTACCTGAGACTGACGTCTGTAATAGAAAGTGTACCAGAGAAACGAATCAGCACGTTGTGACGGTGTGCTGTTTCGACCTCCTTGCAATTTGACGCAGGAGCGGGGATATGAACAGACCGGAGCACACTTGAGACGTTCTATTTTGAATTAATCAGTAGTATATTAGACGCATATACCCAGAATCTGCTTCTCGCAGTTCAAAGGATTCTATTTCTCTATGTTGGTTCGGGTAGATTGGTCTGATGATGAAGACTGAGCGTTTGAAGTAGCTGGAAGCGGACTGGAAGGTTGCTCGCGACGGGATGGGGGGTTTAGTTGGATGCGGGGAAGGGTCAACGGTGTGCCTTCGAACTCTGCCCAGCCCCCTCTCAGGCCAATCTCAACCACGCGCTCCAATATACGAGTTAGCTCGTCATTTCTGTACTGAGGTTAGTATTATATCGCGTGGATTTAAGAGGGCACACACTTAGCCTTCTCCTCTTCCCACTTCTCATTCAAATCTCGCGTTAACATGTCTACACTTTGTGAGAGCCCTTGTACCTGTTCTTGCAGCTCCCCTATTCGATCGTCCACATCTTCTCGTCGTTTAGTATTACTTCGCGATGACCGCCATGTTTCTGTTATGATAAGTGCAGCAGCTACGCTGAACAGGAAGCCTTCCGCCAGTGCGTTTGCGCCGTTCTCTATGGCCCTAGAATCGCAGAAAATAAGGCAAGGAAGAGGGCAAAGGCTGACAGACTCACCGAGTCTCAGACAAGGGTCGCACATGCTTCGGCGACTCGCCCAGGAGGCGCATGCGGAGTTGTATTTCCGCGCGATGCATGCGCTGCGCGAGCCCAACACAGATGTCGCGAAACGTCTCATGCCTACGAGTCTGCTGAGATACGCGTCGTTCCAGGCAGAGAACATACTGACTGCTTGACCTGCGTCTTAATTTGGTTGCTTATAGGTTTTGCTAGTGTCTTGCTGAGTCTGAGATCCAGAGCTCATCCTCATGCTGGCTGGACTCACCCGGATAACGAGGGTAGCTAGTTTTGCGGATGCCATGGCTTCAAATGAGCACCTGACCAGGTCCAAATTACCAGCAACTAAAAAGCAAAGCAATTGACGGGTTGAAGGGCAAGAGATCAAGCAAAGGTGCGGGCAAAGCAAGGTCGAGTCCGGCTCGGTACAAACGCGTGCATTCGGCAGAGACTGAGGTCAGGCGCCGGCTCGTCGCCTTGCTTCGGACGCCCACCACGCCGTCGGTCCTCGACGGTCGCAGGGCTACCCCGACGTTTCGCAAGCAACATGGCTGATTCGCAAGTTTTGAGCTCGCCGCTGTTTGCGAGGGCGCCGTCGGCACAGGCGCAATCGCCTGGCATATATACAGCGGCGGGAGCCAGGCGCGGACTCACGGTCTGTAGCACGCTCGGATGGAAACAGACTTATGCTCATCGAGTTCTCCTCCAGACTCCTTCGCTGTCTTACCTGGATCAGCTACGCGTCACCGAGGCGCTCCTCGCGCGCGACCACGCCGTATACCAGATGGAAAGCGTATGCGCGTCGAACCGTACTAAGGAGGCCGTCATCGTGCAGTTGCGCCACGAGAAAGAGAACCTCGAGGCGAAGCTCGCGTCTGAGATGATACCAGCAGAAAGCGACACGGAACGCTGCAAGGAGATCGAGATGTTACGCAAGTCAAATACCGAATTAACAGCGAAACTGGAGTCGCTGTCGTTGCATCCTGAGGGGACACCGACGATGTTGGCTATGGCAAGTATTCGCCATGACAGGTGAGTAATCGGAGTGCTGCAACCGTTCTCATGCAAGTGCAGTTGTCTCCCAATTTGCCTCACGAACTGCTGAGCCCTTCGTACGAAACTCCGAGAATACCCAATGTCAGTTTACTTCAGCGATCTAATCGTGACTTCGGTAATGAAATCTGTACATCTGCGGGCGCAGGCCGAAATAGAGGCTCCTGAAGCCATAATGCAAACTCGATACTCTCTTTTGTCCGACCTTCCTATTCCTTCGGATTTGCCCAGCGATTCTCTCATCCCGATCCTTATCCCTACGTCGTTCACCCTGCAAGACTTTTTGGCTACTATTACTGGGGTAAGAGCTTTCGTCTTGCATTCGCCCATGCTGCAGTTGGCATTGAATGTGATCTCTAGTCGCTACGCATGCAGTAAGTAGATTCTGCTCCGACGCATCCCGTGCAAAACACATTTTTCTCCAGCATTGCCAACTACCGTATTTTCCAAGAGAAAACGACCTGCTGGTGCCCCGTCCGCGAAGAGCATGGCTACTACCTCACACCCTTCTTCAAATGCAGCACCAACCCTCGAGTTATCACTGCGCATCGTTGGCATGCTGTCGATCTAGATAGCGAGATTAACCGACCCACTGGTGAGGGTGTCTTCCCGAGGCAGATTTTTTGTCTAACCTGTCGACAGAGTGCTTCTTCAACAAAGAAGGGAAATGGTACTACGCCGGAGTCTATAAGACGTTTAGACTGCGAGATATTGCGCCTCAAGAGTGGATCAAGCTACCCGCCGAGGTGCGTTAGTCGGGATCGGTCAGACGCAGGCTAAACGCCCCATACTCGGCCCATAATCTTCTATGAATACCCGTCGCCACGTTCAGACCACGCAAGTTCTGGTGAAGGAAACGGTCGCGCATCGCAAGAACGTCTCCCCGCAGAACATCTACGAGGTCGGCCAGCTCTACGCCGCTGGAGCGCTCAAGGCGGCGTGCATCGGGCTCCAGTGCATTGGATTCAACGATACGCTCTACAAAGGACTCCTCGCGCAGGCGGAATTGTGTGCAAAGACGGGGCGTTGGCGCGGACTGCCTGGCAGCGTCGGGCTCGGGACTGGCGCTATCTGGAACGCAAATGCTAATGTTGGACCGGGACTTGGATCTACGCCTTCTGGACCTGCTGGACCTACCGGGACTGGAGGCGACGCTGTCGGTATGATTGGATTGAGTGACGCCTAGGCTTTCGCTTGAAGACGCGACTACGACTTCGAAGATGCAAAGTGAAGATGATCGACTGTTTTCGCGCGGATCGACTCTCGCCTTTCAGCAGACCTCGACACCATCGACTGTTTACATTACACCTGTGTTTTACCAACATGATTTTGTCTCACGACGCTGTATTCTGTGTCCCTGTCTCGTTGAATATATGCATACAATCGATACCCATCTGTCTTCTATCCTAGTATCGTAAGGACCGAACTTAAGGAACAATCTCGTTGAGCAAACTGCCCCTGCCACGAGGAGTATGAGTTCACTAATATTGTGATATCAAACCGCTTCATGAATGCATAAAGAACTCAGACTCACCTACAGCTCGTCTATACCTCGTTTGGCCCTCATCCTCGGGGGCTGCTCCATTTCTACTCTCCGCACACCATCCATGCGCTTCAGCGTGCTCATTACGTTTTCTTGAATGGTCTCCCAGCTCTCGCGGGGCACGCTGAGTAGCTGCACGTCAGGCAGCGCGCCCACTGTGCCTAGATATCTCATGCTCGGGTGTATCGTGAGGCTCTGAGGGTTGCTGAACACCGGTGATGATGGCGAGACGGTCACGGTGAGGTAGATATTTTGCGTGTGGTCCAAGACATGCTGGGTGGCCATGGCGGCGAGGGGGAGAAGCAAGAGGTACTTCAGCGTTGAGTACAGCTTGTCGAGAGATGGTGGATAGAACGTTGTTGCTTGTGAACGCGTGACGTATGACGTAGGGAATTAGAGGACAGTTGAAGATGTTTCACAGTAGAGTTCACAGGCATATTTCAGCTTTTAGCCGCTACTTACCACTAGATCTCTGACCAATGTCATGATCTGTCCTAGCATTACCTCCACGTACGTCGATATATAGATATGCGCCCTGTAGACACGTTTGACTGCCAAGCCTAGGACCTTCTCCCATCATTTCATATCCTGCAGGTAGTTTGCAGGGCCAGCATCCCAAGATTGATCGATGCAGCACAGAGCCGAGTTGCACATTTTCACCAATGACCACCATCCCACGCTCACCAGGCCCCATTCCGCTCAAGTCGCAGGTCGGGGGCCACCCCGGCGTGATGACGAGCGAGGATGGCTCGCTGGTTATCAAGCCCGCGCTGCCTGTGGAGGTTGCGTTCTACCAGGCCGTGCTCGCGGACCCCTCGCTCGAGTCGATTAGGCCATACGTGCCCAGGTTCTTTGGCACACTCCGGCTCGAGGGCCAGGTTGACGAGGAGAGGAGCGCGTTCGGGCACATCGCGGTCAAACAAGAGAGCGCCGCAGCAACCAAGGAAGAAGACAAAGATAGGTATATTCGTACTATGCGTGCCTGACAGGCGGACTTATCAGCCAGGGACCTGCACAGTCCATTGTGCTCGAGAATCTCTCGTATGGGTTTGCAAAGCCAAATATTCTCGACATCAAGCTCGGTACCACCCTCTATGACGAGGACGCATCTGACGAGAAGCGCGCCCGCATGGAAAAGAAGGCGCGCGAGACAACGTCCCTTGAGACAGGTGTGCGTCTCACTGGCTTCCAGGTTGGTGTACATGCGCCTACGTTGGACGTGCCCGACTGATACTGCTTCAGATATACGACCTCGAGAAGAACAATCCAGTCATTACGCCCAAGTCCTACGGCTACTCCATCAAACCCGCAGACCTGCCTGACGGCATCGCCAAGTTCTTCATCGCCGCAGCACCCCAACGCGACAGCGGCGCAGCACCAGCTCACCCAGCTGATCCAGCTGCTGGGGCTGGTACCACACAGGGCACAGGCCTCCCCGCTGACGTACTGCTTCCAGTGCTCTCGGGTCTGCGCGAAGACGTCGCCGAGATACGTAATGCGCTGAGCGGCGTACACATGCGCATGGTCGCCTCCAGTCTGCTTATCATATATGAAGCAGACCCGGAGCGCGCACGCGAAGGCGTGCGGATTTGGCTGGAAGGTGAGGGCGACTCGTCCGGGAGCGACGCTACAGATGATGAAGACGAAGAGGACAACGAAGAGGGGACAAAGAAAGTGGGCCCGCCATACGCTATCAAGATCATAGACTTTGCGCATACGCGACTCAAGCCTGGGGAGGGTCCGGACGAAAGCTTGCTTAAGGGCCTCGACACGGTATTGCGGTTGTTGGATGGGCGAATAGAGCAGGTCAGGGCTCTCTAGGCGGGATTAATTTAGATCCACGATTCTAGTCGGTGCTATACCAGCCGAGATATTGGGAGTTTCGGAGGCCTGGTAGCATTTAATTTACTGCTAGGGAATCTGATATTATGCGCACAAGCGCATGGCTTTCGTCTGAGAAGCCGCAGGATGTCTTGAAATGTCTGAATGACATTCTGGCTGCCATGTTCAACAATTGTCTACCAGATAGAAGGGAATATTGTGGAAAGCAGGCGACTATGATACAGCGAGAGTAGAAGTGCTACGTCTTCATGATCCATGGCTTGTTGGCCATCGTCCATGCGTCCAGCGTCTTCCAGAATTGCGCTACGGTGGACTTGTCGACGTGACGTCTATTCGGGTCAATCTGAGGGTCACGATTAAGACGCAACCAAAGGAAATACTGCGTGCAACGGGCGTACCTTCAGTTCCGTGACATTCCAGTCTTTAATTTTTGGATTTGGCGGGTCAGTCGTGAGGGAGATGTAGAAGCCTCTTACTAAGGTATCGTGAGCCGGCCAATCAACAAGTAGGAAACGAGTGGGACGTACCATGGTGGAAAAGCACCTTTGGATCGTTCCACTTATATGGCTTAAACTGCCATGCCTGGCCAGTCGTCATCACACAGACCACCCGGTCCCATGCATCCTGGCCGAACTTCGACAGCGCTTCGGCAGAGTCCACGACAAAGTACCTTCGCTCAAACTCTCAGCATTCAACACTCACCAAGTACTGGAGGTACCCACCGCATCTGCGTCTCAGTCTCCCGCCCTGAGCTGTCGATTGTTGTCCGCCTGCGGTAAATGGCGATCACGTCTTCCGCGCGAGGGTTGCCCTCCGTTGCCGCACGTGCGCGCGCATCGTGGGGGGTTTCAAAGAAGGCATCTTGCAGGAAACGCTTGACGTTGTGCATCGTGACGAGAGACGTCGGTGACGAGGAGATTATAATAATCGGGTAGAGGTTGCCTGCAGAAGAATATTAGCGGACCTAATCGGAGGGCCAAAGATAGGTACACACGAGCTTTCTTTGCTTGCAACTTGGGGTCTGTCATGCACGGATATGAGCTTGGTCAAGTGAAGCATGTACGAATTGCTCACCAGGTGTTTGTGGCGTTGTAACAGGCCCGCCCTTATTCGTCTCCTTAAGTTTCTTGAGCTTATCAGCAAAAGCAGTCTTTACGCTGCTGAAATTCTTCCAACAGAGTTAGCTTTTGCAGCTCCCGTGACAAGGCTGAGGCAGGACGTACATTGGGCTTGACACCGTGTAGGACAGTATTCCTATCGCGAAGTTCAATCTCTCCGAGCTTGATTTTCTTGACCACTTCGACATCTGCAAGGTCAGGCATATGCTTCCGCTTCGTGGGAGAGGCCTGAGAGTCCATTTGCCGCGGTGCGCGAGGCGTCGACGGTAGAGCAGTCGCACCACGAGGGGGTGAACCTGGGGGCGTTGTGGATTCTGCTACAGCGGTCTGAGTCCCGGCTACATGAGCAGGGAACGTGCTTGAGACTCACAAATAGCGGGTACAATGTTCTGCAGGTCACTCGTCTTGCCTTCCAGCCAATCCACGACGCTCTTCCGCTCCGTGATACTAACGAACCCGACCGCGAGGCCGCTCTCCCTCGCCTGCTTCATGTATTCCGCGCCTGACATGTCCTTGAGCAGCCATGAAAAGTACACCGCGTCGAGAGTGAAAAAGTCCCTTGGATTTGTCGACGGGTCTGTGGACGTCAACCCAGGCTTGCGCAGGCGAGTTGGCGTCGACTTGGGCAGTGTCACCGACGGCGAGAGTATGAAGTGCGTTGCAGACTGCAGCGAGTCTGTCGAGCCTGAGCCATTTGAGTATTTTACGGGTGTCTTAGATTTGATTGCCTGGCGCAAAGCCTGTAAGGCGTCGGATGAGCTCATCGTGGATAATGTCTTCGACGCGAGCAGCCCACTCGCGAGCCGAGGTCTGGGAGGCTGCCCAAATATGGTATAAATCACGTGATTTGATTGCGTATCTATAAAGTCGAAAATTTGCCTCACATCCATCACCATACGCTGATGCAGCTTTGCGTTTTCTCTAGCTTTCGCCGGTGCTAATGGCAGTATAGCTTGTCAGGGTATCAGTGAGAGGCTGCCTCCGACTTTTTTGCACAATCAGCCTTCCCGCGGGTTTTTCGGTGTAGGTCTTGCATGCATGGTGAGCACACGTATTCTTTCGTTGAGAGTGATGATATCTCTGCCGCCCCAGTCTTAGCCATGCGTGGCGGTGACGACAGGCAGAGCAATAGCCAAACATATTTGCACTACTGACTTATTTCTGTTCGACTGTCTCGAATATGCCCGCTGACCATATCCTTCAGATCTCTGCACGCAACTCATGGTTTGACGACTTTCTGCCTTTTACCACACGACCTCGTTACAACGTGAGTAGTTCCGTCTCCACTCTACATGCTACTGGCATGGTATGAGATGATCACAAACCGAATGCAATTAGGAAGTGCCGTCTGAGAGCACTCCTTCGGGAGTCGCCCTTGTCGAGACCCGGTTCTCTGAAATTATGCCGTGACATAACAGTCTAGCATCCTTACAGTTCTGACCGTCCTCTTCAGGTGAACGCGAACCCAAGATCCAGCGCTTGCGTTAGATAATCTAGACGGGTGTGAGGTTATCTATATCTTTTGGTATCGCTTTCTTTTCTTCCCGTATGTTAGTAGTTCGAGACCCAACATATAACCTCTTATGCTCGTCTACGTTCTTTGCGAGTTGGGATGTCGGGATTGAGATCTGAGACTCTATGACGAGTTAAACATCGGGTCCAACGGATGGGCGCCTGATTGTGTAACGCGACGTCTGAGTGGAGGTACACCGCACGAGACATCTTTACCTCCTTCCACATCATCGACCTCGTTGAGTGGCCAGTATGGCGCAATGGGGTCAAGGCTTTCAAGTCCCCCTTCAAACCGGCTTTAATCCCCAGCAACAGCAGCAATTTCAACAGGGATTCCAGCCAGGGTTCCAGCCAGGTGGTATCGCACCGCAGCCAACAGGATTCCCCGGCCAGCGGCCTTCTGGTTTCCAGCAGCCTCAGCCGACAGGCTTCCCGGGAGGCCAGCAGCCTCAACCAACTGGCTTTGGCTTACAACCTAGCGGGCTGCTGCCACAGCAGACGGGCTTCCAACCGCTACGTGCGCAGTCGACCGGCTTTCAGCCCAACGCTTTGCAGCAGCGAGCTCCTCCTCCACCTCCCCCTGTCCCCCCGATCCCTCAACAGTTTCAGCAGAATGTGCAACCAACAGGCATGCTTGGCTTGCAGGCTCCGACGCGGAGTTTTCTGAGCCCGTCGCCAGGCCCGCTGACAGCACAGCCGACCGGATTCGCTGGCGGGCTGCAGCCCTTGGTGCCGCAGATGACGGGCTTCATTGATCCGCGCCTACAGATGATGTCCAGCACGTTCTTGCCTGCGAACCCTTCTGCACCGTACAATGCCGCTGGCGCGCCTCAGCTCCAACAGCCCCAGGGCGGATTCTCGCTGCAACAATCATTCCAGCAGCACAACCAGCAGCAACGTGGAAATTCGACACCTAGGGTTCCGTGGGCGTTATCCAAAGCAGAGAAGAAGAGCTATGATCAAATCTTCCGCGCCTGGGACACCCGTAACGAGGGCTTTATCAACGGTCAGACAGCATTGGAGGTCTTTGGCCAAAGTGGTATCGATAGGAATGACCTGGCTAAGATATGGTTCGTGTATGACAATGACGAGATCCTGTACAGCCCTAACATTCCATCCTAGGGCACTCGCGGACGCAGACAATCGCGGAAAGCTCAATCTCGCTGAGTTCCACGTGGCAATGGGTATGATCTATCGCCGTAAGTCTGTCGGATACCTCGCAGATTTACCATTTCCTAATGACGTGCTTTCAGGCCTCAACGGCAACGATATCCCCGACGAACTGCCCCCTGAGCTTGTGCCGCCCTCGCACCGCGACCTTGACAATTCAGTTACGTTCCTGAAAGATATCCTCAAGAATGATACACGTGCACGTTCTCCTGGAATCGATACTCCGGTCTCTAGGCTCAAGGAACGCTCCTTCAATAGCACGTCTGCCCCAGGGGCTGGTGGGCGCCAAGACGCAACGGTCTACAAGTACAATGATGATACCCCCGCTGGCGGCTTCTACCAGCCGCGTTCTCGCCATGTCGACCGTTCCGCCATTCGTACTGCTAGCGACAGCAACAGCCCATCTTCAGATCTCTCAGATTTGAAGCGGCAGCTCGAGAATACGAGCAAGATGCTCGATCGCGGTGCCGCCGAGAATGCTGCGAAGACTGCGGAGGACGAAGAACTTGAGCGAGAGATGTCCGACCTGCGCTACCGCGCTAAGAGGCTCCAAGAGGACCTTGACTACGTTTCCAAGGGTCCCAGATCAACGCGCAAGGATGAAGAGCGTCGGAATCTTGAGCGCGAGCTGCTCTCGCTGATGCACGAGCGTATTCCTGACCTCGAACGGCGTATCGAGGACCGAGAAGAGCGGAAGAAGCGCGAAGAGCGGGAATGGGCTCGCGAACGCGACAAGCGGAACGATCGCTTCGGACGCTATGATGATCGCGACCGCGATGACGACCGCTACTCCTCTCGCTACGACGACCGCGACCGTGACAGGGACCGAGACTATCGTTCCTCGTACGATGACCGTGACAGGGACCGGGACCGCGATTTCGATAAATATCGTGATCGCGACTACGACCGAAACAGGCCCTATTCGCGCAACCGCGACAGAAGTCATGATCGTGATTATGGCCGTGACCGTCCTCGAAGCCCGCCTGTTTCTGTCAGAAGCCCGCCTCCACCTCCGCCTGCCGCCTCGAGCAGCACTATCAACCGGCCGCCCCCCGCCCCTGCTCCGACCGCGTCTCCTGCACCTGCGCTGAAGCAGATGACCCCTGAGGAGCGCAAGGCCCATGCCAGGGCCGAGGCGCAAAAGCGCATCCAAGAGCGCATGGCCGCACTCGGATTGTCTGGTACAACATCGACGCCTAAGGTCGATACCAGCGTCGGAGAGCGTCTCGCGAAGGAGAAGGCGGAGGCGGAGGAGAAGGCCAAGGCAGCTGAGCGAGAAGCCGAGGAGCGTGAACGTCTCCGGCAGCAACGTCTCCAGAACGAGAGGGCCATAAAGGAAAGCTCGAGCCCGACTACTCCTACTCCACCTGTGCCTCCGACTGTCACGTCTCCTCCCGCTGCGCCCACGCCTTCAGTTGCCGCTCCAACTCCTCCTAGGCCTGCTGCTCCTCCAGCACCAAAGCCCAGGGCCCCTGCTCCGCCGCCTCCGCGTAAGGCTACTGCACCTCGTCCCCCTGTCGTCGCCCGCATACCTTCTGTGCCAACGCCTACTCCCCCGGCGCCACCACCGGCTCCTGCTGAACCGGAAATCGATCCTGAGGAGGAGGCGATTCGCGCGCGCGAGGCTGCTTTGCGTAAGGCTCGTGAGGAGCGTCTTGACAGACTTCGGAGGCTCGAAGAAGAAGAAGTCGAGGCTAACAGACGTCTCGAGGAAGAGGAGAGAGCCAGACGGTCTGCCATCACATCACCGCCACCTGCGCCCCCTGCATCGGTGCGCTCGCCACCCGCTCCCGCTCCCCCAGCTGCAACGCCTGCTCCTCCTCCTCCTCCTCCTCCGCCGGCACCTCCGGCTGTATCCAGCCCGCCAGTTCCGATGTCGCCTCCTCTTGACAAAAACAAGACCAATCCATTCAGTCGCATGATGATGGAGGGATCGACCCCTACACCGGTCGCCGCCGCGGCTAACGGAGGGGCGAATCCGTTTTTTAAACCTCAATCTACTCTAACATCACCTTCAGTCGCCTCTTCAGCATCTCCGGCCCCTCCTGCTCCGTCGTACCCGCCGCCATCTAAGAGTCCAGCCCCTCCTGCGGTCAAGACATCGTACCACACTGCGCCTGCGGATAGTGAGGATGACTGGGACGTCGTCCAAGAGAAGGAAGATGATGACAGTAGTGAAGACGAGCTCGACTCGTCTCGCGATACACGTAACAAGCTCGCGCAACAGCTCTTTGGCAGCATCATGCCGCCGTCGCGGCCGCAGTCTGCTGCACCGACTCAGTCCGTGCGGTCACAATCTAGCACTCCCGCGCCTGCTGCTACTGCCGCACCTCCACCGCCACCTCCACCTCCGTCCGCACCACTGGCGGTCGACATGTCCGCTGGCGGTGCACCCCCTCCTCCCCCTCCGCCCCCAGGTGCGCCGGTTCCCCCGCCTGCTGCGGCTGCCATCGCTGTTCCTGCCCCAACTGGAGACCGCAATGCATTGCTGGGCGCCATCCAGTCTGGTGCGAGGCTGCGAAAGGCACAGACCAGCGATCGCAGCGGCGCCGCCCTATCCGGCAAAGTTATTGGTGATGCTGCTCCTCCTCCGCACGTCAATGCTGCACCTCGTGCTCCGTCACCACCTGCAATGTCGCTTCCTGGGATGACACCGGCGATGGAGCAGACGGGCTCATCGCGCTCGAACAGGGAGTCTGTCGGTTGGTTCGCGGGCCTCGCAGCTGAACAAGCAGGCGAGTCAACCCCAATGCACGAGCGCCTTGAGTCTATGGCCGAGGAGGACGAGCATGAGCAGCCTGCAGCCGTACCGCATATCCAAGTTCAGACGTCGGAGCCTGCTCAGCAACATGCCCAGGAGAATGATCTCATGCAAGACATTGATATGTCGACTGGTGAGCTTCTCTCGTTTCATGTGCTAGTGCAGGAGCTGAATATGTTATCAGAGTTCAGTGTCCGTTCGTTGTATGCGTACGAGGGTCAGCGCGCCGAGGATCTGTGTACGCTCCACTTCTTGGTTTTGATTGCTTTACTTGACTTACCACTTCTTCAGCCTTTGGCGAAAATCTCATCTTGACTGCGCGTCCGTCGAAATCGGGTGCCGACTGGTGGTATGGTACTCTGGTTCGCGATGGCAGGAGCGGATTCTTCCCCAAGACCTACGTGGATAAGATCGAGACTAGTATGCATTGCTGCCTCTTCTCTATTGGCATCGTCACTAACATGTGTTGTAGCCAAGGCAAAAGCTCTGTACTCCTACGAAGGCAGCAACGCCGACGAGCTGCCTTTCGCCGAGGGAGACGAGCTCAGCATTGTGGATCGTTCGGATGCAGACTGGTGGAAGGCCGAGCAAAGTGGTGTCGTGTTCATCGTACCAGCGGCATATTTGGAAGTCGTAGAGGGTCAGTAAGATGTTCACATTCCTTGAGTGCTTCAGTTTAAACTGTGTGGCTTCAGGCTGAAGTAATTTTCGTATCTTCTCTTTTTACATGTATGGACTCAATTAAACACGGGTACTTGGAATCTCGCCCACCCAAATTGCACTGGAATAGCTTCTTCGCCTGTCACACCCCGTTCTCACGTACCAGCCGATGAATCAGCGTCGACTGAGCAAATTCCTCAGGATCCGTCCAGGTTCTCGGTGCACTCGGACACAGCATCAGTTCACAGCGAGACAGAGACGGAAGACGAAAGCTCAAACTGGGACTCCTCGGATGACGGTGAATCTTTCGCTGAGACAGAGTCTTCTGACGATGAGGAACAGGAAACCACCGAGGAGCAGCGCAAGGCAGAACGTGAGGCTCGAGCGCTCGAGCGACAACGTGTCCTCGAAGCCGCGGGTCTCATCATCAAGTCCGACCGCAAGCCCCCGCCACGGCCGGCGCGAAAGAGGAACACCCGTAAACGACGGCCTGCGCCCGCTGTGCCCACTCACCGGCATTCGTCAACAGCGTTGAAAGAGCTCCCTGCATCGCTCGTGCCCGAGTCCCCGCGTCTTGACGACGCATATGAGCGATACGAGGCGTACCGCCAGTCGACCACCAATCTCAACCGGCTCTCGACCCTCTCGGCCGACTCGGCAAACTCGCTCACAGCCAGCCCATCTATACCGTCGTCGATCTTGCGGACCCCATCTGCCGCCAGCGTGGAGCACGAGGGGCGCACATCACACTTTTTGAACTTCTTCGGACGCAAGACGCCCGCGAACGACAACGAAGAGCGTGTTAGGCCCGTCATATCTGCTCCTATCTTGCAGGAGAAGGAGCCTGGGACGCCGGCGATGGAGAATGACTTTGGAACTGTAAGCCTATCGTGAGAAGACAGTGTTCCTGTACTAACCATGTACATTCAGTCTTGGGCAAGTCTGGTCGATAAGTCCGCATTGGAAGAGATTCCGGCGAAGGAGCGGAAACGACAAGAGGCCATCTTCGAATTCATCACTACCGAAGCGGCATATGTCCGGGATTTGCAACTTATCGTGGAGGTAGGCCTGATTGGCTGTTTTGCTAAAGTCTCCTCTACTAAAGTCTACTGCGCAGGTCTTCTATACCAACTTACTACCTTTCTTAGACCGGAAGGCCACCACGGTTATCTTTGCCAACGTAGAAGACATCCTTTTAGTGAACACGGTTAGTTTTCATATACATCTCCGGGACAGCGGTCCGATTCTCTTTGTGCAGACGTTCCTGAGCTCTCTCGAAGAGAGACAGAAAGAGTGTAGATTGTACATCGACAGGATTGGTGACATCCTTAAGACGAACATATCAAACATGGGCATATACATGGTGCCTCTTCCATCTGATGTCCTGGTTGCGTGAACGGCTAACCGGTCCTTCAGGAATATTGCGTGAATCAGGGATACGCCATCAAGGTCCTACAGTCGATAAGGGAGTCGAACTCCGATGTGGCCGCTTGTCTGCAGCGGCTCCGGGACGATCCTGCCATCCGGAATCTGGATCTGTCTAGCTATCTGCTCGTTCCGAGTAAATATTGCCATATTTACCTCCGCTTCAGTCCTTAGCTCACCCAAATCTATAGTGCAGCGCATAACCCGATACCCACTGCTCATAAAGCAGGTAAGATATTGCGTGAAACGCCCTCTGTGGCCTATACTTAACGTGACGCAGATCCTGCAATATTCTGAAGCATCGGACGAACGCAAGCGAATTCAAGCCTCACTCGATATAGCCGAGAAGCTCCTTAGCCATATTAATGAGACTATCCGCGAACAGGAAGGCCGCGAACGCCTACGCCAAATTTCGCGCAACCTCTGGATTGGTGAAGGGTAACGAATTCACAGCCTACTCTGCATCGTCTGTTTAATCTAGGTCAAATGTAGACGACTGGATTTGACGGCTCCGACAAGGACAATGGGTCCGCGCAAGCTACTGCGTGAAGGACTGCTGATGAAGGCCAAGAGCGGACGGCGTCTCCGGGGCTTCCTTTGCAGCGATATCTTGGTACTCACCGATGAAGGGGCCAAGTCATTATATCGTACGGTATGTTTTAGCACTCCTTGTTATCGCGGGCGCATCTGAATCGCCATTAGCCAATACCTCTATCTGAGGCACAGGTCAAGGAGGTACCTGGGGGTAGAGGTAAGACTAACTTGTCGTGTAATCCGCCGGTGGCAGGTACTGAACATGTCCGCAGACGACCTCACGTTCCAGCTTGTGCTTGCGTACCCCCGCGGCGGCGACAAGATCAACCTCAAAGCTACGTCCGCGCGCGACTGCCAACTGTGGATGCAGGCTATCGAGAGCGCAAGCCAACAGTGCAGACAGGCAGGGATCCGGGCGGCGAAACGCAAATAATCTGCTGCCTGCTAGTCAAACCTTTTTACATTCATTTATTGGGTTCTCGGAAATTTCTCTCTCTATGCTCGTTCCAACGGACATTTGCTCGCTGCCTCCCCCCGGAGTAGTATTATCTGCCCACGTTCTAATGTCTTCGCCATTCCTAGCGTCGTTCCCTACCTACATTTCTATCCTGCACACGGACTCGAATAAACTCAAGAATTAGACCAGTTGCATTAGATTTGCCGCTCTGGGATATTCGTACGACTGGAGGTAACAGGCATAGCCAACTTTCCGCTCGTCTTCCAAACCATTGCCCACCGCGCCTCCTACGTAAAGTGCACAGTGTTACCCGTGATATCTATCTGCCCAACATACATCTGGCGCGTGTCCGACGTTGTGCCTAGGTCAGCGTGGAACACGACGTTGACGCCGCCCGGCCCAACGGTGAGGCCGCCGGGGGAGAACAGTTGCGAAAACGGCGTGCCCGTCTGCAGCAGCGGCGCGTTCGGAGCCTGCGCCTTGGTGTACGGGCCTGTGATACTGGTGGCAGTGGCGTACGAGGTATCATAGTCCGGGCCAGAGAAGCAGTTCGAGCTGAAAAAGAGTACGTAAACGCCGTTCTTCTTCACGAGCGAGGGTGCTTCTACGAGAGGCCCGTCGGCGTCGTCGCGGTCGAGGACTGTTATGGTGGCAGGGTCAGATTTATTATATGTAGGGGAGCGAAGGGACAGACTGACTCTGGACTGGAGAGCCAATGGGGGTGATTCCATCGGCTTCAACCTGTTGTATCATGATGGGCTAAGGAGTGCCGAGAGATTCGGTATTTAGACAAGCACACGACTTATCATCAAAAGCGGCTTACCGTAGATACAATGGGAGGAACACCGTTGTTGCAGTTACCACCATGACCAATGCTGTTGCCGTCAATCTTCCAGACAACCCACACTGCGCTCACAGTCAGATATGTTCCTGACAGATCCAAGTTAACGCTACCTGTGCCATCGTCGTCAACAAAACCAGCGGGGTCAATTGCGCCACCCTGGTCAGTATTGCATGAGAATGCGGCCGGCTCAGGTGTATATGGACCTTGCGCATTGTCGCTGACGGCCGCGGCAACGCAATGCTTCCCGCCATTGCCATTCTGGTCCGCGGTGTAGTACATGACGAACTTTCCATCAGACTGTGCCACAGATATCAGCCACATCTCGCTTCCAGTGGGTGGGACGCGCGACATACTCGCTGGATGACGTCGGGTGCCCAGACGTCGCCGCCCGTGCTCCACGCGCCGACGGTGGGCAAAGCATCCTGTCCGGTGACTGTCCAGGTGACAAAGTCGGACGAAGTCGCGATGGGAACGTGCAGCCCGCCGGAGTTGGTCGAGAACGCGTACCACAGCCCGTCGGTGCCCTTCACGAACGATGGGTCGGGGAAGTTGCTCGTAATGACCGGCCCGGTGATGCCGCGCTTCTGAAGCGCGGTACCACAGGCGAACGGGACGAGGAGCAGAAAGGTTGATAGGAGTGCTGAAAACATGGGAAGGAAATATGGTGGTCGTCTGCACCTGCGCCGCTTGCTTTCTTATATGGTTAACCACGGGCGATATTTGCTAAGGGCAGTGGGCTGACCACGGTCGTCAAAGATCCCATCATCAATTTCGTTATATTGTAGGATCCTGCCCGCGATGAGACGGAGCAAGGTGCATGCTTGCGAGCATCGCGAATTAATCGGTGCGCATGGCGGTGTATGGTTCTGACCAATCATTGATCCGTCTGTTACGACATTGACTGTGGTCGGTCTTATGCACCGCCCCTTCTGACCACTGGGGTCGTAGCACGGGACTGCCTGCGGAGCATGCGATCGACTCTTGCATCTCCTTCGCGAGCATGAGCGACAGGCTAGCCTTGCGATGGTCGAATACTCTGTAATAGACGAAGCAGATGACAGCGCTAAGTGAGTGAACGAAAAGCACCACGCGGAGAACATCATTTTTCACCCTGCTTCGTTGCTCCAGTTCGACAGGCTTATAATGCAATTTGGCGCAGAAATGAGAATATTCGGGTCGGTGACTGATGTGCAAGATGTGGCTATAACCCAGAGTGAAACTTGCAAAATCTGTTGGCACAAGTTTCGAGAATCAGCTTGCCCTGCACTATTCGGTGGCTGATTCATTCAGCTGTCGCTGTTCGAGTCCTAGTCAACATAAAGCTGCCCGGCAGAGAACTTGTTCAATGCGCTGCCGGATGAGCTGGCGACGTCCTGCGATGGGCCGATATGGCAGCCCTCGGGTTAGCTATTTAGCCTTGCTGTTCGACGATTTGTTCATTGTTGAAACTCGAGCAGTCTCCATTATTCCGACAGCGCTCTTAGCTGGACGACCGCAGATAGCGCTTCATAAGTTTCTAATGGCCGTTTGGAAACCAGAGGCATCATTCACGATTAGGATTCACATGTACGTGTAGAAACATGATACGTTACTTATTTGCCCAGTGCTATGTAGACCTTGCCTCCCCTCCGCCCGGGATCGCGTATGCCGTTGCTACCCACTAGTAGACTATTTCTTCAGGGTGCTCTCGAGGGTGTTGGTCAGCCATGGGTTTTCTCGAGGAGCTGCTCTCGGAAACATTTGCATCGACGCGCTGCACAACGAATTTCAGTCTGCAGCGTGATGGTCATGGTCATTCGCGCAGTATCTGTCTTAGTAAGCGTCGAGGACACGGTTTTTCGCTTCAAGATGTAAGTGTTGCTCATTTCGTCGCAAACGTTTCCGCCGCATTCCTGGATGTTGTTCGAGTATGTTGAGTCCCCAAACGCGGATCAAGACTCTACGACGCACGTTGATAATCCTCTCAAACTTTCTCGCACACACAGCTTCCAGCCTGCCATTATCCATCATATACGAGTGCTCTCGGACGAGGCAAGATTGTAGCCGACATCACCATCCGCACCAGTGTTAGCCCCGAATACCTTCTATGACAAAGCCTGGGCGGGGAGACGGCGAAAGAAAGGCACGTCTTCGTCAGAGATAAAAACCGTTACAAGCGTCAGTAATGGTGTGCAAGTCATGATCTGCAAAAAAGTGAGAACATCGAGCATTTGCGACGCGAGGCTAAGGATGGTGGTAGTCGAGTGCAAGAAAGCAGACGCCGCGTGATGGGCGCCAGTGCTTGCCGCCAGAAGGTTAGGCTGCACTCGATTTTATAAACTTGAACCTTCGACATCCGTAGTTAACCAGCTCGAAGGGTAAGCACCGAAAGCTAGTCTAGTAGAGAAGGATCTTCATTTCTGATTGCAGGTCCAACATTTACTGTTCTTCATGAGACGGGCATATACACGTGAAGCGGAAAGTTAATGTCGACCAAAATCGACGCTAATCAGGCGTTTCCGTCCGAGGTAATCGAGTACTCGTCGACCTCGGTCTCCATGTCCTTCGTGATAGGAATTCCCATGGGCTTCAATGCCGAAGTGCTGACGAGCTCGGTAGGCTCCCAGTGGAGAACGCGAGGCTGATAATCGCCGGCACCGTCGCCGGCATCCATCGGTAAGGTATCCTGGCGAGCCAAAGTCGGGGCCCTTGACTGTTGAGCGAGGTGCGACTGTGACGCGGACGAGGAGCTCTGTGGGATAAAAACACACAGTGAGTAGCAACCCGCGAGTCCACATGTACTCACGTCCTGAGGCTGGTCTGACATAGTTCGAGGCAGTGGCCGGCAGGTGTGGCTTGTAAGTCTGTGTTCTGTGTACGGAGGGTGCTAACTGCTAGTAGCCGACTCTTTATACTCCTCCGCGTATTGAGCCGGACAACAATTGGCTGATAGTGATCCTTGCGCTACGGAATAGGTTTATGCACAAACTTTTTGGAAGGTACTGCGGCGATCAAGCACAGCGGTGTCCTTCAACATATTATCTTCATTGTGTGGCCCTGACTCTTGTATTTCGCAGTGCCGCAATAGATCAGTCTCAGGGTGAGCGTCTGGACAAAGCATAACACCCCAGTTTCGGTGGAGCAACACACTAGGACCCGCCTTTTGTGGGCCAAAAATATTACGCAGGGCCCCGTGCTACACGGTACAAGATGTCTTATTGGAAACGACAGGACAAATGAACATGTGGCCTTCTCGATGTCCAGCGGCCACCTCAACGAGATGCGCTACCTATAGCGATTCATAATAGCGTCTTGGGCCGAATGCATTTTATCTCTTCCGGCAGACTGGACCCTAGCTTGTATCTGTGAAGGACCGGGTTGTGCAGCTTGTGACTGATTGCGGACCAGAGGAGCCTCCGAGGGTGGCACATTGGCTAGGGCGGTGTTTGAAGCTAGATATTGGTTCCACTGCGTGCATGTGTCGCTCAGGTACGCTCTTAGGTCATCGTCTAAGTCTGGAATGTTTCTGAGGCCGGTGGTGACGACGGGCAGGGTTGGTTCGACATCCTCAGTCGGCGCATAAGCGAGCTCGAGCAACATGCGGAGCAGGGGCCAGACAGCGTTTACGCTGGGTTGGTTGCTCGTGAGTGAGGTCGCAGTGCTGTTCTCAAGGGTTGCTCGGAGTGTCGCCAACTGTTCTCCGTGCATCTTGGGCGGCAGGCTCGCCCAGTGGCGCGTTGTGAGCGTCGAGTCCTGATGCGCGACCCTTTCAGATGGTAGGCTGCGAGATTTATGTAAGAAAAACGCACCTCTTCCTGTGCTTGGCCGGAAAGCTGATCTCCTTTGGACGTGTCGGGACGGCTGGCGTTGACTAAGTAACTGTTCATGTATATTCGCGAGGAGGAGGCCGGAGAAGGCCGTGTACCGGATCTTCGGAGAGTTTGCTTGCGATATGTGTCTTATATACCTCCTACGAGTAGCCATGATAATTAGGTCTCAAGGATGCTTTGGCTTCATGTCAAGAGGTATCTTCGTCGCAGGATCACCCTATTGGCCGTGTATATTTTGAGCCAAGCATCACTGTCTGCCAGCGATAGTCTCGGCTGAAATAGCTTTGTCTATCGTTGCTCTGAGTTCGCTGTGGCTATCCTGAACTATTTACGCGACCACTCGGAAAACTGAAATGGCGCAGACGAAGAGCAGAGCTTACTGGCACTCTGGAAATATCCATGGCGCTATTATCTGTGTGACGTTCTACTTTGTTCAGTAGGCCATGCCAGTGCAATTTCACCTGGAAGATTTGCAGTCCAACAGCCCCTGCAATCCGGGGAGTACCCGACCCGTGAAGCATTGCAATACGAAAAATTCACTACGGAGCTGGCATTATAACAAGAAGGTTCTTGACTAAGTTAAGATCAGATTAAGGCGGTAACGCATGCTCTCTTAGGGCTTGATCCATCCTGCTTTCGCAGCTGCACAAGAAAACTCCTCCGCGGGCACCGTAGGCAACATCCTTTTAAGCCAGAGTAGTTGGGCACCCTTGTCTAGGCTGAACAATTCTCGCAGTTGTCCCACTTCGTGTCCCGGTATCTTGTCGAGGTGTGCGCAAGCCTCCTGCACATTCTCTTGGAATGCGGCTATGAGCAAATCATCCAATATTCTGTCCCATATCTTATCCAAGGGCACGTCGAGGCTCGCAGAATCGTAGTAGGGCATAGGAGATGGCGATCTCTGCCGATTCTCCCCTTCGACGCCAGCGCTTTTGCGTGTCGCGAGCTCGTTTTCTTCATCGTCGACGACGCTAGCATAGCCCGAGTCATCGCCATGCGTGGCATCGCACCGCTGGGAGTTGCGCGAGTCGCTTGTGAGAGTCATTTGTTTCGCTGATTGTAATATTCTTGCATGTGAAGAACAGTGATAGAGGCTGTCGGCGTACCTCGAGTCGTTATGAGCTGGAGCGGTCAGGAAACTCGCTATCAAAGTCGTCTATATATACTGACCTCAGACCGTGGGCCACACGTCGTTGTATGACGTCGAGTCACCTACGAGCAACCATGTAGCGGCAAAGGATTTCTTCCAAGCCATCTTGTCCCTTGTGGTGCCATGAAAGAGCTAAAAGAAATGATGGGTTTGCACGTGCAAGCGCACAATATAGCTGTGAGACATTGTCTTTTTCGGCATTTGGAAGAGGCATTGACCTATGCGGCGAGCCTTTGCCACTCAGGTGCCAGGCCCCGTGGCCCGAGAGATAATTGAGCACCGTTGACTATGAACTGGGATCGAGCCTAAACAATTGTTTGGAGGATATCCACAGCAGCCCTCTAGACTTTTTGTCTTATTGACAAGACCGTGGGCATGGGTTGGCGGCAAACGGCACCGGCAATCAATCGGCACTCATGCCGAATGGCGGCGCCGTGGTGGCGTTTGATGACGCTCATACTGCCAAAATTAGTCTCGTAGGGCTCCCCCGGCCCCCAGGATTCCGGAGTCGACCACCACTTCGTCGCACGACCTGCGACCTGTACACTACCTCTTTGTCGTGATATCCTCGAGATATCTGTACTTTCTTGATTCTATCACTCAACGCTGCGCATGAATCGCCCTTCAGACGAGGAAAATGACCCACTGCTCTTGGAGAATGGAGATGGACCGCAGAAGGACTCGAGCAAGAGGTACCAGCCGGGACCTCTAGAGATCTCGAAAACGACGAGATATGGTATTTTGGCTGGAATATGGGCTGCAACCTTTTTATCTGTGTGTCTGTCTCGTCATTCTCTCGTTCGTTGGAGTGCTTAGCTGCCTGCCTGCACATTGCATGAACTTCTAAAGTCTTTCAACAGTAAGTTGGTAAATACAATCAAAGCAGGTCTCAGGTGTTGACTCTTAGTTGCTAGCTACTCTGGTAGCGACATGTGCGTCAAAAAATGCCCTTGCAATGTTGTAATGCTGAAGCGCCAATCTAGTGCTTCCAGGAATATCTTCAGAGTTCAAGAAGTCGCACCAAGCGAGTTGGCTTGGTACTGCGTACGTTTCAAGATCGCATTTCGTTACTTATCACTCAAACTGTACGATAGGTATCTACTGGCTATCTGCACGTTCACTCCTCTGTATGGACGGTTGTGCAATGTAATGGGCAGACGTGGTGCCAATCAGACTGCAGTCTTCTTCGCCGGTCTTGGAACACTCTGCTGTGGCCTGTCCAGTAATATGGAAATGCTAATCGCTGCTCGCTTTCTTGGGGGACTCGGCGGCGGCGGCATCGTGACAACTGCGACGTACGTCTCCAGCCGCTATGCTTACCTTGATTCTCATGATTGATTTTCCCAGGATCATTACGAACGACATGTATAGTCTGAGGGTCTGTCGGGCTTCTGTATAGAGGCTTTATCATGCTAATTCGCTATAAATCTAGGAGAGAGGCTTGACACAAGGCGTAGCCGCTGTCTTCAATAGCGTAAGGGTATTGTACCACAGAGTTCAACTTGCTTACATCTGCGCTTTATAGCTCGGGCAAGGTCTTGGCGGACCCGTTGGGGGCTACATCAGCGATAGGTACGTTCGTGATAATCGGATATTCCAAGTTTTTACCCACTTGTGCATTAGGCTTGGCTGGCGTTGGGCTTTTCTTCTCCAAGTTCCCATGTTTCTGATCTCGTTTATCTTCACATCTATTAACCTTAACTACGTTACCCCGGTAAGTGCGCCTCGCGTTTCCTAAGTAAAGCAAGCTTTGATGCGTTTTGCGCAGGGAAGGAGCAAGAACACAAAGGAAGTGCTGAAACGCATCGACTACGGCGGCAGCTTCACACTATTTATGTCTGTGAGTCATATCAACTATTATTGACGTGGAGCCTGGCTAATGCGGACCAGGTCTTGGCCTTTCTCGTGTTCCTTAGCACCCGCTACAGCGAAGAATATCCCGTAAGCCCATTCCTGAGACAGAAGTTGTATGAAGTGTTGACGATCTGCCAGTGGTCTTCACCTGTCGTATTTATACCTCTTGCTATCGCCATTCTCTCCGCCGTCGCCTTCGTCTATGTCGAGTTATACGTCGCACCTGAACCGGTACTGGCACCTTTTCTACTCCAGCAGAAGATCCCGGTACTGGTCGGCATTAGCAACTTCCTGGTGTCAATGTGCAATTTCACGGTCATGTACAACTTTCCGACTTGGTTCCAGACTGTCATGTTGACGAGTGCGAGCGAGGCCGGTGAGTGGTTCTGTTTGATGATTGCAGTACACAGATGTCATGCAAGGTATGCAGGAGCGCATCTCATTCCAAACGGCATTTCAATCTCCTGTGGATCACTGTTCGCTGGGTAGGTCGTCTACAGAAGGCGTAGTTACCGGCTACTCATTCTCAATAGATGGATCATGCATCGTACCGGAAAGTACAAGCGTCTTAACCTTATCTTTGGCCTATTTCCCTTCGTCGCTGCCATCTTACTGTCTCTTATGCGCGAGGATTCGCCCCCAGCTGTCTTGTGGTTGAGCATTGTATGTGTTGTTCTTGATGTGGAAGCTGCGAATTGTTCTGATTACTGTTACAGCTGCCTCTCGGTTTTGGTAATGCCGTGGTATTACAGACAATGCTCAGTGAGTCTACCACCCACCCGCCGTTATACTCCATTAATGCTGCCTCTAGTCGCGTTACTTGCCCATCTGCCACGTGAGTCGTCACGCACCGCTTTTAGATGAGCAAGATTAACTGTCAGGCACAGAATCTCAAATGGCCGTCGGTACCGGATTCGGACAGCTCTTCCGAGGAATCGGCCAGGTTGGTGGCGTCGCCATCTCCGCAGCGGTGTTCCAGTCCGTGCTTGACGACGAACTGCACAAACGCGTACCCAAAGACGATAATAGAGAGGAGGTATGGCTACGCACTGTGCTATAACTTCGCTACTCTGACAGGTCCACTAGATGATCAACAAGATTAGACACTCGGCTACCCTCGTTGGCAGTCTCCGTCCTGATCTCCAACGCGCTGCGCGCGACTCGTATGCCATCGCTCTGCGCGCCGTCTTCATCATGGCGGCTTGCTCGACGTTCCTTGCTTACCTCGCTCGTTTACCGGTCAGTCTACCACCTCTGTGCCAGCAATCTACACGCTCAATGACGTATACAACGCTCAGATTCCCGACAAGTCCCTCGACATCGAGCCCGAGGGCCGCGGCACGACCCGCACGGAGATATCCCCACGCCGGCCGGAGAACCCGCTCGAGGAGACCGCGGAGCCAGAAGAGGGCGCCGAGCCGTACCACAACGGAGAGGACGAAGAAGACTCGCTGCCCTCGCCGCGCCCGCCCGCGCCACGTCGCCGCCGCCTGTCGACGTACGAGTCCTACCAGGGCGGCATGGACCTCGAGAGCCCCGAGATCGGAGGCACGGCGCGCCCGGCGCAGCGGCCCCGCAGGAGTCTGTCGACGAGCGTCTAGAAGTTGTGCTCAGGCAAGTTCTCGGACGTACATTCTAACAGTGTGTATCTGCTGTGTCAGATGTGAATGGCATTGATATTCTCTTGTTTTCGTGGCAAACGCGGTCAGAGGGCTGGCGCCGGACCCAAGCACGGTTGCAGGGCGCCTAATGCCGCTTCTTTGTTCTTATCTATATGGTCAATGGCCACACAAATTGTCGACAAAACCTTTGTCTCAGCAATGTCACGAGGTCTGAGCGGCCGCCACTTCACACACAGGGTACATTGAATCTCCGTCTTGAGCTGCAGCACCTCTCTCTTTCGTCCACCACGGCGCGGAATGTCCCCCTCAGAGCAGCAAGATGTGCAAATAACCCAAAATCGCCAGGTGTTGGAAGATCAAGAGCGCGACCTGAACAATCATTACCGCGACCTGGATTTTTCCGCCACGACCTATCAACAGATTGTCGACGACTTCCCGTTCGAAGACGAATTGCCCTCGGGCAGGTGGAAGAGCGATATCTTCTCTTCTGCTATCGAGGCTGCCTGTAAAGAGGTGCGTGATGCGGGCCTGATACGTCAGCTCGTGTCCAAACCAACTCTTCACAGAGCGAGGAGTTCGCAAACAGCTATCGTGAATTGGACAGGGACGCGACCGTCGCGTGCTTTCGTGCTGGGCTGGAAGAAGACAAGATACGCTTGCAGGAAGAAGAATCTGAGCACGACGCACTCCGTCAGACGCTTGGTGAGGAGCCGTACGACCCGCCCATTCTGTACGCGAGCCAGCAATATAAGAACACAAAGGCCTTGTGCGTCGTGGGAGCAGCGCTGCAGTCGGCGCCCCAGGTACCAGCGGCCACTCAGACTCGTGCGTCCGCCACGCCTCAAGCCAGCACCCCGAACATCTCGACACCGGCACCTGGACAAGATCGTGGCCAGGAAGCACCGACGGCAACGACCCATCCTGAACCAGGCTACGCGCTTCAACTTCGGGCTCCTCGAGTCCTCGGGCCATCGAACGTCGACTATCATGGCCTGCGGGTGGCGCTGCAGCAAGACTTGCAGACGCACTGTCCTCTTGGGGAACAGAAACAACGGTCGCCACAGCCCAAACGAGAATCACCAGCACCTCCACGCCTGCAGCCTGCACAGGAGAAAGCTACGCGCAAGAAGTCTCTGCGCGAGCGGCCTGCACGAACTCCGCCCGCGCCCGCGCCAGACGTGACTGACGCTGAACACGAGGTGCTCCAACAGTGGAATCTACTAATGCAGTATTGCGGATTGACGGCGGAGCAACCTCAGTCGTCGCTTTCGCCCCAGCCTGGCACACCACAGGCGGCCAATACTCACCTAGACCGGCAGCAGGCAAAACAGACGCAGAATGTGGCTTCTCCGACGCAGGAACCGCCGTCGCCTTCACTCAAAACTCAGTCGCCGCAGGTGGCTGTTTCAGGTAGCCCGAGTGGTTCTGAAGAACGGCAGGCAACGCCGGCTCGCCCGCAATCTGGCGCGTCGCGTCCTTTTCCAAGCCACTCACCGACGACTACCATCGTGAGTTCGGATGATTGCTAATCAGAGAGGCGTGATTAAATCGTTTCACCTTCAGTCTCTCGAGTTCGACTGTTTGGCAGAAGTCGGTGTTTGTACGGTAGATACATAAACCCCGGGAAGTCCGTACACACCAGTTAATATAATGCCGGAATATGACTCCTGGGTTGCTGTTATCGCAGCTCGATCAGGCAGCTCAATTAATAGAGTGATATACAGTAGCGAGAAAGATCTAGTGCTCACTCTTAGTGACCGCCTACAAAAGAAACAAATGCCAGGTACCCGCATAAGCCGCGCCGTCCGGGAAGGAGTGAAGCGCCGTAGAAGCACCAGCCGATTGTGTATCATTGCACAATCGGGCAATGGGCGCTTACGCGTTCACGCGTCGCTCGTCTCGCCCGCCCTTCCTGTCCCTAATCCCTAAACCCCCAACCCCCCCTCGAGTGTTGTTGCTGATGCTACTGGCGCCTATGTGCTGGCATGTTAGTTCTCGTCTAGGACCTGCTTCCCCCGCACATCCAACTTCATCGCTTCATCCATCCACCCCGAGAACGTTGTCGTGCAACGCGGTAGCGACGATTGTAGAAAGCGTTCACACGCGCTTTCGAGAATAAAACGGAAAGGATGAGCAGCGAGGGTCAGGTGAGCAGGAATTTGTGGCTCGTTGGTGACGTGGGTCTTGCTGAGCAGCTTCTACAGATCTTCAAACGCGACGGGCAGCCTATCAAGTTCTTTCTTGCTGCAGGGCCCACCTACGTGACGGAGAAGGCGGGCTTGAGACCACGGGATGTAAAGGAATTGGCAACGAAGATTAAGGTGCGCCTACGAAGATGAGATCATAGCTTCGAATCCAAATGACTTTGCGGGACCTTTAGGCGTACGGCGGACGCCTCGTACAAGACATTAGAGAGGCCGAAGTATGGATAGCAAGCGACACAGCTCTCAGGACATACAAGAGATATTGCGGGAACGACCCGGATCATCGTGCCGAAGGGGCAAGCTTTGTGCTTAAGTGCATCAAGCGCAAAGCTTTCCAAGCTGAGCGCCGTAAAAAAAGAGTACCTATGCGAGGCTGCCCACCGGGAAGGTATGCCGATTCTTGCCACTTCTCCGCATGCCGACGTGGCAGCACGCTTACGGGTACTTTGCAGGCGGTCGCGCTTTACCGCCGAGGAAGATGAATTACTCTGCCGGTGGATTGCACAGGAGATTCCTGATGTCAATACAAAGGGGCGCAACGGTGAAAGCATTCACAAGTTGTTTGTCGAGATGGCTGAGAAGGTGAGCATCACGTTCTCTATATGGATCAACACCAACTACCTAATTTATTAGGAACATTGCTGGGCTCTGGCCAAGAAGCATCCTTGGCAGTCGTGGAAGCAGCGCTACAAGGTCCACAAATACCGTCTGGACATCAGAATCGAAGAGATTGTGCAGGAAAAGCGCCTTATGGTATGTTTAAAAGCTACCTACCACAGAGAGTGTAGACTGAACCAGCATGCACGGACTGATGTCCAGGAGGAGGACGAGAACAGTATAGACAACAATGGCAGTGATGGCAAGGCAAGTGACGAAGGCGAGTTCTCTCTGGGCAGTGACAGTGAGAGCGAGGAAGACGAGGAAACGGACGACAAAGGTGAATTCTCACTGAGCAGAGACAGTGGATCTGAGGAAGACGAGGAGATGGACGATGAAGGCGAGTTCTCTCTGCATGAGGAAAGTGAAAGCGAGGAGGACATGCGGATGTCAAAGCGACGCCGTATTGACGGAAGGTGCGTTTCTGCCTTTTCTACTTTTAAAGTTTTTAATCAGAACGATATACAGATTTGGGAATAATCGCAGCCCCCTTGGCGGGCGTCCCCCAAATGCCAGACCGCCCGCATACGTCAGGGCAGATAAAGCGGGTCCCTCCACTCAAGCCACACTCGCGAGCTCTTCCCAAGCTGCGGCACGCTCGCCTCGTCACGCAAGCAGACCTTCTCCGGTCAAAGTGGACTTTGACCTCACATTGGACTCTGATAGCGACATCTGAGTGCCTTTGTTCAGGTCCTTCGCGTAAGGTTGTCGTTTCTCAAGTCCTACTACGCAATCTCGTGTACCGTTGCCTGTGTCTTGACTACATCTTGGCTTATTTACTAGGGTGCTAGACATTGCCGGGACTACGACATTCAGAGTCAGCAGACGCGCAGCTAAATGACTTGCTTACGTCATCAACTATGATGTACGGTATATTGGTCCTTTGATCCTCCACCGACCATGCGCTGTGGAGCTACGCAGCGTGCAAGCAGCGGGCACCTCTGCCTGCGACTTTCCCTAACAACCACTAGGAGGGCTTCAGTGAAATGAGCGTAATACTTCAGCAAATATTCGAATTAGCAATATTGCGGGTTAAACCGCAAAGCTCTGCGGATGCCACGACACACGCGAACGGACGAGATCCTCTGCTACATCAGGCGAGGAATGTACGCGATTACTCCAGTCGAGGCTTAGGCCAGGAAACCTGCACCACTCCTGTCGACATACCATGTCGCATTCGGTATACCATCTTGGCCGGGCTGTGGCTTGCGACCTTTCTTTCGGTGCGTACCCATGTACACCCCGTCTTCCTGACTTTGTTAAGGCTAGGATCAGTCAGCTAACTGTAAGCAAGCATTCTCTGGACCTGACCTGCGCGAAACTTACTCCTTTCATTCCACGCAACGGCTTTTAGCTACCCTCGTGGCTACCGGTATGCCGTTACCGTCTATGCACCTGGTAGGTCCTCGGGCGACTAACGGGCATCTCTCACAGTACTTCCCGACATATCGTCTGAGTTCCACCAGTCGCACCAAGCGGGCTGGCTAGGAACATCGTCAGTCCCTTCCCCTCATATAACTGGAGCTCTCCTGACCAGTGTTGGTCGCTAGATACCTGCTGGCGACGTGCACGTTCGCCCCTCTCTACGGACGTCTGTGCGACATCGTAGGACGCAGGGTTGCGGTGCAGATGGCGATCCTGCTGTCGCTGGTCGGGTGCATCATGAGCGCGTTGGCGAACAACATGCTCGTGCTCATCGTCGCACGATTTGTAAGGAGACTGCAGCGTTCAATATTTCGGCTGCTAATATGGGTATGTTGTAGGTCGGAGGGCTTGGAGGCGGTGGGGTGATGACGGCCGCAACGTAAGTATGTCTCCCAGGAAAGGGGGCCCTTGTTAATCGCGTCTCACTCTATGAATAGGATAGTGACAAGCGACCTATTTGAGCTGCGGGTATGTTTGCTGGGGCTGTTCCTGTGTTTTATCTTCGCTAATGTCTTGCCAGAGCCGAGGTATAACTCAGGGTCTGGCTATGGTCTGTAATAGCGTACGTTACTCAAGAGCTATCTATCCGCTGTCTTCTTATGCTGATCATACACTAACTATAGATTGGCATGGGTATGGGCGGTCCTCTTGGAGGCTTCGTCAGTGATTGGTATGAGGCCGTATCAAAATGCCAAAGGAAATTGACTGACCCAAATTCTCCTGTAGGTTCGGTTGGAGATGGGCGTTTCTGGCGCAGATACCGCTGTTTTGTCTGTCATTCATCCTGATCACATTCAGTCTACGTTACTCCGTGAGCCTCTGAGCCAGACAGACGGCATGCCTATGGGTATTACTCGAACTAACCCCGAATTGTAGAATCCCGACGGAAAGGGCATGAGAGAGATGTCGAGAAGGATAGACTTCACAGGGACAACAATCTTGTTTGGATCTGTGAGTCGCGCTACTCTTTGCAACCGAGCTACCTGCGTAACCGATCGCTGTCGCTAGGTCCTCTGCTTTCTCCTTTTTCTCAGCTACCACGCAAATGACTATCTGCCTGTGCGTACTGCCCTGTTTGATGAATCATATCTCTGCCTCACGTCGTCCATGCAAGTGGTCCGACCCCCTCGTCCACTGGCCCTTCGCAGGCTTTCTCGCCCTCGCTCTGCTCTTTCTTCTCTTTGAACTCCTCTTCGCGCACGAACCGGTACTTGCCCCCTTCCTTCTCAGGCAGAAGGTTCCGCTGTTAGTTGGCATCAGCAACTTTTGCATCGCGATGTGCAACTTTGCCGTTCTGTATTACTTTCCAATGTGGTTCAGGACGGTCAGACTGGACAGTGCTGGGCGCGCCGGTAAATCGTCATGACTAGAGCAGTAGCGACAGGCTAAGCTAACGCTAACGCCCGCGCATCCAGGTGCCCATTTGATTCCTAATGGTGTCTCCTTCTCTGCAGGGTCGCTTTTCGCTGGGTAGGTCGTCTTTCTCCGCGATGCATGTACTTGATATTGGACGCTTGACACCTTTCAGCTGGGTGATCCGCTACACGGGCGTGTACAAGAAGCTTGACCTGCTCTTTGGGCTATTCCCTATCATTGGCACAGTCCTGCTGATCATGATGCGGGAGACATCCTCTCCGTTCCAGCTGTGGTTCTCCATCGCAAGTAGCCTCTTCTCTGCGCTGATTATTAGCACGCACTGACGCTTTGCATATGGAAGGTTCCACTCGGCTTCGGCAACGCCGTGGCCCTCCAGGCGATGACGATCGCTCGCCTCGCCCACCTGCCCGAATCCTGCATCGCCGTCGGCACGGGCTTCGGCCAGCTCTTTCGCGGCCTCGGCCAGGTCAGCGGCGTTGCGGTTTCGTCGGCGATCTTCCAAACCGAGTTCAACGACAAGCTGCGGCGCCACATACACGGACCGAACGCTGACGAGGTGCGTCGAGCTTTCGCCGATGTTCAGGTCATGCCCGAGGCTGACCGGGTTGCGGTCCTGGTACAGACGATACAGAGAATCAGGCGAGCTGCGAAGTTCGTCGAGCACCTGCCCCTCGGACTTCAGCGTGCGGTCAGAGACGCGTACGCGGAGAGCATACAGAAGGTCTTCTTGTTTGCAGTGTGCGCTGCATTGGTGGCGTACGTTGCACGCCTTCCCGTGAGCAACACTTATACGTGCATGCGTTGAGTATCGGGCTAATGTTTGCTCAGATCCCGGACAAGAAGATAGATGATGGGCATGGAGAAGAAAGCCGAGATGCGTAGTCATGGGCACTTTGGCCAGCGAACTTGAGTGAGACAGTTTCTTGCATATAGAGTTCGAGCAAAACATTGTTTACATCGAGCACCCCACTGTACAAAAGCATCATGGTTCTAACATTGCATCCAGCGTTGTCTTGACCTCTCTAATAAGCGTGTTAGCCAAGTCCTCGTCTAATGAGGCTTTACCCCAAGTAAAAGCAACATTTGTGGTGCCTTCTGGCGACCCGACGACATTCACCTTGACCGCAGCGCCACGCACCACGTCGCATTGCGCAAAGAATACATTACTTATCGTCCACCTGGATACTTCTCCTTCCTGCTTTGCGACAGGGAACGGCCCTAGGTTTGATAACCCCATCCCCGATGCCCGCCTCTTGCCCAATATCCCGCGGAAGTATGACTCGGCGACGCCGCAACGGAACAGCAAGCGGAGTTTTCCAAGGAGCTCGGGTGCGCGGGACACGCTGCCATGTAGTTCTTTGCCAAACGCACGCGTAGCTTCCCAGGAGAAGTCCCCGCCGCCCACGAGCACCGGACGCAGGGGCGAGAAGAAGTACACCGTCGAGATGTGGTTGCAGAGCCCGCGCGGCGGCACGCCTGTGAAGCGGCGCAGGGACACCGGTACGGCAACGTTGACGGTGCTGCACGCGGACGCCTCTTCGGACCGTTCCTCTGCGAGCACCCGCGCGAGCACGCCGACCAGCAGGGTGTGCAGGAACGCAGTCAGTGTCGTCCCATGCTCGCGGCAGCGCCTGAGGATCTCGCGTGTCTGCGCTGCGGAAACCGACCAGCACCGCACGTGCATGTCAAGCGATGGCACAGGCGGTATGGAGTTGCCTGTCCAGGCTGTCGCAGAGGGCAGCCACGATTTTGGCACGAGCAGCTGGTAAAGCAGGTGGAAGATGCTCGACCACGAGAGCGAGATATTCATGTAGGCCTCTGTAGGTTCTGCGAGCGGTATCGCTTGCGGCACAGCGACTGTCCTGTCGAACTCTTTAGATTGGTCGGTGGCGGTGTCGTTCAATGCGGACAGCAGCGTCGCGTGCAACGCAGGTCCGCTCTGCCCGTCGGCGATGGCATGGTGAGCTGCGAACACGACGGTGGCGCCGTTCACAACTGTCACCCGCCACAGCGGGGCAGACGTCCCAAGGGCAAACGGTCGACCAAGTTGAGCGCGCAGCAATTCGTCGACGTCAGCCGCGCTGTCTTCGAGGAATTCCACTACGGCGTCTAGGTCGACCTCGGGCAGGCGTACGTATTTCGGAATGTCTGCCCGCGTGACCCCTGCGGCGATTTGCATCCCGAGCCCGGCATGCGTTTGCATCATAGTGTGCAATGCGGGGTAAATCACTTCTTTTGTCAGAGGCGTACCCGACACGGACACGTATTTCCCCGCAATGGCGACGCAGGAGTCGAAGCCGAGCTGGCTGAGCAATACGTGGTACCGCTCCATAATGCCTGCACAGATCGAGGCACTCAGCTCACAGAACTATTAAAGTTTACCAGAGCATCTTACCTGCATCGCGAATGACCGTGTCAGGGCGCGACGACATTGTGATGGTTCACGGTGAGTACGTCGTGCTGCGGAACTGTGAGTCACCACGAGTAAGACATCGGCGAACACCGAGTACTGTAGCCTGACGCTCTGGCTGCATGCCAAAGAGACGCGAACATAAGGACCATAATCGAGAGCGTCCAGCAGTCTATCGAGATGTCGGGCGGGGATAGTCTTTACATGTACAACAGCTCCGGATAGTTCTTGGTTGGAGAACGGTACGAATAAGTCTGAGGGCGCCTAGCGAGAGTACAAATTGCTATTGCTATTGATATCGTTATCATATTCCTAGGGTAAGAAAGGGTCGAGTCCTGGTACGCAAATACATATGTGCCCTTACTCTTAGAAATAAGCCTGATGAGAAAGGGTAAGCGAAAAGTGAAGTGCGTAAGCGAACAACGCTTACTGCAGCGTTGGGAGGGCTGGCGGCGCCTCCAAGACTGCATTGAGAAGACGTCAGCGCACTGTAAAAAGGGATTCGCGAGGAGGCAGCATACATGTTAAGCGGCCACGAAGTGAAGAAGAACGTGTACCGTTTCGACTCGGCACACGCCTCGGCCAGCTTCTCGAGCTCAAAGTACTCGCCTGGAATGAACACTTGAGCTTGAGCGCGCCGCACTTGGGTACTCATAGAAAACAGGTACACACCGATAGGCATACCCCACAGGCCGAGTAGCGTCGAGTGCATGTGCGGAGTGCCCTCGGGCTTCGGCCAGCGCTCAATGCAAGGCTGGTCAGAGGCGATCGCCGCGAAATGGTTGTCCCTGCGCCGGGATGAACATCATGACTCTTAGCGAGCACAATCAAGTAGCTCACCAAAGGAACCTCTTCATGTCCTCAGACTGGTCAATCCCAGCGCTGCGAGGACAGTTCGTCAGCTACCTCGACGAACAAGTATGCCGGGAATCGCACGCACAAAGCTTCTGGCTTCGCTGAGAGTGACTCACGCTCCGCCCGCGTCGCGGCATACCACTTCTGCGTGAAGCCGCCACGGTAGATGAGGATGTCGCCAGTCTTGAACGTGACGCCTTGCTTCTTCGCACACGCCTCGAAGTCGCTTGCTGGGATCGCGTGCGTCGACCAGGGATCGTACGGCAGTGGCTTCTTGCCGTCCTCCGTGTAGAACCTTACCATGTCGAGGAGCACGCCACGGCCGCAGATGCCGTGCTGCGCCCAGTCTGCGGAACACTAGTAAGTAAGGGAGGGAGGTTTTAGGGAGCGAAACTCGTACTATGGATGCCAAGCTTGATCTTGTGTATATACCTTTTCAAATCTTCGGGGTCACTGATGAAGAAGTGGCCTAAAGCGAACTCGGAAGCAGGAATGCTGGAGCGTGCACATTCACATGAGAGGTCCGGGGACGATCAAGGTGAGACATACTTTTGATAAAACACATTGTGGCCGTTGAAGATACCAAAGTGGCGGAGCCCGTCCCACTGCGTGCCAGATTGGGTGTTCTGCCAACAGGGCCTCATAATTTAAACCGCAAACATTATCTGTCGCAACGAACTCACGATGGAGATTGTGTCATCGTTGCTGCACTCGTCAAGCATCCACTGCGTATGAATGGCCGGCTGACGCTTGAACGTCGGCTACCGAGGGGAGAAGTCAGCTCATCCGTACGACGCAACCACCGTGCACACGCTAAGTACTTTGCTCGGGTAGTTAATTGGTCTTCAGGGCAAGTTTCAGCACTCCGTCCCAATCCGTGTACCGAGAGCATGGACACTCACAGGTTCAAGCAGAACGTCTTGCCTATCTTGATCTCCTTCGCGGCCTCGCTGATGACTTTCTCAGTGAGAAGGTTCACGGTCCCAAGCTCGTCGTCTTTGCCCCACACTTCCCAAGCACAGCCCGTGTACTCGTGGAAGTGGGGGAGTTCGTCAAAGCTGGGGAGCTTTCTGTCAGCCATGTTCAGGTATGCTAGCTGGTACAGGGAAGGGGAATTAAGGACGAGGCGGAGGATGACGCTGCGTACGCTGTTTTAAACACGACCGGGCACATCGGCCACAGAATCCGCTCCATGTCACCGATCTCAGAGAGTGGTCACCAGGACGCTCACGTATGGATCTAACACGCGAAGACTTCGATCAAGAAACGATTGCCATGAGTACATGTCCTGAAGCAATTTACCACTCTATCGCGATCAACATCTACACTGAGCCTCTGATAAACGGGTGTAGCAGTGCGTCCTTGGGTGTCAACCGCTTCGCGGGGTCTAAGGCGAGACATCTGTCTAGCAAGTCGATGAATGACATTAGGACTTTGGCCTCATCGTCCTTCAACTTCGCCGACGCAGGCGGCATGAGCCTCGCGCGGAGGTCTCGGGACGGTTTCGTGATGTGCACTTGCCTCACGACGTCCTAGAGTTTGGAGTTCCATTAGCATTCCGAACGAGGCTCCGATCGACTCTTAAAATACACGCACCGCTCCTGTAACTCTGTCCTTTTCAACGCTCTGGAAGGCACCAAGGTCGTCAAAGTACATGTCTCCGAACTTGGCCTTCTTAATGATCTTGGAATTGAAGCGGCCCTTCAGCTCCATCATCAGCAAGAGCATGTGGTTATTAGACCGTCCAGGGAACAGGATCTTGCCGGTGTACAACTCGTAAAGAGTGCAACCAATTGACCACATATCCAGAGATGGATCATACGGATAACCGATGACTTCGGAAATCATTAGGCTCACACGGAGATCCGGAAGGAAAAGTATGACGCACTAATCTCTGGCGCACGGTAGAATCGGCTGACCAGGTAGGGGGTAATATCATTTTCCGAGGCGTCGGAAGCGGATCCCAAGTCACACAACTTGAGCACGGTCTTCTGCTCATTGACCTGATAGACCAAGCGGAAAGACCGTCAGTAAGGCACACTTCGGTTTGTTCGCGATTACCTACCAGGATATTATCAGGCTTGATGTCCGCGTGCATGATGTTGCACTTCTTCAACAAGCCCAAGGCCAAGAACAGCTGGTGAGCGTAAGCTCGCACGGCACGAATGTTGAGACCAACATCCTTGCCAAAGCGTTTCACGACGTCTCGAAGGTTCATGCTAGACATACATATTAGATATGATGCAGTAAAGAACGTAGAGCTACAGCTGACCTCAGAGACTCGAATACTAGGCACAGATGACCGCGGTGCTCGAACGTCCTCTCGAGACGGACAATGTGCTTCTTGTCCTCCGGATCCGCCTGCTTGAGCTTGTGCAAGATTTGAGTCTCTTTTTGACCAGCTCGATACCTAGATAACGATAAGTAAAGAAAAGCTGGGTAGTGAAGTGCGACTCACATCGATTCCTGGCAACGTATGATCTTGATAGCGACCTCTTTACCGACTTCATTTGCCTCACCGCTGAGCACACGTGCTTTGACGACGTTGGCGAACATGCCCTTTCCGAGGGACGAGAAAACCTGGTAACGACCGCCATCAAGCTGCTCTCCCAAGATGACCTGGTAATAACCTTCGGGATCGGAAGCAGAGTCGAGGGTCGTGGTGATCAAGGCCGGAGCAGCGGGCTTAATCCCAGACTCACGTCAGACGGCGTAAACGCGGCAGCTGAACGTACGTACCGCAATCTTCTTGACTTTCTTGACCTTCTTTTTCTTCTTCTTCTCCGTACTAACGACAGCGAACATGTCATCGATGTCCTCCTCTTCTTCGTCCTCCACCTCCTCCACAACCATCTCAACGTCCTCGACCTCACCGCGGCGGTTGTTGCCGTTCCCCATTACGATCCTGGCCTCATCTTCCCGTCGATCGAGACTGGGGTCGTAGTCAGCAGCCGAAATCTGGTCCTTGTTGCCGTCCTGCGTCTGGGCTTTAATCTGCTCATCTTGGTCACCGTCTTTCTGAAGTGAGAAAGAACTAGGAGCAGGAGACGCTGACATAGAGTCGCGTTTGCCTATGTATGCGATCATTAGCTGGCATCAGAGCAATTTTCGGCGGCGTCAGCTTACCATCTGGGGTCACCGATGCTCCCGGGGTGACAGAGGGAGGAGGCGTGACTGCGACACTCTGTAATCGGGATGACGTATGATCAGAAACAGCAGAAGTAGCAGTAGGCGGTTCGGCCGCACTGCTAGGTTCCGGGGAAGGCGTCGCAGTCGGGGCAGTATTGATGGAGCCAGCGTACTTGGCAAGGATGGCCTGACGTTTGGCTCGGCGTGCGGCTAGAGTTTCTTCGATCGGTGGCGGAGTAGCCAAGTCCAGCTCTTGTTCAGGTTCGGGCGCTGGTGCTGACGCAATATGTGGGGATGATGTTTCAGCTGCATGCGAAGGCCGCGACCGTCGTTCTGGAGGGGTAGGACTATGATGGGGCGAGATCCTGCATAAAAAATGGTGAGCACCTGGTGGGACAGATGTAGATTAAGACCTTACGATACTCACTCTCCTTCCTCCTTCTCCGACTCTTCAGGCCGAGCAGTACCGTTACCGTTCGGGTGTTGACGAGGGAAGCCGTGCCTTCCAGCTTCCCGCTTCAACTCTTCCCTACGGCTGTCGTGCCGCCGGTGATGGTGGTCTCTGCTCCTTTCCCGGTCGTGGTGCCTGCCATCGCGCCTATCCCTCGAATAGTCCCCCGACCTCCGTTCGTGATCTCTGCTCCCCACTCCGTAGTCTCCCTTCCGCCTGTCTGCGCTGTCCCTCCTATCTGCCGGAGGTTTCCCGCGCGGCGAACCCAGGTGCGCGTCCCGCCATCCGCGCGACCCCGAACGAGGCCGCTTGTGCGAGAGCTCTGGGCTGCCATCCCACGGACGCTTTGACCCTGAGGGTACGTTAGTCATGCTTCAAATACTGGTGTTTACAGAGGGCCGCACGATAAAAACAGATGAAATCAGAGAGTCGCTCGACGTACAGACCGTGCTCGTCGTCGTCGAGAAAGGTGGATGTATGCACCTCCGGGCGCCCGATTTCGTTTGTAAGTATCGAGTTTGTTTGGACGTATTTGGCACAACGCCGTCCATAAACGCCAGGTGTTACTCACGGTTCCGAGCTGGGGCGCATTTGGAAGATTTAAAGATCTGTCCAGTATGACATACCGTGTCTTGGGATCCGGGGCATTATCTGAATAATTTTGAGGTCATCTTACCCCGGAGCAAGCCTTAATATCTACGTCAGGCCGAAGCCAAATTCAATAAAGTCTACGATACGGTAATTAACAGGCTCGATGTAGAGTACACGTAAGTACACTAGTCAGTATACAACGGCAGGCGGCCAGCACCCTTGTCCAATACAAGGTACAAACTATCCAAACACTATTGCCGTCTGCGAAGCAATGCTCGCGAGATGTCCACCGCTGACCGACGCTATCTGCGTGGCACGCGCCTTGTCCGCCATGCGCAGCCTATGCTCTAGGATGACCACCGCCAGCACGATCTCATCTGCCATCTCCTCCGCGTCTTCATGCATCGATATCATGGGCGGCAGCCAGATGTGCTGTCCGTTGACAGGTTGTTTGACGCGCGCACGGTCGAGCCATGCTATTGGATTTGCGGATGGCTTGTCGTCGGCGTACAGCTGCAAAACTCTACATGAGCGAAATGAGAAAGGCGTTGGCGTAGGAGCACTTACAGCCAACTGGTTCCAGCTCAAAGACCACCAGGTGTATCTCGAGCCGTGCACATGCATCCTTGCCGGGCTGTGAGTTTTTGTCAGCAAACAGCGAGTAGAATGTGCAAGTAGCGGTACGTACAGAGTGTGCAACAGCGGTACCTCCAGCCACTGATTCAATTGAATATCGGCACCGCCTACAGTGAGGTGGTCAGGTAGGAGATTGCGTCGCTGGATGACTCCCACGCTGACGGGGCCGCTCCCGTCTACGATGCGGGTGACACGGGTCGTCGTCGCATACTTGTCCGAGTGCACGGCGTAGTGCTTTGACGGCTGCCCGTTAATTGTGATCGTAGTGTTATGAGTGCAATTCCGCGTGAACTGCAGCACAGTGCTTGCGAACAGCGGGGTATTTTGGGTAGCTTGCTTAAGTTCGGGGATGTCGACGAGGGTAAGTTGGGACTCCATTTATCACTATAGCACAGTAAACAAATGTACGGCAGAAAGGAAGAGAAGACTCTGGGGCAGCGAAAAGCTGGAGAGCGGTGAGCCAGCCTGTGCTGGTTTTATACCCCAGCTTATCGTCACAGACCCAGGATCGAGAACCGTCCCTTAGTGTTAGAGTCACAGCTTCGTCTCCGGGCGGTGCATGAGATGTTTGGACACTGAATATGTAGCAAACCTTGCTATGACCCTGAGTCATACGCACCCTCTCGATAAGCGTGCGCTGCGATGTCAGTCGGAAGGGCGTACCTGAATTCCGTGATGTATATTCTCTGCGGCTGCGAACTACATCCTCCGAGCGAGTACTAGTCATCGCGCAGGCCGGACGATGACTCGATGTGCTAGACCACTGCAGCGTTCCCCATGAGGAAAAAACGAAGCCATGGCACCTCAGCTCTCGATTACGCTGGCCACGGCAAGCATAGCTCCACACGGTAAGCCAGCAAAGCCTAACTTACGGCGTGACGGATATGGGCGCTGCAGAGGAAGGACAAGAGACAGAGTTTCGCCCTGATCTCAGCCTAATTTGTCCGGATTCTGGGAAGCTTTATCATTTATTCTTTTCTCATTCAAACTTGTCGAATATGCCTGTAAGTAATTCCGCACAATCTGCCCGGGCATTTCTCCGACAGACTTCCGATACTTAGCGCTCAGTGCTCAGTGCGCGAGCACTCACGTAATCCGACTGCTGACTGGTATTCAGATTTTTTCAGAGCTTTCACGTGTTCATTTTTAAGCACGTAAACTCCGGATGGCTTCACGAAGTCTCGCACGAAGTCCTCGATGGATTTCGTGGCGAAAGATATTGACCTGAGCCTCCCGCCGCACATGAAAGACCCTGTTAGCTACCACAGCACGTTTGTCGAAGAGGGTTCATCTTTCTCAATTATCATCTGCATTTTTCTAAATCATTTCTTCGAAAAGCAAAATGTTGAGATTTATCTTGTGACTGGCACCCGAGTGGCCGGCGCGAGCAGTTCAAAGTCCGCGTATTTCAAGCACCAATTATGGTAACTCTCTTGGAAGTGATCTCGCATCTGCACCGCCGACGCAGTGCACCCTGGAGCGTGTATCTAGCGCGACCATCCATGCTGATACTCGCCAGCGGCATCTAAAACGTGCTCGGCGTTGATATAAAGGGCAAAGACCTGCAGGAGAATGCCGTCAGAAGATCTGTTGTTGTTGTTGGACGCTGCGCTCAAAGAAAAGTTCGAGTTTGAGCCGGATGCCGGTTTCGACCGTGGGCACGGAGACAGTGAGCTTTTACTTGCGTGTATTCTCCGCAGTGTGAGCTCAAGGAGGCCAACCACTTTTGTTGCAGCCCCAATCGATGAAGACTATCTCGAACGTCTCCGCTTTTTCTTTGATGACAATCTCCTTTTGGCCGCCTTGGATCTAGTAGATAGAGACAGCGGTAAGTGGGAAGGCCCGTCATGGCGAGCGCCATTCACATTTTTTACAGTCGTCAAGTTCAATACATCATGGGGTCATACACGGTATCAAGTTCTCGGCACCACGACAACATACTCCGTGTTCCCAGGCCAGACCATCGGCTCAAGACGGATACCGTCCTACTGCACATGCGCTTCTTTTGCGTTCTCTGTACTTGTAACAGACGCACAGTACATGGTGTGTGTTCAGTTCATGGATGGGAGGTGGGGATTGACGCTCATGATCCTACATGGCTTACAGTGCAAGCATTTACTTGCTGTCGTCTTGGCCTTGCGACTGGATAGATGCCTTGAACGCACTGCTAACCCAGACGATATCGCCCAAATTTGTGCTCGCTCGGTGTCATGACGTATTGCTCCTGGGCTTCTTGCCGCATGCCGTAGTAGCAAGGTACGTAGCGTCGATGTGGCACGGCTCTTGGCGCCGTCGGAAATCTGTAGGCAGACGGTATTGTTACAACGACCGGTCGGGAAAAAGTATTAGTTGTAACTATTATATGTCGCGTCCTTAGTGAGAGTACCCGGGGCAGTACCAGTGCCAGTACTACAGTACCGCCGGTTCTCGTTGCCCCATGGCTAACGGCAGCTGTTCATTTCAAAGCTCTTGGCTGGAACATGCATGACATTGTAGGCAGGAAATGAGCATAGTGGCTACCGGGCACCGCGCTATATTGCCTTAGCGGCCTTGCCATATCTGGTAGGTGCGTTGACCACGTGGCTGGGATCATTTGCGCTCCCGACTTGAACTTGTTGCCCGCTTGTTTGTCATTGACGTCCGTGGCCTTAAGGCCCTGAGACCCTTTGACCCTTTGACAAAATTTCTTTTTTATAACCATGTCTCATGATGCCTTCGTTGAGGGCAGCTCACAGCTGCGACTGGGCGACTTCCCCGACATGACAAGCACGCCGATTCAACCCCTCCCCTATGCCAACCTCGTTGCAGACGTGGAAGCGGCACGCGACGCGCTCGCAGGACTAGACGAAGAGCTACATCCACCCTCGCGGCCTTCGTCACCCAGCTCCGATGCACGCACGGACTCACTCAAGGCCAAGATCGCGGAGGCCATGAAGTACGCAGGATACAACCCACGGAGCGCGAAGTGGAAGCGGGTGTCGGACCTGATGAAGACAGCGGCCACAAGCAGACGGTATGTCGGTGCTGCGCCTGGCGTTAGGGTAGGCGAAAATGAGCAGGTCGATCTCGGGAACTACAAGTTCGTCTTACCGGAGACTGAGGAGGAGTGGGAACAGTGTGAGGAGCGATGGGCGAAGCGGTTTGAGAAGCCTGCACCACAGGGCAAGACGTCCAAGTTTTTCCCTGCAGGTACCGAGGAACAGAGGTCGCCGTCGAGGGTCGAGTTCGTGCGAGACAAAGTCAAGGCCTGGCAGGCCACGGTTGTCCCAGCGCCGCCCTCCAGTTCACAAGACGGCAGCGAAGTAGGCAGTGTGAGGTCGTCAAAGGGGAAGGGCAAGGAGACAGAGAAGATACGCCAATCTCCCCTTCAGTTCCCCGTAGTCAAACGCCATACGGCTGCTATACCTGGCGGTAAAGACAGTCTCGCTACTGGCAAGAAGGACGTAACGCCCGCGGAGCCGCCGCCGCCTGCTGAGAAAGATGCTCCGGGCAGGTCGCCAACCCCGCTGAAGGGTATAGCAGACTTGTCTGAAATGGTGCGTGATACATACTCACGCCCTCCAGTTTATGCTGACCACGGAACAGGAGTTTATTCCACCATCATTTCCACAGCAGCTCGACACATCTACCCCTCCGCCAAATGCCACCAAAAGGTCGAAACCATCGCCCATACCGTACCACTTCCCGTCTTCACCCTCTTCTTCCCCACAGCTACCTAATTTGCTCGATCACATCGTTTTCCCGCTTGCATCATCCTCGGACCTACCGCAGCCGTCGTCCGATGTAGAAAAGCGCTCTCGGCCAATCACACCGCCGTCCGGAGCCTCTCAGCGCTCCGCCTTCGTGAAGCGTGCGAAGAACACCCCTCCGGCCGACCCTGCCCCGCTCGCGCCGCCGCCACCATCGACACCTCCTCAACCCGCATCACCCCCACACACGCCACCGCGTCTCCTCTCCTCCGGCAGGGGCCTCGGAAACGCGAAAGGCCCGCCCGTACCGTACACCCCAGAGCGCGGCTCGCTGCCCACGCTTACCGAGCTCCTCGCGTCCTCGCGCCGCTCGCGCCCGCGCCCACGCCCGCCGTCACGCAAGCTCCAGAGCCTCACCACGACGCCGGCGCCCGAGCGCCCGCCCACAGACGACCTCGCGCTGCTGCCTGCGCTCGCCGAGGAGGCCGTCCACGCGTGCTCGCGCTCGCGCGAGCCGTCGCCTGCCCCGAGCCGCGCGCGCACGCTGCTCTCCTCGCCCGCGTCGGGCTCCTCGGGCTCGCCGCACAGCAGCGGCGCCGTGCCCTCGCGCCCGCGCACCCCCGAGTCGCCGCTGTTCGCACCGGCACAACAACAACAACAACAACAACAACAACATCAACATCAACAACAGCAGCAGCAGTTGCCGGCGGCGAGCTTCGCGCCGCTGTACGCGAGCACGCAGGCCGGCGCGCTCGCGCTCGCGCCCCTGGGACACGCGAGCCAGTCGCAGGCCGGCGGGATGGTGGGGTACAGCTCTCAGTTTGACGTCGAGGGCCAGGTCGGCTTGGTCAGCGACCTGCTCGAGCGCGACGTCGATTTTGATGGCTGGTTGCGCGACGTGCCCGAGCTGGACGCGGAGACGTAGGTCCAGATGCTGGTCTGGCTATTTTTTTGTTCTCGGACTGTATGCGCGTTTGGTTTGTCAGTCTTGCTTTGAGATCTGAGCCGTGTCGACTGTTATTGTTATTGTATATTTCGTTGACGACAGAGTGTGTGATGTGCTCGTCGTATAGAGCATCGCGAACGAGACCAAACTGTTTAGCGCAGCACCTGTCTTCTGCGAAGCGTTATGCTCAGGAAGATGATGATCACTGCGGTCTTTGTATGCCAAGATCCGTCACTTGTGCTACTTTGGAACACAAATTACCATAAAGTCATGTGCAACACACGTTCGCTTGATATGCATGCGGCAGCTGTGCATATACGCTACGGCATGCTATGACATGTGCGATGAAACAATCTATTTGGCAGCAGCTTCGCGAAGCTATGACATACATGACATCTCGACTCGAGTATGGAGGCTATTAAGGTGTACTTCCATTGTGATAAGTAAGGTTCCGGGTAGGTGCGCCACAGGGGGCGTTGCCAGACAACCCAAGGACCTTCTGCCGTGTGGCTCGGTAGGAGGGTCGGCGTGACACACCATCGGAGGGGGCCCTCCTGGCACATCCTAGAAGGTTTGTAAGCCTATCGCCATGAAATTCGCATATCAACCTGTGCCTCGTCTATCTACTAACCTCTGAATGCGTAAGCGGGCCCAGAGATCTGGGCAGATGCACCAACGAATTCTCAGTTGCGCCAGAGCACAGAGAAACAGTCGCTCGCAAAATAGCACCGTCACCTGCAACGGGCCCAGACCGGCACGGAGGAAGCTTGAGAAAAATATCTGTAGATGAGATGCCCGCATGCGTTTGTGTATGTGCCACGGGCAGCCGTCCCCGTGCGTAGCGAACATAAGTGACCCGCCAGGAAGTTACGCGAAGGCGACCCGCCGGCGGGGCTTCGACGTTCGCGTTGATGTTGACTCCGTGTTGGGTTGCTGCGTGGCGCTACCACTGGTGCGTCGAGATTGTTGCTTCGTGTCCTGCTTTCTGGCCTTGGCCTTCTCCTTCTTTGTCTTGGCCTTTTCCGCTTTGAGTGCTGTTTTTACTTCTTTCTGTGATTGGTATACACGTGAGGCCAGCATTATATACCGACGGGTCATGTACATACCAGCTTGTCCTTCGCAGACGACCGCGCCTTCTGCTCTGTGCGCTCTGGCTCCTGCACACATCATTGGAGTCAATTGGCACAGGTTTGGTTGCGATTCGGTATAATCACAAACCTTGTCATGACGATGATGTTTGTCCACCTTTGCCTTGGCTTTGGTTTCTTGTTGCTGACCGATGATGGACGCGAGCCTCAGCGCTATGTCCTGGAGTTTCAGAGCATGAGCATGAGCCGCCTTCCAGCGACGCGCAGACGTGCCTTTTGCTCCAGAAATTTCTTGGACTGCTTGCCGCTCGCTTTTCCCTTCACTTTCGCAGATGTAGTGACCATTGTATGACCGCGTGTTATGGCGTGAGAGTGAAGATGACGGACGAGAGCAAGATCACCCGAACCTGAAATCTGGGTTTCCATAGACTAGCGCCACGTAAATAAAACCAAATAGTAAGCGTTCGGATCATTTGACAATCTGGGCAATCGTTGTAAACCCCGGCACAGCTCGTTGTACGGCCAGTAGTAAGCAGTCAACTTCTTCTCGCAACGGAAATTGCTAACCAGTGCAGTCGCCGAGATGCGAACCAGTGAAAGTGGCAATCGGGATGTAATACTGGCCTCTCCCCGGTTATGTTCCTCGCAATAGCCGGACGGTGCTGTCGGTGTGGCAGGCAAAAAGCCAAGGCACCACAGTAGCTACAGTGCATAATTTCAGGCCTCTGATAGACCAGTTGGTTTGGCGCCGTACATAAGAGCCCGTGGTACTACAAGATATCGCTCCTTGTACCCTCCGACTGTCTTACCATCAGCAAAACCCCTTGCAGGAAAAGCACCATAAAGCTCGTATGAGCCCAACCCTGGCGCTGCATGACGGAACTTGTATTTCCGCGGCTACTCACGTCGCTTTATAACTACTTCCGAGTGTGGCCTCTGGAGTAGTAAGTCGCCTGTATGCCAAACGTGTAATGAAAGCTCACCACCCCGATAGGAGCGCACCCATTTGCGAGTCTCCACCCATCATTGTGAGCCCTATTTTTTTCAGCTGACTGTCGGTACGCGTAACGGACCGCCCTTCTAGGACTCCGACGGCGACTGTCCTGCGAAAGCCCCCTTGTCACCTCGCTTCGCGTTTGGGAGATAGTAATGGAAGCACAGGACCTACCTTTTTCGATGCATCTTTGACTCTGACATGTACGAACCCTAGGTCGCACCGCGCGCGTGCACGCGTCAGCTCAGCCAGATACTTACAAAGGAATGGAGACTTCCGTCCTGAACCGTGCGCGCCACTGCAGTTGAGATTTTCTGTCTACCACCGCGAATCTGCCTTACAAGTCCAGCGCTGCTCTCCGCGATGCGATAGCTGTAATCAGTAGACAGCTTGTATAAATGGCGGAGGAAAGGTATGAGTGAGGCACAGCGGGCCTACCTCAGCCAAGGCATCGAGCAAACGGCCACTCCTATACTACAATACCCAGCACACACTTAGAAGTAATCGCATAGACAACATGTGCTGCCGCCGCCAGTGAGCAGACCTTCCTTCCCGCACCTCGGCACCTGCTCACCAGTGCACCCGCAGAGTCTGCTACGTCTACACCTGCGGGCACGCCTTCACCATGGTGCGCATTCCTCGTTCTTCGCCCTCCCCACCTTCCGCGAAACTCACCTACATGCGCCGCACTAGCCCGACGAGTATGTTACTTGCGACAATCCGCGATGCAAGTTCAGCCCCGCGCACCCGCCGACGTGCACTGGAGACGCCTGCAAGAAACGTTGCTGGCAGTAGTACGTCCTTCGTTTCTTTTACTCTTCGTAGACGCACTGACACTGAGCTGTGTGCAGCCGCCAGCCGTCCCAGCAATACTGTGAGTAATCTGCACTCAAAAATGCAAAGGCAGCAATACTGATTCACAATCTGTAGCACCTCAGATCGCAGGGCTGTGCCCAAACTGCACGCGGAAGTAGACGAAGAGAAAGGGGCAAAGAGAAGGGAGCTTTTGCCATAGACTCACCCCCCGATAGTATATAACCCCACCGGGGCATACACGCATCCCCTAGTAGCCCACAATCCCCCTTAGACAAGCACGACGGCTTCGCCACCCCTTGTAACCATAACATATGCATCGTGCAAATATTTGCCAATTATACATGGCACGAGCTCGTAACCATACTGGAGGAGGCGCAGTAAACGACATTAACATAATACAATACGAAGGACTCCCGCGTATGCGCGGGGAAAAGGCATGCGATAACCACTTAAACCAAGCTCATAAAGTTCGCCATCGCCTACTCCGACAGCTCATAAAGCAGCTCATACGGCCATACTATGTCTCCGTCCCTCGTCGCCTTCCGCGTGACGCACGCTAGACGACGGCACGACACTCCGCCGTCGCCCCTCGGCAACCCAGGCAGCGGTGCCACTCGATGCCCGCACGCCATACTCACCGTCCGCCTGGGTACCATCGCTTTCGTCGTCTTCGCCCGTCGGTACGTGAGGGCGGCTCTTCTTGCGCTTCACGCCTGCCACCGCCCCTGCGCCCTCCGAAGCGGCATGTCGGGACACCAGCGAGTCCGCTGATGCGCTCTTCTCGAGCGAGCGGCGGGGTATATGCTCGCCCATCGAGCTCGAGCGTCTCAGAGAACCGGGTGGAAGTGGAGGCGGATCTGGCTTGCGCATTTTCCTGGTTAGCAAGCGCAGTTAGCATACACTTCATTGCATAGAAGTCAGAGGCGGCTGAAGATGCCACGTACGTGTTGAGCTTCGGCTCGGCATAGTTAACGCTCTTACGGACGCGTCGCTCGCGACCGCCGGTAGAGTGCTCGGGCTCAGACGATAGGACAGGACTCGATGCACGCGGCGTGGGAAGGTGTGACTGTGACTGTGGCTTTGTGGCAGGTGTCGCAAGGAAGGTGCGCGCAGAATGGGATGAGGAAGACGTCGCAGATGAAGGTGGTGGTGGGTCGTCAATAGGCATATATTGTTCGCGGTCTGCCGATGCGCATATGAGCTGCTGAAACCGAAGCGAGAGCAGTAAAACTTACCATGTGTATCTACCGTTGTCAGCAATGATCGAGGAGGAGGAGCATTGGTGACGTCTTTTAGTTTGGGCTTCTTACTCCCGTAAGAACTTGGAGCAGCACCTTCTACCTTGTCCCTTGACCTCCGCTTGTCCTGCTCCTTTTTGTCCTCGTCGTCTTCATCCTCCTCTTCCTTATACCTCGACCTCCGTCTCTCGTGCTCTGGCATCCGGGGCTCAAGCATGTCTTCCGCATTATCTTTACTCTTCCGCTTCCGTTTCGCGATACCCGCTGCAATCGGCTCTTCGGTCTCGTCCTCATCGTCGTCAGGCATTGCAGCGCCCATCGCAGCTAAAGCCTGATCTTTTCCTTCCTCCATAGCTGCGTCTCTGCGTAGTGGGGAGCCAAACGCTGGGCTCGGCGGTCGCCGAGTGAGATGTGCAGTCTCGAACCCACTTGGAGTCGCTGTCGTAATTGACATGCTCGCGGTCAGCAGTCCACTTTGTCTTCGTGTCGGTCGCTTCTTCCCAACTCTGTTCAGTTGTTCATCGAAGTCAATGAACGGAGAGCGGTCTGGTGGTGGCGAAGATGTTCGCGTGGGTAGAGGCAAGCGAGAGCTGGAGCTCATGCCAGGATTGGATGTTCGTGACTTGCTCTTGCGTCTCCGCGGCGTCGGGCTTGTTTGGATATCGTCCTCGTCGTCCTCGTCTTCCTCGTATAATGCTGGCACGGTCGGCGCTCGGGCTAACCGGTTCGGGGGCGGAGACGCGTTCGTATCGATGAGGGGTCGTCGGGCGCGAGGCGCCGGCTCTGGTTCTGGACTGCTCGATTCGCGAGATATGCGGTGTAATTTGCGAATATAACCTAGTTGTTTCATTAGAGCATGTGTCTATGAGCAGCATTCATGTGAACTCGAGGGCGTTCGTGCGTCGGTAGAGAACTCACCGCAGTCTCTGCGTCCTCAAGAATCTTCCGTGACTTCTCCCGTTCCTTCTTCAGTTGCGCAGCGAGCGCGATCTCCGAGGCGCGCAATCGCAGGTTCTCGACATACAGCGTCGAGATTTGTGCGTTGAGTTCTTCGATGCGCACGCTCAGCGTCGAGTTCAGTCTGCAGAAGGATTAGATGAGCTGTTTAAAGCGCATATAATCGCACACACTTGGTGATGTGTTTGTTCGCGAGGAGGAATTTCTTCTTGACTATATACGAACATGTGAATGGACCATGGGAAAGGCGAGCTGGCGTTTGGCACTTACAAGTCTCGAATTCAAGGAGGGTATCATTTTGGCGGGTGTCTACAGAGACCCTAGAGGGCCTCCTACTCATCGTTCGACGCGATGTCGAGCCACGGCGCTCGTCGTGGTGAACGTTGTGAACAAGTTGTGTTGTCCGGTGCGGTTCGCGTCGCGCGTGGCTATCCACTTCGGGAAGCGCCGATCAATGCGACGTGTACGTGAACCGATCTCATTGCATGCCAGGGCAACATTTACTCCCTTTCAGTGCCGCTAAATTTGCTGTTCCTACCAATCTTTGTGGTAAAGTATTGTCTACCTGCGCCATTCTCGTAGCTAACATCCATCTAGACTTGCGCGTAGACGGCTCCTGCGTCTAGTAATGAAGCTGCGGAAGATAAACACGAAACGTCATTCGTGTAACGGATGCAGTGAACGTGCCAGTGTCGTAAAGCTTTGACGTTACGTTAAGGTTCTCTCCTCCCACGGTATACGTCGAAGTCGGCCCCTCATATCAGCCAACCTAACAGCTATCAAGCTCCTCACTAACGTTCGGCTAGAGTGGTAAGCAGTACACCGAAAATCCTGTCATTTTCTCTCGCATGACGCGCTCCGAGACGGCTCTGATCACACACTCCGAGGCCCGGAGGCTCTGACTTTTCCTCAGATTTGTCTCGTGAGCATGCATGAGATATCGCTAGGCATGTGAAGAGAGCCTGTCTGCCGGGCACACAAGAGCCTCCTCATAAGACAGCGGCCAGCGCAGGCATATTTCCTGTCCCTAGCTACTTCCAGGCTCAGCATGGACGAAGAGAAGAAATTGCCAACCTTTGACGAGCTCCCTAACTTTCACCAATACACGGGATGTGCTTGGGGCCTATGGGGACCGGACGACGAGCTGGGGACAGTGAATCTGCTCACGGAGAAGGTCGTTGCGGAGGCAGTCAAGGACGTTAAGCTAGGGAAGATGATCTGCTTGAACTTGTGAGGGCATTTCATACGGCCAGTTGATGGGAAGCTACTGACCCTCTGCGCACGAAGCCCTGTCAATTTTCCCGGCAAGCCGTGCTTCAAACGCCAACCACTGATCCACAATCAATGGATGCTTTCTGATGCCTGTAACGACGACACGATTTTCATCGTACGTGAAGCCTGAGGCCCGTAGTGCGAGTGCCGTTGAAGCAATTTTTGCAGAATACGCAATCTGGTAGTCAGTGGGACGGCATGCGCCACTTCGGTGTCTTTGGCGGTCACAACATCTTTTACAACAAGTACGTCTCGATTTACAGAATCAACTAAAGCAGTAAGGAATGAAAGTATGGATATCAATTAGCACCCCAGCAGCGAGCTTCTCCCGAGGTCACTTCTTCATCAGCGATCCTGATGAATTGGAACAGAACAAGCACAACACTAAGCTCGGCATTCATAGTAAGCATCCTTCATCACCAGCTTCTCATGCTCTCCTTACTTTTAAGCAGATTGGGCAAAGCATGGCATCTGTGGCCGCGGTGTCCTGCTCGACATGGTGAAATTCTACACCGATGGCGGCGTGAAGCCACTGCCATATGACCCGTGGACGACACATGCGATTCCGGCGAGCGACCTCGAGGCGTGTGCAAAGAAACAGGGCGTCACGTTCAAGACAGGCGACATTCTCATCCTGCGTGTCGGCTTCACGCAGAAATGGTACTCGGTGACGCGGGAGGACCGTGACGCACTGAGCACGCGGACGGAAACTTTGTGCGACTGGTTTGCTTCTGAAGAGCTCGAGCTGAGCTGATGTGCGCGTGCAGCGCTGGGATTGAGCAGTCCGAGGACATGAAGCGCTTCCTTTGGTGAGACGTGACGTGGTTTCGGGACGCATATAGGCACTCAGCTAGTGCAGGAACAACCACTTTGCGGCAGTTGCTTCTGACATGCCTTGCTTGGAGGCAAGTAAATATACCGCTCTCTCTCTCTCGAATGCTGCTGACCTTTCCAAACAGCGTTGGCCCACCCCAGCAGACATACCACATATGCACCAGGTTTGCCCTCTAATATTGTATCCATTTGTCGACGCTAACATCAGTGCCTCTTAGACTATTCTTGGGTAAGCTCGTACTTTGGGATGTAAGGGATAGATGTTGAGACACACAGGTTATGGGGCATGCCCATCGGCGAATTCTTTGAGCTCGAGGATCTCTCAAAGGCTTGCGCTGAGGCAAACAGGTATACGTTCTTCTTCTCGTCATGGCCGCTGAACGTGTAAGTGCCCCTGCTTCATATTGCGCTTGCATGTCTTCATGCGCAATTCTGTGTAGTCTGGGCGGTGTTGCGAGTCCGCCAAACGCTGCTGCGAGTATCCTCTCTCCGCTCAGACTTCAAGCGCTCATGCGTTTATTGCAGGCGTATCTGTGAAAGTGTCAGTGACTGGTAGATGGACGCTGCGATGAATCCCGACTTGGTGACGTATGCAAATATTCTTCCAGCCTTGCCCTTCGAGTATCAGACCGAAAATCGTTGTACAATCAGCAGATGCCCAGGCTGCAGCTCGACATTTTCTCCTACCAATATACGTTTTTCTATAGTACAGTAGCTATATTGGATGATATAGAGGTTCGCAGCCTAAGTGCCGATCGTGATGCAGTGAACCGATCTCATCTTGCACCGCCAGGGAACCCTCCTCTCTAAACTAGACTTCTTTCAGTATCTTAGGCTCGTGAACCGGCCTCTTAGATTGCGGAAGGGATAAACCACCGTTCCTGATCAGTATCGCTGTATTTACCGTTGGTGAGTTTGTACGACGTCTGCTCGCACGCTCTTGTAGTGATATTGATTTCCATCCAGACTTGTGCGTAGACAAACACTGCGGGGTCTACTTGGTAATGCAGAAGATACAGTATACACAAAACGCCGTTTGTGTAGCAGATGCGGCAAGCAGGATACCAAAGGACTGTGCGACTTTCCCTTGCGTAACCACCTGTATTCCGAAACTGCGCTGCATATGACACGCCTTGAGGCTCGTGCCTGTGACTTTCCCTCAGCTTCACACTACCGAGAAGAGTCTCGTGGACATTCCTGAGATATCACCACGACCGTGGACAGAACCGGCCCGACGGACACGAGAGCCCTTTAAGGCGGCGGGCAACCTCGACGACTTGAATCGAACTTGTTCCCAGTCAGAATCAGCATGACCGAAGAGAAGAAACTGCCGACCTTTGACGAGCTCCCTCATTTCCACCAGTACACAGGATGCGCGTGGGGTGTATGGGGGCCGGATGACGAACTCGGGACGGTGAACCTATTGACGGAGAAGGTTGTCGCAGAGGCACTCAAAGAGGCCAAGCAGGGAAAGATGATTTGCTTGAACCTGTAAGAGCTTCAGTGTGTCGTGCAAGCGGCTTGCTGAAGTGTGCTGATCTTGCGGGTATAAGCCCTGTCAACTATCCCGGCAAGCCGTGCTTCAAACGTCAACCTCCGATCCACAACCAATGGATGCGTTCTGAAGCCACCAACGACGATATGCTTGTTCTCGTACGTGAATCATTAGGTGACGAGACGAGTTTAGCTGAAGTGGACCTGGCAGAATACACAATCTGGCAGTCAGTGGGACGGCTTGCGCCACTACGGTGTTTTCGGTGGCCACAATGTCTTCTATAACAAGTAGGTCTCGATGCTCAATAATGACTCTATTATCAGAAGAAATAAAGTCTAAACGCCAACCAGCACACCGGCAGCAAGTATCGCCCAGGGCCATTTCTTCATCAGCGATCCCGACGAACTGGAGAAGAACAAACATAAGATCAAGCTCGGCATTCACAGTACGATGTCCTCTCCACCAGCTCCTAGTGCCATTCTCACTCGTAAATAGATTGGGCAAAGCATGGTATCTGCGGCCGCGGTGTTCTGCTTGACATGGTGAGATTCTACACTGAAGACGGCGCGAAGCCGCTGCCATACGACCCGTGGACGACGCACGCGATTCCGGCGAGCGACCTCGAGGCGTGTGCAAAGAAGGAAGGCATTACATTCAAGACAGGCGACATCCTTATCCTGCGTGTCGGCTTCACGCAGAAATGGTACTCGGTGACGCGGGAGGACCGTGAAGCGTTGAGCACGCGACCGGAGACCTTGTGAGACGAGCCTGACTTTTTGAGCATTAGTTGAGCTGATATGCGCGTGCAGCGCCGGAATCGAGCAGTCCGAAGATACGAAGCGTTTCCTCTGGTGAGCTATGGCGTGGTCTCGGGGCGCATATAGACACTGAGCTAGTACAGGAACAACCACTTCGCGGCCGTTGCTTCTGATATGCCTTGCCTAGAGGTAAGTATATATTCTAGTCCGTTTGGAGATTGCTGCTGACATTTGCTCCAGCGCTGGCCCACCCCGGCGGGTACGCCGAACATGCATCAGGTCCGCCCAGCTTTATACACATACCTCTTCTTGATTAACGTTATTGCTCCTTAGACTATCCTTGGGTAAGCCTATACTTTGGAAAGCGAAAGATTAACTTTGCTAAGACACCATAGACTGTTCGGCATGCCCATCGGCGAGTTCTTCGAGCTCGAGGACCTTGCAAAGGCTTGTGCCGAAGCAAAGAAGCACACATTCTTCTTCTCGTCCTGGCCGTTGAACGTGCACGTGTCCCTCCTCTAATTGTGCTCGTACTTGCTCATGTGCGATTTTTTACAGCCTGGGTGGTGTTGCGAGCCCGCCAAATGCCGCTGTAAGTATCAATTTCATCCGCCCAGACCGCACGTGCTCATACGTTCATTGCAGGCGTACCTGTAAAGATGTCACCAACTCGGTGAATATCGGCGGCCCCGCGTGTCGTACACACCCTTTTCGCTTTACCTCTTGAATTTCAGACAGGGAGCCATTGTACAATTAGCAGATACCTCGGCTGTATCCTAGCGTCCACTTCTATCAGCAGTAGCCTTAGACGACACCGAACGCCGCATGCAAGCGGTTTTGTGCAGTGTGTAGAACCATATAACTTATTTGAACCGGGCCCTGAGGCCTCCGAGATCTACCTAGAACGGTTCGGTTGTCAATTCGCGCTTATTTGTTGCTAAACATATTTATCCATGCCTACCAAGCCGTCGGCGGACCTGTAGTTTGAGTCGCAAGAGATGAGAGAACATGTGCAGGCAAAAATAATTCTGCCAACTCCAAGTCTCCGCGCAACAACTCTGAGCGGCGGCGGTTCTTGCCTAACCTCAACAACTACGCACGGACTGTTCCCGATTCACATCGTATTGGCAGTCGGCTTCGCGCGCGCTGGACAACAATCTGGCCGTGTCCGTGGATGATCCGCCAGTAACTCAACCATAACGAAAATATCGTAAAAACTCGTCATGAGATAAATATGCGATGACGAAAAGGCACGCTTTCGTTTCGAGAGGGAAAAACTGAAGTCTCGGAACAAAAGGGGGGGAAGTTATAAGGCGAACAGTGATGGCTCTCAGAGCACGAGCGGAGAATGAGATGAAGTGTCCCAAGGGAGCGGTAAGTAAGAGAACTGAGAAAGTGATGGCAAGAGGCCTGGTGGAGTATGTCCGAGAAATAGAATGTAGAAAACGAGAGCGAGAGCAGTGAGTGAAACCGCACGGCTACAGCTGTACGCTGTACAGTAGTTAGCGAAAAACCACATACATATTTGCATGTGAACATACCTAGAATGCTCCCACTAAGTGCTCCGTAATCTCCTTATCAACTCCCCAATCTCGTATTTGCTCCTTCGAGAACATTGCTTGCATACGGCTCTCCCACGGTATGTCTGTCCCATACATCATTGGATATCACATCGCCTTCACCAGCTCCCAGTGCTCCGGGAGCCACCCCGCCTGGGCCCAATCGAGGACTGCCACAATCTGCGAGCCCTTGACGAGAATATTCCTGGGCGCAAGGTCTCCATGCGTAAACACGACCTGGTGATTGTCTCGCATCCGCCTACGAGTCTCCTCGAGTATCTCCGTGCAGATGAAGCTTTCCGCCATGGGCACAATGAAGTCATTGAACTCTGCTTCGTCTGCGAACGGGCCGATCTTGCCCGTTGACGTGATGCGACTGTCCCGCAACGCTCCGCCATTCACCGCGCAGACCCTGAGGCCGTGCATCGGCGGTAGCGCACGCAGCTGAAATACATAGTCTTGCAGCTGCTCGGCAATGGCGTCGCGCTGTTCGTCGTTCAGGTGATGCCATGCGAGCTCTAGGTTCTCGCCTTCGACGCGGTCCATGAGCAGATACCGCGAGCCGTGTCCGTCTGCTTGTGCGTATACACCGGGAACGGGAATTGTAGTGTGTAACCTGATGTAATGCAGTGTAGCGGCTTCTTCGGCTTCCCAGCCAAGCGGCGTTGCCTTGAGAGCCAGATCCCAAGAGAGGAACCGGACACTGTCGATGGTGTTGAAATGCTTGGGCCATGGACGGTGCAAGTACTGTGAAGGTTGCAGCATAGCGTGAATATCGCTGCGAGAAACATTGCCAGACGTCAATGCGGGGAGATTTTGCGAAAAGAACTCGAGCGAGCAAGCGATCGCAATGGTTTGGTGGCACTTTAATTTGTGGCCCTATTGGCGCTTTCGCCGACGAGGAGCGCTTCTCGTCCCTGCACGACGCACGTCGGTGCGTGTTCGTTCACCACCCTGCACAACTATGTGCACGAATGAGCACCTTAGCGTACTTGGAAAAACCTACGGTCGTATCCTGTCGGTGCGTCAATAATCGTTACACAAGTAGCCTCGCGGACGGCCAGAGCGGTTCTGCTCCACACACTGTGCCAGCGTGGTCCGTACTTAATAGCGTTAGCGGCGACAAAAAGGGTAGTAGCAGCAAGGTCACCGTCCCTGCGAATTCCTCCATCATGGGTCCCGCCGAGGCGTACACGAACATCCCGGCGTCCCTGTCGGGCTTTGCATTCATGCTCCGCACATTATGACCCCGAAGAAGTTGCAAGTAAGCTCAAAAGCATGGACGCGCAATCCAGTGCCGAAGACCCCTACGCTTGACACAATCGTGCAGTGCTGGGTGGTACCCGCAGGACAGACTGCGGGAATCCTGAAGCGCTGTCGCGGGCACAAGACGACGTCTCGATGGCCTTCCAGTTCCTTCCAATTGCTCCGATTGGTGATGATAAACCTTGCCCATAGGACATTGCACGCAAGCTCGGTGAGGATATATACGGAAGTCTACGGAAAATGCGTAAGCTTCTTGGCGTACTACGCATAATAATGTTGCGCTTTGGGTTTGCCGACACCGATTACATGGATATGCTGGGTAAGAAGCGAGAAACTGGCCTGAACCAGCCTAATCTCGGGAGATTCCCAGCGGGCGGGTCATAGAAGGCGAATAACGTTAAGTGGAGATTGGAGGGGGTGCATTTTGCGCAGAGCGACGTCGTGCAGGGGTATGCGATGAAGATTAACGTGATTGGTTCGCCGGAGGGATCGACGAACGTTACGTTGCAAGGGGAAGAGTGTGGTGAACGAGGACTAGCAAAGGCCTTTATCGAGGTGTAGACTACGCTGGATAGAGTCCGCCGGTGGCTGTCGGGTTGGGTGTATAATCACCGTCTCGGTTAGGGTCCCGGATCCCATTTTGGACGTGCCGGTCGATCAGGCGCATCAATTTGTGCGCCCGTGTCTCGCTATGGAGTCGTGGCGCTTCCTTGCTCTCTTCCCACCACAATGCAGCCTATTTCACAAAATCCAGGCGAGTCCTTACGCCCTCCCCCTAAGTATGTCGCATGCTGTAGAGAGAGATAACGCTGTACCGCATGCTTTACGTTGTGCCTCATCGCTTCCCGAGAGCACCTTACACTCACATGACACCGAGAACTTAACTTGTTCACGGCGAAGAGCTTCTTCGGCACGGTTCTATTGCACTTTGCAGGGCCTGGTACGGCATATCTGGCTTGCTGCAACAGTCATGCGCGTGTTGCAGTATGGATATCTGGGTCAGGCCGTGCTTCTCATCATCGGCCGGGGACTCATGTGGTTCTGTAGGCCCTCTCCTCAAGTATCAGCCGCTTCGTAAACTGAAGGCTTGGCTAATATCCATGCACCAGAAGTGAGCCAAATTTCTCACGGCATTGTAAAACTGAGATGTCCGTCGCCTCACATCTTATAGCTTGCATGATTGTAGCGAAGAGTGCCTCAGATCCGTCGCTAACGCAGCCATGATTGCGCGGTAATTGCTACGGAAAAAAGGTAGACTGCGTGGACGAGTCATCTTACAGTGTTGTTTATCAAATTTGCAGTGCGGTCGCCGAGATGAACGGTGCCCGGCAGTCGTCGCGTCCTCCTTTCGTCCGCTCTCCCAGCTATCGCCCTACTTGGCCTGGACTCTCTTCATTCGGAGAAGCACAGATGCGTCGTGTGCTTTTCGATGTACTCGGGATGGCATGACCATGGGCTACGTCGTGCTTCCCAGACAAGTAGGCGTCAGGGCACTTGGTGCCCGCTCTGCAGCACTATAAAACCACGCGTTTTCGACGAACAGAAAGCACCAAGGCCACAGCCTTGTTCTCTCGCACGCGGTACAAGATGATGTCCAAGTTTCTCATCTTCTCTGCGCTGTTCTCGCTCGTGTTCGCGAAGCCCACCGCTCGCAGCATGAAGGTCCGCGAGGCGATACAGAGTGTGCCCGCGGGCTACGTCCGCACCGGCGCTGCTTCCGCAGATACCGAGCTGAACCTGCGTATCGCGCTCGTGCAGAATAACCCAGAGGGGCTCATCGACGCGCTGTACTCTGTCAGCACTCCAGACAGCGCGTCCTACGGCGAGCACCTCAGCAAGGAAGAAGCAAGTATCTTTATCCCAAGCATGTTGTTCGTACTAACTTGCACTGTTAAGGCTGAGAACTTTGTTGCGCCGACCGCACAGAGCACCGAAGCTGTCAATTCCTGGCTCGAGCAGGCCGGGCTAAGCGCCGCCACCATTTCGCCGGCCGGTGATTGGCTCAGTGTTTCCGTGCCCGTGGGCCAGGCGAATGAGCTCTTCGATGCCGACTTCGCTGTCTATACCCACTCCGAGACTGGCAAGCAGGCAATCCGCACCATGAGCTACTCGATTCCCACTGAGCTTGAGGGACACCTTGACTTCGTTCACCCTACAATTACGTGAGTAGCACTGTGGCCTAGTGTGAGACTTGACGTTGACTCGACCCATGTTACAGGTTCCCGAGCCCGATCTCCCTGCGTCCCGTCGTCTCGACACCGTCTAACCCCGGGCGCCGCGCTATCGAGCCTTTGGCTTCTTGCTCGACTTCGGGAATCACCCCCGACTGCGTCCTGTCTCTCTACGGCATCCCCACCACAAAGGCGACCCAGAGCTCAAACAAACTCGGGGTCAGCGGTTTCGAGGATGAGTTCGCCAACAAGGCTGATCTTGCAGTGCGCACGATACTCGAAGGTCAGGTGCATTCAACACTGACAATCAACGCTACAGACTTTTTTGAACGAGTTCCGGCCGGACCTCGAAGGAGAGACATTCTCCCTTCAGACCGTTGATGATGGCCAGAACCCGCAGAATGCCAGCGAGGCCGGTCTTGAGGCGGTATGTCTCTGTCTATCGCGCTCCGAAGAGTGTCCTTATTGGCCGTACTCGATAGAACCTTGACATCCAGTACACCGTCGGCATTGCCTCCGGCGTCCCAGTCACATTTATCTCTGTCGGTCTGGAGAACAAAGACGGAGACCTTATGGGCTTCCTAGACATCATCAATTTTCTCCTTGGCGAGTCTAACCCGCCACAAGTCCTGACCACCAGCTACGGCTTTGATGAGAATACGATCTCGTTCTCTCTTGCCAAGTAAGTTATGTTCTCAGCCCAAGCTCAACATGATACTGATTGTAAGCAGCAACCTTTGCAATGCTTACGCTCAACTCGGTGCTCGTGGAACGTCCATTCTCTTCGCTTCTGGCGACGGCGGTGTCTCCGGCGGACATACTTCGAGCTGCACCGATTTCGTCCCGGTTTTCCCCACTTCCTGCCCATTGTAAGTGTCTCCTGCGAATCTTTCTCTTGATGACCTTGCCGACTACGGACTGGCAGCGTGACCTCCGTCGGTGCCACTCAGCTCACCTCATCCGGCGGCGAGACCGCCGCGTCGTTCTCCTCTGGCGGCTTCTCCGACTACTTCGGCAGGCAGTCATACCAAACCTCTGCCGTCTCGTCCTACCTTGCCTTCCTCGGGTCCACGGACAGTGGCTTGTACAACACCTCAGGGCGCGCATTCCCAGACGTCTCCGCGATCGGTGTGAGCCTCGAGATCGTCATCGAAGGCGAGGTCGAACTCGTAGACGGCACGAGCTGCTCGAGCCCTATCTTTGCGAGCAACATCGCGCTCATCAACGACGCACTCATCGCCGCCGGCAAGAGCCCGCTCGGCTTCCTCAACCCGTTCCTGTACGCGAACCCCGGCGCGTTCCACGATATCACGACCGGCGATAACCCGGGGTGCAACACCAACGGCTTCCCGGCTACAACGGGCTGGGACCCCGTCACGGGCCTGGGCACCCCCAACTTTGCGGCTTTGAAGGCGGCGGCTGGTGTTTGAACATCGCAGCACTAGTTGCACTCAAATTAATTGTACAATATGGGCTAGAAGTTTCATGTTTTCTTTTGGTTTACTGCAGACAAAGTATATTTACGTCTGTTACAGGCTCGAAGTTGAGACACACTAAGTGCCGGGTGGGGCCGCTTGTCAGCCGCGCCACCCAAGGTTTGGGGTTTAGGGTCTAGCGCGCCTCGGGCGCTTTTCGTCTTTTCCGTCACCCACCACCCGAAATCGCCCACATTGACTGCGGTTCTCCTGCCGGTAACGACAGGTCCTCCGAAGGATAATTTTGTGGTGTTGCTACTGCTTACTGGACGAGTCTTGAGACAAGCAGTCTCACTTCGCGTGACCGCCGGTATTGAACGGCGCGAACAGCGCCGCCAAAGGGCGGGCGCGGCATGCCTAGATATGCGAAGGTTGGTGTAGAGCCTGCTTCGATAATTTCGCGTCGTTCTTGACACAACTTGCAGGTTTTCATCGACAAAAAGGGAGAACCCATCAGGTTCTTCGTCGTCACCGGTCGTACATTCGTGTCGGAGGAAGGCGGACTAGAAGCGGTACGTGCGAAAGAAGCCAAGGTCAGGATTGAGGTGCGTGCATATGGCTCCGTGGCGTGCGAACCGCTTTTGACATCGTGGTTCGGCTCCCTATATCACAGCGACATGGCGGCAAGGTCTCCGACCGCATCGAGGATGCCGACGTCTGGATCGTGAACGACGGCGTACTCGACAGGTACAAGCGGTACTGTGCCCATGATCCCAATCACCGTGCAGAGGGCACCGGCTTTATTCAGAAGTGCATCGAACGGAAGTCTTTCCAGGACGAACTGTTGGAAGACAGGACAACCATGCACGGGCGTCATCCTGGGAGGTAAGTCCATCACGACCACAATATATTCGAGGCAGACTTAGACATGTGCATAAGGCGTTCTCACTACACCGATGAAGAAGAAGAAACGTTGTGCCAGTGGATTGCAATGAAAGTACCTGAGATGGGTGCGGGTGGGCGCTTCGGGGTCAAGATTTATGAGCAGCTCGTAGCACACGGGGAGGAGGTAGGCGCACCTAAGCACTCTGGCGCAATCGTAATGTTGAATGTTGCTTCCAGTATCCAGAGGGCCTATGGCGGCTGGCGAACAATCATCCAATGCAGTCCTGGAAAGAACGCTACAAAAAGAATAGCGTGCGTCTGGATGGCAGGATCGACACAATTATAACCGAGAAGGGTTACACGGTCGAGTCAAAGGCGGCTTACAGGAGCGACCGCAGGTTGAATAAGCGCGCGCGCGCATATGCCCTGGAAGAGGAAGAAGAGGAGGAAGACCCTGACAAGCAAGGCGAGTTTGCCACGAGTGAAAATGAGGAGGAGTTCCCGCCTCCACGAAAGCGACAGAAGCATTTCGAGAGGTAATAGTGCAGCTGCTTTGATATTTCTTTTGTCTAACGCAGTCTCTTCCATTCAGGGAAGAGGGGGAGGGGGAGGAAGAGGAAGATCCCGAACCCGATATCCCAGAATCATCCGGTCGAGGGCATAGTCCTGCTGTAGAAGCTGGCGAGAAGCTCAGCTCGCCTCCGAACACGCAGCGCACACTCGTTAACCCCACGCAGGGCACATCCGTTAATCCAACGCCGCGAACACCCGTTAACCCAGCGCCGCGCACGCCCGTTAATCCAATGCCGCGCACACCACGAACGTACTCGAGGCGTACCGATAGCGATCGGCGGCCCCGGGTGGTCACAGAAGTCAGGAGCCAAGACGAGGCCTCGAGTACGGCACAAGCCGCCGCGGCGTCGTCGAGCCGCGTTCGGCCAGCTATCGCAAGAGCCAACAGACGCAGCCCGTCCGTGGAGGTCGTTAGCTATGATCACAGGGCAAGCAGTGCAGCCGTGCGAGCGAGTAGATCGCCCTCCGGGTCGCTGCACCAGGTCGTGCGTGATCTGGACGAAAACGAGCTGGAGAATGCGGGATCTTTCACTACGGACACGGATGACGCACGCGCGAGAGATGGGCTGTTTGAGGATGCTGCTGTCTTTGGATCAGATGACCCTTTCGAGGTTAGTACTGCGGAGGATAACTGAACAGCTGAGACGGCATCCTCGGCTTACATACAGACTTCTCTTTCATGACTATCTCTTGACCATGCTATCAAATCATTATATTCTGGAAGACTATGTCTTGAGAATGTTTTTCGAACCAGACGTTCTGGAAATGCGACTAGTAAGCGATAATCGATAAGCCCGCATGTGCACCACGTCAGGTATTCTGTCTTTCCTCCTCGTCCCGCACCACCCCCCTTGTGGGCCCACAGATGTTCGCCTGCGGGCCATCGAGATCGATAGGCGTCGCCAGCGCTGCGGCCACGCCGGCTTCGTACACAGACAGCCGGCGGCTTTGCGCGACGTAGAGCGTGTCGTCCTCGCTCTCCCACTCGACGTCCTCCGCGACGCTCGTCTCTCCCGAGCCGGGCAGCGGCGCGTACGGCAGCGAGGGCGTTGCAGGCGTGCTCTGCACAGCTTTAGTGTCGTGCGCCGGCTCGTCTTCCAGTGCTTTGTCTGGGACCTGTCATGCAATGTGAGCTGGATAGAGTGCAACGGGGCGCGCGGACGTACGGGGAAGCGGATGAAGTACGCGATAAACGTCGAGCATGCTGCTGCAATGAACACGGAGCGCAAGCTTCCCGCGTAAGCATCGCGTGCGGCGCGTTGCAGGTCTGGTGGTAGTTGCGCGACGAGGGTGGCGGAATGTCTTATTCTTGTGATAAGCTGACGCAAACCGAATTTAGCTAACGATACGAGAGACTGATGCGGGCAGAAGTACCTCCTCAGCACCACGGCCAACGATCCGGTTGTGCAGCTCGATGTTCAGACTCGACTGGAAGATCGCGGACGAGAGGCCGACACCTGCCACTTGACCTTAAGATTCACCTCGGGTCAATTTTGTGGGCAAGGTTAATTGCGGCTGAGGATACATACCGACGCCACGCCAGAACTGGCTGAACCCTGTGCCTATTGCGAGAGCGGAGGCTGAACAGAAGAATGAGCGCCTAGGTAATATAATAGCTTTGTATCCACTTACCAGGGATATGAGACAGAAGAGCGACTAAAAAGTGTATTCAGGCTAGTCTGAAGTAATCCTATAGGCTGGACACTCACTGAGCATTGTCTGAAGCACCACTGCATTTCCGAATCCAAGGGGGAGCTAGAAAGAGGTTTGTTCAGCACTTCAGCATTAGAATGAGCCGGTTACGCACAATGCCCAACCAGAGAAGAAGTGGGTGTGAGTTTTCGGTCATCATGCTGATCATAATTGTTGAAATGAAGGGAAGGATGCCGCACACGAGCGTCAGTGTCCTGTATCTCCCAGTGCGGTGCATAATCCAGCTGTATGCGATACGTGAGCACGACTCGTCCCACTGTATCGTCTCAATGAGATCTCACCCCGCGAAGAGAGACCCGAGCGATAGCGAAATCCCATTAGGGATCAGATGTGCCCCTGCAGAAGGCTGCTTTGGCACTCAGAACACTGCAAGCGCTCGGAGATACTCACCGGCCTCGCCGGCACTGGTCAGCATGACGGTCTGGAACCACGTAGGCAGGTTGTACATGATCGCAAAGTTGCACATCGAGACCATGAAGCTCGCCGTGCCTACGAGCATCGGCACCTTCATCTGCACGAGCGTCGGCGGCAGGATCGGCTCCCGCGCATACTTGATCTCCACCACGAAGAACGTGACGGCGAGGACGGCCGCCGTGACAAACGTTATGTAGACGACCGGCGAGGTCCACTGGGCAGGTGACGGATATCAGCGTCTTTCTCGGCAAGATGAACCCGCTCAACTGACCGGCAGTTCATTGCTGTAGCGCGCGGTAAGGAATACCAGGAACGACAAAACCTGGAGACAATAAATGTTAGTTCGCTGAACCGGGGTCACCAGGGGAGGCGACGGACGGCACCAAGTAATGAAAAACTACCGCCATAGTCGATCTTCTTCAGGATCTCCTTGGCGCTGGCACCCCGCCCCTAGGGAGACAAGTTTAGCAGGCCCACCTAAGCGAGATAAGAAAAGGAGAAGAGTAACACACCGGCGTTGGGTAGTGCAGATTCCACGACGTGAGTGCGAGCGAAATGGCAAAGAGGGGCAGCTGCGAGAGGAATGCCCACCGCCAGCCGAAGCTGCCGCATTGCAATCAGCAGTCTAACAGGATGCGATCCTGCGCAGCAACGCACCGGTCGTTAATGAACCCTCCAAACGGGCCGCCAAGTCCCATGCCTAGCTGGAAGGTTCTTAGTGCCACGCGCTTCTTTTCGAAGCCTGCGGAGACGTACGCTTTCGAAGATAGCCGCGACGCCCTGGGTGAGACCCCGTGACTGCAATACATCATCGTCAAGGGTTGCTTGGAGCTCTCCCATGTACTGGCACGTACCCGCATACTGTACATATCGCAGGTGATGATCCTAGCGCGAGTGTCAGCCGGGCATTCGCAGGCACCAAATACGGACTGTAAACTCACGAGGCAGTCGTGAAGACGCCGCCGCCACCCATACCGGCGACCTGCGCAGGATCGTTAGCGTTCTGCGGTGTCAAGTAAGTTCTGCTGGCAAACGCACGAATCGAGCCGCGATGAGCATCTCCATACTGTTCGAGAGCCCGCAGACGGCCGTGCCTATCGCGGCGAAGGTGACTGCCGTCTGATTCGCTGCGCGCCGTCCCATGGCATTGCACAAACGACCGTACAGGGGCGTGAACGTACAAGTCGCGAGGAGATAGCTAGGTACAGATCTCGGTTTCAATATGCCGCTGCGAGAAGGGTATTTAAGTCGGCACTTACGCCGTTCCCAGCCAACTCGCTTGGTGCGACTTCTGGAAATCTGACGATATTGAGGACAGCACTGGGACTTGTCGTCAGAATAGGACCCCAAAGTGTATCGAAGGTGCACATACGGGTTGCTACCATAGTCGCTAGAAAGGGGACACAAAGTTAAACCAGATATCACGGAAACCACATGCGCACATACTGTTCAAGGCCTTTGGAATATTTAGCGAGCAGTACTGGCACGTAATGGAAATGGACATGGACATACCGAGAGAAAATTGGCTATCCATACTCCTACCAGGATACCGTAGCGAGTTGACTGTGGCAGATCCAGAGGCCCAAGCTCCGAATGGTGCTTGACGCCATAATCTTTTCGGTGTCCATCGTCGTGGGCGGGGTCCAAGAGTCGTGTACGTTCGTTAGCGGTCATTATCAGTCGTGAAAGCCGTGACGGGCTGCTGGATATGCCTGCATCTATTATGTAGGAGCAGCGAAGACGCTCCTGGAAAGATTTTATGCATAATCGTGGTCCAATCAAGACCCCCAGGGTACTGATCCGAAAGTGACAAGGCAGGTGCCTTCGGAAGACCGAGAACGAGCCTCGAGTGTAAGGTGGCGAAGGGTTGAAGAGGAGCCGCGTTTATTGGAGAGGTGGAATTCCGAATTGGACAGTCGGAGTTATACCGAGCAAGACACGCTTTTACGTTCCGAGTCCTAGTAGAAGCTCCAGAATTTTCTCGAGCTGATATCGCCTGCATGGCCGTGCTTGCGATCTTGTCAAAATCTGTGTCGGGCTCGGAGCTCACAGAGCTGGAGGCAAGTCAAATGGAGTATTTTTTAAAAAAGTCAGTGTCACGTACTTGCTATTGTTCTATGACCAGAAAATGAAGAACTGCCACAGTGATGCAGACGGTCATTTGACGGGGCGGACCCAGCTCGAAAAAATATTGCAGCCGACGGTCGATTCTGTTGTACAGACGTAAGTGCTGCAAGTTCAGAACACCTCTCGCGAACTTCGAAAGGCATCAGTTTCCTAAGCGCGTGATAAACGCCGTTCGCAATCCCATCACGGATGGCGTGATGCCAGGGCGCTCGGAGGAACAGCCGCACGAGTGTGCAACTTTTCCATGTCTGTAAAGCTCATTCCCGCACTCAAATGGCCTAGGAAAGTGTGGATAAACTTCGTACGGCGACTGATAGGTGACGACGACGACAAGCGTATGGTAAGCCACGAGAGAGGTATGATGCCAGTGATATCGACCAGTGACCGGTGACCGTCGGTGCTATGAGTATGCCATATAGTAGTTGCCAAAAGCAGGTAGAAGCATGTCTCAAAGCGAAGGTTACATAAGTAATATCTAACCGAGTGATGAGCTCAATAGCTATTAATATGACTTTCCTCATGAAGCTGAAGGCTCAGATTTTTGTAAATATTATCTAAAGAGTAGGATCTGCGTTAATGAAACATATACTACAGTCGTTACTTGGGATTAAAATACATCTCTATGTACAACGTCAAAGTTCCATACGATCGTACGTTAAGTTAAATAAAGACATTACGCATTATGGTATCGTTTAAAGGCCCGCAGCTGCCCTCAGAGCAGGATAGTTGGGGGTTCCAAGACCGGTGACAGGATCCCAGCCCGACGCGGCAGGGAAACCATTGGTGCCACACCCTGGATTGCTGCCGGTCGTGATGTCATTGAACGCGCCAGGATTCGCGTACAAGAACGGGTTGAGGAATCCAAGCGGGCTCATGCCCGCCGCGGCGAGCTCGTCGTTGATAAGCGCGACGACGCTCGCGAAGATCGGCGTAGAGCAGCTCGTCCCGAGGACCGTCAAGTTTTTGCCGTTAAGGATGATCTCGACGTTCGTTCCGATGGCTGCGACGTCCGGGTACCCTCTCATCCCGCTGGTGAACTCGCTCTGGATATCGCTGGGAAGCCCGGAGACGTACGACTGCACGACGGACGCCTGGTACGACGGTACAGCGAAGATGCCCGAGAAGCCGCCAGAGGAGAATGGTGCTCCGGTCTCGGTGCTTGGGCTCGTCAGGGCGGTGGCGCCGACCGAAGTTAGGCTAACGCGCGTCAGCGACCAGTTCGGAAATCAGGCTGAGAGACTCACAAGGGGCAGCCAGAAGGGAAGGTGGGTACGAAGGATGTGCAATTCTGCTGTCCCTCTCCTGAAACGCCGCCATCGCCTGAGGCGAAAAGGATAGAGGTGCCACGAGCGCCCAGCTGAGCATAGGCATTGCAAAGGTTCCTGTCAAATGTCAGCGGTCGTGTGCCACACGTAGCCGTGATTGTAGCTCACTTTACGAGAGACAACGGCATCAGAGGCTCGTTATTACCATAACTAGTGGACAAAACTTGAGGTGGATTTGGCTCGTTAAGCAAGAAGTTGACAATGTCCAGGAAACCACTTAGGCCGTCCTGATTCTTCTCGCCGACAGAGATGAACGTTACTGGAACGCCAGAGGCTACGCCGACAGTGTACTGGATGTCGAGGCTCTGGGAGACATAAGTTTCAAGGAATCACGTCGACTCAGAGAGGAACATACTGCTTCGAGGCCTGCCTGGCCTTCCTGCTCTGAGTCGGAACCACCATCAAGGGACGCCACGGCGAAACCTGTGTCCCCGAGGTCTGGACGGAACTTTCCAAGGAATGTCTACAAGATTACTGTCAGTGACGAGCGTTCATGAAATTGAATAGAGATACTGACATTAAGATCGATCTCATTGACAAATTCGTTGAGGAAACCGCTCACGCCGAGCTGGTTCGAACTCTGCGTGGCCTTAGTCGACGGAATATTGTATAAAGTCTGAACACAATTGGGTGTCACACTGAGGGGCGTGCATGGTGTGTCCCGAGCTGTAAGGTTGGCACTGCGACCTAGTGGCCTCGGCGCTGTAACGAATGACTTCGCAGAGCTCGGATTCGGAAATCTATCGTTCGCTGTGAGACTCACTTTCGAGCAGGATGACGAAGAATTGCGACTCACGAGACAGTCGGATGGACGAAATCGACATGGCCCTGGAGCGCGTGCGGAACTGAATACTCCATCGTTCGCACTGCCTGCTGGCCTGTCTCCGAATGGGTATAGACGGCGAAGTCCGCGTCGAAGAGCGAGTTCGCTTTGCTGACAGGAACCGAGATGCTGAGCCAGTCGCCCGCGGGTGTCATAGTCGTCGCGTTGACCCCAGCCTGCTGGAGCCACGCGTTGACAGCTGTGATGCTCTCTGTGGACGGCGCGACCAATTGCTCAACCTATCATGGACCACACGAAGTCAGACAACACGAGCGTCAAAGCTGGAAGGAAACAACACACCTCTTCCTTGCTGAGATGCTGCCCGTACGACGGGTGGCCAGGCGTGCTCACGTTGTAGAGCGCCTCGATGAGCGTATCGGTGTTGCTCTGCACGAGGGCGATGCGCAGATCCAACGTCGTGTTGGCGGCCGCAGGACCCGTGCGGACGAACCCAGCCGCCGGGAGCGCGCGCGACTCGAGCACCTTCATTCTGCGCGCCACAGGCGACGCGAAGGCGAGCGCGAACAGGGAGGAAAGAGCAATAAGCGTCGACACCATCATGCCAGCAGAAAGGGCGGGACGAAAAGGCTCAGCCTCTGTGCTGCCAACGTAGCCTCGCAGGCGAATTTATGGGATTTCAGGCATTCTGCCTGCCTGCCTGCCTGGAGCCTGCTCTTTGCTGGTGACCAGCACAATAGTGGGGCCTCGCGCTTTGTCGAGCGTACCGTTGGTCACGACAGGCACCTGGGCCTCCTGCCATACATAGTCGGCTCTCGATTAATGCCATCATTTGCTTGACAGCCTAGACATCTCCCTCTAAGCGGTGCTTGCATCTAGCACGAAGACAAAAAGCTGAGGACTGCGAGACTATGGAAAACTGGACAGCTGCGTTGCCTAGAGACGGGAAGACAAAAGGTTCGCGACTCGTCGCGGGTTGGATGGTAGCATAGCAAGTGTCAAAGCCGAAACCCCCACAATAGCGACTGTTGCGTGCGAATAACATCGCAGTGTCTGGAGGAGATTGACCGCGCAATATCTCTGTCAGAATGCTGTTCTCAAGTTCTGATGGCGGCCCTGAGGTGGGCGTGTTGATTAATAACCACGTTGGCACAGGCAAGGTATTGCTTTGCCTTCCATCCCCGCATTCTAAGATGACACTGCCAACATATCCGTGGACATATCGGAAAGCACGTCGAAGTGCTTACACGGTCGCGGTAATGACTGCTCTACGCATAACGCCCAGAGACGTGGTGACAGCATGCAACCTAGTCGGTGGCGTCTTCAGTACTAGAGGTCAGAAACCAGGCGATATTCATTTTCGCAAGCTTTCAGAGCCGAGAGATGGCGGCAGGATGGCGGTAGGATAGAAACCGGGAGCGCCGGCGCCAGAGCCCCGACATATGCTGTATATGGCAATAGGCGCGCGCTCGGTCGGACGTCCCGTCCGGCCCTTCCTACTAACTCAGCGTTCCTCGGATCTGGCACTTGACAACCGTCTGCCAGCTGACCTTCTCACTTTTTACGAGGTAATTAATCGCTACCTCCTTCTGCATGTACAGATCCTATACACAAATTTGGTCTCGCTGTAATCACCAACGACGTCTAGTATCCCGAACGACCGCCACAATTGCAACGCTAGTCAGCGTTGGTAGTTCGGCTTATTACTTCTCGGGCAAGGCAAACATACACCTAGATGCTGAGGAAGAGCCACAGCGGTTTGTAGCGGCAACTCAAGTTACCGCCCCCTTAGGCTTACAAGGAGCAGAGCTAAAACTGCGTCAATGGGAGTTCTCGGCGCGATACGATGAGGACTCTCCAGAGATCTCCCGGTGGGATTTCACGGCTCTTCCAAGGTAAGGACAATATGGAAAAACTGCTAACAACTTAACTAACTATCAAGTTCAGCGACGATAATCCCGAAGAGTACGCCGCCTTCAAACTATTCCACTCGTGTAGAGGCATCTGGTCGTGGTTCGGCGTCTACGATGGTCACATCGGGCCTGAAACCAGCTACTGGCTCAGCTGCAACCTCATACAGGCTGTAGCGGAGTATATAGGTCCCCTCTATGTACTTGTCAACGGCAAGTGTCCCAATGAGCCGTCCGCCGTCCAGATTGAAACGGCGTTCAAGGACGGTTTCGAGGTCGTGGACAGGTATCTGGTCCACGACACGGCCGAGGAAGCCCTTGGAATACCCGTCCGCGACGAAGGCGTCGAAGCGCTTACGAAAGCGTACTCTGGCTCGTGCGCCACGGTAGCATCGTACAACGCCGCGACCCACCTGCTCCACATCGGACATGTGGGCAATTCACGCACTGTCCTCGGGCGCCGCATTGCGCGTCCTGACGGTCGCGGCTACGCGTACGAGGTACGCGAGCTCACCGCCGATCACACCAGGCGGAGTCCTATCGACGAACCCCGTCGTCCCGCACAGCATCCTGGAGGGCAGGATGCGCGAGATGGTCAGACAATGGAGCTGAACGTGTCTCGCGCATTTGGCTTTGGAAAGCATAAATGGTCCCCGGACATGCAGAAGCGCCTTGCGGATAAGCGGCTTTTAAGCCCGCATCCAGACGAGCTAAAGACATCACACAATCCCTCCCTTACTGCTGATCCGGACGTCTCTACGACCAAAACTGAACCCGGGGATTTCCTCATCGTTGCGAGCGCGGGCTTTTGGAGCTGGCTCACGGGCGCAGAAGCGGTCGGACTCGTAGGGTGGTGGCTCGAATCGAGAGGATTCGACCCCAAGGGCTCTTTCCGCAATACCAGACGGCAGCCTCTTTCCCCTAAAGATTTGCCTGCGATAAGCCATAGCAGCCCTGGTGCTCCACGCTTTAGACTTCCGCAAGTGGAGCCTCGATTCGTTCACATGGACGAAAATGCTGCCACGCATCTTCTCAGGAATGCGTTGGGTGGTGCGAACAGGCAGCAACTGACCACCATGCTAAACGCCGAGCTGGAAGAAGAGATCGCACCACAAAGGCATGTGTCGCGATCCTCTGTTCTCTGATGCGGGACCGGCTGTGTCTCCGAGTCGCTGACCTGCTATTCCAGGGATGATATCACAATCTTCGTGATATTCTTCTCCTAGATCCACTTAGTTAGACGGTTGATTTAGTTGGCTGCGGTTCCAGGTGCTGATTCGAAATAAGGACGCGCTGTATAGGACTTCAGTCTATTGACCTCGCGCGGCGCGCGGGGGTCCTCAAGCTGGTCTCGCTCACGGCCGAGGAGTTAGATTCTCTGATTAAACTTTTTTCGAAGGTCATATCATTGCGCAGAGTTGCGCTCGACGCATGGCTTATTTTGCCTGTGTAACGCTCAGAGAATGCTCTCACATCGGGACTAATTTATGCTGATGTGCGGGATTTCCTCGTATAGAGCTTAAAGCGCATCAGTTGATGCGTCATGCACACCTTTCCCAGAGTTTCCAGATTGGCACTGGACTGGCGACCACCATCTACTCTTTCTTGGCTTTCGCTTTTCTGCGATCTGGCCGTCGTATCTGGTTGTTGTTTGCATGCATAGACTCTACGGACATTTTTTCACTCGACATGCTGGGCGACGACGTCTGATTCAGGCTGTAACGGCACTAAGTGCTGGAGGCTCAGCGTATTACCTCTCTCGCAAGGCTCTGGTACATTTGGACATCGATGATATACACAATCTAGATGTCGTGCGGAAGGTGGTCAGGCCTCGTCAAGATCTTACAGGCCTAGAAGCAAAACTACGTCGCTTTGAGATTTCTGACGAGTATGACGACGTTACAGGCATTCGACGTCGTGATTGTTCGTCGATACCGAGGTGAGAGCACTGTGCGACCCTTTCGTGCGTACTCAAAACTCGCGGCAGCAACGACCCTATGGAAGACTGCCTCTCCGAAAGGATGTACCCTGTTCCTGATGGCTTCCACTCATTCTTCACTGTCCTTGACGGTCACAACGGTCCGAAAACAAGCAACTGGCTAGTTGAAAACCTGTTGGATGCTCTGCTGGGGAGTCTATGCGATTTATACAGCCGCGTCAAGGGAAATGATATAAGACCCGTACCAGAGAAAGAACCACTCGTGGAAGACATCGAGAAGACCATCAAGGACACCTTCAAACGCGTCGACGACCAGATAGTCCTCGAGGCAGCCGAGAAGGCTCTCGCAGCCCCTACTCGTGAAGACGGCATAGAACTCCTCGCACAAGCATACTCAGGCTCCTGTGCCACGGTCGCTTTCTACAATTCCCACACTCGGCTTCTTCACGTCGGCGCCGTCGGGGACTCACGCGCTGTCCTCGGACGCCGGGTCGCGCACCCAGATGGCCTTGGCTACGTGTACGAGGTGCGCGAGCTCATCATCGACCAGAACGGCTGGAATCCCGCGGAGCAATCTCGTCTTCTCGCTCAGCACCCCGGCGAGCAAGTCGTGCAGAACGGCCGGGTGATAGGATGGGGTGTGTCCCGGGCGTTTGGCAATGGGAGGTACAAATGGTCGCTAGACCTCCAGAGGCGCTTGGCTGAGAAAAACCTCGTATACCCTCCGCCAGGCAAACTGAAGACCCCTCCGTATCTCATCGCTGAACCGGAGGTGACCACGACCAAGATTGAGCCCGGCGACTTTCTCATCATCGCGAGTGACGGGCTCTGGGAGTGGCTCACTAGCGAAGACGCGGTCGGGCTCGTTGGCTGGTGGCTCGACTGGAGAGCAACCGACCCCAGGGGCCCGGTTCGCCAGCGTGGGCGACAGCCTCTGCTTCCCAAGGAGCTTCCCGTAGCAGGCGACTTTGATCCTGACGCTGTGCGCGTGAGAACTCCTAACCAAGAACCGCGATTTGTGAACAAGGACGAGAATGCCGCCACCCATCTCATCAGGAACGCCCTGAGTGGTACGGGCAAGGAACGCTTTGCTAGAGTGCTGGAGTTAGAACCTGGACAGGAATCGAGACGACGAAGGTTTCTCTTCCGGTCTATCCGTTGCTCTGAACATTTCTGACCATTACGTATAGGGACGATATAACTACCGTTGTTGTGTTCTTTTCGTGAGAAGATGTCCCCGGCAAAATAGAAGCTGTGCAGGCCTGTTGGAGTTACTTCTCGGCCTTTGCGAGCCTGTTAGACCAAACCGAAACTTACCGAGCTGGTTTTCCTGCTTGCGGGACGCTGTAAAATGTATATGTCGACCCACTGCTAACGAGACCGCTCAATGCTTTGCTCTACTGGTGAACATTTTCTCATGCATTTCTATCGTGACTAGACGTCCCGAACGTTTGTTTTAGTGATGGACAGAAGTGAGACATTCTTCGGTATGTTTCCCGGTTTCGGCAACAACTTTCAATGCCTTTTGACGTTTTGCTCTTGTAAATTTCGCTCTGGCTCAGATACCGAACCGTCCGTTGAATCCGTACAACGCAGTACAGCGTGAAACAACAACCTTCTCGGAACATATTTTCCACGCCTAGAACTTTACTCCTCTGGATCGGACACGTTGAGCACATCCAATACTGTGGAGAACACACATGGTTATTACACATGCCTCTCACAGCCTTTGCTGGAGACGCAGTAGGTCCCAGACCACCTTATATCCGTCAGCTTGGCTATCCCGGGTTCAGCATCACCTCCATCCTCCCTGCACTTGTAGAGATGTCGTCGGTTGAAGCCCTTGCACAGGTCATCTCGAACGGCGTGAAGGACATCCAAGCGCAGTGCACCGCGAGGGGCTTTTCGTACCCGACGCCCGACGTCGTGTGCAGCCCCGAGACGGACGCGATACAGAACGAGTTTTCGTCGCAGGCGGCACCAATTATTGCTGCCGCGTATCAGCTCATCGCGACGCTCTCCCACCCGCAGCCGTATCTTCTCGGAATGGGTCTCTGGGTACGAACGCGCATCTCTATGACGAGGCTTACCAGCTCATTTTTCACAGGGGTACTTCCCTGCATCGCTTGCATACATTGATGCGACATTCGTGCCCGATATTCTACGAGAGGCAGGCGATAAGGTAAGATTCCCGCCACCGTCTAGAGCACTCTTCTGCTAAATATGACTATCGCCAGGGCTTGCATGTTAACGACATCGCTGCTGCCACCAAGGTCCACCCAGGACGCCTCGGTGTGTATCTCAGAATGCTTCTATTATTATCTGAGATTGACTTCGGTTGCCTTGCTAGGCCGTATCCTACGTTTGCTTGCTACCAGGCATGTCTTCGAAGAGGTTGCACCCGATGTCTTTAGGAACACTAGGCTGTCGTCTGGCATGTGCCTTGGAAAGTCCGTCAAGGAGATTTTAGAAAAGTAAGCTTGCACATTTTTGAAATGATGTGCCCCGGTGCTTACAGTGAAAATAGTCCATTGGGCAGGTGGGATGGCTCGAGCGGTGTTGCTGCTATTGTTTCCCTCAAGTAAGCTGCGTTTTAAGCATAAAGGGAAACACCTTTAAAATCTGTGATCTATAGCGGACATGAGAACATGAAGACCGCTGCCAGTCTCACCGAGACGCTACTGGACCCTGTCACCGGCTTCTCCGAGGAGCCTACCGAGGCTGCGTTTCAGCGCGGCCACCGCACACGCCTTCCTTGCTACGAATGGCTCGAGGAGCCGGAGAACATAATCACTCTGAGTAAGTTCCCGAACGCGATGCGGGGCACGACCCACTACAACTCTGATAAGGTCGTCAACGAAGGCAGGTCATGCTGATTCATGCTGATAGTCGTCAGGCTAACGCGTTGTCAGGATTCGAATGGGCCAAGCTTCCAGAAGGCAGTCTTGTCGTCGACGTCGCTGGTGGAATCGGCAACTTGACCATGGTGCTCGCCAGCACGCACAAGCATCTCCGTTATGTAGTTCAGGATAGGCCTGCTGTCATTAAAGCCGCGCATGAGGTATGTCCTATCTCTTGGCTAGCCACTCGGATGCTTACGCAGCTCCACTTCTCTCAGCACTGGGCACAGAAGATGCCAGGCTATGTCGAGAAGGGCATCGTCCGCTTGGAGCCCCACGACATGTTCGACCCGCAGTACATTCGTGACGCATCCATCTTCCTTCTGCGCTACACGACGCATAACTGGTCCAACAAGTACGCTACCAAGTTCCTAACGCGCCTCCGCGAGGCCGCGCAGCCCGAAACGAAGCTTATCATCATCGACGGCATCTCGGACTACCTCTGCCGCGACACGAGCAGCATCGACAACATCCCTGGAGCAGCGAAGGCTGCGGCTCCCGAGCCTCTACTGGCGTACCCCGACTCTACCATTGGTTGGGGCTATCTAATGGACATGAACGTGCGTATTTTTCCGCGCCGTCCGCTCTTCATTGATGGCTGACGGACTGCCCGCAGATGCTCGGGATGATGAACTGCCAGGAGCGGACGGTCGGGGAGTTTATGACACTACTGAAGGCCTCCGGTTGGAAGATTGAGAGGATCTGTCGCTTTGAGGCCCCTCTGCCACAGCAAATCATCTGCACGCTACTTTGAGATTCGACTTCCGTTCTCTCACGAATATATTATAGACTATGCAAAGTCTTGGTACCAAATTGTGTAAAGCTACAAACATGGTATGCGCGGGTTCATGGGGAACATGGCTTGCAAAAGCCTGTTGAAGGAGACACAAATCTTCCAGTCGACTAGTCCAGAATTACGGTCAGAGAATCAGAAATTTAGAATATCAATATTCTGAGAGGTTCAAGCCAGCAGCGAGAAGAATGAAGGGAAAAAAGGAAGCAGATAAGCTGAACTCAGAAGTTCAGATACTTTGAAAAATTGCCTAAGCGACATTGGGATGAGGGCAGCACACGGAACGCCCTAGTAAAAGGCGAGGGCGTTGTCTGTTTGCACTGCCCTCTGTCGCTAACAAGCAAGACAGGCAATAGCCGCCCACAACAGCGCTTTCGCATTTTGTTCAGATGGCGGGTTGAGGGCGCTCAGTATGGTAGAGCTAGACGGGGATATTGTCCTGAGGTGTGATTCGAGCGACACCAGTAAGGCTATGGGAGCATGTTTGATATTATATTATCTGTATACTGAGAAGGTCTCTCAAAGGCATATGTCGTTAAGCATACGGCGCTGGCAAAGGGCGCCGTGAATACGCTACGCATCCAATACTCGTCTACTAGTAAAGCGTATACGTAACAAAATGTACACGCGGAAAATCTGGTGCAGTTTGGGGCATCTATAGATGAACAGCGTCACAGCCTTCGACCGATTAGTTATGTACTACTGTGAGATGCATTTGGGCGTCTGATGGTGTTTAGAGTCCCGCCATCAGCGCGTTGGTTCCCGAAACTAGATAAGGGTGGTAAACAAGGCCGTAAGCTGTAAGGCTCAGCAGATCTACAACATTGGCAGATCAGACGAGTTTGGCAGGCTGGCAATTCGTAAACAAAAAATTTGTGAAGTATATCAATTGCAAGAGACCTCGCCGACATGGAGTGGACGCCTGTTGCAATGATCCTCGGTACAGGCGCCTTCATGGTCTTGGCTCTGAACGCTCTCCTCATCGGTCAGTGTCTATCCTGCTCGGAACACCATTGAGGTCTACCGCGAGGCGAAGAATAAGTCTCAGATAAGTTGCACAAGGCATGGGGGAGTTGTCGCCCTATTGTTGCCGCCGGTCGCAAGACCGCGAAACATCTATCCAGCCGTCCCGCCGATGATGCACGCCTTTCTTTCAGATGTGATGTGGCGGCGTCGGAATGCAAACCGTGTCCACTAGTACTCGCTAAGTAACAATGCAGTTTCTTGGACCGATACAACGATAGAAGTAGTGTTGGATAAACACCAGGGTGTATAATCAAGTCATACAAGTAATTTAAATTAAATATCTGTCCTTCTAGCATCCGAGATGTCCAAATTAATCCTATGCCATCTCCTTTCCACTTCCCGAGACCCACAAAACCTACATCCCTTGTGCCACATTAAACGAAGGCAATAGTGACGATCTCGCCCTCGAGCAAGGCGGAAGCAACAGTAGTGCCGTTCTGGACTGTGGTCAAAATGGTCGCGTTAGAGATGTCGACAGGGCCTGACGAGGTCTCGGCAGATGCAGTGATGTTGACCGTGCCAAAGTCGACGAAAGGGATGATGTCATTGGAATCGTTCAATTCGGCCCCTACCGACCATCCTACTTCCGCCTGCGAGCAAATAGGGCCAGTCTCAATGGCCACGGTGGAGCTCTCGTCTGTGCTCTCGTTGGTTACGACCGCCGTGCTCGACGTCGCATTCGTCATGGAAATGGAAACCGTTATGTTGTCGCCCTGCGCGAAGCTAACGTTGGGGAAGATTTGACTGTTATCATCAGGGAAACTCGTCCAAAAGGCTGCGAGAATGTAGATGACTTGTCAGCATGCGAGCAGGAGGGCAAGGAGCGCGGACTGACCATTGATAAACTGTGAACCATTATCAATCCCCATGTTAATACCAACCATTATGCCGTTCTCGCAGAAATCGGAACCAAGGTCGACTAAGAGGGATGCGATGTAGAGGTCACTCGGGTCGTCGCCCGCTGTAGAAGGGTATTCAGCCTAAGCGCCGAAGAACCGCAGAACGCGGCCTGTGTATGCACTTACGACGTTTTCCTTCTCGCTTTCTCTCTCTTCCCTCTCCATAGTCTATAGGACGCAGCGCGTACAATTGCACAACTCACAAGACGACCGAACGGCCTCTCCCGACGGCCGCCGTCAGGCGTGGTCCATCCTCCTGACACCCATAATGGAAGCGGACGGATCACGGTTCCTGGTTGTCTTACGCTCGTTCATGTCATCCAGTTTTCACTTCTCTCGCACTTCTCTCGTCTCGTTCTAGCTTTTCTCCCTCGATCCCCTTTTTCTTTCCTTCCCAACATGTGCGGCTCGCAACGGTCATTGACGAGGCTCCCGGAACACAGGACGTAGGCAGCACCACGACGAGGGCATTCACCCGCGGTCTGAGGGCGGCAGACAAGCGCAGGAAAATAGGTAGAACCCCCCCGGTCGTCGAGTGCGCTGAGACATTGCCTGTCAGAACGGAGCGTCGCCGAGAAGCCGCCAAGAGTCTTTACCTTCATAAATGGACATTCAGACCCCGATACCGTACGCTTTCCTCTTCTTCCTCCCTCTTTGGCTTCGTTGCATGTCACTCCTCCTCCTCTTCGGATCCAATACCTTCGTTTCGGACGATCTGGCCCCCGGTCGAGAGAACGACAGCGGGAAGGCTCACTTTGTAACATATAATCTCGCGTCTCGGACACGAAATGGACAAGCACCCCTTTCCCCCCTCTTCACGCATAAAGTCTGCCCCTCTCGTCATTCGTTCTCTGAGTCATCGAGTAACATCTGCGGCGAGCGCGGATTCGAGTTATCGAGTTGAGTAAGTGTTTTATTCCCTGTTCATCGAGCTAAGCTACTAGTCTAGAACACGAGATCACCTTCGGCCATCCTTTCTCCCCACGTCTAGCCCAGCATATATTGAGCGCCGACCCGTACGCAGAATCTCCCTCCACACCGCAGGCACAGCAAACGTCGGAATCGCGAACGACCCTGTGACGCTCGTGAAGGGCACCTATGTGAGATCAAGTCTGTCAGCACATGCAACACACAGACATAAGAGGAGACTTACCGTAGACGCATTTAACTGGGCGCCGGCCGTGGTGGTGGTGATAATTGGCGCGCCGCCGGCGGAACGACGGGCCATGCGGACATCGCGACGATCCTTGGGGGCCGGCATCGAGACAGCAGTGGTGGCAGCGAGAGCCAAGATAAAGGAGGTGATGAAGAACATGGCAGTATGAACGATGTAGGGTAGAAAGAGCTATGAGGCTCTCGAGTCAAGTGAGGTGAGAAATCTGTGGTTTGGCTATGGCGGTCGAGAGAGCTTATATACGTCGGAGGCCTGTGCAGCAAGCACCTGCAGCTGCGCGCCATGACGATCCTTGGGTGCTTCATCATGCACAGAGTTTCGCGAGGCGGGGAGGGTCTCCTCACGATTGCGGCCGTTACGATTCAACATGTCGCACATCAGGGTTTTCAAAGGTTTGATTTAGGTTTGACTGACTTTGATGGCGGTGTTCAGACGTTGGAGGACAACCTGAAAAGGTGCGGTTCCTGAAGCGACGTTTCAGACGGGATCGTTCTAAATTCCGCCCAATACCGTCGTCCAATCAAGGCAGCTCCCGATTGCTGCTCTCACCAGCTCTCACCCTTCTCGAGACACAGCGGGCAAAACCCGCATCCAATTCCACGCGAGGTGCGACTGGACATCATCTCCAGTAGCGCATCCAGTACCACATCCAGTACCGCATCCAGTCGCGCAATCAGTCGTGGGAATTACTGTCGTGATTGGCTGAACCCCCCCAGAAAGGCAGTGTCAAGTACTGAAAAAAGAAGTGATGCGCCGCCTCAGTGCCTGACGTTGTCCACCCTTGAGGTTGTGTCAGTGTCCAAAGCAATTCTCAGATTATTTCTCAGGTGCCGGCTGAACAGCGGCACAGCGTGATGGCGTGATGGAAGATAAGCAATATTCCGCGCGCATTCTCAAGGCTACCTGCCAGATTGAGAGACTTTCATGCGACTTCGAGTGCGCTGGCTGCTGAATTCGCAGGGGCTAGCACCTCTCCGCCCGTGACTGTGGCCGTTAGTTAAATGAAGGGAACGTCCGACCCTTCCTCGCCATAGCTCTTTGCTCGCCGAGGATGTGGTCCCGGAAATCACCGCGCTGCTCACTGCGTGCTGAGCGCTGGGTGCATGCATCATATGATCCCATGCAAGGGCGATGCAATTAGATTTGTGGCTTGCGACGCTATCAAATCTGTAGCCTTGACACAAGTTTAACAAGGACCGTAAATGTGTTATTTATGAATAAATATCTAGGCACCGCGGCAATTATTTCCACTGACACAAGGGTGGACAGCGTCGGGCACTGAGGTGGCGCATCACTTCTATTTTTAGTACTTGACACTGCCTTTCTAGAGGGGTTCAGCCAATCACGACAGTAATTCCCACGACTAATTGCACGGCTGGATGTGGTACTGGATGTGGTACTGGATGCGCTACTGGAGATGATGTTCAGTCGCACCTCGCGCGGAACTGGATGCGGGTTTTGCCCGTTGTGAGAGCAGCGATCACGACGTCACATGCGGTGCCCAGGCTCGTCCTGGCTCGTCTCACACCAGGTTTCTGGTGAAACCAGCTGGGCCGTTTCGTTGCCCAACCAAGGGGGTCAAACAAGCGCCCGGCGGGCCGCTGATGAGTTAGCACTTAGAAAAATCACGCTTCAGCGGTTTCTGGCGAGCACAGAAATCATATTTACATGATAATAGAATGGAAAAATATTAGACATGGTGTAATAGAGTGTTGAAAGACAGGAAGTACAAGCGGGAGATGTATCTAGCCAGACATGAGGGATCGAGAGTCGAATTTCGTGCTAAGAGCACCAAACAGGAACAATAATGGCGAGGGGCAAATCCAAAACGTTGAGATTGTACTCCAATGATGTGTGAGATATTATTGTTTGAGATGATTTGTCACATTCTACTGAATGCAGAGCAGTCTGAGGATCATGAAGAGCAAATTTGCACATACAAAATTCTATAGATGACGATCATCAGTGAACCAACGATCATAGAAACACACTTACATGATCCACAATGAATATATGGGTACATAATCCAATTTGTAACACCCCCATACCCGATGAGTTGCCCAAAATGAGTGAAGTGAGGCGGAAGCTGCCCATATGCTAAGGAACAGACTCGATTAATTCATGATAGCCGCCCTGTCATACCTTGGTTCGCATTCTGAGTAGACTGGTTACAGGTATAGCTCGCGTTGTATCCCTTTTCCAAACAGGATGCAGTTAAGGCGCAGCGACCAGACATAGCTGGCAAGTCTACATCATCCTCATCACGCCGATGTCATTATGCCTTCGGGCAAGCTACGGTACCCCATCCACTCACCGAGCCTGTGTTTTCCAAACGCCTGCATTGACGCTCCCTGCAAAGCGTACGAAGCTTTGCCAGTCGTGCAGCAGCGCATCAATGCCGAGTGCATCTCACGCATCCTGTGTATTTGTGTGTCCGTGCTCTGTACCGTCAGGGCTGCATCAGCTGACTGACTCTGCAGTGCGGGAAGACGGACGGAAACGCGAAAATCAAGCATTAGCGTGGCTCGCTCAAGAACATCTCCTGCGGAGACGTCGTTGGCGAACTCGATGCCCTGTTTCGCGAGTCTCAGAACGCCTTCCGCCGCAACAAAACTTGAAGCGACGTGTGCTTCTAGTGAGGCGTGGCTGACATTTGGCCCCTGCCGAATACAAAGCTCCATTGTTGCGGTTGCTGCCAAGAGATGAGCTACAAGATCTTGCACTGTTCTTGGTGAGTCTTTTGCGAGCTTTAAAGTGTCTATCCTGAGGCTCTTGCAAACAGCTAAATCCTCTCTTGCTCTCGTGGTGGAACATGGTAGCGGTGCGTGGCTCATGTGTTGCCCGTTTGTGGGTTCTGCGTTGGCTGCTCGTGTTTCGTTCTGCCTGTGCAACTACTCAAATGCGGAGTTTGGCAGCTAGTGATGTGCGGGCCCGGCTTGGGCTTGTGACGACGTCGAGCCGAGCCCTGAGCCCGAGCCGAGCCCGAGCCCGGCCCAAGCCTTGGGCTTAAGCCCGGGCTTGCTCACAATACAACGAGTGTTCCGGTGCTATCAAAAGGGAATGTATTTGGGTGTAGTAGATTAATACTGCATGTACTCACTAAATTATAACCTCCAGAAGATCTACACCTGCGGAACAAGTCGAGTTGCAGCGAAGTCTACGGGCGTGCGCCTACGGCAGGCACCAGATGGTGATGCACAATCGTGCTCGGCGAGAGCCGTTATATCTAGAATATCTACATTTTGTCTTCTATGTGCATATTAGGTCGCTCTCTCCTTACTCTGAACTCAGGGAACAGTGACGGGGCCAGCACACCCAAGCCTGGGCTTCCGGGCCGGGCTTGGGCTTGACTACGCTCCGAGCCCGGCCTTGAGCCCGCTGCCAGGCTTGACTCGGGCCAGGCTTTTTGGGCCGGGCTTGGCGGGCTTGCAGGCTTTGAGGCCCGGCCTGCACATCACTATTGGCAGTGCTCGCCAATTTATGTCTTCATCCCACCTACTTTCCTATACCTCAAGCACGGTCTACACATGCAGAGGTCAAACATGATGACCCAGCTGAAGAGCTTCTTTCCAACTCACACCGCTCTCCCCACTCCTCTCCGCACAAGTCCGAGTCGGCTTTCCACCGAGGCGCAAAGATTGACAGTCTCGCTGTCCTTGAAGATGCGAGAAATGCTGCGAAAAATGAGCTTCTCATGATGGAAATCTGTGGCAGGCTAGGAAAAGCCCTACTTGAAAAGAATTTCGGAGATCGCGGAGTTGTGGTTGCAACTGCGCGAGCTGCAACCCCTCACTCCTAACACCATGGACATACGCCGATACTTCCGAAGTTACTCTGACATCATTGCATCTGCACAATTGCCTATAATCTGTTTGACTCAAATGCACTCTCTGCACTTGACGATCTCGCAGCTCATGTCACCACCACCAGCTACTTTCACGGAGCTTGCGCACAGATGGACTATCATCTCAAGCGGCAAGACCCTGACCCTGCGCTCAAACTCATGTTCAAGTTATGCCACACGTTGAATGACCGTAATTCTCGGTTGTTGGCTCTGTCAAGACTGGGTATACACGACGGATACGTTTCCATTGTAGGGAACTCTGGCGAGCGCATAACTCAAATCAATCCAAAACTCATGCCCTGCGCCACCGCGACCTGTGTTATGAAAGATACATTCTACCCTGTTCTGCAATTCTGTATATCTGCTCAAATAAACCTCTCTCAGCTTCACGTCCTACATCAGGCGGTGACCGTCGCAGCAGACACCTATGGACTGTCCAGGAGGAAACTCATATGAAATGGGCAACATGATACCACGACCTTGGAATGACAGCACTTACATTGCACAACTATCAGAAGTATATTAGCCTAACATCCCCCAGTCGGAAGAAAGTTTCTACATTGACCTTCCTCGCTGATGGTATTGTTCGAGAGCTTTCACAGGACAAGTTTTGCCTTACTATCAATCCCGCTGTGGCCGCCGCGTCTGAACATCCCCTTATTGTATTTACTGATGAGCATTGGGCGGCCCTCATGCTCGGTATCATACGATCTGGCGATGTGAAAGCTGCAGGATGCTTCTGGCTAGGCATGGATAGAATTGGTGCGAAGGCGCCGCTGCTCATTCAAGCCGCTATCATCGATGGCTTTGCCGCCCTGAAAAGGTTTGATCACGTGCGAGCTGCCTGGCTTGTGTTTCTATCCGCTAGCGAAAAACCGACTGCAGTCGTCTATCAGGCATATATCCAAGCTTTGTTTGGAGAAGGACGTCTGAAGGATGCGCTGGTGGAATTCGAGCACTTTGAGCGAAGTTTCTGCGAGACCTCTGACACTCTGAGCGATTCCACAGCCGTCTCGGTCTTCAATGTGGTGTTTGAATGGCTGGTTGAGCAATCCCACTCCGAGGAAGCCAGGAATATCCTTGACCACATGAAGAGGAGGAGACCGAAGCCAGACGCAGCCTCATTCAACATTTTTATGAAGTGCCATGGCCGAACCAGGAATTTGCGCGGAATCTCTAGCATCCTGCAGGAGATGGATGCTTTGGGAATGCACGGCGATATCTACACCGCCCCCATGCTGTTACCCTTTACTCAGCTCGGACAAATGCGCCACAGCTTGTCTTGGCTCTTTTGCACCAGAACGGTGCCACCGTCGATACAGTCACATGCACAACGTTGCTCGAACACCTTGTATGCTCAGAGGATGACACGGTGTTTGAATCGGCCTTAGCCATCATCGAGCACAAGGAGGCGCGCGATCACGAGCTAACACCATCCGGCCACACATTTGGTGTTGCTCTATGTGGAGTCGAGCGCAGAGTGTGGAGCAGCCCATCTCTGGCTGATCACTATCAACATGTAGTCATCGGTATGATGAACAAAACTCGGCGCACATTGTCCAGATCCACCATCTAAGTTCTGCACGTCCTCCAAGCATGCTGCAGAAACCCAATGCCTGAAGCGATGCAACATGCCATGGTGTATTATCGGATACACAAGTGCAGTAGACAGAAGTTGTGGCACATGGTGAACTGGTGGGTGTGATGCAGGGTCATGGCTGAGTTGATCTGGAGGGATGAGTGGGAGTTCGCTGACCAGGTGGGCTGATGATATCGACGTCAAACAGCATCAGCTCTCTCCTGCTATGTCATGTTTGCTTGAACAGGCCAGATCTCGCAATAGTTTGGATGTTATGTATCTGGATGATGATTCGCAATAGTGAAATGTATATGTTGGTGTTGTGGAAATCTTTGCGCAGGCGGGGGATTCATGAATAATGTACGATAAATTTTCGAAATATTACACCGTGTTCTTTTATAGCTATAGTATTTCCTAATCTAATCATAAACAATGAAATGTCCTTACAAAGGCGAGACTAGGTACAAACAAGTCAGGGTGTCAAACGAGCGCCAGCGTAGAGTGCTCTGGGCGTGTCACATCTAAATAAAGAAACCATGATGCGGAGCGCGTCATGTCAGAGAGCATGGGACTACGAAGCGCATCAGTGCATTGTCGAATCATCGCATACGCGCCTCAGATACAACAACAGTTGAAACTCCTGAATACTTCCTGTATATTCAGCGGACCCATTGAGTCTTTATTATAGAATGTGTAGTCATATTTAGTGATTTGACTCACTGCGTTTTGCAGAAAATTGTCCGGGGCCGGTTTTCGTGTGATTTGTAGTGTAGCTGATGAATCCGATGGTGAATCTGATGTAGCAAACTTGGGAACGCCGGAAACTTTGACCTTGGTGTGACAGCTGTAGAGATGCTCAGTATGCGTACGAAACATCATGAATCCAGCGTATCTGAGCCCCAGGGCACAAACTGACACAATTGTGCGATTTGGGCGCCTGCTTGCACCCACTGGACACACACGATTCTACATGTATCCTCCTGGATACCTTGGATTTGTCATGGAATTGATGTGTCCAGGTTTAGGATTTAGACCCCTGCTCAAAAGGCACACAGGATGCAACATGGAGCTCTGCAGAGCGCGTCCACACCTTCTACACTATCAGCTACCATCATGCCAACCCACTGGTCCGTTGGTGGGAACCCATTCGGGGTCCGCGCATCGCCTCGATCTGTTTCAAACACGTACTCTTGGCCCAAGGCACTTAGGAGTGAACGGCTCGAAGCAAAGCGTGCTAGGCTCTACCACCCAAAAGCCGTAGACATCTGGCTGGAAGATCTCAAACCTACTGAGGTCAACCCATACTCCCTTCCCCCCCTGATTCCTGAGGATCAAGGACGCTGCGTCTTTGATGTGACGCATGTCCCGGTGCGTCATGCAGCCAGAACTTTTATGAGCCGTTAATGCTCACTGTAGTCGCACCTAAGCCCCTCTCCCTGCCGGGTACTTTTGTGATGGCCTGCCAGACAATTTCATCCTCCACATGCAGATTGAATTGTCCGAAAGTCTCGAGTTGCCACCTACAATTAACCAGAAGAGCCCACGTATTGTTCTCGACGAGTACCAAGGTGAGCGCAACAATCTACGCAAGTCGTCCAACTGGGCATACAATTGGACAATCCATGCCAAGATGGAAGCGATTGTTCCAAGGGGCTGGCTTACCCATTGTGCCTTCACCTTTGCCCTCACTCAGCTTCAACTTGAGATTGTAAGCAGCTATCTATTGGCTGCATGCTCCAACTGACCAGACCTCTGTAGCCACACTCTTCCCTTGCTCTCATCGAGTGGGCCATCGCCGCGTCCAAGGGCTCAGACGCCGAGTTGGCTATCAAACATTGTGCAGAGAAGCACTACTTCACTTTTTAGTGTATAACACACATGTATTATCAAACCAAAGCAGTTCCTATTAGAATACAGCTGTCTAAAGTATCAGGAGATAATATATAAGAAGCATGGTCATGACAAACACAGCACCAATGCCGATAACACCTATGCGAGGACAGCAAGTGTTAATCTGCCGCCAACAAATAAGCCTGAGCAAAGCGGAGTATTTGCGGAGACGTACCCATAGCCTCTCCATGAGATGACGGCGGTCCCTGTGAAAGCAACAAAGATGTCGAAGGTGTTGACGGAGGGCAGAATAAACCTGACTCCGGCGGTGGCAACAAGATTGCGGCATGCTCTATCCCAGGCTAAGTCAGACAGTGCAGCACCTGAGACACCCAAACTGGAACTTACATGTTTGCAGTGGTGACCTTGGTGCTGCGCAAGTGCAGGATATCGATGAGATATCGTTACCAGGGTTGAACACAAAGACCACCTGACCGAAGTGGCACGCTCAGCACTAAAACCACGCAGCTGCACGGCAACACTTATGCCAAGGCCGTTCAGAAACAGGCAGAAGAACTTGAGGAGCATCATTACAACGCTGTCAGTTGCAAAACTGGGTGATGACACGCGAGCCGATGATTGACAGCCACGTGAGCACTTGCCCACCGAATGTCATCGCGCGCAGGCAGTCTTTGGGCATCCACACGCTGCTGAGCCCACCAAATGTCATCGCGCGCAGGCGGTCTTTGAGCACCCACATGCCGCCGCGCTGTCAGCCTTAGCATATCGGTCAGCGCATGACAGGTGCAAAGATAAATTAGCTTACACCAAAGAACATGCCAGACGCCCCCGAGGACCTTGCCCACGCTGAGCAGCAGCACCTTGGCCCCGCCCGAGTGCACGGCCCAGTCAAAGTCAGCCTTGGCGGGTGCCACACTGTAGCTGAAAACCATAAAGATGACGCTGGCACTGAGCCCCCCTATCGCACTCCAAACTCCACTCCGCAAGCTCGCCCGTAGACGACGCATGAAGCCGTAGACCATCGTGCTCGAGCCCGTTGCGCCGGTTATTGTAAATGACCCAGCTCGCACAGAGGCGTTCGAGTGGCAGCCCGAGGATCTTGCCCATGCTGAGCAGCACTTTGGCCCCGCCCGAGTGCACAGCCTGGTCAAAGTCAGCTGCGGCAGGTGCCGTGCTGTAGCCAAAAACCGCGGGTGTCATCGTGGTGGCGATGGCAGGGACCTTCCAGATCAGGATAGTGTTCCAGCCTATATATATGCGTTAGAGAGATGGATCAAAGGACGCAGATAGCAAACTTACCGTGGGGGTGAATGTCGAAGGGTGGATCTCAAAGCTGATTTCTTCAGATGTCTCGGGACTTAGGGACAGTCAGGCAGTCCCAGCTGAGGAGGTCGTACGCAGGCTTCGCATCAGAGCTCTCACTGATACCATTGCTGAGGGCCACCGCGGAGATGCAATTTTTGAAGGTGGCAGCGCCAATGCGGAAGTTGCCAGTCTTCTGCATCAAGTGATGTTGGCAGTGTTGCAGAGGGTGGCGACCTTGCTGGCACAGCCAATGCCATGCAAGAGGGTATGCATTTGGATGCTGGTCAGACTCACCACGTCAAGTATGACCCTATGCATCAGACTGATCGTCAAGTTTAATACTGTAAAGACGATACCACCACCGAGCGCACCTATTCCATTCCAAACTTTGCCCTGCAAGCTCCCTCTTCTACCCAGATCTTGCAACCTGGCAATGCTGGGATGCTTGATGATAACAAGGCCTGGCACCGGGGGCACGGGCTTGACTAGCATCCACATGCTGAGATGCACTGGAAGCACGACGCTCAGCTTGAGGAAGCTGTGATAGATGGGTCTGTCTAGCTGCAGCATGTTTTTGACAGCACACAGAGTACTGCTGGCCGGGTTGTTGGATTTGACCAATTGGGTGATGATTTTATGACACTGATACCAACCTTCTAGCAGAGTGCCTCAAGAGCGGGCCCTTCAAGCACGAATGTAAATCATGGTGGTCAATATCAGTTGTGGTTGTGCTCGTCTCTCACGATCTCACCGCCTATAAACTGCCCTGCACTTACTTTCTTACCTTGGCTTCACTGATGCATGTTAATGGGTAAGCATTTCAGTGAAGCCAGGTAACAGATCAGTCTAATATCAGTCAGACTCACAAGACAAAATCTTCACTTACCTGAAATGTATGCGTTGCTCCCCTTTCCGCACCCCTTTGTTCATTTGCATTCCATATGATCAACGACTCTTCTTGTTGTCAGGCCTTGGTATGATGGGCTGAATACACAACAAACACAACAGCAACATCTGTCTGATCAGGTGCAACTCATGGTATGCTTATGTGCTCTTTATTGTGCGACACACCCCTAAGGTCATTTTGTCGTAGGCCCCCAGTAGAGTGGACGACATCCTTGAACCATGCTGGTGTAAGGAGAACAACTGCAACGGCAATCTTATTTCACGTTTGTTGAAGGCCAAACACGAACAGGCAGACCGCCGAGCTGCTTCCAGGAAAGCGATGCGTGGCCGGTGCACAGTCGTCTTTGGCGAGCGTGCAGCACCACATTCAACATCTGTCAACCACCTCCCACCGTCGGCCAGCAGTCAATGTTCTGAACCGGCCATTGGTGATAGCAGCCTGCCAGAAACAGGTGCTCTATCCTCAGAGAGTACAATCAATTTGGTGCCATGGTCTGACAGGGCATCGCAGCTGGTATGTACATGTTTTCTACAACATCCATCAGGCATTTGATTCTCATTTGTTACAGCTCCAGTGTGCCAGCCCCAGACTGACTTGGCCTTTCACTGACATGGCACCGGCTCATACACCGCCAGCAGGGTCTCCACCACCAGTGTTCTCGCCGCAACGGCAAGCCCAAATTGCTGCTGCTGAGCAAGAGGGTGCCAATCTTGTTGCATCCATCTATGCTTCAGGCGAGCTCCCTGACTTCACAATCAATGACGATGACTGGGAAGACCCTGTCGAGTCTGATGACAGTGGCAATAAGGGCATGTCCAATCCGCTTTCCCCTGTGCAACCTGCACAACATGATTATCTCTCACCTAGCTCCTCACCGTCACTTCTCACACTGCCTCTACCTCCTGCTCCCGATGGCTCTAACCTGCCAGTTCCTGACCTTCCGCCAAACCCATTTCAACGTCCGAGCTTCACTCCAGCTCCTATTCCCAGCCCCGCCAATGTTCATCTTCATCCGGTTGCCTACCTCATCTATCTCCTGGTTTTATGGCTGCATACACAGTGCAGGCTGTCGTTTTGCACCTGCAATACTCTTTTAGTGGTAATTTCCATTGTTCTGTCAACTGCCGCCATCACACTTGATCCCCTGCTATGTACCACCCTCACCACTGTCATGACACAGCTGCAAGCTGACGCTCAGTTTCAGGAGCTCCCAGTTTGTCCGCAGTGCCTCAAGCCGTATCCATCCACTAGCCCTGCCGGCGCTCTTTGTGACATTTGTTCCTGACCATTATTCAACACACGGCCCACTGTTATTCAGCAACGTAGTGGTCGCACTGCGCATGCGCGTTCCAAACTCCACTTGCGCTGCCCTTACAAGTCTCTTAAAGAACAGCTAGTAGAGCTCATGCCGTAGATTGAGGATGTTGTCAACAACTGGTGCTCAAAGACACGAACTCTGGGCAAGTACACTGATCACTTCAACGGCAATGTGTGCCAGACTCTGGAAGGGCCAGATGGATCTCCTTTCTTTTGTCCCGATCTGCGTGAGCTTCCTGACAGTGAAATTCAAATTGGTGTTACCCTTGGCGTCGACTGGTTCTCTTATCAGCGGAGCCTGATCTCGGCTTCGCATTCATCATGTCCTATGTCCTTCAGCATCATCAACTTGCCTTCCAGCTTGCGGTTTGTGGGCTTCTTGTCTATCTTCTGTGATCACTAACTAAGCTTTTGGTTGTAGATATCGAGCCGCCAATCTGATTCTAACAGCCATCATGCCAAGGCCCCGGAAGCAGACTGCAGACGAGGTGCAGCATTTCCTGCACATCATAGTTGACGACCTTCTCCGTTTGTGGAAGAATGGGATAAAAGTTGCTACTTGACGCTTCCCAAACAGCCGTCTGGTTTGAATCGCTCTGGTTGGGATCATCTGCAACAAACCAGCTGCGCACAAGCTGGCTGGATATGGCTCACACAGTCATCAGCTCTTCTGCACGCTCTGCTGGGCCGAGCAGAAGAAGAAGGTACCCTTTACGGCGAAGATCTTTGAGGAAAATGGTCTGTTGCATGCCTGGAATATTAATTGACATCCAAATTGATTTGTACCAACAGGATATCCTTGTCGCACTAATGAGCAACATCGGCATTATCAAGCTGAGTACCAGGCTTGCATGACAGATGGCGCTCGTGAGGCATTCGTGAAAAAGCATGCCATTAGATGGAGTGAATTTTCTCACCTGCCGTACTTCAATTTCGAGAAGATGGTGGTTGTTGATTGCATGCACAATCTATTCCTTGGTGATATTTCTCTTAATTTTATGCGACGGTCATAAATATTTACCGCTGCGTAGAACTGGTCAAGACTCATTTTTACCATATTTGGGTGAAGTCTAAGGTTCTGCACAAGACAAAGGAGTTGAACCACTTGGATGCTATTCTCAACAAGGTGCACTGTGGTAGTGATCAATGGAAAGGTCTAACTGATGAATAATATACAGATGTCTCTATTAGCAAAGGTCGGCCGGCTACCACAGCTGATTGGAGAATCTGCCAGCAGATCCCTGACTGCTGATCAATGGCTCGTTCTGTCAACACTGATTGGCCCCCTTGCTGTAGGCTTATTTATTGTCTTTTAACCTTGTTGCAATTAACCAAAGAATTATAGATCCCGCAAATATGGCAGGACTATATGTCTGCAGATCCAGCTGCCATACTTGCGGCATGCAAGGCTAGCATAGCCTCAACTATTGCTGAAAAACGTTCAGCGGCCGCAGCAAAGCGGAAATCTGCGCAGCAAAAGAAGCGCACCAAGGGCAAAGCCACCCGCAAGCAGACTTCTCCTGTTGCAGAGAGTTCAACAGCAACTCGACGGTCTCAACGGGCTTGTCAGCCAACAAACCGAGCACTCGTACATGAATGTATATCCACTGTTATTGCGCTAATCTCACCAGCTAATATACAGAGTGTTGATGCAGCTTCGGACAGTGATGTTGGCAAATCAGAGGGTAAATGGCTCGATGACGGAGCTGTTGATGACATTGAAGACAAGACGTTCAATGACGAAATGCCTTGGCGCAAGAGAGCACGTGGAGACAACGCAGCTGACGACTCTCACAAGCTTTCACAACTTGTACCAGATGACGTTGTCAATTTTCTCAAGCTCTGTGAGGCCTTGCAATTGCTTCTCCATGGAGATATCACAGATGACCAGATCATCCAAGCTGACAAGCTCATTCAAAAGTATGGAATTGGTCTTATCGAGGTAAGAATAGCCTTCCATGATTATTATTAGAATTATCTGACATGACCCATTGCTTTGGCTAGTTATACGGACCAGAAGTTCTGAAGCCGAATCATCATTACACAACACAGGTCGGAAAGTTTGTTTGAAATTTTGGACCGTTACACTGCTTCTGGACATTCCTTTTTGAGTGCATGAATAAAATCCTCAAGAGCTACAAGACAAACCACCACAGTGGCGGAGAGATTGAGATAACATTTTTCTGAGAATTTCATCGAATAATTCGCACGTCGCGCATGATTTGTGGTTCACTTTACGTCTTTCTGCATGCTGACTTCAAAATCTTTGGCAGTTAGCAAACGGTGCACAAGCTGCGGAGACTACAGGTTTGCTGAATGCTGTTGAGGCCACACAATTCAGTTACAATGGTTACATGAGCTGTGAAGCACACTATATGACAAAGTCCCAGTTGACTTAGATCAACTATAAGCTGGCCAGAAGTAAAATAAAATAAAATAGAGCAGAATTTGCTAGCTAAAATAAAAAATGGAAACATCAGACACATTTACATCTAAACTAAAGCTTGTGCAGCTTGCATATCAGTCTTATTCTATATTACTTACCAATATAGTGAATATAGCCTACAAACATAATGAGGTAGTATTTTCAGTTTGTATGCTGCACCATATATAGCCTTAATTCAGCCAGTATACTTTTAGCCAAAATATTTGGCCAGTGCTTTTGGCTTGCACATATTTTTGGCCAGCATATGTACTTGGCCAGTGTAAGTGGTCCTTGGCTAGCACATGTATCTGGCCAGTGTAAGTGGTTCTGGCCAGCACATGCTTCTGGCCAGCACATGCTTCTGGCCAGCATATGTTTCTGGCCAGCACATGTTCCTGGCCTGCACATATTCCTGGCTAGCATCAGCAAAAAAATGGGTTGTAGGTCAGCGATGGGTTGTCATGCAAGCGCCTAGCAGCCTGATGGATGCTGGCAATGCAAGAGCAAGCAATACCTTACTGGTATCGCATGGCCGTTGATTGCCATCTCATCTCATGCTGGTACATCATTAAAATTTGGGTTCCATACTGATAAAACTCGATATGCTATGACCTGGTCGCTCAGATTCCGGTTGTGACGTGACGTCACCCACGCCAGGATGTGTCACTGCTTGTCTTTTGCCTCTAGTCCCCTCTGCGACAGCTGCACAAGGTTCTTTTGACCTCCCCTAAAGTCACATTTCCTTTTACATCATGATACTTATGAAGGGCCCTTGTCACCTCTCCGTTCCCCATAGTGATGTGCGGGCCGGGCCTCAAAGCCCACGAGCCCGCCAAGCCCAGTCCAAAAAGCCTGACCCGAGCTAAGCCTGGCAGCAGGCTCAAGGCTGGGCTCAGAGCGTAGTCAAGCCCAAGCCTGGCCCGAAAGCCCAGGTTTGGGTGCACCAAATGTGTTGCCGTTCCCTGGGCTCAAAACATGGTAAGAACAACTTTATATACACATACAAGACAAAATCTTGACTTACTGGGCTGGGCAGTCCCTGCTATTGTGACTAGGCGCAATTGTGCGCCACCGCCTAGTGTTCGCCGTAGGCGCCCCTTCGCGAACCTTGTCACAACATGGCTTGTAGCGCGGTCACATGCTCTCTGGAGGCTGCAGTACGGTGGGTACATGCAATAGCAGCCTATCACATGCAAATATGCTCACTTTTGTAGCATATAAATACTTGTCCTAAGCTTTGCAAGCTTGGGCTTAAGTCCACAGCTTGGGCCGGGCTCAGGCTCGGCTCGGGCTCAGGGCTCGGCTTGGCATCGCCACAAGCCCAAGCCGGGCCCGCACATCACTAGTTCCCCATGTCTCTTACTTCCTCTCCACCACTGTGCTCAAGTCTGAGCTTCGAGCCAGCCCGGTGAACGCCTGCGGACACTCCTGCACTCCATTCCATTGTTGTTGTGACAATACCGTACAGATGTTTGCACTGGGTGCTTGCCAGGTGGGGCGTGTGCCAAGGTGCGTGTAGATTGTCATTGCAAGTATCCTGCTGACACCTCGCATGACTGACCGTAGGCACGGTAGCCGCGGCACGTCCTCTGGCAGCTTCTGTATGGAGCTGTAACGTGAGCGCAAGGTGGCATTATAAGCATTTAAGTCCGCATATATACCTATCTATGTAGTATCTCAACGCATATAGTGTCTTTGACATGCATATATGCACTTGACTCAGACTAATCATAACTCTCACCTGTAGGCTTACGCGGAATATTGCTGCTCACCCAACAAACAACACCACACCTGCACATAATTGCCATGACCATGACCACTTTACCATGAACTTCTCCCTCCACGCCGCCTGCGACACAATGTGCGACGCTCTCAGGAGCATGGTGCCGGCAAGAAGACCACAAGGTCACAGGTGTAAGGTGTGCCACACACCACGCGCCGTTGTGCCAGCACCAGTAAGCAATCTGTTCTTCCCACATATTACATGCTGATGCAATTCTTGCTGATCTTCAAGGTTTCCTAGTGCATCCTTGCATATTATGTGCTTACAGTACGTCTCGTGATACGCAGGTTTTTGCACTCACGAGCACTCACATTTGCGACTCCTCTAGATACATTCATGTGTGGCGATGTCATGCTCTTGCATGCTATGTGGACTGTGCAAGTACCCTCTGTTGCCGCTTGTGCCACCTACGGCCTTTGTACCTTATGTAGCTTCGTGAATATACTGTGTTTCCATTTTCCATTTTCCAGGTGCGAGCTGGCCCTGAATATTTTTGAATATTGAATAAACTAATTTGAGCACTCCGACAAACACTTTCCGGACCGGTGCGAGCTGGCAATGCCTTGCCATGGCTGGCAAACCTCTCCAGAATAACGATGCTACCCAGACTGGTAAGCCCTACAAAGCATACAGGTGCTCTATCTATTATGGCAATGGCAATCCCAGGATGGGTTGACTTATATTCATGGGTGCCTTTATCTAGCCTGGCCATCCTAGATAATTAGGTAATTTTTTTGCTGATGAGCATGTCTCTCTGGCCAGTATTCATCTCTGACCAGCCCATGTCTCAGGCTGGCATATATTTTTAACTAGCATACATCTCTAGCCAGTGTATATCTCTGGCCAGTGTGTGTTTAAAGCCAACATATGTTTTTGGCTAATTATTTTAATTTAGTGTGCATTCTCAATTAATATTTATCTTTGATCGATATGTGATTAAATCAGTGCACATCTTTGGCTAGTGTGTATCTATAATCAATACATAGCTACTACTATCAATACTGTCTGTTTCAAGTTTTACACATATAAAGCCAATACATTTTGACCACTAGTATAGTTAATTAAAAGACCAACACTAATACTACTTGTTCACAGACATGAAAGGTGCTGTAACATTAGTTAAAAGGCTGTTACTATTGCTACTGTTAGCTGCAATGACATTGTCAGATGTGAGTTTCTGGCAAGTTGCTTTGATAGCAAAAATCTGGCAACAAAAGCTTAGAACTAGCTGCTTTTGAGCAAGCAGTTAAATCCAGCATCTTAAATTGTATATATGGCTAGAAATTACAAAGTGCATGGAAACCAAGCCAACACAGATTGTGCCAGTTTAGAGATCTGACTACAATTGAATTAGTATGTAGGCCAGATCAGTATAATTTAGTCTAGAATAGACAATAGCTTATGTTACAAGCTGCAATGATATTTGGTGCATGTTTCATATAACATTTGTAAATCTGGCCAGATACCAGATGTTCCATATTTTATGGCTTTTTGTCATGTCTATTTGGACAAAATGTATGAAAACTGCTACTGAATGCATTGTTGAGGCAATGTCAAAGACTTCCAAAGACAACCGGGGAACAGTCCAAGCCCTTGCAGGAGATCTTGATGAGCAATATCAATATGGTACGTCTTAATCTTCAGCACGCGATAGTGTAACAAATGACTGTATTTTCAGATGGGGTCTGATGTGGACTTGCGTCAACACACCATGAGGGATACTGCGTGGATCTAATCAGAAGGTGGCGCCGACGAGGTCTGGCGACTGTGCGTTAGCTTGTTCAGCTAGCCCAATTAACCAAGATGTATTAGTGACTGTACTACGATACAAATGAAGGCTTACCTAGCCCAATTAACCAAGAGGTTGAGATGGGGCTAGGTAGCGACAAAGGGACTCCTTATATACTAGTCAGGCTGCGCACGGACCAGGTGTTACATAAGCGACTGTGCTACGGCGGTTGCTAGTGTCTAGGGGACTTTTGGCGGGGAGGCGAGGGCCGGTGTGTCATAGCGTATGACCTTGTCGGACCAACGGGGATAGGATGTCTGTTGCCGATCGGACTCGGAGATAGTCGGGGGCCGGTGTGTCATGGCGTATGATGTTGTCAGGCCGACGGGAATAGAATGTCCGTTGGAGATTGGAGTGCAGCTGTTCCCGAGGAAGCGTGATGCGGTGACAAGGCGGCGGCGATACAGGTGTGTCTGATGCAATGATGCGTGCCTGTCGGTGATGCGTTTTCAAGGTGTTAGCGCGCGGCTAGGACTTGTAAACTGGCGCCAATGCGTCGACGACATTTGGAGGGTCGTATAAACATAGAATAAATCGGAGAAAATGAAAATAAAATAGGAGGCCGGGGCTATGCCCACGACAGGGTCTGCTTCCGCATGAGCACTCACTTCGAAAAGGCAGATCTCTCACCTGACCTATACTCGACCATGGTAACATTCTACCATATGTGTTTTTTACAGCATCAGTTCTGTTCATGGATTGCACCGTTGGGAGATGAGTTGACATACCCAGTGACTACTGACACCATTTTCTTCAACCACATTGTTATCAATCAAAGTCGCTACGTATTCCTACTTTGGTTGAATGCCTCTGCAGAGGCTTTAGTTGTTGTACGCATCAATGATGCAGGAGCAACATGGGTCGGTGAGCTATTCCAAGTGTTTTCTGTTGCCCAGCCACCTCTCAGAATGCAGCGTTTTGGTTACATGCGCTGGTTTGTGCCTTTTGACAGTGATATTACCTCAGCTGCATGGCAAAATAGGTGGGCACAGACTTGTTTACGCGATCGGCTTCTAATCATGTTGGCAGTGGTCGTCTTGGTGTCCGGCTTTGGATGCAAAACCGATACCTCTCGAAGAATGATAACGGCCCTGGCGCCATCACTGAGCTGGAGAAATTGTTGGTCATGCCATAAAGCTCGACATTACTGTTGGTGAAGTTGGGGCATGGGCAACCAATTTGGTACGGCCAGTACATCTGATTTAATTCTACTGCTGCAAGGACACTTCGAGCACGTTTATACAGGTCGGAGCAGTACTATTGGGCCTTTAGAGTCACCTATGTTCATTCGTGTTCATCATCGGCTTCATCACCTGACTGGCTATTACCTAGTTCAGCTGGCTGCGAACAGTCAACACGATGCAAGCACTGGGGTAAATCATTGTCAGGAATGGCCAGCAAGAAGATGGTGTAGTCCTCAGAATTGGCAAGAACTTCAAAAGAACCGAGTGTCCCAGTATGGTGAGCCCAGTCAGTGCTGATGCAGCTTTCAAAAGGAGGCTTATTCTTTGGAGGGGGGCCTGTGTAATTGTTGTCGATAGAACCACAAATGCGCAACTTGGTAGCACGTCCTTCATCACGGCTCTTGGCTTCCTTTGATAATGTCTCAAGCGCACCAATAATGTGGTTAAACTACAGCAGTGGTGAGTACCTAAGGCCAAAGCTTACTGATACTGACGTACCAGCTCAGATCACCACTCCTTGCTTCGTACCTCAAGCCTGCCAATGCCCCGAGCTTCTTCGTGAGTGTTGTGCTTTCTAGCAACAGCTTCGCCAGAGTCAGAGTGCTCGGATGACATGTAGTCACTGTGCAGGAGCTCCTGGACACCAACTGTGTTCTCTTCGCTGTATCGAGCCTGGAAGTCATTGACGGCTTGACAAAGTTAATCGCAGCACTAAAAGGCACAAAGAAATCAGGAGTGTTCACAGAATGAATTTGGTGAGTGAATGTACACGGCTTCGCCTGAGCGCATGCTTAGTGTTCACTTGTTTAGCTTTAGCCTTGACCTTGGCTATCTCACTGGTCTGCGCCTTGTAATTACTATGAAGCGTAGTGAAGTACGTCTCGGCTGTGAGCCAAAGATGTACCGGAGTGGCGTCTGCTTCATTTAGAGTACATCTGACCTATCAAAAAGTAGCTTGGGTTAAAAGATCTCTTGTAGAGTTCATGTAACAATGGTAACGAACATTCTGTTTTTTGACAATGTGGTCGACTACTGCTTCAAGGTATTCATGGTTAACATTGAGGCTGATACTTTCTTTCCAGTGCGGATTATAGAGTGGGACGTTGTTCTCAACACACAAAGGAGCACCATCGGGCAAAGGTTCAGGAAGGACCATCTTTTCGTTGCGGACCGAGTTAACTCCAACCAAGTCAAGCATAATCTTACGGACAGTTTTCCAGCATATGACAGTAAGTGCAGCACGTTCTATTAGACAAACGCTGATCTCACCCTGACAGGACCTGTGATCTTGAGCTTATCAGCCTTCCTCTTTCCGTCTGCGCTCTCCATCTCTTTCCTCACGAGATTTTTGATTTGCTCAACAGTCAGAGAGGTGTTGCTGGTGTTGGTTCCAGTGGGGTCGGTGTCACGGCTGGTATCTGGACTGGGGAGAGAATCGCTCGAGAGTGCGGGAAGGGCGTCCTGCATGGTAACAGGCTCGGTGGAGCCTACAGAAGGTATGGTAACCTGCGCAAACATTGTAGGATGGCCACCAGTGCTGATACCGCTGATTTGCCCAGGAAATCCGCTCATGCCTGGACTGTACATTGGGCTCATTGGATAGCCTCCCATGTTCTGTGAGAGGTACATGAGTGATGTCTACAAGATACAATGTCAATGCTAACCGGGATAAAGCCGTGACCTCCGTAGTGCATAGGATGAAGTCTCATAGAGCTGCCGCCGTTGCTTACGCTTTGGGTCTTGATGACAAGTGTGAGTACATCTGACCATAACCAGAGATTAATGGTACTTACCATGAGATTCACTGTGTTCATGCCAGGATATAGCCCAGAGTTGTGAACAGGACTGGGATAAGGGACGCTAGAAGGACCGTAAGGTGCGCCAGTGTACATATGGGCCATGTCCTCAGCTGACATGCTGAATGATGACACAGGGGGGCTGGGCGACGCAGTGTTAGAAGGGGGAGGCATGGCTGCGTAGGTGGGCGAAGGCTCAGCCTGGTGTGTGGCTTGGACTTTTAACATTGCAGGCATGCCTCACCTATTAGTCATCTGTGCATAGAGCTTTTGGCTGTGCCAGGAACTCAGCAGAAGTAGCATGTGTTCCTAATCTCATCCAAGTGGCCGCTTTGAACGAGCACTAGCACGACACTGCGATCGGTGCATGCGGACGGGTGCATGTTTGATCACCGCTGTGACCACCACCATGACCTAACAGAGCAGGCCCAGGCTCAGTACAGCTGGCGCACCGCTGCGAGGGACCACCATTACTAGCATGATGGAATGTAGGAGGAAAGTGCGACGCAACAAGCTACAGGGACGCAACTGGAGCGCGACGCGCTAGTCAGCAGCATTGGTCAGATGATATGAGCGGCCACAGTAAACTGTTTCATCTGTATATAGAACATGGGCACACTAGATACATCATGTTTCCACAATTTGGACACATGACGTTGCTAATGCAGCGGTCGAGAATGCCCTCAGAGTTCCGGACAGGAGCACATGGAATTTATAATGTATCTCACAGAGTCCGTTTTTGCGCACACCATGAGACCAGACCACCGCTATGCTGGAATTGGTAGCTTTCTGGGTGAATCCGGCAGACTGATTTCTGGCATGTCAGGAGGGTGCGGCTACATGAGATCTATTTTGTATCAATGCATATTCAGCGCCAGGGCACTTTTCGTTTAACACAGTGACTGGCTTGGCTTGGCCCAGAAGCCAATGGCTTTGGCTTGGCTTTGCCAGGCTTAGGCTTGTGAAAACTCAAGCCAAGCCGCAAGCCGCCACAAACCATAAGCCAGTGGCTCGGCTTTGGCTTGGGCTGTGGCTTGTGTCCTGATTTTGCAAGTGCTGTGGATTGACCATGTCAACAGTTCCACAGCTGCCACACGTAGACACACAGTCATGTACAACATGTAAATAGTTTTATTGCATGGCAAAAGGCCTGAATACATACTCTGAGGTATAATATAGGTGAGAAACATCAATAAAATTGTTCAGAAACCTGAACTTCATACAAACAAGAAAACTGTCGCACATCAGGAAACAGGACTTGGGCCCATAGTGCTCCAAAATGCTCCTGTAGCACTCTGTAGCATTGTGGACCTAAGTCATTTTCCTGATGCAATGCTTGCATTATTGGCCCATCTTTACATTATACATCGTCAAAGCTATCTGCATAAGTATATACTGCTGTTTTTTAAATGATCGCAGTTCTAAGAACCCTTGCTGGAAACCTTCTGCACATTCAAGGTCATTTTGGCAAGATCCTGGGCCAATTCCTCCTCCTCCACAAGAAAAGCAGGTGGAAGAGAGGATGCACCGAATAAAATGTAAGAATATGGCATGTGTATGCGTAGCGGACAGTGAAGCTTGACACGATGCAGTGGGCACCTCTCATGGTTGGAGGTGCCAGGGGTGCCGGTGAGCCATGGAAGGTGCGATGTGACATTCCATGCGCACTCTTGTATGGCTGCACTCAGATGCACTATCTCATGTCTATCTAAAGGCTCATTCACCGGCGCGCACATTTTCCAGCACCTCGACGTGGGTGCCCTGCAGACTGCATTGTGCTACCTGGAGGCCATTTGCCTCTTGAAAGCATACAAAGACCATGGCAGCCTCTTGATAACTCACGAGAGCAACTTATCCAGGCAGCCTGGATAATTTGCTCTCTCGTTATGGCTAGCTTTGTATGGCACATTCAAGAGTGATCATTGGTGACATCCTGGCATTGTTCATCAGCACGTCAGCGATGACAGCTCTCATTAATGCCCATCTGCCTGCCGCAAGTAGGTGCTGACCAAGTTCTTATGATTATTCTAACAGTAGTAATAAATACAGTAAATTTATTGTTCAAAGCCGCGGCTTGCCAGCTTGGCTTGGCTGGCTTGACATGCAAGCTGAGCCAAAAGCCTGTTCAAGCCAGCACCTTTTGGTATGAAGGTCTGCAGTGGACAAAAATACAAATCTCATTCTTGTAGTATAAAGGTCTGTGGTGGACAAAAACAAAAATCCCGTTCTTGCAGTGCTGAATCTTGTTCTGGCTGTGGATGGTAATTCATTTCATTGTACTAAACTGAGTTTGTCCACGTGTTAGTGAACTTAAGTGCACCTGTATGCACTGCTATACTGTACTTTTATGACCGTACCAGATGTTACACATCACAACGCTTTTCTGCAGACACCGCCAACAATACTCTCTTAATTTATGGCGATTTTGGTGAGTTGTCGGAAAAATTGTGACCGCACAGCATTTGTGACTTATGTTGCAACACCAGATAGCACCATCTCAGGTGTTGGTGGCATTTGTGCCGCATTGGGCTGAGGAGATGTGCACATCACATTCTTTACCAAAGCTGGAACCATTCCTGTCACCCTGAAGAACGTTCTGCATGTGCCATCCATACAATGCAACTTGCTTTTGCTGGGTCGCATGACCAGCACGGACATCAACTTCATTGGTGAGAGGGACGGACTGTCCCTTGTGGACAGTACCCGAATCATTGGTACCAGGCAGAAAGTAAGTGATCAGTTGTATCACATGGACCTAAAGATTTGCCAATCAGTATTGTCTCCCACAACTTCTGAGCCACGGGCATTCACAGTGCACACCGCCGTCATCGAGATGCTCTCACAGACCCAGGCAGCTGCAAAATTGCTCACAAAACCAGTTGCTCCATCTGCGCCCATTTGTGCATCGTTCCGTGCTGAGGCGCCTCCACAGATCCAGGCACCTGCAAAATCACTCGTGGAACCCACTGCCGCTCCCGCACCTGTTGAGTCTGATTGCAATTGTGCTGCCCGCACCCTCATCTCCAGTGAGAATCCCACCTACCCGGCTGCACTCGGACCTACCAAGGTATACGGACGGAGACCGAAGGTTACCGATATCTACTCTCTTCGCCCTCTGATCTCAGTTTTTGCCTTTTGCTGTTTTCTTGTCTTTGACCATATACCTGTATCTACTTTTTTCTCCCACATTTCTATTCTGTTGTCGTTACAATTATCAACACTTGTGCGCCTTTGGGACGGTCAGTGCCCTTTGGCGCTTGCAACATTTCTCTCGCGCGTCCCTGCCCCAAACTGCTATATCTTTATTCACGACGTTGTTCTCTCCAGATCGCACACCTTCTTCGTGTAATACACCCTCTAATATCATTACTTTGACTTCTCCAACTCTTACTCGTGTGTTATGTGGCAAATAAATGAAGCCGGCCGCCGCGAATACCTTTGTAACTGCAAGATACATTGCAAACAGGCGACATGGTTGCCAAAATCCACCTACCACCTCCACCAAGCCCTCCTGGACAAAGAAGAAAGGGCATATTTAGCTGCAGCAGAGGCTACTACAGCAAAACATGCACGGGATCCTTCCGAATCTCTAGAACCCGAGCAGCCTGTCCAAGGTGGACAGGCGAGTCCTGTAAAGCGCACGCGACCTTCTCCTGGGGAGGATCCTAGTGAAGAGGCAGAAGATGTCGATGTGGAGATGGACCTGGTATGTATTTGCCCTTCAATCCATTGTAATGTGCTCACCTTGCTGGCTTTCTTAGCTCAATCAGCTTGAGTTCCGCCAATCTCTTACACCTGAACATGATCGTCCCCTCACTCCATTACTTCGACCATCTGCACAACCTGAAGAGCACAACTTTTCTGTGCCACCATCGCGACCCTGGGAGGAGTCTCAGCCTGAGCCGGATGACGATGATGAGGCCGACTCTGCTTCCGGACAGCCTGAGTTGATGCTACCAGATGCTCGGCGGCCTGATCATGGAAGCTACGTTGACCATGTGCTAGCTGAAGAGGATGAAGAAGATGAAGAAGACAAACCTCACAGGCCTTCTGAGCTCAACGAGCCTGTGTTCACTATGAGCCACCGCATCAAAGATCTTGAAACTGCACAGCAGTTTATTACAGCTCTTTAAGATGCTGCCCTCGAAACTGACCTATCGCCTGCTGTCATAGAACGCCTTTGCCATCCTCCACAAGAGGCTTTAGAGCTCGAAGACACTACCGAGCGCCTTTCGATCGAAGTTTACTTGGGCCTCAAGAATGCTTCGCAACGCCACTACAATATTATTCGTGACGCTATCTTGCGCTTTGATCCAAGCTGCGAGATGCTTTCATTTGATGCAGTCAAGCGCCGCATTGAAGAGCTTAGTGGTATTGTTCCTGTCTATCATGACATGTGCTTCGACAGCTGTGTCGGCTTCACGGGGCCGTTTGAAGACCTTGAGCAGTGCTCAATGTGCTCAAAGCATCGCTACAACCAAGCCAAACATGCACGCTCCGGCAAGAAAGTTTCTGTCAAGCGTTTCCTTACAAATTGTATGGGACCTGCTATTCAAGCAATGTGGCGCTCTTCCGTTGGTGCAGAGGGTATGAGCTATCGTACACGTTGTACTGCCAAGATCATGAAGGAGATAACGCGGCAGGCTGAACACCAAGACGGCAACTTCGAGTTCTCTCCTCCTGAGCTTGACGACTATATACACGGCACGGACTATCTCGAAGCTGCCCTCAATGGGTTCATTGGTGAAGACGACACGGTTCTTATGCTCTCGCTTGATGGTGCACAGCTTTATCGCAACAAGACATCTGATGTTTGGATATACATCTGGGTTCTCATGGACCACAGCCCTGATACCCGCTACAAGAAGCAGAACATCTATGTTGGCGGCGTCATTCCTGGCCCCAACAAGCCGAAGAATATCGACTCATTTTTGTTTCCAGGCTTCCGCCATCTTGCCGCCCTTATGAAAGAAGGCCTCGCGGTTTGGAATGGTGCTACGCAGCGGCTCTTTCGCTCAGACCCATATATCATTGCCTTCAGAGCAGATCAAATTGGCATGACGCAGATGACAGGCCTTGTTGGACACCATGGTCGCTTTGGCTGTCGGCTCTACTGCCCTTTTCCTGGACGGCGCAAAGATAGGAGTGGCCACTACTTTCAGGCAACTCAACTTCCACACAATCATCGCGTCAACAATTCTGATCATCCTGATGTCAATGTTGGCGTCATTATTAACGAGACATATGCAGAGAAGACTCACCGATACAACAACAATCTGCAGCAGCTTCTTTCAGGTTCACGGTCTCAGGCTGCCTACGAACGCATTCGCCTTGAGACAGGCATTTCCAAGCCCAGTATTATAAGCGGCTTCCCACGACACTGTACTCTTGGCGTTCCAGGTTGCTTTCAGAGTGACCTGTTCCATCTCGCGTCTCTCAACATACCTGATTTGTACCTTTCCCTCCTCCGGAGAACTATCGACTGTGATAGCCAGGATAGTAAAGACACTTGGGACTGGGCCATTTTTTGCAATGTTCCACTTTGGGAGCAACACGGCAAGGAAGTTGCAGCCACTCGACCGTATCTTCCTGGGTCCTTTGATCGTCTACCACGCAACATTGCGGAGAAACTCAACAGTGGCTACAAAGCTATCTAGTTTCAGCATTATCTTTATGGCCTTGCACCTGCTTTGCTGCACGGTCTCCTTCCGGAGAAGTACTGGCGTCACCTCTACAAGCTCGTTCGTGGAATGCACATTCTACACCAACACCGAATAACTCAAACTGATGTTGCAGCTGCTCACAAGCTTCTCCTCAGCTGGTCACCAGACTTTGAGACCCTCTACTGCCAACGCAAGACATCACGGCTCCATTTCGCACGTCCTAGCACCCACGGTCCAGTTCATACCGGTCCCGAAACTCTTGGGCGTGGCCCCAACGCAAACTTGAACCAGGCGGCTATGGAGCGTACAATTGGCAATCTCGGTCAGGACATCCGCCAGCACTCCAACGTATACGCCAACTTACAGCAGAACGCCCTCTGCCGCTGCCAATTCAATGCTCTCAAAGCCATATACCCTGCGTTCGCCCCTGATCCCACCATACCGCGTGGTGCAGTCATTGTTGGCAATGGCTATATTCTCTTGTGTGCAGCCGAGAAGAGCCAACGGGCTGTTTCACATGCAGAAGCCGTCGCCTTGCAGCGCTTTGTCCATGCTCATGGTATTCCTGCAACGGACGCTTGGTTGCAACAGCCAAAGATTGCACAATGGGCTCGTCTGCATCTTCCCAGTGGGCAGAACGCTCGCTTGCTGTGGAAAGAGTCTCTCAAAACTCTTGAGGCTCTCCGAACATCTCGGAATGTGAAGGTACGTTGTGTCTCCTTCTGCATCCGAGTCAGCCGTATTTTTACTGTGTATTTGCTCTAGTTTTCCCACAATAGCGAGATTGAGTATGGTGAGGTTCGATTCTTCTTTCAAATGGAAGTAGAGCCAGGCCAACCATCACGAGCATTTGCACTCGTGTCAAGATACACACGTCCCGACCACCAGCTGCTGACCAAGTCATACAAGACTGTGTGGTCATGCAAGGCAAGTGGTGATGATGATATCCTGGTTGTAAGTGTCAAGACAATATCAGCCGTTGTCGCGATGATTCCACATCCTCATCGAGCCGGCCACGACGAGCTTATAGGTAGAGTATTTGTTATGGAGAAGCTCGGGGTCGATTCTATTACATTATATGAGCAAGATGAGGAGCTTGATAATGAGGACGAATAGCTAGCTCACTGTGCTTCACTAATATCATGTATTACATTTTTATACTCCTCAATTCGAGGTGCAGACTGCACATCGTTCACTTCACACCAGATATCTACGACAGGCGCCTCTCAGGGTGTGCGGCGCTTATAAGCGCTTTCTACCAGCTAGCACATTATTCACTTCCTCCACCATGTCATTGGTATTTTTGTGGTTATGTCGCACTTCCATGGCTGCAAGCATACCAGTAGCGTGGGCTCTCTCATGATGCCTCCACTGTTGTGCTACCATACGCACGCTGACAGCACCCAACTGCATGCACCACGATGGAGGCCAGCTACATCAAACCAAGGTGCGTTGTACTTCCATAGTCAGTAACGGACTTTATTCATGATGATTGTGCTGCAGGACACATCGTCGCAGTCTTGCTCCGCACTGCGCTGTGCGCACACTCCCCATCGTTCCTCCTCCGCTGCAATGCAAGGCATGACCGCCACCTACGACAAACCTTCGTAGTTGCCAACATGGCGCGCAAGAGGACGAAGCAGAAGCTCAACGCACCGTCCATCGTCGCGCCCACATGCTTCGCCCTGCGCATCCACCACCGCACATGCAACGCCGCGCAACCACCATCGGTCGCACAGGAAGGCGTCCCTCTTGGACTCGTGCCACTCAATGTTGCCCTTGCTGTCACCGGTGCCACTCACGCCGCCGCACGTGGACGTCGAGCCAACATACGCCGCGGCGATCTATCCGTCGCCTGAGCCCATCGTCGCTGCAGGCGCCCCAGAGGCACACCCCAGTCTTGCTCGACACACTCCTCGCCGCCGGCGTGCGCACCTTCATCAACCTCACCGACCCACACGAACTCTTCCTGTACTACCTACTCCTCGCCGTCACGAGCTCTTCCCATACTACCTGCACCTCGCTGCGTGCTGCTCGACATCGACCTGCGCGAGGTCGTGTACCACAACTTGCCTATCCGCGACCGCAGCCTGCCCGAGAGTGTCGACCTCGTGTGCTGCATCCTTACCGTGCTCCGCGGCCTTGCCGTGCTCCGCGACAATGAGCGCCGCAAGCGCATCTGCGCCGTCCACTGCCGCGGTGGCATCGGCCGCACCAGCGTCGTCATCAGCTGCTGGCTCGTCGAGTTTGGCATCGCACACGATGGCGCAGGCACTCTGCTAGAAGAGCACACGATGGCGTCCACCTGCGCTATGAAGATTGTTGCGGCTTCTCCGCACTCCGCCGTGCGCACACCCCGCAACGTTACTTCTCCCGTGCAGGGACGCCGGTCTTTAAGCAAATCGAGTTCGCGCCTAAGACCTCTAGTAAGCAGACTTAGCTATTTACCTATTTGTACTCCATTGCTCAGTATGCCGCAGCCTCTGACTACGTCGTTGTAAACTCGAACAACACGGAACGTTCTCTGCTGGCAACGTTCTCCGTTGGGGATCTCGCGCAGTGAACAGCAAACAAGACGGGCCTGTTTGGCAACACGCCCGTGAACGCCGTCGCGTTCCTATGGCTCCCAGCAAGAGACGGCATCTTCACGTGCGTGCCAGACCCTGCGGCCAGGCTGGGCTCGGCGCACTACAAGCTGCTCTGGGCAGATGGCCCCGCGGCGACGGTGCTTGCATAGCCGGCAATGGGGCACTTTGTGACGATCAACACCGCGGTCGTGTCACCGACGTGTTCCTGCTCATCGACCCGAACTTCAACATGAGCTCTGACCAGGCTGCAATGCTTGCGGCCGTGCGCGCCACCCTGGCAGGCACGGGGGCTTCGACGTGTAGTTCAGCGCCGACGTGAGGACGCTGCTCTTTGCACGAGCAGGGAGATCCCCGTTGCCGAAGTAGTCTTAGCATGATAGTCTTAGCATAGAATTGGACACCGAAATGTTGTCGCGTGCTGATTGCTGCCCTTGGGTGGCAAATACAACAACTCTTGTAAACTCTCTGAGCATGCATAAATATATAACAACCAGTCCCTCTCCAGCCAGCAAACCTATGCTTCAATTGGTGTGATCATTGTTTGAGCCTGGGTCATTCTGAGGCAGGTTAGTATGTAAACAACTATGAACGTATGTACAATGCTGTTACTTACTGACACAACTGGTGCTCGGTCTGATACAGAGCTACTTGTAGCTGCAGGCTGCTGAGCGGCGCGGCGTGCGCGAGCGCGCTCTTCTTCGAAGGCCTCGGTACGCAATTGGAGCAGGAGACGCAGGGCCAGTTTGGTGCGAACAACTTCTTGAGTGATCTTCTGGCAGTATGTGAGTGGATACTGGTAAGGCAATGGGTCGTCGTGACGTGCAGCTTGCTGTCCGACTGAGCGCTGGATCAACCGCACGCATCGGTCAGGTTGACTAGGAGTGGCGGCGTGCTGGTCATGGTCATGGTCCATGGTGGTAGTTGTAAGTAAACCATGTCTCTGCAAAACACGGTCCTTTATAAGTCCAGAATATGGGTAGATGTGAGTAGGTCTACGTGCTCGGTGGTGTACCCATTTACTTCCGCTCAATCACATATATAAGGCTCTCATCACGGCGACCGACACCCCCATTCTGCTACCCTGCTCTCCTGCGTTACTACTGTGATCGTCAAGCACATCTATCTGGCATCTTCTTACCATAGAACGCTCAGGCAATGGAGGGAATCCTTCAAAGTGGAGCAGAAGCACATAGGATGCAAGAGATGGCTGGAGGTGACGTGTCGTTAGGTAAATTTCAACATAGTGATGACTACCAAGAGGAGAACTGACGAAAACAGGTAGAGGCCTTTTGGAAGACACGTCAAGTCTAGATATGTCCATCAACATGACTGCCAATGCATACACAGGTGACTGGAAGACCTTTGAGGTTCCAGTGCATGGCATTTGTTGCTGAGTGTGTATGCATAGCTAATGCACTGTTCCTGCAGCTATCAGCCAAGGAGGCTTCAAACATATCAGCCGTAAACACGCATATCATTGGCACAATGACGAACAGCTCTGATTTGAGTCTGATGCCTCTGTTTAATATTGTTCAGCATGTACGGGGGAGATGGAGGTTTTTGGGTGCGTGTATCTTGATTGTACATAGCTGTGCACCTCACCTGACCCAGGCACGATTTCCAGGAACCGCATTGAGAAGCTGTATGAGGCTGTAAACATGCTCTCGTGAGTTTGGTTTATGTCCAATATTAGCTAGTAGACTGAGATCTCGCACGGAGCTCGCGGGTGGATGTCGTGATCCAAAGTGCCAGTATGCAAACTGCTATGGGAGTCCCTGGACCTAAGGAGAACATCAAGCCCTTGCGTGAGAAGTATCCGAAGGTCCGTTTCTGGCGCAAGAACATGTACAAGCAGCAAGACGGACAACCAGGCCAAAGCAACCCCATGCGAGAAGAGACACCACGTCAGAAGTCCTATAAGAAGCTCCGATTCCTAGAAAACGACCAGGGTGTGCCATACACTATAGGGGAAATTGCTGTGGTTTGCGAAACCATGAAGCGCGCATTTCTTGACCTTGACAGCTCTCACAAGGTTGCGCCGCCGGCAACATGGCAGGGTCACGCTCTAGACTGCCATTGCAAAGGAGTCTTTAGTGCACTGTACAAAGCTCATCCTGATATTGAGTACTGCGCTGATGACTGGAAGGCCAATCAGATCGCTATCGAACGATATTCCCACTACCGCCAGCATCATCCGTGGCCTGCTGCATGGCCAGCACCTGTCCGCCGCATCAAGGAGGAGCCTCAGCAAATTGTCAGCGAAATCAAGGATGATCATGCCGATGGTGATCCCAGCTGCAGCCCTGGCAAGCCCAAACTGGCAGCTGACGTCGAGAACATGGACCCAGCGATGGCTCCTTTGCCTGATACCACACAGAAGAGAGCCGCTCCCACAAGTGCTGAAGATTGATGCGCAGCGAAGAAGCCCAAGATTGGGAGAAGGATCATCATAGCCAATCCAATGTAAGCCTACGCACCGTCACATCACTTAAGACTAACAATACAGTGGGTGGTTGCAGTCTTGCCACAACGCAGCCCACAACAGATGATCTGCCCGAGAATCTTTCAGACCAGGACATCACCGGAAGTAGAGTCAGGTTTGATCCCGAAGGTGGTCAGGTCAGCGAGGAAACGGCAGGATCAAGTGTGCCTGAGAATATTAATGTAACAGAGACGATGACCGAAGGCTCTGCTCTGCCTATTACAGTCCCCATTAGCTCTGCTCCGACTGAAGAGGCTGCGCGCTCTGATGACCAGGTCGCTAAGGGAAACACCGCAGCTCAGGGAGCTGCAATGAAGATCACTGGGAAGTACGTACCTTGTTTCACCATGTGGACGTCAGCTGGTTAACCCTGTCAAAATCCTACTGACAGGACTTACTGTTGTGACACTTGGAAGGCCGAGCACCCTGACTGCCAAGAGGACTTGGCTGCCTTTGAGGCCTATTGGAAGGGCCTCACCGAGGGAGAGAAAAGGGTGCATTACATGATATCTGTGGATGATGGCAGTTTCTGATTCATTGTGCACATGCTCATAGAAATTCAATAATCTTGCAGCCAAGGCGGTGAGTGTACAGATTCGTAGGGGAGTTACTTGGCATACTAACAGCAGTGCAGAAGCGTCAGCTGAATCGGACGGCGGCGAGCACGGCGTAAAGTCAGAAACGGTAGGTCTATTCGCATTCACATTGTCTCGCGCTAAATAGCTGAAAATCACCGTGCAGATACGAGCGGCTAGGTGAAGAGAGCTGCATGGATGCGGGTATTTATGGGTATGTACTGCAAACGGTGTGCTACTGTATGGGAAGTAGAGGAGAGGCAACCTGGGTGTGTGTAACTGTAGATAGCAGTATATCTGGGTGTACCACAATTTACGAAGATGAGAAAATTGCGTAGATGGGGGTGCCTCACAGTCCAATACACCTACCGTGGTCTACGGAGTCGAGCGGAGTAGGTTTGAGTCAACCCGGGTAGATGTGATGTTCACTGGGCCTCATCCTCCAGCAGATTCAGATACCTGCAAAGCCGCTTGCAACAACTATTCCCGTGCCCACGCTTGTCCCTGCATCATTCCACACCACAAAGTTCCGGCAACCTCACGAGACCGATGAACCAGTCACTGCTGATTCGCCCCCTGACACTCGAGTGCACATGCCCTGTGTCGCTGTCACCACCACTACCAATCCCCTTGTACGTGCCACTGTTGGCACTCATCTTGACATTGCACTTGCCGTCCATGCACTTCATTGCTCGAGCATGTCCTTTGATACCTCAAGATCACCACCGCCCTTTATCTCACCTACAATCCGGGTATCAAGGGTCTGATCAGGTACTTAGACGCCGATCAGGCCCAGCCCCCTTTATTTCATCTCCATCGACATTTCTGTCATCCACCGCGCTGCCAATATGTTCACCAAGGCGCTTGCCCGTCCCACTCACGCACAGCAGCTTGCCCTCACGAACGTGTCTGCTCATTGAGGGGGAGTGTTGTAGTATTTGAGGTGTGAGGTGCGCTGACCTGCTGGATGCGCATCCACCATGTCGCACCGAGACACTGACATGATGTGCTAGGCGTTCCCCATAGTCACATGGTTGGCAGGTTTCAGCTGGAGTACCATTGAAACCTGCCACCCTATGATGTCATTACCCTCTTACCAGATTTAGATATGATGTGCGCAGAGCACACTCAGCTCTGGCGCCCTTTCACTCACCGCTATGTTTCCCTTAGTCTCAGCTTCTTCAGCATACATAGTATTGGACTGAATATATTAGGAAGTAGATAAGCTATATAAGGACACATAGTATTATTCTTAGAATTTACCATTGATTACTCATGAATCCCCCGCCTGCGCAATCCAATTCACAACAGGGCGTACTTCAATTGATACACGTTAACACTAAGTATGAAAACATACAGTACCCATTTTTGCGGCCTCTGAAGGGTGTGCACAATCAGACTTTTTCCCATTATACACTGGGTGGGTACTTAAGTGCAGTTTACTTCTTTGGAAAATCAGATGAAAATTGGTTGACATCTGGAAAAAGACATTTTGCTGGACCCACCTGCCAGCAACCTGTGCCATCTGGGACCAAATAGACTGGTTTGTATCAGGGGACAAAATACAGATGGGCACATACCAGGGTGCAATGTCTATCTTGGTCTGTACCATTCAGACCAGCTAGACAATAGTATCGATGCACGAGACCAGTAGCAGTGTCACACAGACAGAAATGCTTTGTATAGTATGGGCAGCTTGTTTCTGTGCCCCTTAAAATTTAGCTAACATAGAGTACAAGACTGCTGGTGATATTTGCAGCAAGAATAAAAGGCTTGAACTGTGTCAGCCCAGTTGCTATGCATGCGGCGAGCAAGTGCAGAATTGCCTGCCCTAAGCCACTGGCGCACGTCCTTTTAGTCTGCCATGTGTTGGCCATCTTGTCTCTCATGCTCTTATATCTACTCTCTCTCCGAGACCATCAAATATCCAACACGCACTAAACGGTGGAGTCAGGAGGTGGACAAAATGCAGAGATATCATTTCTTGCTCACTGCACCCACTGCGCTCGACTGTTTCAATCCTGCCTGACTCTTCCCAGCCAGCAGCGACTGCTGGCAGGGTCTTCGAAGCACTGCTTGTCGCAGCCACTGAACATCACGCACCTCTCGGCATCACTGTGACCAAGATATCAACTCACCGTGACGGCGCAGGCTTGTCGGGTGGCCCAGCGTTGTCCGAGTCCACCACGTTGCGAGCGACCCCAGCCCCGCAGTCTGCGCAGACTCAAAGATCTCGAAGGTCAGCAGGAGGCCGGTTGTGATAACTATATTGTTGGCAATGTTTGAGGTATGTGGCAGTGCGGCTCAGTTGTCAGGTTGGACTGACCGATTCCCTAGGTGCAACATGATTCGGTCCCATGAGTAGACGGCACAAGACATGGATGAGCTCAAACTTATCTGTGGTTAAATGGGAGACCCACATCGAAGCCAGTGAGTCCCAGCTCTGTGGCCACCATGCCGACAACCTTTTGTATTCCCCATCCATATCGATCTCAGCATGGCTACATCATCATGGACCAAGCCGCGTCACTTCTTGGTTCATGTATCATGATCTGTTCCTTCACTGCCTGCCCTTATACCAGTATCTGACTGACCATCTCATTGCAGATTTTGACAGGTCTGCTGGCTCCTGCGGAGAGCCAAGTGCATGGAGATATACGCCGCTGTTGCTAGGTAGGTGTACATTGATACTCTCACATGATCGGTAATACTGTGGCCTGTTAGACCTTTACTTGTACCTTGTTCATATCACCATAATCAATGCGATTTTTTGGCTATCCCAGCGCAAACAACTACAGTGGCTGCTGTGTGAACTTATTACCTAATTGGGAAAGTGGATGTGGTTTCTGCCGCGTTGTCCAAATATGTTGCAGTACAGCATGGCCTAGACATGCACATACCATACGCAAGCGAGTACAGATGACATTAGTAGTGCTATGTTTAGTCCAACACAGTATATACTGGTACGGCATCTGCAGTGGTTGGTCTGGATGGTCCAGCTCAGGGGGTTGTGTCCAGAGATCCGAGTGGTATGGGCTGGTCTATTTGCCACATTCTACTTCGCGTTTTTCCAGATGGAGCAAGGGCCTGTGCTATTCCTTCGGTTTCCACCCGAGGAAAATGGGGGAGAAAACTACTAGTTTGACTGCGCTTTGATCTGGTTTGCACCAAGCTTCACCTCAATTTTTCTCCGCGTGCAATCGAGCATAAAATGGACTCTTCTTGACCAGCTTTGGCTCAAATTTTTGGAAAAAAAAGCTGCGCCTACTCTGGCCTTGCGTGACGCGCGCTTCGTAACCTGACACTAGCCCTTACCTCTGGCAGCGTGGTTGGATAGCAAAGGCAATCAGAGTGATAGCGAACGCATGGTGCTCTTCCGCTTTGGGTACTAGCCAATGTTCATATTCCCCTATGATATTTGCACTGGCGGCAGGTTCGAACCGAGAGTGCCCAGGTACTGCACCCCACGGCGCTGAGTGCTGAGTGCTGAAGCACGAAGACGACCATTTCACGTTCGCAAACTTTGTGTTCAATTTATGAAGAAGATTCGCAATCGGAGACTGCAGATAAAGGTCACAGAAGGCTCAAAATGCATACTTCTAGCCAGCATCTGCGAGGAGCTCAGCTCGCACGCACCTTGCCAGCGGCTTTCGCGCTGGATGTGCCAGGAATGCGCGGACAGACCTCTCCGCCACAACTCTCCGATCGTTCTGCACGAGGTGTGCGTCGCGCCGGATCAAAACCCGTTGCGGCTCTCTGTGCACAAAGTCGAACCACTGGCAGTGTGATAGAGTAGCTCGATCGCGTTAGGCACTTCTTCTGAGGCCGCCACGGCCCTGACCGAAGCTCATTTGCGCCTCCCGGCCCCGGCGCGTACCAATCGACGTTGTTTAGCACGAGGTGTTCGATCATCTCGTTGCGTGCCGACGCTGCTTCACTAGGTGGTGGCCGCACGACACCGAAGCTTTCATCGAACGTGAAGGAGCGTCGTCGGGACAGGGAGAGCTCACCACTTCCTCGCGAATACGAAACGGTCACGGTACCACCTGTGTGTGATCCAAGTTGCCATCGATGTCGCGCAGCCTCAGACGGCTCCAAGCCGTGTTTTATGAAGCCCGCATCTAGATCTCATCATTCCCCAAGTTGCGGGCGAGCGACATCATCCCCGCCTTCACGTTCAACAAGCTCGCCGGATTCCTCGCGGAAACTTGAAATGCCCTCGCGCTGGCGGAGCTCGGAGGCGGTACGTTCGAGATCTGGGCGACACGTTGTCCTCGGGAGGCTCTCCGTCGCTTCTGCAAGCATAGTACTAGTCCCCGGGGGCGAGCCGTCCAGCCACAACACTCACCGCCGACTAGCGACACAGCTGCTCTAGACGTCTGAGTCTCGACCCGGGCACTCCCCGGCCACAGAAGCACAAAAAGATATGCAAAAAAACAGGATAAGCGAGGACAAATACACTTACAGGGTGCCCAGTGCTACCGCGCAGCCTTCCTATGACGGCGGTCGAGACTACCGTCGTCCGCGCGCGTCCCTTGGAACCCCAACGGCGCCAGCAAGAAGCGTTCGGCAGCATCAGCAGGAGAAGCGAGTGGTGGGGGCAAACAAACACGCCGAAGCAAGTGCCAGCAGCACCCAGCACACAACGTGTTCGCGGCGTGTCCTGTGATTGCCACCGCGGCGGAGCTTGCGTGTCAGCGGTGGCAGTTGCCGGCGGTGCTCGTGTCACGGAGGACGGCGCAGCAACCCTGGGACACAAGCGTGCTTGGATTGAGGACGGTGCGAAGTGGGCTTGCCCGGTGCGAAATGGATGAGCTGCGGGAGGGCAACGGACCTTCCGGAAGAGGAAAGCAGCAGCTTGGTGGCGCCCCGACGGTCCCGACGGTCCCGACGACGGCGCTCGGTACCGCGGATCACCGCCTTGCCGACGGTACGGGTGCTGTCGGGCCGGCGGTACCGTGCCCCCTTCTGAATCAAAGCGTTACTCATCTGTCCCACATCGTCCTCACGCCAAGCACATGTTGATGAGAGGATAAGATATGCGTTTCCTACATTACATTGAATGATACAGCCGTACAACAATGGATTGTAAGTACAACAAGCCCGAGCCCAAGAGGGAGAATCTAATGCGGTTGAGTATACAGATGGTATGAGTAGAAAGGGGAAATTGCGATGAAGAGAAACCCTTTTTGCCGATATAAAAAATGATTATGTTGTCGTGTGGTCGTGATGCGGATCGAATGATGCGGACGTTCCCGAGAAAAACCTCCAAACGAGAAACTCAACAAGCCCTGCTTCCCAAACACAGCGACAGCGTCTCGACGTGTCGCGTTTTGATGCCGGCAGCTGATGGCGAGTGTGGCGCGACAGGCCAATATATCACACAGGGGCGCGGCGGTCGCTACGCCTCGACGGTGGCGGTGACAGCGACGGCGCGAGAGAGGCAGCTCTTGACGTACGTCCTCTCCTCCGGCGACTGCGGGCGCCGGCGCATCGGACGTCCGCTCGCCCGCGAGAGCAGGACGCTCGCGACGAGCTTCGCCGTGCGGTTGTCGTTCTGCGGCGATGCCCTCCTCACCTGCTGCACCGGCAATGACGAGTGCGAGTGCGAGTGCGAGGGCGGCGGTGCGGCGGCGGCGGGGTACGTGTACGCGGCGGGCGTGCTGTAGTGGACGAAGGCCGCGCGGGACGCGGCGCGCGGCGGCGGGAGCGCGTCGGCGATGAAGTCCTGTGCAGCAACAGCATGGTGGTCGGCAAACGGATCGTCGACAGCAGGTGCCACAGCAGCACGGGGACGGATGCTTACAGGTACGGTGACGCTGCGCACCGAGGACCGCCGGGGGCGCGTCACGACGGGCGTGGGCGGCGGCGCGAGCGCGTGGGGCTGGTGGTGGTGCGCTTGCAGCTGGGCGGTGCGCGCGGCGAGGATGGCGAGGGTCGCGCGGCCGCGGTTCGTGTTGGGCACGGCGCTGAAGGAGGACGCCTCGGCGTGAGATGCGCCTGCGATGGACGACCAGCCGGGGCTGCCAAAGACACCGCCGTTGAGGACGCCGTGGAGACGGTGGGCGGGTGCAGAGAGGGCCATTATAAGGTTTTTAGAGTAGGCGGGGCGGCGATGGCAAGAGTCGTGAAGGTGATGAGGGCGGGAGAGGGTGCAGCTTGGGAGAGCGGTCGCAGGCTAGTTAAATACTGAGGAGAAATGCGGAGGCGGAAGGCGAGATAGGAGGCTGTTGGAGACTGGATTTGCTCTGGGCCGCGCCAGTCAGGGGTCTTCAGGGACCGCGGCACATGCCGGAGACCCGGGAGACCCCACCTGCCTGATCCGGATGGGAACTCTTCACACTGCCAGCTCTGTTCCCACCCGTGCTCGCAGTTCGCCACGTTCGACGAACAATGGAGAGCAAAGAACAAGAAAAAGAAATAGAGCTCGGCGCTGAGCGCATCACAACGGATATGAGGCTTGTGCCCGCAGCTCGCTCCCCAGCGACGACCAACTACCAGGCTTTCCAGAAGCAGACTACTACAATAGTTGTGCGCTTTGTTTTCCTCTGGTCATTTTGGCAGAAGCGTCGTTTTTGCAGCCGAGGGTTCCTGTCACTGGGAGGAAAGTTTGCCATGACGGCAGTAGGCAAGCTTCGCAGAGCAAATTGCACAGAGAGAGAGGGCACTGCAAGGGCGCAATTCACTTGGGAATCAATACAGTACGTGCGAGGGCGCGGACGATCGCCCAGATCAAGAAGACCCCCCGCACCGCAGCGGATGAATCTTGGGGTGCAGCGAGCAAAGCAGCCTCGTGTGACGGTCCCGCCGCCCGCTCCTTGGAGCAGATCGGGTGGAGCAGTGGGCGAGCAGGGCGAGCACGAGCCTGGCCGGCATTCTGGGTCCGACGGGAGACACACAGCCCCGCACACCGCTCCTGTCAGGCCTATAGCTGCTGCGACAGACGAGCATTCGGTCTTCTGGCGTCGCAGTGCAACGCCCGCTGCCAGCTGACCTGCGGGGCGGTGATGGAGCGTCCGGGGTGTGCGTCCGGAGCTTTCCTGATGAGACAATGAGGCTCAGGAAGCCGGCGGCAGGGTGACCCGTCTGTCGCGACTACTGGCTTATCGTCGGCTGATGGAGAAGAGAAGCCTTGTGTGTGACCCTGGGCAAGCGAACCCACGAGGCCCGCTTTGGCACAGGGCGGATCCCTGCCTGCGCACATGACCTCAGTCATGAAGTCATCAAGGCCCGTTTCAGGCTTCCGTGAGAACAGGCTTTGTGGCGTCTGTGCTCGCTATCAACCTTTTCCAAGGTCGCGTACGTGTGCTGGCAACGCCGTCGGTCAGCTGGCATCTGCCCATCTGCGCCGTACAGGGCGCGTCGCGACCGGCCGCGCCTTTGACGTGCCCTTGGATATGCGGTTTTCCAACGCTCGAGACGGATCCGAACACAGGACCTGCCCAACGTTTGCTGCCTGCTTCTCGTATCGTCGTCGTTGCATCATAGGGACCAACGCTAACCAGGACACCCGCACAACTTTCACCCTGGCCCTCTCCCACATCGGCCGACCCTGCGTCTCCCTACCCCGAGATCTCCCCTTGCCTTCTTTGGCAGTGCGTGCTGCCACGCCACCCGCAGAAGCAGCCTAGCTGTGTGAACACTAACTGCGTCCCCTTGAGAAGATGTTCGCGGGCGTGCCCGCCGCTGAGAAAGGCCTGCTGAGAAGCTGAGAAGCTGCTTATGCCATCGCTGCACGTGCCGCCCAAGGGTGTATAGCGTGCGACCCGCTTGTTACTCAAAGCTGGCCGGCCGGTCGCTGACCCATGCAACGGCCACACGCTTCCTGCCACACCCGCAGCGCTGTGCTCTCCGCTCTCCTGGAGCCAGGTTCCGTCGGTTTCCGCACACGGCCTGATCTTGCAAGCATCAACACGAGCATACCCCGGACGTCGTCAGTCCATTCCATTTGACAAACCCATTCTCGAGAACCCTCCCGAAGCACGCCCCGTGCGCCACAATCTGGCCCAAATCACGCAAGCAATTTTGCTCGAAAAAATGGAGCCTGATAGTGATTCCGACGCACATCGGGCCTTCTGGAGATCTCGGTCCCCCCCCCCCCCCCTGGCGTGTCGCGTGGTCCCTCTCGCGTGGCTACGCAGGTCCAGCAGCCCCGCATTTTCCAGGACCTTCCAATCTGCACCTGCGAGGTAATTTGTTGGGCGCTCCGTCAATTTTTTTAATCTTTTTCAGACTGGCCTTGGCGGCATGCAGAGGTGGCCTGCGCGCAGGGCCCCGTCCGTCGTTTTCGCTCGCCTGCGTGTGCATTCTCGCACCGCCGTCTGCTGCCTGGACGGGGGGCCTCCAGAGCAGCACCTTGGCTGACCCTCAGGCCTCAGGACTTGCTGCGCGCCGCATGAGTCAACCGCTACGCAGGTCCCCTTGAGCAGCGAGAAGGGAAACAAATGCAGACTACTTCGCACCTCCTGCGGCGTCGCGGCTGCCCCAGGCTGCTGACGCTGCATCCCACGAATGTACAGAGGGCACACCATCTGCCCACGGGCCTGCCACCACTGCGAAGAGAGCGTCGTCAGCTGTGTGATGTGATGTGGCCCAACGGATCAACACGGGCTTTACGCCATGCACGTGCTCTCGCCCGGAATCACTTCTCTCCCTGCGGTCTCGAGTGGTCCCCAGGGATCCGGATTCACGATAGCGACGTTCGCAGGTCCCACGCGCGAGATGGAATTTGACATGATTTGCGTGTTCGGCTGGGATCGCTCTGATCACCTCCGTCGCAGGCGGCCTCGATTTGGGCCTCGATCGAGTCTCATGCTCGCTTTAAATAACGTTATATATATTCACCTTAGAAACGTGGACATTTGTGACAGCATATATGCGTTCATGAGTCAACATAGTACGTCAGAACAATCATCATTGAAGTATCTTCAACGCTGGGGATCACCAGCGAGATAGCATCGGAGGCTTTCGGATGAGATGCTCGGGGCTTTACTGAACGGCACCAACCGTAATGCATAACGTACACCCTCGCCGGTTCGCAAGTCTACCTTTTTGGTAACGCATCGAAGTCTATCAATATTCAAGCAGTCAATGGGTGATCTCGGCCATAGTATCTGGCGCCTTAGATGCTTTCTAGCTTTAACACGGAGTCGATTTGCAGAGCGAATTTCAGTCGACTAATACAGTACAAACTGACATGTCATGCAAAATGGGGTGTAGAAGAGCGAGAAGATAGCCTATCACGCTCTACTGGCCAATAGTGGCCATTTGCTCAGCTAAAGTACTGTAGCTCCCCCAGCAAGAGAAGTCAATGCTTTTCAAGTCTGTGTACACATTATAGAAACAATACATCCAATATAGCATGCTTATAAATCCAGAGACCATGAGAAACCACGACAAGAAGTGGACAGGGTGTCAGGATGACACACCGTACCTCTTTGGGGCTGCCGCACACAAAATGCGAGCCAAACCTCTATCTCTTCACGTTCTCACTGGTGGATATCCTGCTCTTGCCTCTGGGCAGAGCCCAGCGCGTCGTGCCTCACACTCGGCAGGAGGCCATAAGGCCGCTGGAAACGGAAGTCGCCGCGCCCGTCGTGGCGGTCCTCGCTCAGCTGGCGGAGGACGGGCGGGTTCGGCAGCAGCGAGCCGCAGCTGTCCAGGCACACGCTCCACGAGTCGCGCACGCCCGCGCCGCGGTGGAACGTGTCGAAGCGGAGGCTCTGGCGCGTGCGGTCGACGGCCGGCCGGGGCGGGACGTACTCCGCTGGTTGCGCACAGAAATGAAAGACGTGTCAGCGACGGCCAGTGGCAGAGACACAGAGACAGAGAAACTGACGCATGTACTCGAGCGCCTGGAGCGCGTCCCAGTCGATGTCGGCAAAGTACGGGTGCCGCATCAGCGCCGCGGGTGACCAACGCTTCTGCGCGCTGCGCGCGAGCATGTGGCCCAGGAGGTCGCGCAGCGCGCCGTCCGCGACACGCGCGAGCGGGACGTCCTCCGTCAGCATGCGGCGGAGCGCGTCCGCGCTGCTGCGCGCCCAGAACAGCGGGTGCGCCGCGCCGAGGTGCAGCTCGAGGAGCACGACGCCGAGCGCCCACACGTCCGCCGGCCAGCCGTACCCGTGGGCGCCGCCGGCGAGGAGCACCTCGGGCGCGAAGTAGCCGGGCGTGCCGACGCAGTCGGCGAGCAGCAGTCGGTCCAGCGGGCATGCCGTGTCGTCCCAGTTCGTGTACGCGAGCCCGAAGTCGGCGAGCGCGACGTGGCCCGAAGGCGAGAGCAGCACGTTCTCGGGCTTGATGTCCCGGTGCAGGACACCCGAGGCGTGCAGGTTGTGGACCGCCGCGACGAGCTCGGCAGCGTAGAGCTTGAAGTCTCCGGGCGAGATCGCCTCGCGGCTTGTGATGCGTTGCAGAAGGTTCTGGTGGTACAGCGGCTGGAGCAGGTCAGTATACGCTCGTGCCTGGGGGTGGAGACATCTGCTTACCATCACGAAGTAGACGTTCTCAGGGTCGTCCCATGACAGAAGGAGGCTAACCAAGAAGGGACGCCGCTCATGGGTGACCCGCTCCCAGGTGAACTTTTCATCCTTCAGATTCTCCCTGCCGAACGGGTCACGGTACGCCCTCGCCTTGTGGACGACCTTGATAGCGACGGTGTGCCCTGTACGTGCACGCGCGCACATGACCCTGCCAGATCCGCCTTCACCGAGCATACCAAGCACGACGTACGCCTGGTCGGCATGCGTGAGCATGGGCGGCCCAGTCCAATCGCCGAGCGGATCCTCATCGGCGCGGTCCTCGCGGTCCTCGCAGCGGCCTTCCGCTACAGGCGGCATCCGTGGCTGTACATCCGGAAGGCCCACGCCTAGGGTTTCTGCTGACGACGGGGAAAGCAGTCGGGATGATGTGGACGAGGAGGAGCTGTACGAGTAGTGGCCAGATGGGTTTGTGCTGGGCGGTGTCGGATAACGTGGGAGTTCCTCCTCCGGTGGCCCTTCGATAGTGATGTCTGGTATCCGTATCGGCAGGGGTGATCCCGATTCTGTGCTCCTCAGCGAGTGCCACTCGCCGAGCTCTTCGTCAGGCGTGGGCGGATACGGTACAGGGGGCAGCAGGAGAGCTCCGGGCGAGGGTAGTACGTCACATGTAGCCTCGGCTGGCAGCATCACTCTCGAAGGGGCTGGACTATGTGCAATGGGAGATCCAGATCCAGCAGCCTCTGCGTTTGGTTGTCGATCGAATGCTGACTCCGTTGCACGGGGCGGGAGTTGTAGGTAGTTTCGGATGAAAGACTGCAAGATCGGGTCTACTTCGGGCAGCAGAAGGATGAATGTCAACAGGAAGCGTTGCAGGTACCTAGACGCGTCGTGGGGCGTCGGACCTCGGACCACTAGTTGCCCCGATGGGTTAGGAAACGGGGCTCGAGTTTGCTTGGACATGACCGGGGATTGTGGCGCAACCTTGGGAGTGGCGCGACAATGAGTGGGGTTATTGAATGGGGAAGGAAACGGGAGGCTGGATTAGACTCGATATATAGGTCTGGCACCGCCGTACGTTGTCAGAGGCCAAAGAACATAGTGATGGGCCAGCCCCCGAGGGGCAAAATGGTCTTTGGCCCTTTTGTTGCGTGCGTTTCTTTGTCTTCGGACACGTGCCAGCGTTCTGGAAAGTGATGATTGGTTCTCGAGCTTGTGCGACCCGGAATTAACTTCACTCACCACTCCATAGTAGCATCTGTGGCCAAGATGTTCCCAACACGAACAAGAAATTTGGTATGCATGTCTTGAGCCTTGGGTTGTAAACGCAGCAATGCCTGTAACAAGTACCGATCTGTAAGGGAATGTACTCCTTTCCCGATCAAAACATATTCGCTCGATATGCTAAACCGAAGCTGGAACTGGACACTGCCCGTGAGCATGTTTATTGGTCAGGGCCCTGTATCCGTACCGAACTAATCAACAGCTACTCCGCCTGACGAACAAAATGGACAAGACTCGGACCTAGTTTTATCCAGAAGAACTACACTGTTTCAGATCATCGGATGTCTCTGAACGGGCCAATTCACTGTCAGAGTCACACGCTGATATCCAACTTCATCCTGTAGAAACATGATGGCGTACAGAGAGACATCCAGACAGAGGAGCTGTTCACAAGGTGATAGCGCTGCATTTTACGCGGGCATGAGCCTGGACGAATCAGAGTGCTGAGACGAATAGACGAATTCAAGTTTGTTGAATTTATCTGCACAGAGGTCAACTTGAATAAAACAGCGATAGCAGGAAAAAGTCAGCTTCTAGTCAAAAGTACATCTGCTAAACACCCGGCTGCATCACTTCCCACACTGGTTCGTGGTTCATGCAGCTGAGGTGAACGCTTGTGTCATAGTCACGAAGCGCGCAATACCCGCGACCGCCCGATGCCAGTCCCCCGAGTACCCCTTATCGCAGATTCAGGTGTTGCTCACACTGCATTCATCATTCGTTACAGAGCCCTTCAGCACCCATCGTTGACTTCTACAGAATAGAACAGCGGGCAGGGGATATTACCATTTAACGACTACGTGAGTTTAATATTAACACGATTTGCGGGGCTACACGGGACGAGATAGACAAGCATACAGTAATGGTGAATGGAAGATGAGAGCGGGGTGCATCAATGCAAAATACTTGAGCTCTAAAGATATTCAATGCTGGAGACTAATATTTTACACGCCATGGGGAGTGTTGCCGCAACCGTTGGCCCCGTTCTCCTCCTCGTCACTGAAAAAGTCATCGTCCTCTTGAGTATAAGCCGTCTCCCCCAGGTCGCCGTCCGACTCATCCTCGTCCTCGACATACGCCGGAGGTGGGTCCAGTCTGAGCCTGAACCGGAATGGCAGGGGCGGCCGTGGCGGTGCATCGTACAGGATCCGGGATACCGCACCGAACGGGTGCCGGAAGGTGAATGCGGTGTGCCGCTCGCTCCTGTCGAGCTCGAGTTGCGCAAGAACGGCGCAATTCGGGAGGATCATCCCATCTGACCCCAGGTGCACGGATAAGTCGTCCCGAATACCGATACCGCGGTGGAAGGTGGTAAAACGGAGTGCCGAGGGCGGATGGACGGCGGTGGGGGTGGCGGGGCGGTAATCAGCTGAAATTTGCAAGTTCAATAGTAGATCAGAATATTATGAACAGGAGCGCACGTCTGTAATAACCCTCTTCAAGCATCTCCCAGTCGATCCCCTCGAAATAGGGATGTTCCTTGAGCTTCGCCGCAGACCAGCGCTTGTTGACATCGCGGACGATCATCTAAAGAATATATGAGCGAGAATCACGATAACAGCAACATGACTGCTTACTTTACAAAGCAGGTCCTGGAATCCGCTGTCGTACACGCGATGCAGCGGGATGTCACGACTCATCATCTTCGCGATCACTTCCGAGCGCGAGGATGCATGAAAGAGTGTGACACGCCTGCCTAGATGGACTTCAAGCAGCGAGATCCCCAGCGACCAGACATCCGCCAGGCAGCCGTACCCGACAGTTTCCGCCACGAGCATTTCGGGTGCGAAATATCCCGCGGTCCCCGTAAAGAAGTTCAGGCCGAGGCCGGTCATATCGGCGTTCGCGTCCCTGCTCGCCCATGAAAGCCCGTAGTCAGCCAGCACAAGATGACCATTCGGCGAGATGAGGAAGTTTTCCGGTTTGATATCGCGATGTACAATGCCCAACGCGTGTAAATTGGCCAGGGCGGCAACCTACGTTAGAAGGTGAGGGCAAGTCAAGCTCCCGGGATGCCAAGACTTACCGCTTCAGCTGCATAAAGCTTCATGTCGTGATTCTCTTGACTCGCGTTCATTTCGCTGAGCCTGTGGAGGAGACTTTGATGGTAGAGCGGCTGCACAGACCTGGTCAGTAAATTTCGCCAACGGTAAACGAAGGTTCCACGCTCACCATGAGGAAATAAACATTCTCCTCGTCGTCCCAAGATTTGAGTAGCGGCATTAAGAAAGCTCGCTTGCCAAGGGCAACGCGCTCCCAGATGCGCTGTTCGTTCAAGATTCCCCGTCGGCCATCTGGATGACGGTAGGCCATCGGCTTGTGGATAATTTTCATTGCGAACCACTCGCCTTCTTGTGTATACGTGCGGAATACGCGGCCAGATCCACCAGCGCCGAGGATTCCAACAAGGGTGTAGTCGGTGCCTCCATGCGAGATGATTGCGCCATCGGGGAACGTGTGGCCGCCAGACGAGTCAAGGGGAGGTCTAGAGTTTGCTACGCGGGACCTAGGGCTGGCGTAAGCAGGCGGTAGGTCTGTCGGTTGTGGAGCATTGGGGAGAGGATCATTTGTGTCGTAAGGCGGTATCGCCGCCGATAGTGCTGTGGACGAGTGGGCTGCAAGGGAAGGGAGATGTTGCTCAATCGAGTCTGCGCTGTGACCCTGCTTCTCGGAGTCCCTTCGTCCCAAACTGTGTTCGCTCGTGCCAGATGCAGAAAGGTAGGGATCAACTGGGCCATCCACCGAAGCTTCTGGGATTGTCGTCAGAAGGATACGGAGCAAGCCTAGGGCATCCGTGGATGGTACGAGAGGGTAGTAGGTGGTAGTCGACCGCTTTTGCTTTGGAAGTAGGGAGAACACCTTCGGCAGAAACTGAAAGGCCGGCCTCGGTCTCTCAAAGACCCGGATTGGCCGCCTCTCGGCCTTGCTGAGGTAGCTCTCGATAGACAGACGAAGGGCGTCGTCGACCGCGGGCAACGAAATGACGAGCTTCAGAAGGTAGAGTTGCAGCCTCTCGGACACAATATACGGGCTGTACGGCACGAGCGCAAACTCGTGATCGTGTGGTGCATTCTGGAAAGAGGCCATAGCACGAAGTATCCAAGGAAACTTACAAAGGCGGAGGGAGGAGAACAAAAAGAGCGCCAGAGCCTCTTGTCCGTGTCGTGCTTTAAGTACTGAAAGAGTAGTGGCCACTGGCTGAGAGAGGGTGTGACATAATACTTTGTGCTCTGTGGACGCACTTCCTGATCGGGAGGCAGTCATTCGGGCCGGGCGTTCGTTTTGTCTGAAAGGCAATGGCGTATTGGTGTAGCCACATTAAATCCAATACCGATAAATCGATGAAAGCTAAGTGGCACCTCCTATCAGGGCAGCGTTCACGGTATAGTTCGAATGGGCAACGGCGCCCGTGGTCGCTCTCAGTTGAGCCAAAGTTGTGACTGTATGAGTACTCAGTATATGTTTATCCGACGTCCTGATCGAATGAATAATACCTTTAGAACCAGCGTCGAAGGAAGTCGATGCTCTCCATCACAAGGCACATCAGTGATCCGCGGGATGCCCTTTGCGAGCACCCGCAGGAACGCCCCTCGCAGTATCGTAGCCACGGTGTCACCAAGGGCACTATGGACCGCAAGACTTGTTAGGATCAAAAGCACAACTTCGTTCAACGTCGCAAATACACTTAAGCAGGAGTCGAGAGACTCCGAATGGGTCAGGTCTTGTGGCAATTAAGGTATTGGTGTGGATACGGCCCAGGCGTTGAGGCAGAGACGGTACAGGTCTAGGCCCTCGAAGCTGAGCTGCAGGTGGATGTGATTCAGGGGAGCGGCAACGGTAATCATCGTCGCCCAGAACGAGGCATGGCCCATGATACAGGAAAATCAAGATTTTGCAACCTTCGACAGCAGGAGGGGTTCGCCATGTCTGAAACTTTGGTTCCTACAGCGGTGATTAGTTCGGCTCAGCGGCGAATAAACTCGTAGGCTATACCTCGATTTTCATCGACCAGACACCTCAGACCGAGCTACAGCTAAGGAACCGCTTGATACGGAGAGAAAAGAATCCATAGGGATCCGGAGATCTCGGTATAGTTGTGTCGCCCTATAGCCACACATCCGTACCGTATCAATGTCGCCGAAGAGTGCAAAGATGCGGCGAGCTATCTCTTTAATAGGGGTGTCCTCACGTCCTCCGCGTCTCTCGTATAAGAGGTCCAAGGATGCGAGGTTTATGGAGCGTACAGGGTTATGACTAGCATCTTCTGACAGTAAATCGTCTGCAGATATGACCAGGTCGTTCATCTCTAGATTGGCAAGTCGAGGCAAGACCCATAGAACCTCGAGAAGATGATCTTCAGGACAATCTTGCTTTCGAACGCTTCGACGATGTATGTTCAGCAGTGACGATTGTCGCCGAACCATGCGGAGGCGAAGCCGTCTCACAGATATGGCTACATCCGGATATTCTTGCAGGAACGAGAGGACTTGCTGAAGCGTGTGGTATTTCCGTCGCTCAGTTGAGAAAGTCACGTTCCAGACACGGAAAAGGTGCCCCCGCGCAACGTCTGCCCAGCGCCTGCAGGTTAGAGAGCAAGCCTTGAGCGTATTCCTGCAATGATTCTCGTAAATGAGATCGAGGTGATTGTTGAGTCGGTTGTCGTAGACACAGTCACGGTGAAGGTATGAGAAACACTCGTCGATGAGTTCAGGCGGTAGCTTGTTGGCTGCTGGTGATATGCATGCGTTTGAAGACACTATAAAACGTTCAGGGGCCAGAACGTCTTGCAAATAGACCGGCCTACTTTCTTTGTGAGAATGGCGGTTGCCTGTAAGTTGCACACTCCGCGCTCAGGTTGACGAAAGCGCAAGATTGGGCAGGACCCCGGAGACACCGGAGAGGCATGCGTAGAATGTTTGGCTGTGCTCGATAATCTTACAATACCATTTGACTTCTTTTCATCCCACTATCTGAAGTATTCATTACTTGTGCAATGCAACGTGTAAAAATATCAATGAGCGAGAACCCACCAACTCGCCGTAGAGACTTCTGCCACCGTGTCGGGATGAGCGCCTAACGCCCCTACCCGTGTTGGCGCCCGGTCGCGTATAGTCGTTCCGGTTCGCTTGCTTTGTTCGTCTTCATCGTCTTCCACGACGAGTGAGTGCTCTGGACCGACTTCTTCTCGCGCAGGTCGCTTTCTAGGATGTACTCCGTCAAATTTGGCGGTTCTTCTCTTCCTGCAACTCGGCTTAAGCATCCCAGACTCTCCTTGTCGCACAAGGCTGCGCCGACGGTTTCACTCTCCAGTACCAACGTCGGGCGCGACGCAACACCGCAGAGCTTCATACCTTTCCCTTCTGCACCGCTCCAATGCCTGGGAGCGAATGTTTTGCACGAAAATGCCGAAATGGAGAATGAGACCCAATCTTTGTCGCCCGCCGAAGACTGGCACCTCGATATCGCTCGTAGGCACCCGCGGTCATGCCTTGCTGCATCTTTCGTTCACAGGGACGGTCATGCGATGTCGCAGGAGCTAGAAGAGGGACATAATACCATGCAGAACGGAGCACCGGTGCGAAAGCGTAAGCTGGCAAACAAGCGGCCCAAGCTCCCGAGTACGCCTACCATCCCACCGTCGAGAAAAAAGTCGAAAAGAGCGAGCAAACGTCAGGCTGCAGACTTGCAGTTTACTGCGACACTTCATCGGAGCATTGCATCGCACCTGCGCTCGCTTACGTCGTATACGTTAATTCAGTGCGCTGTGGACGCACCCGAAGACGAGCTTATTCTCCGGTCTCAGGACCGCATGCTTGTAGAACGGCTCTGGAGGAGCCTCGTTGACCAAGGCTTAAAACCCGTTCCCTTCCTTTCCCCATTGTCTCCGCTGCCACCACCTGCCGTCGACGACCCCTTGGCACTCAGCCCCGAACGTGTCGAGCACATCTTCCAGTCCGAGCCCATGGCTATCGACGGTCTCTGCGAATTGCCTACCCCTCCTCCTTCCCCAACCTCTCCTGTATGCTTTGCAGCGCCGATTTCGATACCACCGAGTACCGCGCTCGCGAAGGACGACTTTTGCGGCCGCCCGCTGCCAGCCAGCACGCATGCAAACGCGCTTCCTACGCCGCCGCCCACACCGCCTCCCACCGGCGCGCCTGTGCTCGCGATGTCGAACCTCGTCGCGTCGCTCATCCTGCGCCACCGCGAGCGCTGTGCGTCACGCGCTCGCTCTGGCTCGGCTTGCAGTGCAAGCGTGCCGGCCGAGCGTGGCCGGTCGCCGTTGGCGACGTCCGTACTGGTGCCTCCGTCACCTGCAAGCGCATGATCACCACTCTCCAACGCGCGCAAAAGGAGAGGACTGACCTCATGCGTTGACACAAGCCTACGACCCTGCACGCCCTTTAACGACGTCACGCTAGAGTCTTATCGCAATCGTCTCCTCCAATAATCGTCTTAAATCTCTCGGGATAATAATCAAGCAGGTCTTAATTGAGCTTTTGACTGTTCCCTCAGCCATCGGCTCATCTCATCTTCATCCACATTGTTTCATTGTAAACATACCCTCATGCATTCCCTCCATTCATCGTCATCATCTCTCTCTGGAATTCACACTGGACGCTTGCCGAAACATGTCGGTCAAAATGTACATGTAGTCCGCATGCAGCTGTACATACGATTAGTGGGTCGCGCTCGTTGGAGAGCAGTAATATACACATTTCAAGTCTATGACGTAAAGTCAGACGGCTGGACGCCCGGCGCGAGCGTGATTTTGGGCTTCTTGGCAGTCGCAACGCGTTGCACCAGGTCTTTGGAGACCGCCTCCGAGATGATGTCGGCTCCGAACCAGTCTTCGATGGACGAGACGGTGACGCCAGTCAAGCCCATCTTTTTTTTATCGGAGAGATACTCGATTAGAGGCGCGAACTTGCTCTTTTCATTAGCAGGCGGCGCAGGCTCCGTACCCCGTCCTCCGTCGTCTGCCGCGGTGCTCCAGCCGTCTGCCTTCTCGGGTTCGGCGGACGCTGCGGGATCCACGCCCCATGCATCATCCACTGCAGGTTCCCCCCAGCCGTTAGCAGTGTTGGATGCAGGTGCTCCCCAGCTACTGGTAGTGTTGGATGTTCCCCATCCACCTGACCAGCCCGAGGTATTTGAAGCTTGCGCAGAAGCACGAGCAGGCTGCGGAGCTGCTGCAGGACGAGGGCTTTTTGCCCATTGGGATTTGCGCCCGCGACCTCGGCTGCCGGACTGCCGATACTGTGCAGTCGGAGGGACCCAGCTCGTGGAAGCTTGTCTGGCTGACGATCCTGAGGCCTTCCAGCCCGACGCCATCGCGGGAGCAGCGCTTGGAGCAGCAGGTTCTGGCACAGACCAGTCCGCCACAGAACTAGAGGGGGCGCCCCAGACGGCTTCGTCCGGCACGGTATCCTCGGCAGCCTTCGCACTGCGCTGGACGCGGGTCGTGCTCGCAGGGTCGGGCACGGCCAGGATGGAGTGTCCGCCGTCACGCGTGACACGCAGGCGCGACTGCACGAGGAGGTAGCCCTGGCCGAACGGCATGACTGTCCCCATGTCCTCGGAGAGGCTGATGCCAGAGTCGCCGGTATCAGACCTCGAGCTGGTGCCGTCGACAACACCGCGCGCACCGAGACCGTTCGGCGCGAACATGATGGCTTGACCTGTGCGGAGCGAGACTATCTGTCGTGGGGTGAGGACAAGACGCTATCGTATGGGAAGACCGTGCGGACCTTGGAGAAGAGCTCGTCGAAGCCTTCGCCGGCTATCGAGATGTGGTCCGTCAAGAGCCGCAGCCATTTTGGGGAAGAGAACCGGTGGGCGATGATGAATGAACACAGGTCGAGGAATTTGGACGGCACGACTGTCGGCTCTTGAGTAGAGATCACCACTCGGGTTGCCAAGTGCCTCTGCTGGCGGATGACAGATAGGAGGGACTCCGTCAGGCGAGCGGATGTCCCGGTTTGAGTGTCGGAAAGGTACTACAGGGGACAAATGAGACAGAATGAATCATCTACATCGGAACAGGGCTGACCTTGTGTGCTTCGTCGAGCACTGTGTACAAGATAGCTCCTTAGATATGGACCAGCTGTCTCCACTGCGCTCAACTCACCTACGAGTTTACCGGCTGCATTTACGTCCGCCTCGACAAATAAGCCAAGAATGAGGTCAAAGAATCCGCATGCTGAAGATGCATCCATAAACGGCGAAGAAAGACTGTGCTGAGCATTAGTCAGGCTCGACTTCACTGGCATGATGACTTACTCCACAATAGTCAACTGTCCCTTGCGGAAATGAGTCGCTACTCTGTTGACCTTGTTACCGCCCTCCAGGCAGGAGTCAAGTAGCGACAATCGCAGATTAAGCATTGCCTTCTGCGAAGGATTGAGTTTCTGTTGCTTTAGCTGCGACCTAAAGTCGTTGTAGTTGAACTTATTCTCCATGGAGCGCAGGATGGACATGATCGCTTCCATGTAGAGCGGCATTTCTGTAGGGTTTGGTGTTCAGGTTGGCTGGTCAACGTGGAGAGCACTTCATGGCAACGCACGAGTGTTCTCGTCAACCTTCATCATAGCCAGCAGTCGTTCGCCACTGATATCCTCGGCTGAGAAGCGCAATGGTTCAACCCGCACAGCCGGTAGACCTGCATACACCTGTTTCATCGCTTGTAGATTGGCGGGGCTATTGCGTATATTTCGTCAGCATCAGCAAGCCGTGAGTCTGTTTGGGCTTACAGGACAAGCACGATCACCTCCGGAGGCGTGGCCTGGCCGCCCCGGGTTGCATCCAGGCAAGAAAGGTAGGCTGCTTCGCACGGCTGAACAGCACCGCCGCCTGCGGCAGTGTCGTAGTGGAAGCTAAAGTTAGACGAGCACTCAGTCAAACGAGTGGAATGCTGCACGAATGTGGCATCTTACACCAGAGCACTGAGTGGTTCGGGCAGAGTGCCCAGTCTCGGATCGGTGATCAGGCAGCCCTCCAAGAATACCGAAGTAGAATGACTTTTCCCAGACCCCTGCAGAGCTGTCAGAATACCCACAAGCCGACATGTCACACCGGGACTGACCTGCAAACCACACACGAGCGCGCTGAAAGGCGCATTGGTGTTGGTGTACAACTTGGGTGACACTGGAGTCGCGGGAAAGCCTGGGGCCTTCTGACTCAGAACACGTCCGTACAGAGCGCGCTGCGGCAGAACATCAGAGCCTAACAAACCGGCGGCGTCGCCGGTGAACACGGGGGCGGTCCTGAACGCGTGTGCCGGCCCTGCAGACGCGTCCTGTTGGGCGTCGTCCCCCAGCAGATCCAGCTCCGGGTCGTACACATCGCTCATCCTTTCGTCGCCGACAAGATAAAGAGCAGGTGAGTGAAAAACGAACGGTGGGAAAGCTTTCATATTTCCAGCGCTCGGGTGCAGCCTCGTGGCGGATCTCGGGTAAAAACCCAACTAAAATCCTCAGATGGTACCCGAGAGTATGCAATAAGCAATCGAATGAATCCATTTAGTAAAACGTACTCGTCGCCTCTACGACACTGTCAATTTAAGAGTAGTGTTGAAAGCAGCCGGGTGCCCGGCAGAGGCCGTGTGTACAAATACAGGTACACAAAGCTCGTGCCGTGCTTGAGCTGGAGACAGTATTGGCCAATGTGTATTGACATATTGCGGGAGACAGATGTTACAAACTGACATGTTATATATTTTTGGAAGAAATTGGAGCAGGCTTTAGCCGAATCAAACATACTACCGTAGTCATGACTCGCGGGCAAGCTCGTCAAGGTGAAACTACCTTTCAAGGCTTCATCGTACGTTCCACTTCCTAGCTCGTTCTCCCTTCATACAGAGACACTCAGGCTCGTTTATCTCGTTTATCTATAGAGGCAGCTTTGAAGGCATCGCCATTTAGCATGAAATGGGTCGCGTCGCTTCTGGGCTGATACTCGGCGGTTGGTTGGGAGCTGTGGGAGTTCTGCGAGATTGAATGTTGCCGGGATTCCTGTTGCTTTTTTTCTCCGAGTTTACTCAATCTGAATAATTCATTCTCACACAAAAACGACGTTGCGGGATAAGACGACGCTGATTTTCGTTCGGTGACTACAGGGCCGCACTTCTTGAGCTTCGAGAGAAAACGCTACTCAAAAAACTTGAACAGGTTGATTTGAGATCGATGCACTCACAAATATCATCTGCTACTAAAATCTATCGTCAGCATCGTGGTAGAATCGAAAGTGCTTCTACTGCAATTTAGCTTGAAAGCTCGGCCACGTCGCGATGCACGAATATAGGTACAGAAGAAGACTCCGAGTACCTTAGGCATACGAGTTAATATACGCACATTAATCTTGGTATGAAAATCAGATTGGTATGGACAGGATCACACCCGCACAAGCCCTATGTACGTCAAAGAAACACGAAATGAGTATTCGGAGGAAGCATGACCTTCGGCTTCACCGTATTTGGCACTATCTGCACCACGCCCGCGGCCTCCGCATCTCCCACGGTGACGACCATGTCCGCGCCGAGGCGACGCTCGATCGTCGCCACCGTGATTTCGCGAAAGCCGTGCGCTGCCTGGTCCCGGAGGTACCGCACGAGCGGCGCAAAGTGTGCGTGACCGCCCGTCAGGCGAACGAGCGTGCGCTGCATGATACCCTCCGCGTCCGCGCTCAGCATGACCCTGTCCCCGTCCCACAGCGGCGTCCCGTGCTCGACGAGCCCCAGCGTGACGGCCTCAGCGAGCGTTTCGTCGAACGTGTCGTCGTACACCCCACACTGAACGCGGTCAAAGTGCTTCTGCACGATCCAGACGTAGACCTGCAGAATGCCCTCGTCGTGTTTCTCCCGCAGGAACTTGACGAGGGGCTCGAACTTTTTCCAGACGTGCGTCGGCGCGGTACCGTCCGAAGATTGGGAGGCGCTCTCGTCGTCGCTATCCCCGGTGGTCGTCGTCGCGGCGCCCGTGGCACTGGAAGACGCCGACCCGGCGTCGGATGCGGATGGCAGCCAAGGCGGAGACCCGGAATTGCGAAGTGTGTCGACGAGAGTAGCGACGCCTGCACCGCCGTTCACCGCAGACCCCGACGCACCCATCGCATGCGGCGGCACGTACCGAGGTGCCGGAGTCTCAGCGGGCGTTACAGGCGCCCTAGCTGCAGTAAGCGCCAGTCGGCCGCCGGCCGCTTCTGCTCCCGCAGCCTCCGCGTCCGACCCGGCCTCAGCTCCACCGAGCCCGACGCGGGTGGTACGCGCTGGGTCGTGCACCGCAAGGATGGAGTGGCCGCCGTCTCGCGTCACACGCAAGCGGGACTGGACGAGGAGGTACCCCGCGCCAAACGGTTCCACGTCGCGCGTGCCGCCGACCCCGGGGGCCGACACGGGACTTCGGCTCGCCCGGACGCCGATGCCGCTGGTGGCGAACATGAGAGCTTGGCCGGTGCGGAGGGACGTGAGCTGTGCGAGCAGTCTGAGAGATCCTGTCATGAAGGGGAAGAGGGATGCGCACCCTGGAAAAGAGCTCGTCGAAGCTGTTGTTCGGTACGGAGACGTGCTTGGTCAGCAGCCGCAGCCATTCTGGCGATTGGAAGCGGTGCGCGATGATGAAAGAACAGAGGGCGATGAACTTGGAGGGCACGACCGTTGGCTCCTGCGTCGAGATGATAACGCGAGTCGCAAGGTGGCGTTGTTGGCGGATGATGGTCAGCAGGGACTGGGTCAGGCGGGATGACGTGCCGGATTGCGCGTCCGAGAGATACTGGAAGATGAATTATATTAGACATGTAAATCTGATACCACTCACCCTACCTTGTGAGCTTCGTCGAGCACTAGCAATTTATATGTTAAAAATAGCACGCTAAGGAGACGATCGGGCTTACCTACGACTTTACCAGATGGCTTGATATCTGCCTGGATGAAGAGACCCAAAATCAAGTCGAAGAAGCCGCAAGCCGACGAGCCGTCCATGAAAGGAGAAGACAGACTTCACAAATAGTCAGCACAGAGTAAGACAGATATGAGCAAGTGGAAGTGGCTTACTCGATAATTGTAAGTTGGCCTTTTCTAAAGTGCACGGTGACCCGATTTTCAGCGCTTCCCCCTTTAAGGCACGAGTCAAGCAGGGAAAGACGCAAGTTAAGCATCGTTCTCTGAGTCCCGTTGAGCGGCTGTGCCTTCAGGTCTTCTCTAAACTTGTTGTAGTCGAAAGGTCCCTCTGTATCTCGGAGGAGCGACATTACTGCCTCCATGTACAGAGGTATCTCTGGTAGTAGGATACTTAGTACAGGACCAAAGAAGCTCGTTGTGTGCTACGTACGGCCATTTTCGTCCACTTTCATCATAGCCAAGAGGCGTTCGCCGTTGATGTCTTCCGGAGAGAAGTGAAGAGGCTTCACTTTGACGGCAGGAAGCTCGGCATAGACTTCTCTCATGGCCTGGATGTTCGAGGGCCTGAACATGCTCGTTAGTGATGGCCTCCGAAAACCCACAAGTCGGTGCATACAGGACTAGGACAGTCACCGAAGGTGCCGCAACATTACCACCACGCCGCACATGGAGCGCCGAAAGATACGCGGCCTCGCATGGCTGCACGTTCCCGCCGCCAGCGGCAGTGTCAAAATGGAATCTACAGGCACGAGTCAGTCCCTTTCAGCGCAAACGGCAGGTTGGGCGAAGATCTTACACGAGCGCACTCAACGGCTCTGGCAGGGTTCCGAGCCTAGGATCCGCCATCAAACAGCTCTCTAACAGTACGGAAGTCGAGTGGCTTTTCCCGGTACCCTGTGCGACTATCAGATGAGCCGCGCGACAGAAATGGCGAATGGCTTGCCTGCAGTCCGCACACGAGCCCGCTGAACGGCGTGTTTGTGTTGATGTATAGTATGGGCGACGCCGGATGGCTGGGGAAACCATCGGCACTCTGGCTCAGGACGCGGCCGTACACGGCCCTCTGCGGGAGCACGTTCGCTCCGAGGGCGTTGAGAGCGTCCCCCGTGAAGACGGGGGCGGTCCTGAACGCGTGCTCTGTGGCTTCGTCCTCCGGGGTGTCGCCGCCAAGCAGCTCATATTCCGCTGCGAGGATATGGGCCATGGAGAATGTAGCGTTGCTGGGTGGGGACAAGCAAGTGGGAGAGAGGACAAGGCGGTGCGCAATACCGCCCAGGTGTCATGCGCTTCATGCCGGGTCTGCCTCATGGGCGATTCCTGGTGTCCTCGAGGCGGGACGGGATCTAACGATGCAGGAAAAACGTAGGTTTAATATGTGCTCTAGTCTCAAACTGAAGCTGAAGGGTAGAAAGCAAGCAGCGAATCCGCTGGACCGTCTCGGTTAGCTCGCGGAGGTGGACCACCCACGTGATGAGACAAATAGCAACAAATACTAGGCGACGCCAGGCTCGACGTTGAATTCGAACGGCTTGTTTTCTTGACTTCTCCCTTGCTATTCTATCTCCTGTTCTAATCCTACTCTAGAAAAAAATTAACTTGGTCGACAAAATGCGCTTTGCTGCCGTCGTTGGTCTCCTGGTTTGCGCAACGGTGCCGGTCACCGTCTCCGCTTGTGAAGGCGATTGCATCGTCGGCATCACGAACGCATTCCTCACGAACTACACCCGCCCTGTAGATTTTGTTATGGACAACGTTGTACGTGCCCTGTACGGCTCTTGCTCTTTCTCGGTTTGATGAAGGAGCGCGCCAGGCAAAGCAGATCTCCAACATGCTGCCGACGCATCCGGGACTCGAAACCTCGCGGAACTACCTGCGCCTGTTTATGGACGCATACCAGAACGACGCCTACGACGGTATGGAGACGGCGATCTTCCCGAGCTACTTCCACGGCAAGTGCCAGCAGGATGGCGTCGACCCTCCCGGCTGTCCGAACCCTGACTGCCCCGTCGTCTGCGGCACGCCCGGCTCCCTCGTGCACTTCTACCCCCAGCTCCGCTACATCGCGTTCAACCAGACCAAGCACCACCTGCAGATGCTCGCGACGCCCGGGTCCGACGCCTACCGCCAAGTCGAACAAAACGTGCTGGACGCCGACGATGCGAAGACGCGGCGCGCGATTCGAATCTACCGACGCTCTAGCTACGGAACTGTCCCGCTCTACTTGACCAGACGTGAGGAAGACATGAAGACCAGACTCAAGGAAATTATGCAAAACGTCGGACCAATGCTCTTGCAGACCTGCGGCGGCTTGGCGGACGGCGAGACCAACGGGCTTTCGGACTGCAGCTGGGAACAGGCGATGAAGGAGTATATTCTCACCTTCCCTTGATCAACACACTGTCTCTACTGTCTGTCTTTGTCACACAAAATGTATCCTTCTGTTCGATCCTGAAATTAGAACACGCTGGAGTCGTCGAGCTCAGCGGTGACATCCGGCCCAGCAGACTGCACTGTCTACATTTGTACACACGTCAACGAGCATGGTCAGCATCCCGACAATTCTGGGCACCTCAATAATACTTCCATCCATCACTCTGTGTTCCGCCAGGGCTATGCGGTTCTGGGGGAGCAACAGCTTCAGCGGGCAGCGGGCCCGTTGGCGCAGATGTTCCTCCAGCACGCCGACCAGTGTTCATCCCTTCCGAGACTGTTCCTTGAGGTGCACCGCACCCTCGTGGGCTCTCACCGCAAGGACCGACTGCCCGCCGTCGCGCGTTACGCGCAGACGAGACTGGACGTGCAGGTACCCCTGGCCAAGCGGCGCGACGGTGCCCGCGTCGTCCGGCGAGGCGCCCACGCCTGAGTCGCCGTCCGACGAGTGCGCCGCGGCCGCGCCGCCATCGCGCACGCCGAGGCCGTTCTGCGGGAACACGATGGCCTGGCCCGTGCGGAGCGAGACGATCTGCGGCGGCTACAGTGTCATGCTGCTATGCGGAGCGCAAAACGCACCTTCGCGAAGAGCTCGTCGAACGTGTCTTCGGCCGCGGAGACGTGGTTCGTGAGCAGGCGCAGCCATTTCGGCGATGAGAATCGGTGTGCGATGATGAATGAGCAGAGGTCGAGGAACTTGTTCGGGACAACTGTGGGCTCCTGCGTCGAGATAACGACGCGTGTCGCCAGGTGGCGTTGCTGACGGATGACAGACAGAAGAGAGTCCGTCAGGCGGGATGAAGCGCCTGTCTGAGAGTCAGACAGATACTGCAAAGAACGATGAGCACGAGGATGGGCAGCGGATTGTAAAATTCGGAGCGATAGCAAGACCTCACCTTGTGCGCCTCATCAAGCACGACTAGCTTTCCAGCCGCGTCGACGTCCGCTTCGATGAAGAGACCTAAGATGAGATCGAAGAGTCCACATGCAGATGAACCGTCCATGAAGGGCGAGGATAAGCTACAAGACGAATCAACAATCTACGCCGCATAAGACTCGGTACAACTCACTCTATTATCGTAAGCTGTCCCTTGCGGAAGTGGCTGGATACACGATTATAGGCATTGCCGCCCTCGAGACAGGAGTCCAGCAACGAGAGCCGAAGATTAAGCATGGTGCGCTGCCCTGGATTAAACTTCTGTCGCGTTAGCTCGTCACGGAAAGCATTGTAGTTGAGGTTTGGCTTCGAGCGCAAGATCGACATAACTGCCTCCATGTACAGAGGCATCTCTGCGCAGAGGGATCAGCCGGGCAGCACGACACAGAGTGGGTTGGTGGTACGCACGGTTACTCTCGTCCACTTTCATCATGGCAAGCAGGCGTTCAGCGCTGATGTCCTCGGCGGAGAAGTGCAGCGGCTCGACGCGGACGGAAGGTAGTCTGGCGTAAACCTGTCTCATAGCTTGCAGATTGGCCGGCCTACGTGAAACAGGTCAGATGAGGTGGTTGGAGAAGGTTGCATGAATGCTACAAGACAAGGACGGTCACCATCGGAGGTGTCGCATCGCCCCCGCGCTCGATATCGAGGGAAGCCAGATATGCGGCTTCGCAGGGCTGGACGGCCCCGCTACCTGCAGCAGTGTCGAAATGAAATCTGCATGAGCCGACCATGGTCAGTCCGTGATGAATAGTACAGACAAACTGAGTGACGTACACAAGTGCGCTGAGGGGCGCGGGTAAAGTTCCCAGCCTCGAGTCTGCCATGAGACAGCTCTCCAGCAAGACAGAGGTGGAGTGACTCTTCCCCGAACCCTACAACATCATCAGATCTTTGGCCTCGAGGAAAAGCTGATTATGTACATGCCTGGACGCCACATACTAGGGCGCTGAAAGGCGCGTTGGTATTTATGTAAAGTTTCGGCGTTGCCAAACGCGAAGGAAAGTTCGCCGCCCGTTGGGTGATGACTCGCCCGTACAATGCGCGTTGAGGAAGAATCGACGGGCCAAGTGCTGCAAATGCGTCTCCTGTGAAGATCGGCGCGGTTTTGAAGGCATGAATCGACCCCGTGGACTCTTCCTCAGGGGCGTCGCCCCCGAGAAGGTCGAGTTCAGGATCGTAGAACATGTCCAAAAGATTGTAGATCGTGTCCGTAGTATTGTATGTCATGGTAGTAGCCAGAGGTATGTTTCTCTGTGAAAGAGGGGGCAGCGCTACATGAGGATAAAGTTGAAGTATTTAATGGGCGTGGCTGGATAGGAGGTCGTTACATGGCGCGCCCCGGGAGTCCGTCCGTCTCCAGTGAAGACAGGAGCGGTTTAGCGTGGCCACAGTGCGTTAGGAGCAACTGCCATTTTATTTCCCTCCAATCTCTCCTAGAAACCGTGCAACACGGTGCCAGCGTATTCTTTGTTGTCTGACTCAATATATGAAGGCAGGATTGTAGTGACGGATGGCTCAGAACGGAGCTTAGAAGACGACCTGCGCGTGCGGACACAGTCTGATATTACGATAGTTTATATCTTGCATCTGCTTTGCAAAGTGACTGCTTTTGCGAGAATACTTTTTGTCGGCGGGCGAGCCTTTCTTTGCCGGTTAGTATTATTTGAGGGCGGAGCTGAACACATACTTACCGGAATTACTTATGTTTCTGAGAGCGATTTAATTCGTGTGGCGCGGCTAATTTAATTTTCGTGTAAACTAGCATTGGAGCCTAGCCGGGGCGTTGGCCGACTCGAAGAACTCCCAGTCTGAAGAAGAAAAAAGGGCGCAATGTGTATTCCTTTCTCCGGGAGGGAAAAGCTGAGGTCTCGATACGAAAGAGGGGAAGGACTACGAGGCGAGAGAAAATGGTTCTCAAGTATGAGTGGAGAACAGAAGTGAATATCCGAAGGTGGGAAGCAAATAAACTAAGACAAGAAACATAAAAAGCTTGGTAGCCGTGTAATCGCACGATTGCACTTTGTAATGTTACAGGTATACACTATGATGCTGGACAGTAGTAGATAGCACAGCCTTAGAGGTGAACTAAAGAGGCGAGCAGATGAGTTGCTGTAGAAGGGGGGGCTCAAAGCGGCACACCCGTTCAACTTTCCAGCCTGTGCTCTTCAGGAGCTCGACAAAGTGCCCGAGCGTACGCTCTTGGCAGTTCGCACTGCACATCATCTGCGCAGGAGCGACATGAGCAGCGGGTACACGGGAGGTAAGTGGCACTATACGCACGGAAATGTCTAAACTGTACGTGAAGCTCGCCGCCGAGTCGGCGTACGGCAGCAGCGGCTCCGGGGCCTGGGACCTCGTAGCGCCGGGAATCTCAGCGACAGCACCAGAGTCGCGACACATGTAGTCCATGATAGCGTCCATCACGACGAGCTTGGTGGTTGGCTGTGCCGCGTCCCGGAGGCGCGACAGGATCTTGCTCGCGTACTCATCCAACCAGTCGTGGAGGACCTGTCTGAGGATAAACACGTCGGCGTCCTTGATGGGCTGTTCCACAAAGAAATCATGACCTGTGGCGCAGGAATTGCGTTAGTAGTAGGACGCGACTTGAAAGCAAGACGATGTACCTTGCAGTCGCACGATACCGTTCTCAACAAACCCGGGCATGGTTGCCTTCCACAGCCGCTCCCCTTCCTGAACCACAGCATGTCTGTCCTGGACGACATATCGCAGATGCTTGTGAGCCTTTGCAAGAGACATGGTCAAGCTGCCGACTCCGCCGCCGACGTCGATCACCAGGCTGCCCGAGGGAAGTGATGCCCACTCGAAGCCTCGTGTCGCGACGATACTGTCATCAGAGCTCGTTCTCGCACGCATGCCGATGCCGAACTTGCGCATCTCCAGCGCATGCTCTGGACGCTCCATCCATTCAAACAGGGTCAGTTTGGTGTGCATGGCACGCTGCCATGGGGCCTCGTTCGACTCCTGCGAGTTTCCCGTCGCAGGGTCCAGGAGATGTTCCGCCAGCCAGCCATTACCTCGCTGAATCTCTGCTCTGTGGATGCCTTAGGATGTTACGATAAAGGTCTTATCGGAAAGACTTACTTTGCTGAGACGAAAGCGGCAATCCCATTGGTGTCGTCCCACCTATCAATAGGACTTCTCACCATATCTTGGACAGGCTTTCCCGTGCACATGGACGAAGAGATGCGATTATTCCTGAAGACATCCGGTGCGACCTCCTCGAAGATATGCCGGGATGCAAGGTGTCTTAGGATTCGGCCTATTGTTCACATAGGATGCAGATTCTTTCATGATGAACAAATACGAACCTAGCTTTCCTGCATCAATATTTCTGACTGCCGCAATCTCGTTAACATGTAGGCCCTGTACCGATGTCAGCTTCAAGGTGCTAAGGAAATACGGAAGGTTGGAACCTTCGTGCCTGCCTCGCGCAGAACATCAGGAACATATGCCGCCTCTGCAGTCGACATCGAGCCAGATAAGTAAGTCTACCATACCGGACGTCAGTGATGTTGCAGGCGGTGCGGACTTGCACACGCACCATGAACACAAGGTCCAGTAAATAGGTATGGGGATGCTTGAGCGTTGCGATGAGCTGCCATGCAGCAGCAATCACGGGTGCAGCGTCGGCCGCGAGGTCACTTTGCAGCTTCTCGCCCTCCGGGCTGAGCGGTGTCTCCGGCATAGGATATGGCATGCCGCGCTCAGCGGACTTGGACTGGATATCCTTGACGCCATTGGCGATGATCTGTACGAGCGCGTCGAGGGTAGACATGGCTGGAGTGTATGAATTGTAGTTTGCGCTGGTGCTAGCATCTTCAAAGAGTGGCCTTCAAGTTTTATACCAAACAGGAGTGTTTTCTCGATGTGCCTTCTGCAGCGTTGGGGTGTGACTCAACACGCTGACGTGCGCGGGACTGCCCATCCGAACCAACGCAGAGCTTGTTGCTAAGTTCTCTCACAGTTAAACAGAACCTTCTCCAATTACCTATATCAAGTTAGCATCACATGGCAAGTACCAAACACAGGAGCACGTTATTAGGTTCCTTGACTAAAGATTACCTTTACGTCCGCGTCCAAGGCAGCTTCGGGCAACTCGTCCGTGAAATACACTTGGTGATTGACGGGTATCTTGTGCCTTGGATGGTAGCTCCCATAAGCAAGTCCAGCCTGGAGGTTCTCAGCGAAGGAGACGCATCCGCCGCACTCGATAATCCCGCCGTCACCTGAGGTGCCTTGACCCGCCCGATGATACCACGAGACTCATTGGCTAAGTAGAATCTCTTTGCAGACACGCATTGTGCAGTAACTACATATTGACCGTGAGTGGTTGCGAACTGCAAGGCGGAGGAGCGTCGGGCGGATCACGGTACCTCAGGTGATGGCGGGATTACCAAACGTGGCGGACGCGTCTCCTTCGCTCGCTATAGCGCCTGCGGAATTTTCGAACTCCGAGTTCTGAAAATTTGCCAGGGGGTGTCTATCATTCTTGGAATAGCTGAAGAAGACGACCTGTGCGTGCGGATCCAGTCTGATCTTATGATAGTCTCTTGTATAGTCATATTTTGTATCTGCTGTAATTGTAAAGAGACTCGTAACCAGCCGTCCCGCCGATGATGCACGCCTTTCTTTCAGATGTGATGTGGCGGCGTCGGAATGTAAACCGTGTCCACTAGTACTCGCTAAGTAACAATGCAGTTTCTTGGACCGATACAACGATAGAAGTAGTGTTGGATAAACACCAGGGTGTATAATCAAGTCATACAAGTAATTTAAATTAAATATCTGTCCTTCTAGCATCCGAGATGTCCAAATTAATCCTATGCCATCTCCTTTCCACTTCCCGAGACCCACAAAACCTACATCCCTTGTGCCAAATTAAACGAAGGCGATAGTGACGATCTCGCCCTCGAGCGAGGCGGAAGCAACAGTAGTGCCGTTCTGGACTGTGGTCAAAATGGTCGCGTTAGAGATGTCGACAGGGCCTGACGAGGTCTCGGCAGATGCAGTGATGTTGACCGTGCCAAAGTCGACGAAAGGGATGATGTCATTGGAATCGTCGAATTCGGCCTGTAACAGCCATCCTACTTCCGCCTGCGAGCAAATAGGACCGGTCTCAATGGCCACGGTGGAGGTCTCGTCTGTGCTCTCGTTGGTTATGACCGCCGTGCTCGACGTCGCATTCGTCATGGAAATGGAAACCGTTATGTTGTCGCCCTGCGCGAAGCTAACGTTGTGGAAGAAGTGATCGTCACCATCAGGGAAACTCGTCCAAAAGGCTGCGAGAATATAGATGATTTGTCAGCATGCGAGCAGGAGGGCAAGGAGCGCGGACTGACCATTGATAAACTGTGAACCATTCTTAATCTCCATGTTGATACCAGCCATGATGCCGTTCTCGCAGTTGGAGGAACCAAGGTCGACAAAGAAGGATGAGATGTATTCGTCACTAGGGTCGTCGCCCGCAGGCACAGCAAACGTCGAAATCGCGAACGACCCCGTGACGCTCGTGAAGGGCACCTATGCGGAATCAAGTCTGTCAGCACATGCAACACACAGACATAAGAGGAGACTTACCGTAGACGCATTTAACAGGGCGCCGGCCGTGATGTTGTTGATAATTGGCGCGCCGCCGGCGGAACGACGGGCCATGCGGACATCGCGACGGGTCATGCGGACATCGCGACGTTCCTTGGGGGCCGGCATCGAGACAGCAGTGGTGGCAGCGAGAGCCAAGATAAAGGAGGTGGTGAAGAACATGGCAGTATGAACGATGTAGGGTAGAAAGAGCTATGAGGCTATATATATATATATATCGAGTCAAGTGAGGCGAGGAATCTGTGGTTTGGCTATGGCGGTCGGGCGAGCTTATATACGTCGGAGGCCTGTGCAGCAAGCACCTGCAGCTGCGCGCCATGACGATCCTTGGGTGCTTCATCATGCACAGAATTTCGCGAGGTGGGGAAGGTCTCATCACGATCGCGGCCGTTACGATTCAAAATGTCGCACATCAGGGTTTTCAAAGGTTTGGTTTAGGTTTGACTGACTTTGATGGCGGTGTTCAGACGTTGGAGGACAACCTGAAAAGGTGCGGTTCCTGAAGCGACGTTTCAGACGGGATCGTGCTAAATTCCGCCCAATGCCGTCGTCCAATCGAGGCAGCTCCCGATTGCTGGTCTCACCCTTCTCGAGAGCAGCGATCACGGCGTCACACGCGGTGCCCAGGCTCGTCCTGGCTCGTCTCACACCGGGTTTCTGGTGAAACCGGCTGGGCCGTTTCGTCGCAGTTCGTCGCCCAACCAAGGGGGTCAAACAAGCGCCCGGCGGGCCGCCGATGAATTAGCACTTGGAAAAATCACGCTTCAGCGGTTTCTGGCGAGCACAAAAATCATATTTACATGATAATGGAATAGAAAAATATTAGACATGGTGTAATCGAGTGTTGAGAGACAGGAAATACAAGCGGGAGATGTATCTAGCCAGACATGAGCGATCGAGCGATCGAGAGTCAAATCTCGTGCTAAGAGCACCAAACAGGAAGAATGATGGCGAGGGGCAAATCCAAAACGTTGAGATTATGCTCAATAATATGTGAAATATTTTTGTTTGAGATGATTTGTCACATTCTACTGAATGCAGAGCAGTCTGAGGATCATGAAGAGCAAATTTGCACATACAAAATTCTATAGATGACGATCATCAGTGAACCAACGATCATAGAAACACACTTACATGGTCCACAATGAATATATGGGTACATGATTCAATTTGTGACACTCCCGTACCCGATGAGTTGCCCGAAATGAGCGAAGTGAGGCGGAAGCTGCCCATATGCTAAGGAACAGACTCGATTAATTCATGATAGCCGCCCTGTCATACCTCGGTACGCGTCCCACCAGCTACCGAGTAGACTGGTTACGGGTATAGCTTGCGTTGTATTCCTTTTCCAAACAGGATGCAGTTAAGGCGCAGCGACCAGGCATAGCTGGCGAGTCTACATCATCCTCACCGCGCCAATGTCATTATGTCTTCGGGCAAGCTACGGTACCCCGTCCGCTCACCGAGCCTGTGTAGTGATGTGCGGGCCCGGCTTGGGCTCAAAGCCCGGGCTTGGGCTTGTGGCGACGCCAAGCCGAGCCCTGAGCCCGACCCGAGCCTGAGCCCGGCCCAAGCCGTGGGCTTAAGCTCGGGCTTGCAAGGCTTAGGACAAGTATTTATATGCTACGAACGTGAGCATATTTGTATGTGATAGGCTGCTATTGCATGTACCCACCGTACTGCAGCCTCCAGAGGGCATGCGACCGCGCTACAAGCCATGTTATGACAAGGTTCGCGAAGGGGCGCCTACGGCGAACGCCAGGCGGTGGCGCACAATTGCGCCTAGTCACACTAGCAGGGACCGCCCAGTCCGGTAAGTCAACGTCCCGTCTCGTATGTGTATATAAAGTTGTTCTTACCATGTTTTGAGCCCAGGGAACGGCAACACATTTGGTGCACCCAAGCCTGGGCTTTCGGGCCGGGCTTGGGCTTGACTCCGCTCCGAGCCCGGCCTTGAGCCCGCTGCCAGGCTTAGCTCGGGTCAGGCTTTTTGGGCCGGGCTTGGCGGGCTCGCGGGCTTTGAGGCCCGGCCCGCACATCACTAAGCCTGTGTTTTCCGAACGCCTGCATCGACGCTCCCCGCGAAGCGTACGAAGATTTGTCAGTCGTGCGGCAGCGCATCAATGCCGAGTGCACCTCGCGCATCTTGTGTATTCGTGTGTCTGTGCTCTGTACCGTCGGCGCTGCATCAGCTGACTAACTCTGCAGTGCGGGAAGACGGACGGAGAGGCGAAAAATCAAGCATTAGCGCGGCTCGCTCAAGAACATCTCCTGCGGAGACGTCGTTGGCGAACTCCGAGTCGACGCCCTGTTTCGCAAGTCTCAGAACGCCTTCCGCCGCAACAAAACAGCAGGAAACAGGACTAGGGCCCATAGTGCTCCAAAATGCTCCTGTAGCACTCTGTAGCATTGTGGACCTAAGTTTTTTTCCTAATGCAAGCGACATGTGCTTCTAGTGAGGCGTGGCTGACGTTCGGCCCCCGCCGAATACAAAGCTCCATTGTTGCGGTCGCTGCCAAGAGATGAGCTACAAGATCTTGCACTGTTCTTGATGAGTCTTTAGCGCAAGCTTTCGCCCTTTTCCTGATGGAGAAATGCTTAAGCGCGCACGTTCCAGCGAGTACCAGACAGCCGATTGGCAGAGCGGCGTACCTACACCCCATGAGATAATCTGTGCGCGACGATATTGCCCATGTAAAGACAAATGTAGAGTAAGAGAGAGGCATGATTTTTTCGGTATACGAATTCAGGTGTGATTACATGTATTACAAATGTTGTTATACCTCAGGCTGTGGGGCGCATGCCATTAACATGAGAACGTCCAGGAGTTGGGAATTCTGTGCCGTCTAGGGCGTCTACGCCTCTGATTAACATGAGCACTCAGCGAGAGAGAGAGAGAGAGAGAGAGAGAGAGAGAGAGAGTTAGACACATACAGACGTTGGAGCTGGATGAGAGCCGCTAGAATGGTAGACTCGTTTCCAGTCTACTCGGCAGCTATACCTTCTTTGCTGGTTGGTCCTTGTTTGACAGCCGCGAAGCTGAACGTGTTTACCGGCATTGCTTATGTTTCTGAGAGCGGAATTTGAATTTGCGTGGCGCGGTTAATTTTCGTGCAAACTAACATTGGAAGCCAGCTGCAGCTGGGGCGTTGGCTGAGAACACTTAGTCCGAATAAAAGGGAGCAATGTGGATTCCTTGTTCCGAGAGGAAAAAACCGATGTCTCGGAAGAAAAGGGGAGGTAGGATTATAAGGTGAGAGAAAACGGTTCCCAAGCATAAGTGGAGAATACAAGTGAGTATCTAAAGGTGGAAACAAGTAAACTAAGATAAATCACCAGGGAACACAAAAAGCTTAGTAGCCGTGGAATCGCACAATCGCACTTTGTCATGTTACAGGTGTGCAGTATGCTGGACAGTAGATAGCACAGCCTTGGGGGCGAGAGGTGAGCAGACGAGCTGCTGTGGAAGGGGAGGCTCGAAGCGGCACACCCGCTCAACCTTCCAGCCCGCGCCCTTGAGAAGCTCGACGAAGTGCCCGAGAGTGCGCTCTTGACAATTCGCAATGGTCATCACCTGCGCAGGAGTGACATGAGCAGCGGGTAAAGGAGGTGTGCACGGCACTGTACGCACGCCCACATCTAAGCCATACATGAAGCCCGTCGCCGAGTCGGCGTATGGCAACAACGGTTCTTGAACTTGGGGCTTTGCAGCGCCGGGGATGTCAGCCACAGCGCCAGAGTCGCGACACATGTAGTCTATGATAGCGTCCATCACGACGAGCTTGGTAGTTGGCTGTGCCGCGTCCCGGAGTCGCGACAGGATCTTGCTCGCGTACTTATCCGGCCAGTCGTGAAGGACGCACCGGAGAACAAATACGTCGGCGTTCGTGATGGGCTGTTCCGCAAAGAAATCATGACCTGTGGCACGAGCCTGGTTTTAGTAGTAGGATGCAACTCGGAGGCAAGACGGCGTACCTTGCAGCCGTACGATGTCATTCTCAACGAACCCGGGCATGGTTGCCTTCCACAGCCGCTCCCCTTCCTGAACCACAGCATGTCTGTCCTGGACGACATATCGCAGATGCTTGTGAGCCTTTGCAAGAGACATGGTCAAGCTGCCGACTCCGCCGCCGACGTCGATCACCAGGTTGCCCGAGGGGAGTGATGCCCACTCGAAGCCTCGTGTCGTGACGATGCTGTCATCAGAGCTCGTACTCGCACGCATGCTGATGCCGAACTTGCGCATCTCCAGCGCATGCTCTGGACGCTCCATCCATTCAAACAGGGTCAGTTTGGTGTGCATGGCACGCTGCCATGGGGCCTCGTTCGACTCCTGCGAGTGTCCCATCGCAGGGTCCAGGAGGTGTTCTGCCAGCCAGGCATTGCCCCGCTGAGTCTCTGCTCTGTAGATGCCTCAGGATATTGTGATAAAGATCTTATCGGAAAGACTCACTGTGTTGAAACGAAAGCGGCAATCCCATTGGTGTCGTCCCACCTATCAATAGGACTTCTCACCATATCTTGGACAGGCTTTCCCGTGCACATGGACGAAGAGATGCGGTTGTTCCTGAAGACATCTGGTACGACCTCTTCGAAGATGTGCCGAGAGGCAAGATGTCTTAGGATTCGGCCTGTCATTCACATAAGATGCGGAATCTTGCACGGTTGACAAACGCGAACCTAGCTTTCCTGCATCAATATTTCTGACTGCCGCAATCTCGTTAACATGTAGGCCCTATACCGATGTTAGCTTCAAGGTGCTAAGGAAATATGGAAGGTTGGAACCTTCGTGCCTGCCTCACGCAGAACATCAGGAACATATGCCGCCTCTGCAGCCGACATCGAGCCAGACAGGTACGTCTACCGAACGTCAGCGATGTTGCAGGCGGTGCGGACTTGCACACGCACCAAGGTCCCGAGCTCCAGTAAATAGGTATGGGGATGCTTGAGCGTTGCGATGAGCTGCCATGCAGCAGCAATCACGGGTGCAGCGTCGGCCGCGAGGTCACTTTGCAGCTTCTCGCCCTCCGGGCTGGGCGGTGTCTCCGGCATAGGATATGGCATGCCGCGCTCAGCGGACTTGGACTGGATATCCTTGACGCCATTGGCGATGATCTGTACGAGCGCGTCGAGGGTGGACATGGCTGGAGTGTATGGAAGGCAGTTTTCACTGGTGTCAGCATTGTCAAAGAGGTACCTATTATACCAAAGAGGAGCGCTTTCTCGATGTGCCTTCTGCAGCGTTAGGGTGTGACTAAACACACTGACGTGCACATCGCCCATCCGAACCAATGCAGAGCTCGCTGCTAAGTTCTCTCACAGCCAAACAGAACCTTCTCCAAATCGTGGCAGCAGAGCAACTCGTCCGTGAGGACACGCTTGGTGGCTGATGAGTCTCTTGTGCGTTGGGCGGTAGCTCCCGTAAGCGAGTCCAGCCAGCTCACACAGTGCGTCCTCGATCAGCAGAACTTGGCGAGAGAGTAAACCCTAGCTCACCAGAGATGCAAGTATGCCACCGGAGGCATCCCAGCCCACTAGCGGCACGAGAACCGCACACCATTCTCTGCTACAAGCTGAACTGTCAAGGAGCACGGTCGCAAACCAGTCACAGCTCCAGACACGCCATCGCCGTTATCTACACTGAAGCCAGATAACAAACGCGGTTTGGATTGATGTGTAGACACGGTGCCAGAACGAGAGTCACCAGGCCTTCTGGAAGGTGTTCTGCAGCTCGACTGACAACAACCCGTTGACAGGTGTCCAATCCTCCGTTAATTACCGCCAGCGATCGCACGCTGTGCGGTCTCCGCGAACATCTTCCAGAAGAGAGAGAACGAGGCTAATCGCAGACATGGTTGGCAGCCTGAGAGATGGTCAAACTGTTCGGACTCCAAGAGCTCATCAGTTTACCCATGCGGCATCTGAGACGCCTTGAAATCCATGAAATCTATTGCGGCGGCGGAGCAGGTGGAAGCCAGCCAACGAAAAGGATAAAACGAAAAACGAAAAGCTCACATCTCGAGGTATTCCTTCATTTACCTTCACTTGAATAACTTGAAAATGCATTTGCAACACGATATTAGCGCCTTATTTGTGGTTTGACATAAGCCACAAAAGTGCCCACGACGACAAAGAATATGACAGCAGGATCGTAGTGGTGTGCAGGGCGGGCTCAGAGTGATAAACAGAGCTTAGAAGACGACCTGCGTGTGCGGACACAGTCTGATCTTACGATTGGGAGCATTCGGCACGTCCTCCACGACGCCCTGCGCCTTCGCGTCCGTGATGACCTCCTCGACCTCCTGTCCGAACCGTCGCCTAATCGTGGCCGCGTTGATTTCGTGGAAGCCCGCGGATGCCTGCTCAGCTAGGTACTGGACGAGCGGCACGCAGCTGCGCAAGGCGCCGGTGAGGTACACCGTACGCTCCGTGACGTACTCTGCGCCGGGCGTGAGCATGATTCGCGTGGGTCCCGTGCCCTCGGCGCGCACGACGAGCCCGAGCTGCGTCGCTTGTATGATGTCGTCTGGCTCGAGGTCGAGCGCGCCGCGCACACGCTGCGTCCTAACGCGCCAGAGCTTCTCCTCCTGTAACATCTTCTGCATGAACTTGACCAGCGGGCGGAACTTACGCAGCTCGAGGCTCGTCATCATGAAGACCGTTGGACCGGCAGGCGCGGTTGGGTTTGAACTGTCATCGGTTTCCCGTTCTGCAGGTGAGGGAGAAGGTGCGCCATGTCCGGCAGGTGAGGCCTCCCATTCCACAGGCGAGGGAGGGGCAGTCTCCCATCCCAAATTAACAGAGGGCGACGAAGAAGAAGCCCCCCGCCCCGGGTGACTGGTGGTAGGTGTAGGCGAGGGAGAAGTGGCCCCCCATCCCGAGCGAGCCGGAAGTGAAGGAGAAGCGCCTCTCCATGATCCACGTGGCTCAGGTGAGGGAGAATCTGCGAACGATGCTTCCGCAGCCCTTGCGATAGGCCGCTTCTCCACCTGCGCCTTATCCCTGAGCAACATCGCCCATGATTTGCGTGCAGAAGGAGCGGCACCGCTAGCGGGATAACCCGCTGGGACAGATGTCCCGCCACTACTCCTCTCAGAAGACGACGCCTTTGCCGGCACTAAGTCCCACTGGGGTCCAGAAGCAGCCCCAGCCGGTTCTCGCACTGCAAGAATGGACTGGCCGCCGTCCTGTGTGACCCGCAATCGAGACTGCACGATAAGGTACCCTGCACCAAGCTGTGCGACAGCGCCCGCATCACGCTCAGGCTCTTCCTCCGCGTGGCTATCCCCGCGAACGCTGATCCCGCTCGCCGAGAACATGACCGCCTCGCCGGTCTGCAACGCGACGACCTGCCCGCGACGCACATCAGTCACCGTCCACCAAGCTCATCCACCAAAACCGAAGAAGGAAGAAAAAGAAAAAGAGCAGAGCAGCAGGCGCGCACCTTGGCGAAGAGCGCGTCGAGGTTGCGCTCGGGCACCGCAACGTGCCGCGTCAGCGCACGCAGCCACTCGGGCGACTGGAAGCGGTGTGCAACGATGAACGAGCATAGCGCGAGTAGCTTGGCCGGCACGACCGTCGGCTCCTGCGTCGAGACGAGCACGCGCGTGCCCAGGTGGCGGTACTGCCGGATGATCGTCAGCAGCGAGTCCGTCAGGCGCGACGACGCGCCGGACTGTGCATCGGATAGGTACTGGGAGCGGTCAGCGGAAGACTCTCTCGAAGTGGGGCTGGGGAATCGTTTACCTTGTGCGCCTCGTCCAAGACTGTTGGAGTGGTGCGTTAAGGACGGATGGGGAAATGGGTGGTGACGGCTTACCGACGACCTTGCCAGACGCTTTCACGTCGGCCTCGACAAACAGGCCCAGAATGAGGTCGAAGAAACCGCAGGCAGACGATCCGTCCATGAATGGTGACGACAGGCTACCTCGAGCATCAGCATACATGCGCTTAGCGGCGTATGGTCGTTGGTACCCACTCGATGATGGTTAGGTGGCCTTTCTTGAAGCGAGTGGAAACTCGATTCGACGCATTTCCATCCTTGAGGCACGAGTCCAGGAGTGACAAACGCAGCTTGAGCATCGATTTCTGGGTCCCACTAAATGACTGTGCACCGAGCTCTTCGCGAAACTTCGTGTAGTCGAAGCTGTCCTCCATGGAGCGAAGAATCGTCATGACGGCCTCCATGTACAGAGGCATCTCTGTATCGGAATTGTTTTATGAAACGGATGCGAAAGTTGAATACAAAGCGACTTACGCCCGTTTTCCTCGACCCTCATCATTGCAAGCAGGCGCTCACCACTGATGTCCTCTGGCGAGAAGTGGAGAGGCTCAACTCGGACGGCAGGCAGTTTAGCATAGACCCGTCTCATTGCCCGTATATTCGAAGGCCTGGTAACAAATGTGAAAATTTGTGCAGAGACGGAGACGGAGACGGCGCTGACAATACCAGGACGGTCACCGTAGGTGCCACAGCATCGCCGCCATTCTGCGGGTCGAGCATCGAAAGGTACGCGGCCTCGCACGGCTGCACCGCCCCGCCGCCTGCAGCAGTGTCAAAGTGGAACCTGCAGCTTCCAGTCAGCCCCCACCTGCCAAAAAAGCTATGTGATGAAAAAATTAAGTGCCTCACACGAGCGCGCTAAGCGGCTCCGGCAGGGTGCCAAGCCTAGGGTCCGACATCAGGCAGCTCTCCAGCAGCACGGATGTAGAGTGACTCTTTCCGGAGCCCTGGTCGAAATCTTAGGGCAAAATGCATGCCAGCAAAAAACGAGTTGCGCACCTGAAGTCCGCATACGAGTCCGCTGAACGGCGCGTTCGTGTTGATGTACAGCACGGGCGACACCGGGCTGCTCGGAAACCCGTCTGCCCTCTGGCTCACGACGCGCCCGTACACGGCGCGCTGCGGGAGCACAGCCGGGCCCAGCGCGTCCAAGGCATCCCCTGTGAAGACAGGAGCGGTCCTGAATGCGTGTCCGGTGGCATCGTCCTTGGGCCTGTCGCCGCTGAGCAGGGCGTATTCTGGTCCCCGGCTGTGAACCATGGGCGATTCGAGGGACTGGGCAAGGATATGTAGGAGGACCGGAATGACAGGCCTTGGCCGCCCAAAAGTCGTGCATTTTATATTGGCGCGGCTGCCTCGCGGATAGTTCCTGGCGCAGGCACGCCTTGATCGCTGCTGTCCTTGGCACGAAAGGGGTATGGACAGCAATGAAGAGCATCTAAAGTTCTTTTTTCAAGCCACAAGGCTGAAAAGGGGGGTTGTAGAGGTCGCTGCAGGGACTCAGAAGCTGCGCCGTAGCCAAGGGCGCTCAGCCGAAGACGCGCTTACCCAGTTGGGTAAGAGGCGGTCAAGCGCCGCTCCTTGTCCTGAGCGAGCGACTCCGAGAAGTTCAGGCTCTGGAGGCCTTCAAGCTTCAATATTCAATGCTAGTCTCCCTTTCCTTTTTACCCTTCTTCTCTTTTATTTCTTGTCCTAGAGTTCTTGTCGGTGGCCCTCCTTCTCCTGCTCCAGGGGAGCAGTGCGACTGTGTGCCACCTGTCCAACATGAGACCGAGCGGGCGTCCGCTGGCTTTCACGGGATCTCCGCGGCCATGCTCAGGCGGCCAGGGGTACTGCAAGTGGAGATCGTCGCCAAGAACGTACGCGAAAGCTCAAGACATGACATGGGCGAGGATGTGCTCAATATTTCTGATCGCAAACCCAGACTGCATCCTTGCACGACGACACGCGTACGCGGGTCGTCTTCCAAGCCCGCTGCTGCGATTCTGTCTTCGCATCGTTGCCATCGTGGACACTGTCAGACAAGATATAGTACTCGTCTTGCCTAGGAATTACGAGATCAGAACCGGAGCAATTGCTCCTGGAGCTCTCCGTCCATGGCCGTATGGCTCACCAGCGTTTTAGAAATCCAGTTGACACTTCGAGTCTTGACCGTGCCCCTCCCGAATAATGACAAGAGATGGATCCGCAGCGAATATTCTCTGCGAATAAAAAAATCCGCGCTCTTGTATCTCGACGGAATATTCTGTGATACATGAAGACACAAGGATGACTTGGCCAGAAGCTTCGCCTCGAGGCCTAAACATGGGGCAAGTTACTTAAACGTTGTCGCTGGAAGCACAGCTCTTTTACCCCCTCTTTCACTGCAGAGCACGCCTCTGGCTCCTCCCACGACGTACGACGCTATGGACGCATTTCACGATCCTGAACTCGATCTCCTTGGCGACGACACACCCGAGGACGAGTCCACGGGGTCTATGCACGCATTCAAGACGGCACCAATCTTCACTGGCGACACATTAACAGCATTAGGATCATTTAACCTTCCGCAGCGCGCGCTATATGGGCGAGTTGTTGCCCAAAGGGCGGCCAACTTTCCTTTGCGTCTGACGACGCCTAAGCTGTACATAAACACGAATGCGCCATTCAGCGCCTTGGTATGTGGTGTCCAGGTACATAGTCAGCTTTTTTTCGAGGTCGAAAATCTGACGGTGCAGTAGGGCTCCGGCAAAAGTCACTCCACTTCGGTTTTGCTGGAGAGCTGTCTCATGGCGGACCCCAGACTTGGGACTTTACCTGCACCTCTCAGCGCTCTGGTGTACGTTCCTGACTATCCACGTAGTTCATCATAGACTGACAATGACTGGCGCACGCAGATTCCATTTTGATACCGCCGCGGGCGGTGGTGCCGTCCAGCCCTGCGAAGCGGCATACTTGGCTGCACTCGATACCGAGCGCGGTGGCAACGCAACACCCCCGAAGGTCACCGTCCTTGTCCTGTAAGTCTTCGTGCAATGTCCGCCGTGCACCTCATCTAACCTACTTATTACATGTAGACCTGCCAACATCCAACCTATGAGACGCGTTTACGCCGGGCTGCCTTCCGTCCGCGTTGAACCTCTCCATTTTTCCGCCGAAGACATCAGTGGCGAGCGTCTGCTCGCCATGATGAAAGTTGATGAAAATACTCGTGTGTACCGCTGCCTCACTCTATGTAACTACTCCTCGACTGACATTCTTGCGCAGAGATGCCTCTATACATGGAGGCAATCATGTCCATCTTGCGCGCGATGGAGTCAAATTTCAGCTACGCTGCTTTCCGCGACGAGCTCAAGCGGCAGAAGCTCAACCCGGGGCAGAAGGCAATGTTAAACCTTCGGCTCTCGCTGCTCGATTCATGCCTCGAGGGCGGCAACGCAAATAATCGAGTGTCGACCCATTTCCGCAAGGGTCAGCTTACAATAATCGAGTAAGTCATATCACATCTTGCTCGGTGCAGCATGGTTTAATGATACTACAGTTTATCTTCGCCGTTCATGGACGGTTCATCCGCGTGCGGATTCTTCGACTTGATTCTGGGCTTGTTCATTGAAGCAGACATCGACACGGCTGGGAAGCTGATTGTACTTGATGAAGCTCACAAGGCAGGTTTTTACTACCGTGCTAACGTTGTAAATATATGCTCACAATCTGCTGCAGTACCTCTCCGACTCTCAGACCGGCACCTCATCTCGCCTGACGGACTCGCTGCTGTCGGTTATCCGCCAGCAGCGCCACCTGGCAACACGGGTCGTCATCTCGACGCAAGAGCCCACGGTCGTCCCGACCAAATTCCTTGACCTCTGCTCGTTTGTCATCGCACACCGGTTCTCGTCTCCGAAATGGCTCCGCCTACTCGCGAACCATGTCTCTGCAGCCGAAGAAGCATTCGACGAGCTTTTTACAAAGGTAGACTCATTTTGCAGCGGCTTCTTGCTGTCTCGTCCACTGACACTTGTCCACCATAGATAGTGTCGCTGCGTACAGGCCAGGCCATCATGTTTGCGCCGAACGGCCTCGGTGTACGCGAGGATACGGCTGCCACGCACTCCGACGGCGACTCCGGCGTAGGTTCCGACGACGATGCGGGCATCGTCGCGCCGCTTAGCCAAGGGTACCTGCATGTCCAGTCCCGCCTGCGCGTGACGCGCGACGGCGGGCAATCGATCCTTGCCGTGAGCGACCCCGAGAGCACGACGCGCCTGGGGCGCGTGCCGGGCCAGGGAGCGGCATCGGAAGGGACGAACATCGGCCAGCATGCTGAGGGAACATCTGCACCAGCGGACCCACCTCCTGCTGAAGCCGCTGCTCCCCCAGATTCGCATGGCGCCGAAAAAAGTGGAGTGGTGAACGAACTTGCTGCTGAGGTGCGTCTAGGAGTGTCAGCATGTTGGCTGTGCTCGCTGACGTTTGTGCTAACGCAGGCCTTGCAGTCGGCTGAGCTAGGCGCCACAGCTAAGCCTAATGACGCAGCATCCCCGCAGCGCGCCCCAAAATCGTCGACATGTCCGAGCTCGAGTGCGGGTGCTACTGGCTGTTCGACACCCGCCCCTGCGAGCAGCATGGCGGCTGCTGCTGTTCCGCCTGTTGTACCGCCCTCTGTCACTGCGCCCAAAAGAACCATGGACCTTCGCATTGGGAAGCAGCATTTTATCCCCTTGGTTAAGTTATACCAGCAAGGACCGGTTGACGATTCTGGAGAAGTTAAGATGAAGCGCCTAAAGAAGGCTCTTCTGAAGGATTGGCAGGCTAGAGGATCAGCGGCGGACCAGCAACCGCCTATCCGAAAGTCTCTCAACTCGGCTGTGAACGCGGGTATACTGGTCAGATTGCCAAAGGCTCCCGGCGGAACTAAGCCGAGATATATACTGAACCCGGTCTATTCATTTTTGTACTGACCCTCGCCACTGCCTCTACCTTACTATATCTCTGAAATATTACGTGTATGTCAGAGCTCGCTGCAGGACAGTGGCGCTATTGCTTTCCTCTAGCTTATTCAATGTACAGAGTTTATAGTATCTTGAAAGATGTTTTACTTGCTCTTGAACACTATTCGTCATAGTCTGGCGTGTGGCCAGGTGTAACTTCCTACAGGTCTGCCAAACCCTGCAATATTCTATTGCAACTGCTCCCTAATACTTGTGTATAGTAGTGTACAAAAATCCCTGGTGGAAGCCTTGCTCATGGTGATGTTAGATATCTTGGAAAATCTGGAATATTGTTGCTCTCGACTCCGCACCATCCTGAAGTTTACTGATGGTAACGGATGGCGGGCGCACGACGGCGGCTCGGAACGGAGGGGTTCAAAGTTCCGACATAGTTATAAGAAGTTCCGCGCTACGTGAACATGCGAGATTGGCTCGGCCTGAAGCTCTGTCTTAATGTCCACACGTGGAGTAGGCTACATAAACGACGTCGTTATGTAGCGCTGGAGCAGTTCTTCTCTCCCCTCTCACTGGGAGAAACATATCTCGAGCTACGTGCACGGCGTAAGCCACCATAGAAGCATAGTACGGTCCAGAAATCGTTTTACTCGGTGACAATACCCGTGAGAACGAATCCATAGGCTCGATGCATGCCTTCAAAACGGCACCCGTCTTCACAGGAGATGCGTTCGCAGCACTCGTATTGATGTACAACAGGGGCGATACCGGGCTGCTCAGGAACCCGTGTGCCTGCTGGCTCACGACGCGCCCGTATGCAGCACGCTGCGAGAGCATGGCCGGGCTCAGCGCATCCGGCGCATATCCCGTGAAGACAGGAGCGGTCCTGAACGCGTGTCCAGTGGCGTCGTCCTTGGGCCTGTCGTCGCCGAGCAGGGCGTATTATGGTCTCCAGCTGTGAGTCATTGGCGATTCAAAGGACTGAGCAAACGTATGTGGGTGGACTGGAATGACAGGCCTTGGCCGCGGGCCAAAGCCTAATGTCAGCGCATTTTATGGCGCGGCTGCCTCGCGGATAGTTCCTGGCGCAGGTAAGCTTTGATCTGCTGCCTTTGGTACGAAATGGATATGGACAGTGATGAAGAGCATCTATAGTTCTTTTTCTCAACACAAAAGGCTGAAAAAGGGGGTTGTGGAGGTCGCTGCAGAGACTCGGAAGTTGCGCCGTGGCCATGGGCGCTCAATTCAAGGCGCGCTTGCCCGATTGGATCGGGACCCGCCATGAGCGGCGCCTGGGCGTCTCTTACTCCCGAGCGAGCAACTCTCTGGAGGTATTCTATGCAAGTTTCCCTCTCTTTTTCTCCCTTTTTCTTTCATTTATCCAGGGCTCGAGGCAATAACATGGAAAGGGTTTTTTCTGCTTATTCTTCTCCCCTACTCATGGTTACTAGTACTGGGGACTAGTGTGACTGCGTGCCGCACGTTCAGCTTATCTGACCGAGCAGAGGTCCGCTGGCTTTCACGAGATCTTCCCGGCCATGCTCAGACGGCGGTTCGGCTAGGGCATAGGGGAGATAACCACGTACGTGATGTCTGAGGCCTGAGGCCTGAAGGCTCAAGGCATGGGCGAGGACGCGCCCAACGCTTCCGGTCGTAAGATCAGACTGCGCCTTTGCATGCAGGCCGCCTTCCAAGCCTACTGCTGCGATTCTGTCCTCGCATCGTTCCAATCTCGGGCACTGTCAGACAAAATACAGTACTCATTTTGCCTAGGAACTACGAGATCAGGACCAAAGCAACTGTTCCTGGCGCTCATGTACATCTTGGGCACGATGGAGTCAAACTTCAATCATAGTGCTTTCCGCGACAAGCTCACGCAGCAGGCGTTCAACCCTGCGCAGAGGGCAATGCTAAACATTCGGCTCTTGCTCCTGGACTCTTGTCTCGTGGGCGGCAATGCTAATAATCGCGTATCCACTCGTTTCTGCAAGGGACAGCTCACAATAGTCGAGTGAGCTGTATCAAGTCTTATGCAGCGCAGATTATTGAATCTTCTTGCAGCTTATCCTCGCCATTCATGAACAGCACATCTGCGTGTGGATTCTTTGGCCTGATTTTGGACCTATTCATCGAAACAGACCTCGATGTGACTGGGAAGCTGGTGGTGCTTGACGAGGCACATAAGGTCGGTTCTACTATTACCCTGGATTATATGATCCGCTGCCCATCCTCGCGCTCACTATCTTTCGCAGTATCCATCTGCCTCTCACACAGGCACTTCATCCTGCCTGACAGACTCTCTTCTGTCTGTCATCCGCCAGCAGCGCCACCTGGCGACACGCGTCGTCATTTCGACTCAGTGGTCCCGAGCAAGTTCTTCGATCTATGCTCATTGATCATTGCTCATCGATTCTCATCCCATAGATGGCTGTGCCTGCTTGCGAATCACGTCTCCGCCGCCGAAGACGCATTTGATGAGCTCCTCGCAAAGGTAGCGTCTCTCGCCGGCTTCTTGCCATCGCATCCATTGATACTTTCCCACCAAAGATAGTGTCGTTGCGCACAGGCCAGGCCATCATGTTCGCGCCGAACTGCCTTGGCGTGCGCGAGGGAACGGCTGTTGCGCACACTGACAACGACTCAGGTGTAGGCTCCTCGGACGACGGGGGCGTCGTCGCGCCGCTTGGCTAAGGGTACCCGCACGTCCGGTCTCGTCGGCGCGTCACGCGCGACGGCGGGCACTCGATCTTTGTAGTAAGGGACCCTGGAAGCACGACACGCCCGAAGCGCGTGCTGGGTTGGGGAATGACCCCGGAAGGGACGGCGGACGGACCCACTGATGAGGTACGTCTAGAATTATCGAGACCCCGACTGTACTCACTGACGTGTGTGCCAACGTAGGTACCAAAAGTGGCAGAATGTCTGAGCTCGGATGCCGGTGCTACTAGTCGCTCGATGTCAGCCCCTGCGAGCAACATGGCGACTGCTTCTGTTCCTCCTATCAGACCGCCCTCAGCCACTACGTACACAAATATCATAGATCTTCGTCTTGCGAAGCGGCATTTTATCCCCTAGGTTAAGATGTATCAGCGGTCGTCGGTTGACGGTTCTGAAGAGGTGTAGCCTGAGGTTAGGATGGACCGCCTCAGGAAGACTCTTCAGGAAGATCCACAGGGTGGTAAGCGCAGTTTTTTTCTCGAGAAAACTCAGGAAAAAGCAGCTAAACAAGGCCCCGTTATTCCTCGATTCTACGCCGATGCAAACTGAGGAGAAACTGGTGCAAAACCAGCCAAAATGGTCTAAAACACCAGTAAAACTGGCAGAAAACTGAGTTTTGCCTTCGGTTTTTTTCAAGTGAAAACCGGAGAAAGTTGGGGCCTTGTTCAATCAGTTTTTGGCAAATTTTACGCCGGAAAAAAGCGCGCTTACCACCCAGTGTCGGCAGGCTGGAGGATCCGCATTTGGACAGCAGCTGTCTATCGGGGAAGTCCTCGGCTCCGCCGTGGACACAGGCACACTTATCAGACTGCCTAAGGTTCCCGGCAAGAAGAGGCGGTCTTAATATATACTGAACCCGGTCTACTCGTTCTTGTGTTGATCCCCACTGTCTCAGGCCTCAACACCTATTGATAGTATCGTGAGAAGCTCTGTGTGGTAATGGTGGAAGCTAGGCGCCTAGGTAATATTGATCTCTATTGTTATTTTACTTTGACTCTACTCTTGACTCCGCACCACCGTTACAAAATTTGAAGCAACAGAAGGCGAATCCACAACGGAACCCCGAAGTATAAGGCCCGAGGCTTCAAGTTTCTGATATATTGACAGGAAGTTGCACATGAAACTGCGAGATTGGCTCGGCCCGAACCTCTGCCTCGAGGCCCAGACGTGGGGTCAGCTAGTACTTAAGTTTCGTCGTTATGTAGCGCCGAAGCACAGTCCTTCTACCTCTTCTTTCACCGCAAGACCCGCACCTTGAGCTGCGTGCACGGCGTACGCGACCATGGAAACGTATTACGATCCGGAACTCGATCTGCTCGGTGATGACACACCCGAGGACGAATCCACAGGCTCGATGCATGCCTTCAGAACGGCACCCGTCTTCACGGGAGACGCATTTGCGTCCTTGGGGTCATCCATCCTTCCACAGCGTGCATTATACGGGCGTGTCATTGCACAACGGGCGACGAATTTCCCTTTGCGTCTGACAACTCCGAAACTGTACATGAACACGAATGCCCCGTTTAGTGCACTCGTATGTGGCGTCCAGGCATGTACCCCGCTTCTTCTTGAAGTCGGGAGTCTGACGGTGCTGCAGGGCTCTGGTAAGAGTCATTCAACCTCGGTCCTACTCGAGAGCTGCCTCATGGCAGACTCGAGGCTCGGAACCCTACCTGCACCTCTCAGCGCGCTGGTGTACGTTCCTAACTTTCCACGCAGCCCACCATGGCACTGACTGCGGTCGACGCACGCAGATTTCACTTTGACACCGCTGCAGGCGGCGGTGCTGTTCAGCCCTGCGAAGCAGCCTACCTTGCTACGCTCGATAATGAGCGTGGCGGTGACGTAACCCCTCCCACGGTGACTGTCCTCGTCTTGTTGGTCTTCGTTTAACTTTTACCGTCTGTATCGACTGACGCGTTTTGCAAAGGCCCGCCAATATTCAAGCTATGAGACGAGTCTATGCGGGATTACCTTCTGTCCACGTCAAACCGCTGCACTTCTCTGCTGCAGACATCAGTGGCGAGCGTCTTCTCGCTATGATGAAAGTTGAAGAGAATACTCGTGCGTACTCCGGGCCCTATCCTGAAATCAACTGCTTGACGATGATGCAGAAATGCCTCTGTATATGGAAGCGATCATGTCAATCCTGCGATCAATGGAATCAAACTTCAACTACACCGCTTTCCGCGACGAACTCAAGCAGCAGAAATTCAGCTCTGGGCAGAAAGCAATGCTAAATCTTCGGCTCTCGTTGCTAGACTCCTGTCTCGAGGGTGGAAATGCTTACAATCGTGTATCTAGCCATTTCCGTAAGGGTCATTTGACGATCATCGAGTGAGTTATATCGGGTTTGTGCTGCGCAGCGTTGCTGAGTGGTGGTGTAGCTTATCTTCGCCCTTCATGGACGGCTCGTCCGCGTGTGGGTTCTTCGACTTGATTTTAGGTCTATTCGTCGAAGCAGATGTCGACGCGGCTGGAAAATTGGTCGTCCTTGACGAAGCGCATAAGGTGTGGCCCTACTACCAACCCGAGCCATACGATGCTTTGCTCATAATTGTGCTCGCCATCTTCTGCAGTATCTGTCAGACTCTCAAACAGGCACTTCATCCCGTCTGACAGACTCTCTTCTGTCTGTCATCCGCCAGCAGCGCCACTTGGCGACGCGGGTCGTCATCTCGACGCAAGAACCCACGGTGGTGCCGAGCAAGTTCCTCGATCTCTGCTCATTCATCATCGCGCATCGGTTCTCTTCCCCAAAGTGGCTGCGCCTACTCGCAAATCACGTCTCCGCCGCTGAAGACGCGTTCGATGAGCTCTTCGCGAAGGTGCGTGCACTCCGTTTCTGGACGCTGCTTCGAATCGTGACATGTAGCCGTCGCAGATCGTCTCGCTCCGCACAGGCCAGGCAATCATGTTTGCGCCGAACGGGCTCGGCGTGCGCGACGGCGGGGCCGCGGCGCACTCGGACGGCGACTCTGGCGCCTCTGACGACGCGGCCACCGTCGCGCCAATCGGGCAGGGGTACTTCCATGTCCAGTCTCGCCTGCGCGTGACGCGCGACGGTGGGCATTCGATCCTTGCGGTGAGCGACCCCGAGAGCACGACACGGCTCGGACGCGTGCCGGGCGGCGGGAAGGGCAAGGAGCGCGCAGAGCCGGTGTCCTTCCCCGACTGGGGCAGCGCCAACGCAAGTGCGAGCGTGCCGACGGACGGCGACCGTGCTGGAGAAGCACCGGCGCCAGCGGAGACCCCCGCTGAAGCTGCTGCTCCTCCAGGACTGCATCGCTCAATGGAGGCTACTACGCTCGCAAGTGATAGCTCACCGAGCGATGCATTGGCAGATCCAGTGACGTTGACACCCGAATCTCCAGCTGTTCAACCACCAGATGTCCCTCAACAAAGTGAGCAGACGGAGGCCCCAATGCCGACAGTGTCTACGCCTGCCCCATCAGTATCGGACACGACTGCCTCGCCCTCAACGTCGCCGCCAGTGTTTAAGCTTGTAGGAGACCTCGCTCGGTTTACGCCGCTCATCGACTACGTCCGTCAGCGGCTGTCAAACCCACAGTTCGTCCTCACCGTGAAGAACATCCGGAGGGGTTTCAGCGACACCCAACCCCTCGTGTACGGCAACGACATAGACCAAGTCGTTGATGAAGCCGTACAGCGGGGCTTACTTCTCCGACAGGCACACAATGCTCAGCCAGCAGTTGCACTCGTTCCGGGCGCAATATACATTTCCGTAGCACCTGCCTCTCTGCCAGCTGCGCCAGAGGCCTCTACCTTTGCTACTGCTACGCCACCGGCGCAATACGGAGCGACGAAGTATGCTCTGACGGGACACAGCGCGCGATTCGCTCCTCTTATCCGGTACATGACTCAACAGCGGGACTCAGGGTTCACAGAAATCACGGTAGCCACGATTCGGCGCCGGTTTGGGGAGAGCGTCGAGGAGATCATCTCAGATGCGAAACAGCTAGGTATGATCAAGGACGCCGTGAACTCTTCCAAACCCAAAGTTATGCTCGTCCCGAGAGTTACCTTTACGTTCTGAGACCGTCAAGCGACGGATGCCGCTTGGCGGGATAAGTGTATTGACATAGAGCTGGGTTCATGCTTTATCTTACGTTTATACACAACTGGGCACATGCGAAAGGGTTCTACAACGCTGAAAATGCAAGCAGCTTCGCGCTCACTGACAAGTGGCAACGGCCAACTAAGGGCTAACGGACTCGCACCTCGTTCGTTCTGAGATGTCGCCGATATTGTGTACTCCCGAAGAGGTAAAACACATATATTTTATGCCTTCTATTCTCATCGCCAAATATCTAACTATACAGATCGGAGATATGATATTGTGGCGCGTGCTCTGTTCATTTGACCGCCTCGTTCTTCTACAAGCCACCGTTGGTCCAGCCGCCATCGATGGTGATGACCTAAGGTCGATGTCAGTGGCAGTCGAGAGCGAAATTTGAAAGGGAGATAGTGACATACCTTGTTGGTCATGAAACCGTTCTGGACAAGCATGAGAACGACGGAAGCGACCTCTTCCGGCCTTCCGAGTCTGCCAACAGGGATCTGGGAGGCAATGTCGGGCGGCAGGGTTGCATTGCGTACAATGCCCGTGTCTGGGAGCATATTCACTTGAAGCACTCATAGGTGAAAACCTACGGGACGCACCTTCAATCAACCACGGCGCGATGGCATTGGTGCACTAAATGCAGTATGAGGAACTGAAATTGTAACGGTAAAAAGTAGCAGCACTCACAATGCCGTCCTTTGCGTATCGGAGAGACAACCAGCGGACGAGCCCATGGATGGCAGCCTTCGAGGAGGCGTAATGAGGGCCGACGACACCGCCAGTCACTGCCCAAGAAGCGTAAGATATGAACTCCAGTTTCAGTGCTATATCGGATACTCACAAGCTCCCACGCTGCATACAGCACGATGTTAACAGCTTCAACCCGAAAGACGGCCTGAACATACCTTGAAGTGAAGACGACGCGGCCCCACTTCTGTTGCTCCATGTGAGGGACGCAGAGGTGGCTGAGCTGTGAACATCCGCTGAGCCATTCGCGCAAGTAGAGGTTCCAATGTTTCCTACGTAATAGTCCGCTCCAACGTTCAACCTCCAGGTATTCTCAAACTCCTGGGGACTGATGTCTCTAATGTTACCAGTTGGGCCAATCTGGGTGAAAGGCGCCCCGGCATTCCCGAAGAGAATGTCTGGGTTTCCCAGTTTCTGGACCACTTCGTCATACAGCTTCTTCGTCTCTTCAAACGTCAGCAGGTTTGCCTGGAAAGCTGCGGCCTTTACGCCCTCGTGCTTGGTCAGTTCCGCGACAAGCTCGTCGGCCTTGGCTTTGGTGGCCTCAGAGGAGTGGTGAACGGCAATAGAGCACCCATACTGTGCGAGCAACCTCGCAGTCGCTGAACCTATACCACCGCTAAAACCCACAGGTCAGTCAGTGCGTCTTATAACGGCTCGACTTTTACTTACGTGCAACCCGTGATAAGTGCAAGCTTGCCTTTGAGTGAGGCGGTCAGTGACATGGTATATCGAACTGGGGGATGTGCAAGTGGTGGTTGAAGACAAAAGGCTTACGCGTAGCATCTTTTCTGCGCTCTTTACCACCGCCTGCAAGGCGACAGTGTGGCCATTTGGGCCTCCCCTGCCAGGGATGATGCCGGTGGCATTAACTTGGAGAGAGTGCGCCTCCGTTCTATATGCGGAAGTAAGGGGAATCGATCAGATCAACTGATGCGCCCAAGTCCAAACACAGTGTCGGAGCGCGCTAGCCGGTGCATTCGCATTTCGCAACCACAACGACCGACATGTTTCCAATCTCTCAGCTGCCAGTCGTCCCCCTTTTACTTGCTACATACCTCGGGGTTAGCGGAGTCCGCAAACGCTCCTTGTCGCCGTCTGGGGGCTTCGCCGCCTTCGTGGTGGGCTTCGCCATGATGGCGGTACCCTTGCGCACGTTTGGCGTTGCCCTGATCGTCTTCTACCTCATAGGATCGAAGGCGACGAAAGTTGGGAAGGCGTTGAAGGCAAAGCTGGAAGAGGGCCACCGGGAGGCTGGGTACAGAAATGCTGCGCAAGTCCTCTGTAACTCCCTGTCTGCATTCGTCGCGTCACTGCTCTGGAGCGCGTACTTCGTCCCAGACTCGGCAGCGTCACAGGTACTCGGAAACACTACACCCACGAAGCCATATAACTTTGCACGATGGTGCCCCGTGGATCCTCCCCAGTCGGCGCACCTGAGCCGCGCTCTGCTCTTCGTGACATTGGGGTGCGCACCTCGCTCGGTTTACGCGTTCCTCAGCGTGTTTGACGCCACATTCGTGCAGACATTTTGCGTGCTGCCTGGGAGACACCCTTGCCTCTGAGCTGGGCATACTTTCTCGAGCTCCTCCTCGCCTGATCACCACCTTCAAGCCTGTGCCCCCCGGTACGAATGGCGGAATGTCTACTACGGGGACCCTTGCCTCGCTTGCCGGCGGAATTATCATGGGTCTGACCATGTCCGCGACTCTGCTCCTTGAAAGTTCAGCCTGTCGCAGGGAGTGGCCTGCGGTTCTCCTGTCATTAGTGGGCTGGGGTGCTTTCGGTGGCGTGTTTGGATCTCTGGTGAGCTGAGGCTTTCTCTCGCCAAGTTCTCTACTGACTGATGACGCCCTGTCTTAACTAGCTGGACTCACTTATGGGAGCTACCGTCCAACGCACAAGATATTCATCAATCACCAAGCGTATCCTCACAGACGAGTCGTCCGAGCCTGCCTCGAATGCAGACGTAAAGGTAATTAGCGGCCTGAACCTGCTTTCAAATAACCAAGTAACGTGTCCGCGTCTTTGGTACCTGCCACATGATGCTGAATCAGTTTAGGTAAACCTACTTTCGTCTATTCTCACGGCCTCGCTCCTAGGTTATTTGGCTTGATATTCAGTTTCTATCGGCTGTCGAAACTACTGAATATTGGTGCCGAGTACCGTAGTATCGCCGTTCTGACGCAGGTTTTGAGATGCATATGTTGCGACACTGCTATGTACGAGCCGTGAAAGGATGTTAGCCTATACTGCGATTAGGTTGGTGTTCCACAAGATCAATTGGAGATGAAGATTGCGTACGAGCACGGCTGTCCTGTCAAGCTGAGCGGCTCGCCTAAGCTCCCATAGACATTCTTCGATCAACCCCTCTTATCCAGTCGTGCGTTACTGTGCATGGGAAACTCCCAGACTCTAAATCAGTACGTTCACGTATGTCACAGCTCGGAAAGTTTAGACCATTACGGCAATAATTTTACATCTGGATTTAGATTTCACATTTGAAGCCTGCACCTGCTCCGTCGCCGCAATAAATCTCAGAGTTTCGACGCCTCAAATGCCGTCTAGGTGACCTAACTATATGCAGACTTTATTCAGCATGCTGCTCGGCAGCTGGCAACATACTTCAGTCTACTCCTGGTCGTCATTGAGGAGCATGTGCCTGCACTGTCTGTGTGCTGCAAATAGCAGTCTCACTGCGTACGTTTGGAGTGCGTAACGAAAGCGAGTGGGCCGCGATCTTCCGAGGCTCAAAAATCTTATAGCGTTGTTTGCTCAGCACAAACCCAAACGGGAAATTCTTCTCTAGTGTTTCTCGTCCCCAGTCATTCCAGCGTTTCCGGACCTCGCCGGTCGGAGACAGGCTTCTGCAGGAGCTGTAATCGGCGCCTCTGACTCCTCCTAAGCAATCTGAGCCACCCGGTCCTAGTATCCGCATTTCGCTCGAGTGGTACTTATGCCATAGCTACAGCGCAAAACGGCTATATCTACGGGAGACGGAGAAGCAAGTGGGGCTGCTCTTAAGCTCAATCATGTGAGTACTGATGCGCGAAGATGGTAAGTTTTCGTTTACTTGTTTTTCCAGCGTCCAACGTCAGCTTCAGCCCCAGAAGTGAGCAAAAATCCCATAGCGAAATTCTGGCAAAGTGGTTTAGTGTTTCCGTGCCAGCTGTAACATCCGCGGACGCACGGGATTGGAGTTCGGGGGTTCAACCCTTGCACTTTATTCCATCGTACAATGCTATTGCCATTCGGACAGGATTATGATTAGCTTTGGGAGAGTTTGGCAGTAAGCTCTGCATTGATCCTTGGCCCACGGATGGACAGTGCACACATCAGCGTGTTTAGTCATATCTCTAGCTTTGCCGAAGACACATCAAAAGTAACGCTCTTTAGTATAAGAGACAACTCTTTGACGATGGTGCCACTAGCGTAAGCTATCGTTAACACACTCCAGTCATGTCTGCCCTTGATACACTCGTACAGATCATCGCCAATGGCGTCAAGGATATCCAGTCCAAGTCCGCTGAGCGCGGCACGTCCTGGCCTACGCCAGACACGCCTCTCAGCCCGGAGAACGAGAAGCTGCAAAGTGACTTTGCAGCGTCGACTGCACCCGTGATCGCTGCTGCATGCCAGCTCATTGCGACCCTCAAGCATCCACATACCTATTTGATGGACCTCACGCTCTCGGTGCGTACGAGTCCGCACAGCCTGCAGCATGATTGACGTTCGACCAGAGTAACCTTTCTAGCTCGGTGTGCGTTGCGGAGGCCGCGTATGTGCCTAACATTCTGCGCGAGGCAGGCACGAAGGTTTCAACTTTGCGTATTTCTCCAGCACCTTGAAGCTAACGTTGGTATAGGGTCTACATGTTAATGAGATTGCGGCAATCAGAAATGTCGACGCAGGAAAACTAGGTTTGTATTTGCCTATCATGCAAGACTCTGCACCTGATGTGAACGACAGGCCGAAACCTAAGGCATCTTGCGTCCCGGCACATCTTCGAGGAGGTCGCACCGGACATCTTTAGGAATAATCGCATCTCTTCGTCCATGTGCACGGGCAAGCTTGTCCAAGAGATGTTGGATAGCCCTATCGACAGGTGGGACGGCACCGATGGTTTCGCTGCCCTCCTCTCGTTGAAGTAAGCCTTCCCGACCATCCCCCCGCCACAACCTCCTGAAGCTTCTGCAGCGGGGATTTTAACCAGTGGGGCAACGGATGGTTGGCAGATCATCTCCTGGACTCTGCGACTGGACACTCGCAGGAACCGAACGAGGCTGCGTGGCAACGCGCCAAGGGCACAAAACTGACCATTTTTGATTGGCTGGAACTTCCGGAGCACGCCCTGGAGCTGCGCAAGGTCAGCATCGGCATGCGTGCGACCACGAGCTCTGACAGCGACACTGTTGCGACACGAGGCTTCGAATGGGCGTCACTTCTTTCAGGCAGCCTCGTGGTCGACATTGGCGGTGGAGTCGGCAGCTTGACCATGATTCTTGCAAAGGTCCACAAGCATCTCCGATATGTCGTCCAAGACAGGCACGCTGTAGCCAAGGAAGGCGAGCGGCTGTGGAAGGCAACTATGCCCGGGTTTGTTGAGAATGGCATCGTGCAACTGCAGGGTACATGGACTTGCTTCCGAGCTGCTTCTACTACTAACGCAGATCCGTGGCACAGGTCATGATTTCTTTGCGGAACAGCCTATCAAGGACGCCGGCGTATTTATCATCAGACACGTCATCCACGACTGGTCGGACAAGTACGCGAGCAAGATCCTGTCGCGACTGCGGGACGCGGCACAGCCAACCACCAAGCTCGTCGTGATGGACATTATCGTAGACTACATGTGTCGCGACTCTGGCGGTGTCGCTGACATACCCGGCGCCACGAGGTCTCAGGCTCCGGAGCCGCTGCTGCCCTATGCCGACTCGGCGACGGGTCGGACGTACAGTTTAGATATTTGTGTATGTACAGTGCCATATACTCGTCGTGTACTCGCTGCTTATGTCGCTCCTACGCAGATGATGTGCGCTGCAAATTGCCAAGAGCGTACGCTGGGGCACTTCGTCGAGCTCCTGAAGAGCGCAGGCTGGAAGGTTGAGCGGGTGTGCCGCTTTGATTATCCTCTTCCGCAGCAGCTCGTCTGCTCGCCTCTCTAATTTTCTCCCAGAGTTGTGTTACCTACTGTTCAATGCACTGTATGCCTGTAACATCACACATCCTCCTCGCGATTCCAATTCAACTTGGTCAGATTTGGCACACGAAATGCGTTGCATGGATACTGACACGGCCTGTTAAAGAGTAGGAACGGGGGCCTGCACTTCTTTATTCCTGAATTATTACTTTCACAGACACGAGGCACAGCGTTACTGTCAGGCTATGAGTTGCGCGAAATTCGATTCTCAAATTATATATAATTCAAGAGCTTTTTATCTTCTCTCCTCGTTTGAACGATAATATTGGAGTATATACTCCCTCTATTCACGTGTCTCTCGGTGCGCCGGACGCCGCGTTCGTACACACATTTGGCGCGCTGCCTAGGAAGCACTTTTACCAGTGAGCTGGGCATTCTTTCTCGCGCTCTTTGACGCTTTATCGCTACCTTCAAGCATGTGCCTTCACGACGAGGCGTCTGCCACAGGGAGTCAGTGACGCCTGCTAACGGGATCTATCGTAAGCCTGACCATAACTGCGGCTCTGCTCTATGAAAGTTTGAAATAGTACGCCGTTGCTAATATAACCAGGTTGGGATGCCATGGACCTTAAGGTTTCAGTTCGACGGTGTCGAGTTGTATGGCCCAGACCCTGGAGGCAGGCCGAAGGAGGTTAGGCTGTCGGGCACCATTGGATGAGTCCATCGTGCTCGCTTCACCACACTAGTCCTCCAGCGATATATCAAATCTTCGCTGGTAAAGTTTGCAAGGCGGTCTAGCAATTACAGTTAGGTACAATCGCCGCTCCAAGGGCCATAAATCTGTGGTAATGGCCTGGCTGAGAGCTCCCTGGGTGCATCAGCTGGGAGTTCTGGGACCTCTGTTCTCAGACTGAGAGCTAATAATTGAAGGTGCCTCAGATGGCAGATACGAGACGCATATCATGATCGCGATACGAGTAGCATGTCTGTCATAGATACGGTGGATATATCACGGATGTACTGGAAGGATTATACAGTTTCGCTAGTCTACATAGTTGACAGGGGACGAGGGGACGAGAGCCAGCTGTCCAAGGGACACGAATCCCATGATAGACAAGAGCCTCTAGCATAACAAGTCACGGGTATCGCCGATGGGAGCTGTAGGGCATCGCCGGTAGGAGCATCAAGCAAGTCTTCTGGCAGCATAGGACTCGAGCAGATAGCATGGGGGAAGTATGGGCAGCGGTTCACCACGTTGGGAAAGGATCTGGGGGGTCAATAATGCACGAGAAACCGGATAGGACAGTAAGGTCACTACAGCATACCACGAAAAGAAGAGACGCCCATTTGCGCTACCCCAGAGCTGATTCAGTTCGGCGGCCCAGACACGGCTTCTGGGTGGCTAGTCTGGTGTAACTTAATAAGTTCCCGTGTCTGGGCCGCCGAACTGAAACTCTTGTACCCCAACGGATCTGGTTCCTGAGGACTTCGGTGCCACAAATGCCATGATGAACGTTGGCCACCACTGGGTCCTTGACAAGACTCTGTTCAGCTGTGGGATAATTGGGCAATACAGTAAGCACTGCATTAATCTTAGTCGCACTTTGAACCTTGCAGAATACACCGAGTCAAGAGTAACGCTCTGTAATATAAAAAACGACTGTTCGACGATGGTACCACTAGCGCAAGCTACCTTTGACACTATCCAGCCATGTCTACTCTCGATGCCCTCGTACAGATCATCGCCAATGGCGTCAAAGACATCCAGTCTAAGTCCGCTGAGCGCGGCATGCCCTATCCTACGCCAGACACTCCGCTCAGTCCCGAGAGCGAAAAGTTGCAAAGTGACCTCGCGACCGACGCTGCACCCGTGATCGCTGCTGCATGGCAGCTCATCGCGACACTCAAGCGTCCCCATATTTACTTTCTGGAGCTCGCGCTTTCGGTGGGTATGCGACTCCACACGGCCTGCAATATGACTGACGATCAGGTAGAGTTTCCTCTCCGGATCCATATCCGTCGCGGAGGCAGCGTATGTCCCCGATGTCCTGCGCGAAGCAGGCACGAAGGTTGTGGACATCCCTTTTACCTGTCCCCTAAAGCTGATGTTCGCCCAGGGCCTGCACGTCAACGAGATTGCGGCAGTCAGAAATGTTGATGCTGGAAAGCTAGGTTCGTGTTCACTCTTCAAGACCTGATGGAGGACCTTGCATCTCATGACAACGGTGACAGGCCGAATTTTGAGACATCTTACGTCTTGGCACATCTTCGAGGAGGTTGCACCGGACGTCTTTAGGAATAACCGTATCTCCTCTGCTCTATGCACAGGCAAGCCTGTCCAGGAAATGCTGGAAAGCCCTATCGACAGGTGGGACGACACCAATGGTGTTGCTGCCCTCGTCTCATTGACGTAAGCCTTCTCAACCAAATCTTCGTCACAATCCCCTGAGGCACCTGCAGCGGAGATTTCAACCAGCGAGGCAATGCCTTCTTAGCGGAACACCTCCTGGACCCTGCAACTGGACACTCGCAAGAACCGAACGAGGCTGCGTGGCAGCGCGCCATGCGTACGAACTTGGTCAGTTTTGAATGGATGGAACTTCCGGAGCACGCCCTGGAGCTGCGCAAGTTCAGCATCGGCATGCGTGCGACCACGAGCCCTGATAGCGACATCATCGCGACGCGAGGCTTCGAATGGGAGTCACTCCCCTCGGGCAACCTCGTGATTGACGTCGGCGGCGGTGTTGGCAGCTTGGCCATGGCTCTTGCAAAGGCCCACAAGCATCTCCGATACGTCGTCCAGGACAGACACGCTGTAGCCAAGGAAGGGGAGCGGCTGTGGAAGGCAACCGTGCCTGGCTTTGTTGAGAATTGTATTGTGCGACTGCAGGGTACATCGTCTTGCCTCCGAGCTGCGTCCTACTGCTAACGCAGGGTCTGTGTCACAGGTCATGATTTCTTTGCGGAACAGCCTATCAAGGACGCCGACGTGTTTATTCTTAGACACATCCTCCACAACTGGTCGGACAAGTACGCGAGCAAGATTCTATCGCGCCTGCGCGATGCGGCACAGCCGGCTACCAAGCTCGTTGTAATGGACAATATCGTGGACTACATGTGTCGCGACTCTGGCGCTGTCGCTGAGATTACCGGCGCTGCAAGGTCCCAGGCTCCGGAGCCGCTGTTGCCCTACGCCGACTCAGCGGCAGGTTCCATCTACAGTTTGGACATTTGCGTACGCACGATGTCATATATCTCATGTACCCACTGCTCACGTCACTTCTGCGCAGATGATGTGCTGTGCGAACTGCCAAGAGCGCACGCTCGGTCATTTCGTCGAGCTCCTGAAGAGCACAGGCTGGAAGCTTGAGCGAGTGTGTCGCTTCGAGTCTCCCCTTTCGCAGCAACTCATCTGTTCGCCTCTCTAATTTGTCCCCGGTGTCGTGCTCAACACACGGCATATCTGTAACATTACACGCCCTCCTTGTACGTCTCTGGTCAACTTGAGTGAATCTGGTATGCGTATTGCCTTGGATATATAACCAAGAGAATTAGCACGGCCGGGTAAAGAATGGGGACGGGGTCCGCATGTTTATGTTCCCGAATAACCCCTTCACAAACACAACACACAGGGCTGCTATCAGGCTGCACGGCGAAACATGCACGAGACAGCCACAGAGACTGTCAAGTTTAGTAAATTGAGAACATCATTGTTTGCGTCGTTGCAGATTTGAGTCTAGTCTAGGGCGCATGGAGACATCTCTAGCTTGTATGGAAACGGCAGCGGCGAAGAACCACAGCCGTTAACGTCGTAGCAGCGATCATAACCACTGTGAATGGACACACGACTCTCTGCATGCGACACACCGTGGAGTCAGCATCAACCTCAAACACGAGTACTGCCGCAACGAATCATAACGCCCCGGATCCCTCAAAATCCTCTCGTACTCTCCGCTGTCGCTCACAAGCTAACGCGAGCTGTGAGGAAGACTGTCAAGGAGTGAAGAAAAATCCAGTAGTACTCTAGAAGAAGAAAAGGCGTATCCGCCGTGCCTGGCAGCACAATCGTCTAGGGAGCTGTTCCTGTAGCTTGTAAGCTGCAGTTTGCCCGGTCGTTACGAAGAAGAGACGTTCACTTATGCTCCGCTTTCAACTTTGTTCAAATGGGCCTGGGTTCCTGAAAACCCGATGCAACAAGCGCTACGGCGAGGTCGGACACCCCTGGGCACTTGTCAAGTTCCTGTTCAGTCGGCTTTACATTGCGCGTTGATGTCAGATGCATCGTTGATGGTTTGTCTACGGAGGGCGTCCCTTTAGGCTGATGGAGCGGCCACCCGCGCACAGACGGTCGATGGGGTCAGCCGCGACGGATAGAGGCCCCTCGCCTCGCCTTGTCTGCCTAGGTTCGTTCGTTCTATCAGATGTGGCTTCGTCCTATCTGACTCCCAGGCCCGATGCCACGCGGGGCCTCAAGCTCGCCGTTTTTCGCACTTTCCCTGCCCTCCCGCCCTTGTCCTTGTTTGTTTGGCGGTTTGCTCGTGTCACTTCGTGTTCGGTCCCCGCGCTTAGTAGCATCAGGAAAACCTCCGGGTGTTGCAGCTTGAAGGCGTCTTGGATTAGATGACATGCCTTAGTCTGCCTTAGGCGTTGTTGGGACCCGTCTTGGAGGTGTTACCCAACATCATCAAGGCACCCAAGGCATGTCGGTCCAATCCCAAGACGTACAAGCGATGTCAATACGTTTGGACATTTTCCTAATGCACTAATGATTGCTATAACTTTTTCCTGTTTTTGTCCAAGGGGGAGGCAATCTCATCAAGCGCTGAAAACAACCTCAGTCGGGGGAGTGTGCGCGTCTAGGCGGCGTCTGCACATCCCGGCACCGCGAGCGGACCCCTAACACTATCCGTCGCCAGGGCCTGCGGTGAACAAGTCAAGTTATCTGTGTCTGGTACCTTATGTGGTTGTCTCTGTAGTCAGCTTTCTCATAAAAATGGATGCCAGTGACCGCAAATAATGACTTTCGGATGTTACCAGCCCGTACATGCTGTGCACTAAGCGTTGGGATCCTGTAGTCATCTCAAGCTACCCATTGTCAGCAACCAACAATCCAACTGGACTGGGCTACGACAAGGCTGAGGAGACAGACGAGAGGAATGGAGGTGAGTAAAGACCAGCTCGAGTCTGGCTTGTTATTGAGCAGTACGAGCTCCTTATATACATGTCAGACTGAATATCTAGAATATCCTACGAGTATACGGAGGTATATAGAAAGTGAAAGAATACTATGGAATCTGGGAGAACCATCCAGAATGTGTAATATTCATGACATTACCCCTCCGTCTAGAATCGTGTCCTCATGATTATTTACCAGTCAATCCAAAACCTCCTGATCCTCGTCGAGTTTCTGTTAAACTCGATACCTCCTCGATATTGCATGACGCAATGCGTTCCAAAATGACTTGTGTGATCCGATCGCCGGCGCGTACCTGGAAGGATTGATTGGTGGAATTGATCAACACTACGCGCACTTCTCCGGTGTAATCTCGGTCTACAACTCCAGCCCCGATATCTATCCCTTTGACTGCTAACCCACTTCGTGGCGCGATTCGCGCATAGGTTCCGTGAGGGGCACGCATTACTATGCCGGTGCCGACAATCTTGCGATCTTGTGCCGGTACCTTAACGCTTTCAGCCGAGTAAAGATCAAACCCAGCCGATTCTTCAGATCCTTGCTTCGGGAGAATCCCACCCATCCGTTGTACCAAAAGAGTGGTATCACGCGTGAGTATGTGAATGGGTCGTGTTAATAGAGGGGGGATTCGAATCGTCATAGGCGCAGGTTTGTCGGGATGTCTAGCATGGAATTCCTGAAGGAGTTCTTGACAATTGGTCAAGTTTGCCCGTGATTCCCAGGAGCGGCGATCGCCGTGGGGGCTATTCTTCCAGAGCACCTGATACTCCAGGTTTCCGTTTCGATCACGACGGGAGTCAAGGATATCTTCGACTTCCCATTCTTCCTCGCCATTTACGAGGTCAGGGAATATCGGTTCTCGTCACTGTGAGGGATACGTGGGTTCTTTGAAGGGGCTAAGGAGGCTTTCATTGAAAACGGGATGTTGTTTCCATTGACGTGGGAGTTCCAACTCATAGGCAGAAGCACTGATTTTGCGTTTGACCTTGAAGGGTCCATATCGCTTATTGTCGAGCTTTTTCATTGGCCTGTCTGTTCAGATGTTTATCCCTTCTAGCCAAACTTTATCCCCCACTTTGTACTCCGGTCCGCTCTTCCTCTTTCTGTCGTAGAAGCACTTCATGGTTTCCTGTGCTAGACTGATAGCCGCACTAGTGTCCTCACGTACTCAATCCATTCTATCGACAAACTGTTGGACGTTTTCGCTTAGTCCTTCTCGCACTGGTTGGGTTCCTTCATAAGGGTGATACCCTTTATTGACAAAGAATGGAGTATACCCAGTGAACGAATGGACTTTATTGTTATATGAAAAGGCCACGAGTGGCAACCATTCGGCCCAATCTGCTTGTCGGTAGTTGATGAATAATCGGAGATATCGTTCTATCTCGCGATTGATGTGTTCCGTTTGTCCGTCTGTCTGGAGGTGATACGCGGTTGAGGGATTAGCTTTGATTCTGAGGGATCGGTATAACTTGGAGATAAACTAATTCTTAAATTCAGTTCTCCTATCACTGATGATCTTTCAGGGTAATCCATGATGTGCGACTACGTTATCTCGGAGTGCCTTTGCCCATCCTTCGGCGTTGAGCTCAATGGTACTTGGTATCGTGATTATCTGCTTAGAGTACATGCAGACAATTACGAGGATGGCATTGTACCCGAATGAGTCTGGTAATACGCCTATCTTGTCCACGGAGATTACTTCCCAGGGTTGCGAAGGGATTTCGTTCAGGAATAGAAGTCCAGTAGGTTGTGTCGTGTGGACCTTGGTTTTCTGGCATTTCTCGCATCCGGCCACGTACTTCCTGATATCTTCTCAAATTTGGGGCCACCAGTAGTTACGCGTGACCATTTCATGCGTCTTGTATTGGCCAGGGTGTCCAGCTAATGGGGTATCATGGTGATGAGCAATGGCTTGCTCACGGAGTTTTCTATTTACTGGTACATAAATACGGTTCTTCCATGTCACAAGTCCGGTACTATCTTCATTCCAATCTTTGTCCTTGTTCTATAGAGCTATGGTAACTAGTGAATCTTGGTTCTTTTTATATTTTTTAATTTCCGCGACCTAGTCCTGGTCAATTCCTTCTAAACTAAATACGGTACTACGAATCAGGGCACGAAAATGTTCTGGCTTTAGTAACACAATATCTGAATTGTCTTCTTTTCCTGTGTTGTGCCTCTTTTGGCGAGATAGTCCGTCTGCTTTGCCGTTAGATTTACTGGGTTTGTGATGCAACGAGTATTGATATTCGGCTAACTCAGTTACCCATCGGGCCTGCCACCGGTTGAGCTTCTGCGGCTTCCAGAAGTATTCTAAATTCTTGTGATCCGTCCATATTTCAAACAGATGTATGGCGCCCATGAGGTATTAACGCCACTCATCAAGACTAGTCATGATCGCAAGAAGTTCCTTATCGTAAATCTTGTAATTTCTTTCAGCAGCTGTCATGGCTTTAGACAGGTAAGCAACAGGCTTCCATTTGCCATCTTGTTTCTGGGCTAATTCTGCTCCTACGGCAAAGTCCAAGGCGTCGCATTCTACTCGGTATGAGTCGTCGTCATTGGGTATGGCTAGTACTGGCACTGTGCAGAGAGCGTCCTTCAAGCTTGTGAAGGCTACCTCTTGTTTGACGGTCCATTCGAAAGTAGCATTGCCTGTTAGTGAACTGAGCGGTTTTGCTATTTTGCCATAATCTCGGATGAACCTTTGGTAGAAGTTGGTAAATCCAAGGAATGCCTGAATATCTCGTTTGCACTCGGGCCGTGGCCAATTGACGACTCCTTCTATCTTGACTGGGTCCATGTGAACAACCCCTTTTTCTACTATCATCCCGAGGTATTCTATCTCTGCCTTCTCGAACTCGCACTTTTCTGGTTTCAGATAAAGTTTGTGTTCCCTTAAGATCTGAAGAACTTGCCGCATGATCCGACGGTGTTCTTTCAAATCTTGAGTGAAGATCATGATGTCATCTAGATAGACTACCACGTGTCCTTGACTGATGAGATCTCGGAATATATCGTTCATCATAGTTTGGAATGTAGCCGGGGAATTGGTAAGACCAAAAAACATGACAAGTGGTTCGAATAATCCTCGATTCGTTGGGAACGCCGCCTTCTCTTCATCTCCTTCTTTGATGCGGATGTTGTTGTATCCCCATCGGACGTCTAGTTTCATAAAGTACTGCGCCTGCTTCAGCTTGTCCACTAGTTTCTGTATCAAAGGAAGTGGGTAGCAGTTTTTAATCGTCAACTCATTCAGCTTTTGATAATTTTGTACGGGTTGAAGTCATCCATCTTTTTTCTTGACGAAGAAGAATGGAGAAGCCCACGAAGATTTTGATGGTCGGATT